AGGACATGGAATTTAACCTAACCTCGTGTGAGATGCGTAGGAGGCTTCCCCATTTTTTTTTTGGGTGTCTGGATTAGAGGTGGATTACATGGGGCGCCGCCAGAAGGGGCTATATATGAGGCATAAAATGTACCATTTTCCACCATTTCCCCCTCTTCCCATCAGGCATATTCTGTGTATGACAGAGAAGTAGGCTACTGCCAGGGGAGCCCCTTCATCACTGGCCTATTATTGATGCAGGCAAGTCCACATTCTCCCATTCTCCATACGCTCGTAACCCAGAGTTCAGAAGTGACGCGAAAACTGCTGTTTTCTCAACATGCAGAAAATGCCGGAAGAAGATGCGTTCTGTGTGTTTGTGCGGCTGATGTACGACTACAAGATGAGGGACCTTTTCAAGCCAAGTATGGCTGACCTTGGCCTCAGCTTCTTCCAGCTGGAGAGACTGGTGGAGGTCAGAGTTCACATGGCTTACTTTAACCCTTTTGTCACAGAAATTGGTTGTCTGTAATTTTGGGCTGTGTTGTACAGCACTTTACGTTTATGCCTTTGATTTTAGTGCCTACTACCTATTTCAACTCAACTCCATTTTATTTGAATTTCTTGAGAGCTTTGACTCTTTTCGTGATATCTTATATACTACCTAACCTAACTGTCATAATATGCATACATCAATGATCATGGTAAGGATATACCCCTGAGTGATAATGATGTGTGTTATTTCTCCCCCACAGGAACTATATCCAGCCCTTTACGCCCACTTCCAGACTATGGTACGATATGTAGGAGTCGGTCCCTTCAATTAATTGATAATATCCTCTCTCTCCCTCGTGTGTGTGTGTGTAGGAGTTCATGACGTCCATGTATGCCAGTCCGTGGTTCCTAACCATGTTTGCCTCCGTCCTCTCCCTCAACGTTGTCTTCAGAATAATGGACGTCTTCCTCATGGAGGTCTGTGTCCTCCTCCCTCTCCCACCTAATACAACCTCACACACTTTCGTTCCCCACTTTTCAAACCTTGCTCCAAACCCAGACGTAACGTCGTTCTGTTTTACGCACTGCACGCTCTGGGAAGCGCATTTGTGTAAACGTTTTCGCAACATATGGAGAAAGTGCCTGGGGCTGGTGTATTTGTTGTTGAAACTTTTTTGGGTGAAAATTGTAGCAAAATTGTTGGTAAAGAAAGGTTTCGTAGAAAGCTCTCTCACAAACAGGGAATGAAAAGCACAAACGTACCTGATGACCCGGGATGTTCCTACTAGATACAAAGGACCTGGGACATGGCAGTGCCTATACTCCATTACAACTAGGAATGATGCAAGCAATGACACAGGCACCCATTATAAAAGACCAGTTTGGGACTACCAAAGGATTACTAATAAGGACCAGAGAGGGAAAAGTTGCAGGCATGGGATAGTCCTAGACCACACTCCAATAAACATACACACACACATATACACACGTGTAATACATGTCTCTATCTGTGTCTCCTTTGAAGGGTAGAGATGTTGTGTTCAAGGTCGGTCTGGCTCTACTGGAACATAGTCAAGAGCAACTTCTTCAACTGGACATGGAGGAAATGCTCAAGGTAGGGTGCCTTGTTCTATTTCTGTACATACACCGGTGATGTCACTGCTCTGTGTGTCTATAAATAGCACTTCCAGAAGGAGATGAAGAGTATTCACGAGAGGGATCCGGACAAGCTGGTTAAGAAAGCCCAGCGCATCAAACTCAACCCACGCAAGATGAAAAAGTGTGTGTTTTGTGTGCGTTTGAGTGATTTTGCTATTTTGCTATGGATAACTGTACTGCATTGTTGGCTGCAGTGGAAGACTACATAAGTCAGTCAGTTTCTTTCATACATGCAACTCAGATACTGTCGCAAGAGTGGTATTGTGTAGTCGTGCATTTGCCCAAATCACAAATCACAAACAATAGCTTACAGTTCCAGAAAGTATTTCTGTCCTCCCTCTCTCTCCCCCTCTCTCTCCCCCCTCTCTCTCTCTGCTACAACCCAGACTGGAGAAAGACTACCAGGTGAGGAGAGAGAGACAAGCAATGGAGAACATGGAGCTACTGGTAAGACACACACGTATCTCACAGAGCCATAATTATATTATGGTCATGTAGCAAACTGAACTATATCTAGTAGAACTCACACATTACACCACAGTCAATAATTATACATCTCACATGTGGTCACAATCAACATTTCGCTGTTCTCTTCGTCTCCCTTCAGAGACTGCAGCAGTCTAATATTGATCTACAGAAGTCTGTCAAGACACTGGAAAAGGTGAGAAAAAACTTTGTTAGTTACTAACCTAAAGGTGTGGCACAATGGAAGTCATTAAGCAGTTTCCATCCTATGCTATATATTATTGCTTGTGTGTTGGAGAAGCAAGCTCATTTAATGGTCTGGATTGCGCAATTTTATCACAAAAAACGTCATTGCCGTTATAGTAGTATATATTGTATTATATACAGTACCTTATGGCATGGGGAAATTGCATCATCCTGACAAACAACAGTAATTATCTTGAAGCTAAAAATTGGAATTTGTGTGTACGACCCAACCACCATTGCCAAATCACCGAATTTAGGCAAATCTAGCATTTACGTGGCACTCAGGGACAGAATCACATATGTACGTATAATATTATGCAAGTGTGTATTGCTCTGTACTGCGTATTATGTATTATATGCAGGAGTGCGGTTCACTGGCAGGCAAGCTGATCCAGGGCCAAGTCTCACGGGCCCAGGAAGCAGAAGAGATGTTCATTCTCAAGAAGGAGTTGGCAAAGACACGGAGAAAACTGTCCGAGTTGGAGGAGAGACAGTCGCAGAAGGAGTCCACAGAGTCAAACGAGTCGCTTCACGAGGAGAGCCCGAAGATAGTGAACGGAGGAGGGAGGGGGGACGATGGCGGGGAGGACAGGGAGGAGGGGGAGGGGTTTGTTTTGGATTGCGGCCCCGAGATAATGGTTCTGGAGGACGAGGAGGCAGCAGCGAGGCTGCAGGTCGTGACCCCTGACCACGTCACACGGGAAGAGGCACAGGTCAGGAGATGGGAGGAGGGGAGAGGGAAAGAGAGAGGGAGAGAGAGGAAAGGGAGGACCAATCAAATTGACACTGTTTCTTATAGAGACCCTCTGCATGAGATTGGGAGTAATTATGCTAATGCAAGCTTGTTGTGCCAGCGCTTACTTGCTTTTTAAACCCATACATTGAGACATTATACTAAAACATCACAGTTGCATTTGAGTCTCCATATGAAACATATCTAAATACTGTGCTGTTGTGCGTTCCACAGCAAGTGTTGAGGAAATTGGGAGTCCAGTCCCCAGTCTCACCTGTCGAATCTCTCCCTCCCGTCGTCGAGGGTGACGACAGTTGCCGTGGAAACACAAACAGAAGTAACCATAACGGCGAGAAAAACACCCACTTCTCTGAGGGCAGCAGAATTAACCCTGTCACCACTAACAGTCACCCTGTGGGGGGAGGACTTGCTCAGCCCCTATCATCATCGGACGCCAATCTCGTAGTAGCAGGAGTAGAACGGAGACGAAGGCGGTTAAACTCCGCCCACGACTCTGCGGCCGTGGCAGCGGAGTTACGGAGGACCCGGGCACAGGTGGAGGAGACGATGGGAGAGCTGGCGAGGGTTAAACTGGAATTAGCCGAGGCCTCGGCGCACATGGAGCAGAAGAAGATGGAGGCGAGACAGGCTCTGTTGAGAGAGGCACAGGCTGTGCGTGAGGCAGACTCTGCCAGGAACTATGTTGCAGTTCTTGAGCAGAGGGTGAGCTACTGAGGTGTTATTACATACACCTCTCCCATAGTGTGGTTTGAAAGGTTTGACCAGAATGATCTATAGGCATATGAAAGTAGTAAAAAGGTCACCTTTCACCTTTCCACGGATCATCGGATCAAATGAAGCTTGAACAGCCTGATCTTTGCTGAACGTACAGTGATACCGACCAACTGTGGGTGTACTGCTAGATGATTTTGATTTGTTTCCGGGCCCACCCAATAATTAGCAGGGGTTTACTCTCTCTCTCTCTCTGTGTAGTTGTCAGAGAGCCAGATGGAGAAGCTGTCGTGCCCTCACTGTAGCAAGAAGCTCGGCGAGAGTAGAACCAGTGACGACGGCAACCCCTCCTCCTCCTCTTCCTCCGATGTTCTCTTTGCCCACCTGCGAGCCATGTGGAACTCCCAGGTCGCCACGCCTCCAGGCAGCGGGTCACCGAGCAGGACACCTCGCTTCGGGACCTACCTGGACGTGACACGTGCAGTCTCTCACAGCCTCCACATCCAGTGACGCGTGCTGTGTTGTAGTAATTAATGTGAGAGTCCAGGACGGCATGGCTTGTATTCCGATTTTCTTCATCGCTCAAATTTCACTCCTCAAGAAAAAATCATATTCATGTGCTGGCTGTACATAAATATTTTGTCATACATGATCATAACAATTATCTATTATACTGTCATAATTCAGTTAAAAAGAGAATGTGTATTATAATTATGCCGAAACCATAATATATTATACATTATATAGCCCTATAGTGTCTCAATATGGGGCACTTCAACTGCATTCTACCAACTCACATTCAAAACAATAAGGGGATTTTGGTGCATATATACACATGATAGCAATGTGTACATGAGATGTGCATGTGCTATTTATAGATACATGCAAAACAAAATGCCCGCTGGCCACTCTGGAGTGACCTAAAGAAAGCCTTGAGATGAGGCTATGGTCTCTCTCAGAATCCCCTCCCAGTCTCCTCCCTTGTCCAGGAGCAGTTTTCTCTCCTTCTTGCCCGCCAGCTCCGTCACCCAGGCAGCAGGTGGGACAGGGACGCTTACTAGCGACAGAGTCTCGGGAAATTTTGCAGGGCTCGCTGTCGAAAACACGACCACAACTTTACATCTCTCGGCGGGTGGTCCCGTCTCCCCCCCTATCCCTACGTCACCATTTTGACTGGTCGAAGTTGCATATTCTGCGGCTGGTTTCCACGCCACAGCGGTGTGGGGACACACGGCATATCCAAACTCCCTCCACACGCTCTTCATGGTCTCCAGACATTGCTCCTTGTTCACACTCGCAGTGAGAAAGTGACGGAAGCTGTCGCAGATTTTCCCCGGTAGAACGCTCTTTTGAGTCTGCTCGAAATCCTCCATCACTCTTTTCAATGCCGCCGCGTCACCGTTCAGAGCAAAGTAGAAGACACGCTCGATGTTGTGCGGGAGGTTGGAGTCAAGTGAAGGAGCGTGGGTTGGGATCTGAGCCCTGGCTATAGAGAAATCTCCGAGAGTGAACGCGCGGTGAACGACATCGTTTTCGTTGACGGCCGACAGGATTTTTATAGGGACACCCATTTCGGCAGCCATAACACCACCGGCTGCGTTCCCCACCCCACCCGTTGGTACTGACACGAGGACACTCTGGTCTGCCTCCGGTGCCACGCGGAGATAGACGTATACAAAGTGGACAGCGTTTAGAAGGACTCTGACCGTGTGGATGGAGTTAAAGCTCAGCAGCGTGTGTCGTTTTCGGAGCTCTCCGTCTTGGAAGATGTTGCGCAGAATCAGGTCCAAGTCGTCCGATATTCCATCGTGGGAAAACACGACGGCGTTTTCCGAACCGGTAGTGGTCATTTGGAGCTCCTGGACCCTGCTCACTGTGCGTCGAGGATAGGCAACGATCGCTCGCAGGTTCTTCATTCCCTGGACGCTCCGAATTGCCGTTCCTCCTGTGTCACCCGTCGTGCTCACTAGGATCGTAGCTCGCTGGCCACGCTTCTCCAGAAAGTGGTTGGAGAGTCTTGCCAGGACATGGAGGGTTAGGTCCTTGAAGACACCCGTGGGCCCGTGCCACGCTTCAGCCACGTGCACTGGGCCAACCTTTACAACGGGCAAGACATCAGGTGCATCGAAACCATCGAACACCCCCTCGAAAATGCCTTGAGAATAGATCGTACCAACTGAAATACATGGCTCACTCAGTGAAGATATGCTATGCTAACTTTGCATCTCTTGAGGGGTAAGCTCTTCGGGTGAGACGAAAAGGGAGAAGATTTCTTGCAACAGTTCCTGGTAGCCGAGCGCGGCCCACGAGCGCAGAGTCTCGCGTCCGATCCGCGGGAGGTTCTCCGGCACGTAGAGCCCTCCGTCTGGCGCATAGTTGGAGAGGAGGACCTCTGAGAAAGAGACTCCCTTCACACCGCCTCGTGTACTGCAGTACTTCATCTTGGCAGAGTGGCTGGCTATAGCTACGCCCACTTTACTACGCGCATGCGTACGACTTCCGCGCATGCGTACTGGTGTGGTAAGCGCGGCCCGGGCCGCCGCCGCATAATCGTTCTCAATTAACGCGCACCAGCTGTATCGAAGATGTCTGCTGGCGACTGGTGCTTGGTTGAGAGCGACCCTGGAGTGTTCACTGAGCTCATCAGGGAGTTTGGTGAGTGCATGAACGAGTGCATGAACGACTGGAGAGGGTTTTTTAATCTGGTCTTGCACGTGCAGGGGTTCAAGGTGCACAGGTCGAAGAGGTATGGAGCCTTGACGAGCAATCTTTTGAGAACCTGAAGTGAGTCTTTGCTCTCTCCAGACATCGTTTAGTTTCTGCACTCCTGGGATTGTTTTCTCATGTGCTTGTTTTCTCTCCCCCCCCTCCCTCCCTTCTCTCTCTTTAACCCCTCCCTTCTCTCTCTTCTCCTCATGTTCTCTTTAGGCCGGTCCACGGGCTGATATTCCTGTACAAGTGGAGGTCAGAGGAGCCAGCGCAGGGCTCAGTAGTTCAAGACAGTCGATTGGAGGACATTTTCTTTGCCAAACAGGTAACATGCACTTTTGATGTGAACAACTATGTTATACACACGTTCAGAGAGGAGGGGGAGAGAGAGGGAGAGAGGAGGGAAGAGAGAGAGAGAGAGATGTGTGTGCTTATGTAGAAGAGAGTGGGAAAGGTATATATGTACTTCTATATTTGTTGAGTAGTGATAAAAATGGCACACTTCATTATAGCACATCAGGTATACTAGGTGTGGGGCACACAGGCATGCTAGTCAAACAGATACAGCAGACAGTAAACACATATTATACATAATTATAGTGGGTGCCCTTAGCATATAGCATGCACCTTAGGTATATACACCTATACATATTTTACATAATTATAGTGGGTGCCCTTAGCATATAGCATACACCTTAGGTATATACACCTATACATATTTTACATAATTATAGTGGGTTCCCTTAGCATATAGCATGCATCTTAGGTCCATACACCTATAATGCTGCGCACATCAGGCAAGAGGGTAGCGTTACATGTACAATCTTCTGTGTGTGTTGTTTGTAGGTGATCAAGAATGCGTGTGCCACACTGGCCATTCTGAACCTCCTCCTGAACACCTCTCACCCTGACGTCACTCTCGGCTCAACTCTCTCCGAGTTCAAGGAGTTCACTCTTCCTCTGGACCCCTCAGTCAGTGCTATATATATCGCACTATTTTTATCATTCCTCTTTTTTACCGCCGAGTTTGATAAACTTGTAGCCCTCAGATGTGAAAAAGTTGGTTGGTTATAACATTAAGTTTCTCTAACCTGGTAGTAAAACAGGAACAAGATGTAGCTATGGCCAGAGAATGAAGCAGTTTAAAATAGTGACACTATTGTAGCACATGTATACACGCTTGCTTTTCCATTGCCTTGAGACTTTGTTGCTTTAACCTATAGCGGAAAACGAAACTGAATCAAGAAACTTTGCGGTACTGGACTGTTTTTAGCAATTGTGTATTGCTTCGTGAAAGCATCCAGCCTCGAAAAGTTTTCGTTTTGTTTGTGATGAGTGGTAGTTTCCTCTCTCTCTCTCTCAGAGCAGAGGGCTGGCTGTGACTAACTCTGACCACATCCGCAAGGCTCACAACAGCTTCTCCAGGTGAGGTCTTACTTATACTCTCTGGTGCTCCCTTCTCTAACGAAACGTCTGAAAAAGGACTCTCTAAATAAGGCCCACCTCTCTATAGAGGACACCTGCACCCCTATAATCCTAAATAAGGCCCACCTCTCTATAGAGGACACCTGCACCCCTATAATCCTAAATAAGGCCCACCTCTCTATAGAGGACACCTGCACCCCTCTGATCCTAAATAAGGCCCACCTCTCTATAGAGGACACCTGCACCCCTCTAAGCCACACACCAATAGGACAGAACAAGTTCTCATATTTGTGAGGTGTCCTTTTTACTTCATAGGTTAAATAATAGTATGCCAGAGCACTTTTCTTGGTGAAAAAGAATGGTGTCTTCATTTCACGTGTGTCCGTAGAGAGGGTTGAACTGATTGTCTCTCTCTCTCTTTTTTCGCTCTTCTCAAATCTCTCTGTGTTTTTCCAGGCAGCAGATGTTTGAATTTGACGAGCAGCTGGCCAAAAAGGACGACGACGTGTTCCATTTCGTGGCCTACGTGGAGGTCAAAGGTCGACTCTACGAGTTGGACGGACTGAAAGAGGGCCCGGTTGATTTGGGGAAGTGTGACGAGGGTGACTGGCTGAAAACCGTGAAACCTGTCCTCGACCAGCGAATCCAGAGGTTTGCAGTCACCGCTTCTCTTTCTTCTTACTTTTCTCTTTTCCCCTCTCTTCCTCTTGTGTACATACCTTCATCTCTGTGTGTTTTTCCTACTTCAGTTTATGTGCATCTCTAACTGCCGTATATTGACGACCATTAATTTTCATGAGGTATGTAATTGATAGCATTTTAGTGGAATGTGGCAGGTCATAAATTTAGAGTTACTAAAGATAGAGCTAAACGATAGGGCCCAGTGCAAGAATGCAATTAAAATTCCGTTTTCAGTATAATTGTCTAAATTTAGCCCATAATATAATTATACTGCCACATTCCCTTTAACCAAGACCACAAACTTGATGGGATACGAAGGTTTAGGTTTTTACTACTAAGTTTGTAGTAAAGGATGACATCATTGGTGTCCACAGAGTATAGTGCCCATATAAGGACCTCCTCTTCATTTCTCATGGAGTTCATATATTATACTAATGAGCTGCCAATGGTCTATGTATAGTGTTTCTGGAATATGTGCATTCCCAGCCAAGTCTCATTACATTCCGTCTGTATTTGAGGATAAGGGAATAATTATGCAGACAACGGGCTTAATGACCAACCTCAGGAATGTATTAATCTCGTTAGTGTGATGGAAGGGGATTTGCGGGTAGCCGTGGGGAGCGCATTCCTCGACCAATTACCGCATGCTCAGTTGACGACGTACCTCCTCCTTTAGTCTCTAGTGGATTGAGGTCAGCTCTGGGGTCACCGTGATAGTTTTACAGGCCAGCCAATGTGACTCCTAGTAATTGACCTGCCCCCCTATAATATCCTCTGTCCCTTGGGGTCCCATGTGGTTTGGACACTTGTCCATCAACACTATACACTGGGAACACTTTGCACTATGAGAAACAGTGTGATATTTTCGTGATTCGTGGGGAATCTACCACTTTTCTGCTAGGTCTTATTCCAGCACCCATTAGCTATAAATGTAACAGTGAAACCTCTGAATAAAGGACACCTCTGCAAAGGACACTTGTTCTACCCACACTAATACAGTATTATACTACCTCTGAATGTGGGACACCACCTCTGAATGTGGACCTTCGTGCTCTCAAGGTGTCCCTTATTCACTGTATACTAAAGCAGGGCAGCTTAAGGTGTTAACCAAATCTATAACTGTTGGCGTTGGACTCTTCATTCTCCGGAGCCGTCTCGTATCACTGTCTTCTACGTGATACACTGTGTGTGTATATACTGGAGGGCTGAGCTGGGATATGGAAGGAAGCTATCTAAGAAGCTGAACTGTAGGTAGACTGGCAAATACAATGAGAGAGCCGGGATATGACTGGTTGTGACTGGGCATGACTGCTTGTGACAGGACATGTCTGGGACAGTTAACATTTTCCCTATTCACAAGCACCAGTCATGCACGAGGTCTTGCATAAGTCTAGACCACTCAGTGTGTGTGTATGTAGTAACATGCTGTCCATGGTATTGTGGACATTCTCGTGTTACATTTACCCTTCTTGTCCTTCCTGACACCTTCAGAGAAACTGGAGATATTCATCAGAGTATTAATACTCATTGCCACACACGCGTGCACGCACACACACACACACACACACACACACACACACACACACACACGCACGACACACACACACTGGTTGTGGTATAATAGTTTGTGTGTCCACTGGTCATGCATGAGAGAGGTGTGTGTGTGTATTGGTGTGACTGTCAGCAGATCCCCTTGCACAGTTTAAGTCCACACGATACTGGGGGAGAGGAAAATGTTTGCAAATACCCCTCCCGTGTCCTGTGTCCTCCGATAAAGAACTGGAATTTCACTCTTGGAGTTCGTCTGCTACGAAATTCGGCCAAGTTAGCTGGCCAATATCAAACACTAGCATTTGGACACGGCGTGCGGTGGGACTATCGGTGAAATGAGCACATCCATTCACCAGTCAACATCAGACAAATTAATGTTCGTGCATTGGAGCTCACTGACTGGCTACGCAAATTGTATGTACTTACATGTAGCGTGTATAGAGGTGGCCTATGTTGCGCAATCTGTGCTCCACTCTGCCCGTGCATTGGAGCTCACTGACAGGCTACGTATGTATTTACATGTTCCATGAATCGGGTAATGGGGTGGCCTGTGTTGCGCAATCTGTGCTCCACTATTCTGCTAAATGCACGGCCACGTTGGCGAAAATCGACCTCGTTTGTCCCTCCCTGTAGCTCAGAATCCATACCTCTTGTTCTCTCTCTCTCTCTATCTCTCTCTCTCTCCTCTCTCCTCTCTCTCTCTCCTCTCTCCTCTCTCCTCTCTCTGTCACTACAGCTATACAGCAGGTGAGATACACTTCAACCTGATGGCGATAGTGACGGACAGAAAGATGCAGTTGGAGAGACAGATCACCCTGTCCGAGAGCCAGCGTGACATGGCTGCAAAGAGAGTATGCGGGGTCTTTGCTATTCTTCCATTCTTCCCCCTCCCTCCTCCCTCCTTTCTCCCCCGCTTCTCTCTCATTCACTCCCATTACTAATCATAGTATCATAGTCATCCTCCAGGGTCTCCCCCAATCACTCTGTCGCTGAGAGCTCGCCGCAACGACTTCAAGCTCGCTGTATCCGACGCTTCTTCTTCTTCGATGAAAGGCGTCTCTACGATGCGAATAGAAACTAAAATGAAGACTTTTTTGGCTTCACCCCGGCGAGAGCGGAAGACGACAATATGGGAGTGACTATAATCATCAAGCGAAGCGAGCCAATCTAGTCGCCTGAATGCGGTTTTTTTTCCATACTTAATGTGACGGGCGCTGCACATACCGTAATGTTCTACGTGATTCTAAATACACGGAAATATGCGCGAAATATTGAACTGCTCGCTCTATATTTCGCCAAAAAGAGTGGCATTCGTTCAAGTTATAATGCTTTTCCTTCTCCTCCTCTCTCCCTCCCTACCCACCCACCCAGATTCATTCCCTAATAGTTGCTCCCTCCCTCTCCCTCTCCCTCTCCCTCCTCCTCCCTCCTCCCTCCTCCCTCTCCCTCCTCCCTCTCCCTCCTCCAGATAGAAGCTCTAATAGCAGGAGAAGTGGCAATGGAGGACAGCAGTGGCCTGCCCAGTGACCCAGCCGAGCTGCAAACAGTCATCGAAGAGGCTGAGACTCAACTGGCCAGCCTCCAGGAGAAGATGGCAGAGGAGACTAGCAAACTGGAGCGATACAAAGTCAGTTGTACAGTGAAACATCCGAATAAGGGACGATCTCGGGGACTTTAAAAGTGTCATTTCTTTAGACGCATCCCTATAACAAATTATGTATGAATGTATTAGTAGGGGGCAGAAGTATGTGTCTTTTGCTTTTAGAGGGAGAGAGTTTACAGAGTTAAATGAAACATTGCATACAAAAGTTTATACACTAACACTATATACACCCGGAGGAAAAGGTGACTCTTATTCCTCCATTTGCTCCACCAAAACGTTTTTCTATGGCCGCATAACCTCTGACTAGTGGTATAATGTGTTGCAAGCTCTGTCTCTGTCACTCCTGCTTACCAACAAAAATAGCACTGCATTCACCTTGTGTGACTATCTAATACGATTCTCTTCACCAAAAACTGTCCTTCGGTCAAAGTCGCCTGCCAAAAGTCTCGCCTATTCTATGGATGCAGTGTATACAGCTCACAATGCTAATAGCCTTTTATCCAGTTACGCTCTAGTAACTCTTGTAGTACTAATATTCGAGCACACTGCGTCTATGGACGTTCCCAATGTATGAAGTTAGTGCTGGACACATGCAGTCAATGCCACGTAGCTATATGTGTACATGTACATACATGTACATGTCTCAACAACTTGGTAACGAGGTAGAAAGGCAAGGCAAGGCAAACAAGTCAACTACACCCAGGACAGCTCTTTTTTTTCAAGAAGAGCTGCCCTGGGTGAGATTCAAACCCACGACACTCTGCAGTCTAGGCAGTTCGAATCTACAACACAACACAACACAAGGACGAACCTCAAACCACTGTGCTATGGCACAGTACACTCTCACTCAGTATGTACATCATACATACATACATACATACATACAGCATTAATACTAGCCAGGTCTGCCTGTATGAGTCCAGTGGACTGTTCAGTAAATGTACGCGAGGATGTTCTTGGGCTGAATGAGAGAGAGAGAGAGAGAGAGAGAGAATGGCGTCCATTGTTGTGGGCCCTGGGGTCGTGTGTCTTGCTACAAATTGAGAGAGAAGTGGGGGTGGGTTGTTTCAGAGCAAATCGTTTCTTTGCCCTCGCCACTTGTTCCGGGTGGGAGAGAGAAAGGGGGGAGCAGATTGGAGTGGAGTGCGTGGGTGTACATGTCTGGGGTTGAGTATACAACAGTCATCTATGCCATTGACTTTCGCTTGCATGTATACAAAACTCCCTATCGTAGCCCCATACATCTGTGATGCTAGGTATCCCTATATATGTACCATCATACTTAGTGATACGGGGAGCCCCTCTCTCTAAGGACACTCCCGAAATGAGGACACCTCTCCAATAAGGACACCTTTTCTCTCCACAATACAGTTTTGCACGTAATTTACCCCCTGAAAAAAGAGGCCTCACTGGTATGGACACTTTCTTCTAGAGCTGTCCTCCTTCAGAGCAAGATCGATCTCGTATATCACTATTAATATGTGTATTAATTATATATACACACAGTCCCCCTTGTTCTGTGTGGTTGAAGGTATGATGGTTGAATGATGAGCATCAATGCATGGTAACTGTGACAGCTGTGTCGGCTTTTGATCTCGTCTTGTTTGAGGCAACGACATCATTCCAACAATTATCTCCGTGCCTTATGAGCCCACTGGTGTCTATGTCTCACCATAGATACTATAGTATTCACCAGTCAATTGAATATCTCCTATTTTATTCACTCCCTTCGCTGGTCACTACCCTTGTAGCCCCTACATAGTACACCGCACTTTCGTTATCAAATTAAAACAGATGTGATAAATCGAGTTTTGGGAGCAGTTGTATGCAGACACGGCAATTTACCGCGGCTGATTTAGCTTCCTGTAAACTGTCCATATACCACTCATCCGTGCCTTACCTCGCCTTGTGCGGTAGCTACAATAGGCATGCCTGTGTAACCTAGCGTGCATTCAAGGCCCCATAATCATGCACGTGTTTACTACTCACGGCACAAATGATGTAAGCTTCAATTTTGCCTGGAAACACAAAAGTGCAGCTGAGCTCACGATATTAAAGCGTGATAGAGAGTCTACCACTTCTATACATAAGAGTACATACATGTTCAGTTTTTCCTGGATACATACTGTAAGTGCCGCCGAGCTCACGATAAGCGTTATACAGTCTTCACCACGCCTATATAAGAGTATGTACATACATTATGATGTATGCTACAGTCGTGTGTGTATATACTACTGAGTATAACGTCCAGCCACACTGGGTGGGTTCTTAATACCTCCGTCACCAACCGTTTTAGTATATATAGAGCGTCGCCAACCACGCTAACGTGCTCTGTACCACGTAAAATAGTAAACTTTCATGGTTCAATAGGACACTGTGATTCTTTAGCGGAAATCGTCCCTGTGCACAGAGTTTAACAGAAGGAAACTTTCTTTAAAACATCGAATTTTAAGAGGTTTTTTCCCCTATTTTCGCTATGCAGCATGGTATATGTACCTGCCCACGGATTTTTTTACTTTGGGCCTTCAAATTTACAAGTTTATCCATTGAAAGGTGTCAGGTATGCCTGATTCAGGTGGAGTGAGCTTTCTGCACTGAATGGTACCCAGTGTGCCGTTCTAGTTCTCAGGGCTGAATGAACTGAGAGCCTGTTTTACCAACAGCTCCTTCGCATTCCCAACCACCTCCCATTGACTGGGTACATAACACTCTGTGTGAAAGAGAACGCCACCTTCAGCTGCTAAAACACCCATTTCCTTCCTATTATACCGGCACTTCCACCCTTACTCAGCTTTATAATTACATACGCCACTAGATAGCGTATGTGAAAAACTGTATACGTGCATTATTTTCACCTAAATCTTTACATGTAAGTCTAAATTATGCACACACAGATAAACCTATGCCAGATACATCACTATCGTAATACCTACTGCTGTTATTTCTGTACTGTTCCTCAGTTGGAGAACATTCGCCGAAAGCACAACTACCTTCCTCTCATAATGGAGCTGCTGAAGATACTGGCACGCAGGGGTCAGCTGGTCCCTCTCGTAGAGCAGGTGAGACACACACAGACTTATAGTCACAGGGACTTATCATAGGTCACCTTTGAGTGCATTAAAATTGTGTAGCAGGTTTCTCATTCGGGGCACACTGGTTTACCACATGAACATTACGTCATCGTTCATCGAAAATTCAAGAGCTAAAATTAGAACCGAAAACGATTATACAATGATGACTTTAGTGGGAGAACGCAGAGTGGTAGGAAATTCTGTACAGAATACTTTCACGTAATTGTTGTCCAACTGTACCAATATATCTCCAAACCCACAACTTTTCGTTGAGAAACATTGCTCGTGAACCTCCCATTTTCAGAATTTTCTCGGAGCCTAGGTTGATAGGTGTTGATTGTGTTTGCAGGCAAAGAGAAAGAAACAGCAGCAAAGAGAGCAGAAAGAGAAGAAAAACACCGCATCAGCAGAGACTGCAAAGTAGTGTATCTCTCGGTCTCATGCGCGCTAATTCATTATGTGCCCCGTAAGCGCTAACGACGCGACGCGCATGTCTCCGCGAGCGACCGATCCGCGCGTGGGTGTTGCTATATAGCCGTCGATTTGCATTTATACCCAGTTCTCGGGGCTTCGTTTATGCTTGCAAGAGCTACAACTGTCATCACAACAAGCCAGAGAACAGCTACATACATCGTCGCAACAGTGTGTAGAGGAACATGACCGGATCCGTATCAGGCGAAACACAGTTGGACAACGTGAAGACGACCGGAAAATGCGACAAGCCGACGCCTGAAAAGTCGGCGCAGCAACCACCTGCCGGTCCTGCTCCCGACAGCTCCCCTGGGGACGAGACTAGCTCCAAGAAGACGACTCTTCTTCCCCCGTTAGTCGTGGTCGTAGAGCCGTCTGATAAATCTGCGGTGTCGATAACCGATCGGGAGAGTCTGACTCTTCCGCGGTCCGGCGGTGCCTGCAAGAAGAAGCAACTCCATCACTCTAGCAAGTCTGCGTCCTCCCTACCGGCCAGGTCGAGAATGGACGAGGTTGCGCTGTTGGGCAAGGGGTCCCTGGCCCGACGCGGACGGGCGCAGTCCTACCTCTCTCTCCACGGGCGGCGGAATGGATCCCGTCTTCGGGGTCCTGGCGGGCGACGAGCGCGGCTTCGACGACAGCCTCGGGGCTAGATCGGAGCTAAGTGCACCCGGATCGGCTCGCAGTAGACGCAGACGCGACGTTAGAGCCTTCGGTACGCTGGAGCGAGCCACCAGCTACACCAGCCTGGCCGCCACGCCGCCGAGACCGACGTTTCGCTCGGCCAACTCGACCCGGCCTTCCCCGGCGCCTCCCTGCACTACGACTCAGATGGACTTTTGCCGTCACCCAGTCCATCCAGCCACCACGGTTTTCTCGTCCGCGGGCTCTCGCCTTGCTCGCGCCGGTACCCCGCGCCGCAACAACCCACACCCCGTCGGCCTCCACTTTCAGAGCCCATACAACAGAGATGGAAAGGTAAGCAACGATAAAGTGCTTGCATTTTCTAGCTACCTGTGTATTGTTTCAATGATGGGTATGTAGGTAAGCAACGATTGTTTATTACCCGTATTTCCGTCTCGGTAGATGTTGTATATAGCATAAAATTACTGCTATCTTTGTAATGCAGACATTTGAGGTCTGGAATCCAGACGAAAACATCGTTGCTAACGGGTTGCCGCAGATGTGCGAACATAGAGGTAAGTAAGAGGTTATACTCTGAACCCCAACAATGTCTAATAATAATATGCATGACAAGCCAGCACCCCAGCAACTATACTTGTTTGCATTAAACACTGCACTTATAGAGTTTACTGTAAGTAGCAACGAAGTTTATATCGTGTCTTGAAGTATAGCTGAAGCGTCTATACTGTTTGGTCTATGGAGTTCTATGCTTTAGTGTGTTGCAAGGAAGTTGGTTCTGAGCCTGTTTATCTTGCATTTTCCGGTGTGGTGTGTTTTAACAAAGCAACTAACTCCGATGCGTTTGAGCGTAGACAAAGAGGTAACGGTTTGTGTGTGTGCCTCTTGCCTCTTCAGTCAGAACCCACTATACAGTGGTCACAAGCAATGAGCCATACTGACTGTGGTCAGGTCTTCCAACCCTCTTTCTAACCATGCATTAAAAAAATTAAAAACCTCTCTAGCTTTTTTAAAGATCTTACATGCAATGAGCACTATTGCTCCACTTTAGTTCAATTCACCTGGCGTGGAATTGCTGTACGGATGACCTCGAAGCTAGCTGTCCACACACACACACTTGCACACCAGGGCACATTTACTCATTAGCCTTATACTGGATTGTGATAGTCATGTGACACACATTAGGCACTCAAAACAACTCACTCATCAACTTTACACTGGGTTACAAATGACAAGCGAAGTGACCCTACCTAGTCTGGAGGTGTCCTTTTTTGGGAGGGTCCTTTTTCAGATGTTTCTCTGTATTGACTTTGTCTCTATTGCTGTGCAGAGAATGTCAATTTCACCAGTGGCAAGATGACCAACCCACCAACCAATCACGGTGGTGGCGGTGGTGGTACATCCCCCGGCAGAGCCCCCGGAGGCCCGGGGAGATCGGTCTACCAACAGTCCTACCGCTCGCCCCAGGGGCTGACCGACTACGATCGCCGCATGCCTACCACACGATTTGGCAGCACTCTAAACAGAGCTGCAGCCGCTGGAGTTGGTACGTTTGTTGACTGCATTTTTGCCGGGATTAATTCAGGAGGGGGGACTGTATTTTTTTTACACTTATGCTGGGGATTTCAGGGGCAAATTTTTAGGAGTAGGTACGTTTGCTTGCTGAACTTATGCCGGGATTTAATTCAGGATGGAGGACTGCGTTTTTTTACACTTAGATGCTTGGATTCTGGGGATTAGTTGTTTTGCATATGTATGCAGTGTTACGTATAATATAATATAGGTCTTCGAAAGGGACAGTTTGAAAAACAAACTCTGCATTTGTCCACTATAGCTTACTGTGTGTGTGTGTTGGCGGTGGTGTTGAGATGGACAACGCTACGCGGGCCGTAAACACGTTTAGTGGGCGGCGTAGGTGCTACATCGCTGGCTATGTACACTTGCTGCAGATGTCGTTACGCTTTGTGTTACCGCCTCACGTTGCTCTGCTCTTGTTTACGCGTGTTTTCGAGCGAGTGTCCTCTAACCGAGTTTTTCTGTTATCGTAGGCGTGGTATTGTTACTCAATTAGCTGTGGCGGGCTCTTAAAACCGTGCACCACTCCCCCGCCTGTGTCTAGCTACACTGTACACCTCTAGATTAACTCCTACATTGCACGTCACTGTACTAAAAGACTCTGTTGGTATACACTATAAGACGGGTTTAAACCTCCCCCTCACTAATACGTAGCTACTGTCAATAGGTGAGGGAGGGTATATACACTATAGGTGCTGGTTTGCCCTATTGCCCACATAAGCCAGCCGTGCTGACTCCCACACAGCCACACATTCACTGTCCTCCCCCGTGGTCACCCCTATGTCATGGCTAGGCAAACCTATATTTGAAGGGGCCAGAGTCAGAGTGGGCCAACCCAACTCTTGCCGGTTTTCCTTCAAATAATTATGTTCTAAATGTCCTTATAAAACAAAAGCCGGCAAGAGTTGTATATTGAGGGTTGGCCCACTCTGGCTCTGACCCCTTCATTTATGTGTATAGCTGTGCTGTTTGGCTTCCTACTATTTAGTTGTCATGTCGGAATCCTGCTGCCATTCAGCCCTTCTCTGAATCTCTGTGTGCTTTTGTGTTGGTAGACATGTGAGCATGTTGGTGAACATGTTTTGCTCGGCGATCAAATATCTTTTTAACTCCTTTCCCACTGTATTAATTACGAATATTAACCCATTTCCTACTGTATTAATTACATAATATTAACAACCCCTTTCCTACTGTATTAATTACAAATATTAACAACCCCTTTCCTACTGTATTAATTACGAATATTAACCCCTTTCCTTCTGTGGTCAAATATTGTTATTAACCCTTTCCATTGTCATTCAAATGTTGGTATTAATAACCCCTTCTTGCCTTCTGTTTTATTCCATACAACAGTGCCCAACGTGATGAGCCCTCGCTGGGGTGAGAGGAGGGTTAAACTCCACATACCCCGAGGCCAGAAACTGGAGTCACTAGTCTGAGATTTCGTGTCCGTCTTCGGCTTTCACATCAAACTTGATCACTCAATATAATATCTATTGCTTTTGAGCACATTAAAATTTTTATCACTCAGAGAACGACTGTATATAGCAGTGGGCAAAGTGTGAAGTGTCTAAATCTGTGTTACTGTAATTCTTGTTCAATGTTTTTCAAAATGAAAGTCGTATAAAAGTTTCAACTCAAAAATTTGGGGAATGGGATTAAATTATATTTTATAAGCCGGTATGATTATATAAAAGTTTCCTCACTCAAAAATTTGGAGAATGGGATTAAATTATATTTTATAAGCCGGTTAGATTATGAGCTAGTCTGGGGGGTTTGTAGATACAAGGTAGTCACGGAGATAGGAAATTGCCAGGGGCTGCCTCTTGGAGACGTAATTAACGAGCGTGGCAGGAATACCTCCGAGGTCGACCTGAACGGGAGCGAGAGATGGATGATGTAATGATTACGACGTGACACGGGATCAGGACGGGCTGAGAGTGTCCTGACCTGTAAGAGGTAGGTCACCAATGTACACGTCCTGTTGTCCAGCTGTTTGTAAGGTTCCACGACCCATCCACTGAAGGCTAGCTGTGAGGAAGAATAATCGCCGGGTGTAAAACTAACAGATTATCTCCCAAATGCTATATAGTATAATTGAAGGGGTCAGAGTCAGAGTGGGCCAACCCTCAATATACAACTCTTGCCGGTTTTCCTTCAAATACGTTCTAAATGTCCTTATAGAACAAACCGGCAAGAGTTGTACGTATATTGAGGGTTGGCTCACTCTGGCTCTGACCCCTTCAATTATACAGTGAAGCATGTAGGTAAATCGTACTGTAGGAGTGGTTAGTTTGCTTATGCGTAAAATTCCAGAGTACGTCAATTTTGAAATTTGAAATGGTACATGCAGTACATGGGTTCTTGTAAGGCTACATGTGTTGTGTAATAGCTAACTGAACATACACAGGAACACACACAATGTACATGGAGATGTACATGTGTACATGTCTGCTTGTACACGTTTGCATGGAAACTGAACAGAAACTACATATCAACAGTACAGTCGTCTCCAGAACAACTCTTTCACTTTAGGAAAGGCCTCTACAGTTTATTGTATAGACCGAAACTTCTGAGGGGAAAAACCGCCTCGATTTGGTAGCAAACTAGAAAACGTCGAACGCTCCGATTATTTGCTGCACTATAGACATTACACATGCGTACAAAATTTGCGGAGAAAATGTTTGTAGCTCAAAAATTCCAAAGGGTTTTCTCTATTTTGCAGTCATACACTTACATTTACTATGATGTCATACCTTAGCCCTAGTGATGTTGGGGTTAACCGGGCACTCTGGAATGTCGACTGACAGCCCCACCAGAAGTAGCTTGTTTCCCTAGGATCACAGGACACCACATGACAGTCACATGACCAGTGATGATGTAATCATACCTCCTGTCTCTCGTTGGCCAGTACGCAGAAGTCCCTCGACTGTTTTATGAAGCACTGCGTAGTTTCATGGTGGATGTGTACTGAACAACGAGAGAAATACATTTTTTCTACACAATCACCAGATTTTCATGAATGCTCCAACATTTTTAGTGGCAATGTACCACGCGCTATGAAGGCCAAATTTCAGTAATTTTTTCTTTTTCACATGGTTAACGGCTGAGAATAGCGCATAGCAAAATTTGGCGGACACTGGGTGGAATCATCAAAAATTTGCCACTGAATGACAACCAAATCATGTGCTCTGCTGATGAGGGCCAACAAGCCCGAAACAGCTGTCCAGAGCTCCACATCTTTTTTCTCTTGGCAATGGCGCCATAATTATTACAACACATGGACCGTGGTTTTTGGCAAAATATCCATGTTTCCCCGCATGTCGTGAAGAGATCTGACTCACATATATAGAGACCGTCCTCAATGTGCTTGACAAAATGCAGCTCCTGTATATACATGGACAAGGAGGGCAAAAATAAATTATATATATATAATATATACTAACAAGAAGAAAGAGGGAAATAAAAGAGAGGAGGTAGAAGGAAGAGAGATAGGTGTATTCGTATAACCTACCTTTTGGCAGACACGAGGAGAGAGACAATTATTTCCTCACCTTCAGCATATTGTCGTAGGTGAACCTCAGCTGTGGGTTTCGAATGGAGTCATAGACTTTTCTCGGAGGCAGTTCAATCACACCTCGTCCCATGAAACTGGACACACACACACACACACGGATACACACACACACGCACACGGATACACACACACACACACGGACACAAACTCTGTGGCTAACAATGGCATGGCTAACAACACACACACACACGCACACGGATACACACACACACACACGGACACAAACTCTGTGGCTAACAATGGCATGGCTAACAACACACACACACACGCACACGGATACACACACACACACACGGACACAAACTCTGTGGCTAACAATGGCATGGCTAACAACACACACACACACACCTAAAAAACGGTGTTCCTGGCGCTTTCTTTTTCAGAATAACAACGTCCCTTTCAACTGAGATCACTCTGCACATGAGGGAGGGGGAGAGGGAGGGAAAGGGGGAGAGGGAGAAGGAGAGAGAGAAGGAGAGGGAGGGAAAAAGAGAGAGAAGAAGGCAAGGATGAGAGAAACACCACGAAATAGTGACGTATTAAGTACCAAAAAGTTTGCCGAACACAAAAATTCTGCAGATCACTCAAAAACCTCAATTATATATGTCCTAAATATAAATGATACAGTATAATGTACAGTATGTCCTCACTTCCATCCCGAGCTACCATCGTCAAAGAGTAACGGATTCGATATGTCCAAACTGCCCACACGAAACAACTAAAACAACACGTCAGCAGTAAATAACAGAGTCAAACTGAAAGTGAATAAAACAGAGACACTGATACGAGACACACCTCCTCCAGGACCCTAGCCGCCGTCTGGTTGCCAAGGGTACGGAAATCAACCCCACCGCTCTCCTGCCCTAATGTGTGTGAAATAAACGACCAAAATTAACGGAAAATTCGTCAAGCTTACGAACACTTTTCAGCTATTTCCAAAATACTACATTCATAAGTTCATTTGGGGCTTTGAAATTGTTAAAAACAACGAACGAGAAACTTTCGAGACTTGCAGTAAAAATAGATTTTGCCGAGAGTCCATTCACTTGTTCTGTAGTACAAATTTTCCCACACACAAACTGCCAAATTTTTACATTCCTAAGCGTGACTAGCTTCCGCCGTGCGTGCAGATTCGTAGGAAGTCTGGCTTCGCACGCAATCAGTAGAGCGCGCGCACGAGCGGCCTCAGTCGGACTGTTTACGCATTGGCTGGCAGGCGCGAGGCAAAATATGCGCGTGCGTATTCCTAGTAATAATTATATACAGTATTATAGAGAGTTGACTCACGGGGGAAGGAGATGCTGTCTTCAGTCAGTGACTCAGTGTCTCCTGTTACGACCTGTAGATGAACCACAGTGGAACAGAGGTGAAACGGTGGGACATGCGGCTCCGTGTGGATGTGTGGCAATACAAGAGCTGTCGAGTTTGCCATAACATCTATAGAAATCTTACCACTAGCTAGCCCTGGCCCTGTATGTTGTACTGTACCATTGAACAGCTACAAAACAGTGATGTAATAGTGATGTAAGGCCTCCTTTTTCTTGTTTTTGGCAAAACTGGACATCATGATGTAATAGTGATGTAAGGCCTCCTTTTTCTTGTTTTTGGCAAAACTGGACATCATGATGTAATAGTGATATAAGGCCTCCTTTTTTTGGCAAAACTGGACATCATGATGTAAGGCCTCCTTTTTTGGCAAAACTGGACATCATGATGTAATAGTGATGTAAGGCCTCCTTTTTTGGCAAAACTGGACATCATGATGTAATAGTGATGTAAGGCCTCCTTTTTTGGCAAAACTGGACATCATGATGTAATAGTGATGTAAGGCCTCGTTTTTCAAATGAGAGAGGCGATACAGATGAAGAAGAACTCACTGCTGGCGGTGAGGTGAGAACCAGAGGGTACGGCTGAAGCTTCTTCTCAAATCTGATCCGTTCTACCTTCCCTCCCTCCTCCTCTTTCTCCTCCTCCTCTTTCTCCTGCCAATGCTCTCTCACAAACCGATCTCCTGCATGGAAAAGCCAGCATACACAGTCGCGGTGCATGCAACAGACAACACTTCTATATTCAAGCACTCTGGAAACACCAGACATTCTTTACTAGTGATACTAGAACGAACGAAAGGCATTATTGTTTGGCGAGCAAACACGAGTACAGTGGAGTCTCATTATAATGAATTGTTGGGGACCTAAAGAACTTGTTCACAGTAAGGGGAATTTGTCGTAAGTGTGGTGAAAATGAACAGTGTTCTGCAGTGGAACCTCCGAACAAGGGACACTATGGGGCCAACAATTTGTCCCTTGTAGAGAGGTTGTGGTCAAATAATACACTAAAGTATTAGCAAGGGGTTGAAACAAGTGTCCTTTGTAGAGAGGTCGTCCCTATCTCGGAGGGTCCCTTATCGGAGGTTCCACTGTATATGGCTAGGCTCCGAGGGTTGTGCGTAGTATCCAGAATTTCGTACCAAGGTTGTTCTGAGACTCCACTGTAGTTCAATTTATCACAGGCAAAAATATACAAGCATTACTATATGTGCAGTGGAAATCACTCATCACATTAGTAAAATCACACATTCAGACAACTATGTAGGCTCGCTTTGCTTGCGAATTACTGCTTACCGCCCACTGTCTCCCTCTCCTCTTCCCCACTGCTGATCTCGTCCGGTGTGTACGCCCGAAATCCCTCCATCACCAACACCCCGTTCCGTCTCTCTCCCGTCTCCGTGGTAACAGGGGGCGGAGCCGAGACGACAGCCCAGGATTGGGTCCGGTCGTCCGTCGTCTCTCTCTCGTTGACCGACGGAGACGGGGATTCCCCTGTCGTCCCGCTCTTATTCGACACCGGAGAATGGTTCTGGACAATTCCTGACTCCCCCCCACTTTCCCTCCTTCCTCCTCCGTTTGCCACTGAGGTCAGAGGTCGCTGTGAGGTAGGCGGAGTCGGCGAAGGTCTGATCGAAGCGAGCAAGACGCTGATCCTCAAGTTCTCTCGTTTGATGTGGTTCGTTTCTCGAAGCTGCGTACGTCTCTTCCGCCACAGCACGCAGTGCCGCCACACACATCGGCTGGGATTCCGTCACTTTATTAACGGCAAACGTGGGGATATTCCCCTTAAATTCGGCCTGCGATACGTACGTGACTTCGGACATTTCCGGCTGATCGGACAGTGCTCGTATGACGTAACCCCCGCACACCACGTTCCCCCGAACGTAGCCTCTCTCCTCGGGAATCCTCTCGTCAACAACCGACATTGCAGCCTCTACGAGCGTTGACACGTCGTAGCGACCTGCAGTTGTGATCACGGTAAAGTCCCGGGCACTTGTGGGCCACATTGCCTTGTACAGGAGATGAACTAGTCGAGTCGTGTCCGAAATCTCGTCAATGACTCTCGCTTCTTTCAACATGTCGTCGAATTTCCCGACGTTTCCCCGCGTTTTGAGGACTCGGTAGACGAAATCCGGCGGAGCTCTCACGATTGCCGTTCCTTTCACGCAATTGACAGACGACGCCTCGCCCTTCTGTGGCGATTTTTTCATGATGAACACGTCTTTGTTTGTTCCGATGGGCGTCCAGCCGTCTTCGTCTGTGGCTAGTGCTGCTGCGACTAGCCGGTCACATGACTCGCGACCCTGCTGCTCATAGCGCGTCCCAACGGGGGAGCCCGCGGAGGGCAGGGAGGGAGTGAGGGGGGAGATGGGTGGAGGGGAAGTCGCGAGGGGTGAACTGGAGGAGGGCGGGGCGTGCGTTGAGGAGATGGACGACGTGCTTGTTTGAGGGCGGAGTTCGTGTTGTGGATCACGAGCCGTCGAGTGTGGAGGTAGCGGAGTTGGGAGAGAGGAGGGGAGGGGGTCATTCGGGGACGAGAATCAGGGGGTCCTTAATGAGGGGGTCCTCCCCGCCGGAGGTGGGTCGTTGAGAGGGAACCGCGGGTGGGGAATCCCTCCCCAGACTCCGCCCACTGTGTGTGGGGTGTGGTCTTGGTAGAGTCGACAACCCCGCCCCTTCTCCGCCTCGAGAAGTCACATGACCTGTGAGAATCATTACATCATTACATGTGACAGTTATTACATCGCCACTATAGTTATGGAAAAGTCAAACGTGATCAGAATCTGAGTCCTCTCATGCATAATAGATAACTTATATGAATCAGTCATGTGATAGTCACATGATCAAGCTGGGCACCTGATCCCGAAGTGTGGGTGTTGGAGGAGGAGGAGGTATGGGGGTAGACCCTGGCACGACGGAGACACGAGAAATCCCTCAATGCCGCCAGCTGAGAGGTCAATAGGTCAGAGGTCAAAGGTTGAACATCGGGAGATTTCGGGAGCATCACGAGAGTGGCTACTGACTGACCTGCCGTGGATTAAAAGGGGAGAGAGGAGAGAGGGATACAGTGGAGCCTCTCTCTAAGGACACCGCCTCTCTAATACGGGAACCTCTTCTCTTCTTTCCCCAAGAGCAGCTCTTGCATGCATGGTTGTATACTGTGACATAGTACAGTGGTTTGATATTTGTTGTGTTGTGTTGTGTAATTCGAACTCCTACCAGCTGAGTTGCCCTGGTAGTAGAGCACTCCCTAATCTGCAGTGTGGTGGGTTGAATCCCACCCAGGGCAACACTTCTTCTTTTCTTTGAAAAGAAAGAGCTGTCCTGGGTGTAGTTTGACTTGTTTGCCTTGCCTTGCCTTTCTACCTCGCCACCAAGTTGTTGAGACATGCAATTTTAAACCACTGACAAGGACACCTCACTAAACCCATTGGTGTCTGGTTAGAGAGGTTACAGGAGCTCTGGAAGTAAAACTCACCCTTTTCCTTGACCGCGGCACTGAACATCAGCATGCTCCAGTGATACGGCAACTGCGACGGCTGCCTAGCAACCCAACAAACTTGACCACACCCCTCTCCATCAAAGCTCCATTCCCTGCATATTACACACAACACACGACGTGAAGTGTGCATGTCACCAGCGTCTGAGTTGAATCTGAATTAGACGACACTCTATTCAGAGGCACCCAACACATTAATGCAAGGGGCACACCCCAAGTGTCATTCATAGAGAGGTACAACACATTAATGCAAGGGGCACACCCCAAGTGTCATTCATAGAGAGGTACAACGTACATACACATCCTTATTCGTAGGGTTGTCTTTAGGAGGTACGTAAATATGTTTCACTGCACCTCTCAATTGTCTCGGTGTTGAACTGGGTTCGAATGGTGAAGATCCCGTCAAGAAACGCGGCGTATTTCTGAGTGAAATTGGTTCCCCATTGTCTCAGCTGACCCAGCCACCTTTGAACCTCGTCTCCCCGGGTCTCGGAGCTCTGCCGTCGACGGAACGACAGCTGGATGATGTCGCCGTCTGAGAGAGGGTTGCCATGGGAACCCCGGATGTACTGCGGAGCCATGCTCACCCCTTCCAGCCAGCAGGGGATGTCCCTCCCGTTAGTGACAATTGAGAGCAACTTCTGAAAGTGAAAATGAAACCAAAGGGAATGACTGAGTTGTGTGACTGTTTACATAAGCAACTGCTTTGCCTTCCATGCCTTCATTTTCCAATGAAGGCACAGAAGGTAAAATATTGTGATTCAGTACCGAAAAGAGATTTTGAAATTTTGTGGACTGTTTGTCCCGCTGCTAATAAACAACATTTCCCTGCCCATAAGATTTCGAGAACAAAACTTTTTATCTCAATTTTTCCTCAAATGAAGTAGTTTTGTTAAAACCCATTTGGTGTATACACAATGCCTACGATTAAACTAAACAAGAGCATTAACACTTAACCCACATAAATGTGTATCCAGAGCGTCCATAAGTCCATAAGATTTTACTATATGGGGGTTATAATACTAGGCGCTAATAATTTATACATCAATTTCTGCTTATTTAAGCAGATACCCATGGCGTCAAAGGGTTAAGAAAAAACAAAAGTGTGTTAGATAAGGCTTTAAAGACCATTGAACAAACCTCACTTTCCAAAAAGAACTTTATGTATATCATCCTTGTGAGTACGACAATGATATGGAGATTTTAGGATGTTGCTTCAATGCTCGTGTTTACGTATATTTAACTGAGAAAGGGATACCTTGGGAGAGACTGTGATGATGGCGGTAGCAGCGAAACAGGGTGTGTCCGATACTCCTAGGGACGGGAAGAAACGGGCGAAAATTCTGAGTCCGTGACTGACTGAATGGAGAGTCCAGCCGTTGTGAGGATGAACTGGTAGTACCTGGGAGGAGAGGGGGTGGGTGGGAGGGGAGATGAGGGAGGAGAGAGAGAGAGAAGAAAGATGGAAAGAGTGTGTGTGTGTGTGTGTAGATAGTTGAAGGAAGGATAGGAGAAATAGAGTAGCGACAGCAGTTTTACTAACGGAGTTCTTTGCTCATCACTAACACAACAGAGAGAGTATTGGCACAGTAAATCTACAGACACCATAGTAGTATTTGTGACGCAATACACCACTACATAATGTTGTAACATTACCAAATCTGCAATATAATGATCACTAATCAATCACATGTGCAGCTGAGTTGCCCTGGTAGCTCAGTTGGTAGAGCGCTTGCCTAGACTGCAGAGTGTCGTGGGTTTGAAATCCCACCCAGGGCAGCTCTTCTTCTTTTCAAAGAAAGAGCTCTCAATAGTTGACTTGTTTGCCTTGCCTTGCCTTTCTACCTCATTACCAAGTTGTTGAGACACGCTACACTCAAAATGATGCTATATACCTGTTTTATCTCTTGTCCTAGTGTGGTTGACTTGGTTACCACCTTAGCAACCTTGCTTCGAGTGGCCTGTGTGGCAGTCATAAGGGAAATAATTGTCATGTAAACCGGTCACTTCAGTTTGTTAAGCACACGTTTGTCTCAATATCCTTCTCAAAAACAAGTCCTTTTTGTGTATTTGGGGGAATATATGGTCTATCCAGCCCTTACTGCTGTAGCTATAGCTTCAACGATGAACAACTCTTGGTACGTAATACTCGGTCTGTAAGACACCCACGCATTCATTGCACCCTTCCCCCAGACGCTGGGAGCCGGAGATTTATTTTCCAGGCATGCGACTGTCTATTTCTAGGTCTGTTGGATTCTTATACTCACCGCTGACATTCGTGCAGAAGAAGATGAGCCTGCAAAACGATGGCGGTAGAGGAGATAGGCAGACGAGACTACGGCTACAGACACTGCCAGCGTCCATGAGTGGGAGCAGACGTACAGAGACGTGTACCACAGCCACCACAGCGGGGCCAGCAAGCTCCCCAGCCCCATGATAACCAGCTTCTTGCACCCCGTGAAAAGAACCTGCCGGCGCACGCGTGCGAAAGAACCGCATGCGCGAACCACTGATTACGCGTGGGCGGCTACACGGGAAGCGCGTACGTGTCGTCACACCGAAAAAAAAGCTTGGCGTGTTGCAAGCGAGGACAGATGGCGGGTAAAAAGCCTGCAAAGTCGCCCAAGTTGGACGATGCAGTCGGGGAAGGAGAGGAAGGGGCGCCCGCTGAGACCGAGGTCAGCGAGAAACACCAGCAGATCCTCGAGCGGATCGTCAGCATCCAGGGAGATATCGACGCCCTGAACGAGCGCGCCTCCGAGGAGATACTCCACGTGGAGCAGAAGTACAACGGACTGCGGCAGCCCCACTTCGAGAGGCGCTCCGAGCTCATCAAGGAGCTGCCCGACTTTTGGTCCACGGCCGTATCCACCACCAGTGGAAGAGTGTGGCAGGGGCAAGAGGGAGAGAGAGAATACTTAGCTCTGTCGAATAGGGAGAGGCCCTTCTTGGTGCTGGCTAGCTAGCTTTGTGCGGCGGGGAGCCGTGATTCATGAACGCATGCGTGTCTATTTGGCGTGGGTGTGTGTGTGTGTGTGCGCATAATAATAGTGTTGGTGATACAGTATGTGTTTATGTTTGGGAGTGCCCCTGGCAATTTTTGGCGGGTCTGAAGGGGTTTTCCCTTGACACTGTGTACCCTGGCAGCTGCTGAACCATCCTCAGTTCTCAGAGTTATTTGGGGAGGAGGACGAGACGGTGCTGCAGTACCTGGAGAATATCAGAGTAGACGAATTTGAAGACGTAAAGTCTGGATACAAAGTCAGCATGGTAAGTGCCACATTTTACCACTGTCCATTGGACGCTCCTGAGAGCTGTTTTTACCATTTTTTTGCTTATCCAAATTAAAGTGCAAACCCTCGGTGAACTGCGAATGCGCGGCACCGCTAATTGGTGGGCTGGGGCTATTAGTAGTATGTGTTTACTCGTGGTCTCCGCGTGCCGAGGGTTAAAAATTAGGGTAGGGTTAATTAAGTCACTGTTTGCAAGTCACACTCACCATTTAAAAAGGTGTGAAATAAATTGTGTATACACTATGATTATAGATATACCCCCAGGAGATAATTGTATAATGGGGTGACGAATCTTTGATGATCAAGTGCCTCTCTCTCTCTCCCCCTCTCTCCTATAGTTCTTTAGGCCTAATCCATACTTTGAGAACGAGGTGCTGTCGAAGGAGTACGCTCTAGACACCAACGGAGAGAGCATGATCAAAGGCACAGAGATCAAATGGAAACCAGGAAAAGTGAGCCGACTTATGGCCTTTCATCTTACCACCAAATCTGTGTCTCTTTCTTCTCTTTTCTTTTTCTTTTCCTCTCGTTTCTTCATTCTCTGCCTACCTGCCCCCTCTCCCTCCCTCCCTCCCTTCTCCCTTCTTCCCCTTTCTCCTCCCCTCTTCCCTCCCTCCCTCCCTCCCTTTCTCCTCCCCTCTTCCCTCCCTCCCTCCCTCCCTTTCTCCTTCCTTCTCCTCCCCTCTTTCCTCCCTCCCTCCCTCCCTTTCTCCTCCAAGAATATAACGGAGAAATCGGTGGCAGAGTCAAAGGGACGGAAGAGAGGTCATGAAGATATCGGGAGTTTCTTTCTCTGGTTCTGTGATCTGGACCCTTCCTCCGATGAACCGGCAGAGCTCATTAAAGACGACATATGGCCAAACCCTCTACAGTTCTATCTGGTCAGCTGGAGCTTTTTCTTTACCCTCTGTTTCGATTACCAGTACATACATACAAAATGTTACTACTTAATTGCATTTTTGCATTGGGCCTTATTGTTTAGTATAAGAACACTCGTTCATTCGTTCGTGCGTATGCCTGAAAATGCGCTGCCAAGGCTTTACCCCTTATGTACTGACACGCACACTTTAACATGCGTGTTGATTAGTTAATATTAATTAGTGAAGTGAGGCTACCTGTGCACTTTCAATATCGTGAAGGACACTGCACATGTGCGAAAATCTTTTGTGTTCATGTTCGATCGTGTTGCATCCCTTCGGTTGGTGATGTGTGTGTGGTGATGTGTGCTCCTGGTGACAGGGAGGAGACCAGAGTGTGGAGGTGGAGGAGGGAGACTACGACGGAGAGGAAGACGACGGGTTGGAGGCGGAAGAGGAGGAGGAGGAGGAAGAGGAGGAAGTTAGTTTCTCTTGTATGGCGCAACACAGTCCACATTACTTTACAATCGCTTGTCATTTCCGCAAGCCACGGGCATATATACAGTGGAACCTCCGATGAGGGACCCTCCGAGATAGGGACGACCTCTCTACAAGGGACAAAATCGTTGGCCCCATAGTGTCCCTTGTTCAGAGTATATAATTATATGCCCAGAGCCTCCATAAGTCCATAAGAATTTATATATGGCTATAATACTAGGCAATAATGTGATAAGTATACATTTATGCTTATTTAAGGAGATACCCATGGCATCCAAAGGGTTAAAAGCCTCACACAATTATGAGTTCAGACTTTCGGCTATATACAATATTATGTACATATGTAGGTTACACTGTTTAATAGTATTAGCATTATATGCCTCTTATATTCACAGGATTTTTAATTTACTTGTAGAGAGGTGTCGTTTACTAAGAGGGTCCTTTTCGAAGGTTGCATGCACTGTATATACAACCATCCATTTTGTATGATGTCATCATGATGTCGTTGGTGTAGGACGAGATTGTGGAGTTATCGGAGGACGAGGAGGAGGAGGAGGAAACGTGATGCGTTGCCCCCTGACTCCGCCCAATTCCTAGATCTCGATCTTTCTATAGTTTCCCATGTTTGGAACCAATTTAAACTGTCTCGCCTCACAATGCATGTTGTGTACAGTTGTACAGCGTGTGCCATATCATACCAATATTATGTAATACATACACACTATCATAATGGTGCTCCATACCATAATAAGTTGGCCTAATCCCACTTACTACGTGTACGATTACATGCATTTATCGCTTGTGCATGTGGGACAAGGCTATATGTGATGATGATGTCATTGCATTATGTGATGATGATGTCGTTGCATTGTATGATGATGATGTCGTTGCATTATGTCATGATGATGTTGTTGCATTATGTCATGACATCGTGTGGGCATACAGCAATGAAATCTCAAGCAGTATTTCTGAGGTAAAGTATGGAGATGTGGTTTACTGCAGTGTAGAGTTGCTACTAATCAATGTTTCTAGCTGGTTCAGTGATTTCTTGCATCACATCCTCTCTGAGAAGCTCTTTTACCTGAGTACATACATACATACGTAGGTGTAATATGCACTACAGTTCACTAAACTTGCACAATTTTATTTAGCGTGGGGCTGAAACAAGTGTCCTTTGTAGAGAGGTCGTCCCTATCTCGGAGCGGAGGCCAAATAATACTATTAGCGTGGGGTTGAAACAAGTGTCCTTTGTAGAGAGGTCGTCCCTATCTCGGAGGTCAAATAATACACTAAAGTATTAGCATGGGGTTGAAACAAGTGTCCCTTGTAGAGAGGTCGTCCCTATCTCGGAGGTCAAATAATACACTAAAGTATTAGCATGGGGTTGAAACAAGTGTCCCTTGTAGAGAGGTCGTCCCTATCTCGGAGGTCAAATAATACACTAAAGTATTAGCGTGGGGTTGAAACAAGTGTCCCTTGTAGAGAGGTCGTCCCTATCTCGGAGGTCAAATAATACACTAAAGTATTAGCATGGGGTTGAAACAAGTGTCCCTTGTAGAGAGGTCGTCCCTATCTCAGAGGTCAAATAATACACTAACGTATTAGCGTGGGGTTGAAACAAGTGTCCCTTGTAGAGAGGTCGTCCCTATCTCGGAGGTCAAATAAACACTAAAATCTTAGCATGGGGTTGAAGCAAGTGTCCTTTGCAAGTGTCCTATATAGAGAGGTCGTCCCTATCTCTCAGAGGGTCCCTCATCGGAGGTTCCACTGTACATATACTGTATATACCTCGTAACCACGAGAAGCATCGAAGGTGTATTGTATGCTGGTGTCAAAGAGGGTCAGTTTCCTCGCCACGAGAGCCTGGATGCAGTTCCTCAGTCTGGCAATTGTCTCTCTCTCCTCGCGAGTGATGGCCTGCAGTAGAGAAAAGCCACTCCTGACTCACTTCTCTCTCTCCCTCCCTCTCTCTCTCTCCCTCTCTCTCTCTCTTACATTTTATATGTTGCAGTTTGTTTAGTATGTGGCAGTAGGGCTAAATAAAGAATGATTGTAACAATGGCCCAGTGCTTAGGCATTGCCACATTCCGCTTTTAATCCACGAGCCTCAATAAAACAACTGGCTTTAAGATAACTTCTAAGACTAAGATAATTACTGCTACGCCAGCGACATAAATCTTTTTATCCTCGCTACTAATAATACTCACATTCCCAAGCCTCCTCACACAAGCTCTCTAATATCTTACAATGTCTTTCTCACGAGTGGTGTCGGGTTCATCTCTGGGGTTGAGCAATATCTGGTCCTCTTGGTCCACCTCCATCGAACTGATCCACACATACCCATTGTTCCCTGTCATCACCCACACACACACACACAAATATCCATTATAGCAGCAAATATTTTCAATTCGGTAACAAATGATGTCACTCAGCGTGCCCCACAATGGTGTTTGCTAGAAAATATATATTCTCAACCGTGAAATTTGGGTTTGTGAAGGCTTTCTCCCACAAAAGTGTTCCACAACATGTATTATCATATAGGGTCAGTATTATAATAGAACAGTTGTATATACAATATAATACGTCATACCAATAATGACACTGGCCCCACAGAGCATGTTGTGGAAGTGGTTCTTGCAGCGTTTCACCAGTGACGGAGGCACCGTAATGAGACAGCCCTTCTTCAACTGTAGATACGTAATCACCAACAGAGAGAGAGAGGGAAAAAACTATTTCCTTTTCTCTAGCACTATAGTACCAGTATAATATACCTTCCCATATTTCAAGCTGCGGGTGTGAAGGGACAGCGATCCATCAGAGAACACCTGTTGAACCTCAGCCTGTGTGTGCGTGTGCGTGTGTGTGTGTGTGTGTAAGTACGGGTTGGAGAATAAAAGATTAAACAAGGGTCATGGAGTTCTGCAGTTGCAGAGATTCAGATTGTTCTGCATGCTTTAGTTTGCACTGGGTTTGTCAATGTTTCCCGAGTAAGTGGTGGAGCTAACCAAGGCAGGCTGGGGGGACAGGAGGAAGAGGGACAGGCAATATGGAAATTGTTGGTGTGAGTTGATGCTTATACATACTCACACTGATGAGGTCTCCTTCAGTGAAATACGTTCTCATCATTAGTTCGTCCTGAGCTGACCTTCTTCGCTGAGGAAACAGACAGAGAAAAGGGACTGGAAGTTAGAGTGTGTGTGTGTGTATGTGAGGGGGAAAGAAATTCAGAGAACAAAAGTGTGGTACAAGTGGCGACCGACTCACCAGGACACCTCCGGGGAGGTTGATGGAGGAGAGGAGGAGAACCGATTCCAGTCGAGAGAATGTGTCCACCTTCCACCTCTTCTGTTGGACCTCCACGATCCTCCCCACCACCACGTCACCCACCTCCCCTGCATACCTGTGAACGCCCACTCCTTAATGTTAGGCTCACAATATCTCACACAGGCTAGCAATGAAACACACGTGAGGCACGCTGCGTCCGTCGCGTGCTGGATTGAATCAATTTCCATATCGTGGCATAATGCACCAGTGCAACGATTGTGAACCACGCTTAACTCACACATAATAACTATGGGGTAATAATCTAACCGTGATTGCAGGGGTCGGACGGATATAAGCCTGTTGATCCTCTGTACGACGCCAGCAACCGACGCTACGAGCTTTCCGTCGTCGGAATGGTACGTACCGTGGCCCCTGCGTGCAAGGCACCGTCCATTGGTTGAAGTGTGAGCTCGATAATGTATGTGTACGTACCTCATGAACCCAGTGTCGGTCGTTATGACATCCCCGGGAGCCACTAGGTGAAGCGTCTCCATCGCCCTGAACTGTGACCTACCACACGTGGGTCACCGGGTTCGTGCCGTAAATATTCTGCGCGTTCTAATTGATCGCGGTCGCGGTGTGGGGAAAGAAATATTGGAAGCGGTTGGAAGGAAGAGATGGACTTCTCCAAGTTTTCAGACAAGGATTTCGACGCCAAAGAGTGGGTAAATGGAGCTCTTCGTTCCCACAAGGATGCACGCATATCCATAGACGTAAGGGCAATGGCTCATTTCGCTGCAAATCTGAACGAACTCTTTCTTTCAGGCGCACGCCTCGACACTAGTAATGAAGCTCCAGCTTTTTATTCAGGTGAGGCTGCCTCCTGATCCTATGTATAGAGCAGCTCAGCGTTTAATTTTCCCTCGCTGAATGCATGGTCGGCAGGAGGTCAACAAGTCGCTGGAGGAAACCAGCCTGCAAGTTGTGCAGAACTTACCGAGGTGAGCAGAGTTTGCACGGAGTACATACCTTATGCAGTAATACTAGTCTGTATAATATATGCATGTGAGTGCGAAGGAGCAAGGTGCGTGTGGTGTTAAGCTTGATCGCATAATGTTTGTATTAATGACGTGTTGTAATTTCCAAGTAGGCCCATTGTTTTATGAGTCGGTGGACATTGTGCTAATGGGGGGCGGAGCATTTTGTGTAACGTGATGTTCTGCAATCTGATTGGGCTGCAAAAATACTATACTCTGCATCTATTGTACACATTTGCCTGAATGTATAAACTTCTGTAAAGCAGGAAGAAAGGAGAGGGAATTAAAAAAAGGATGGGGGAATAAAATAAAAAAGGAGGAGGAATTGTACGTAAAAAGGAGGGGGGGATAAGGTAAACCCCCTGCTTCCCTGCTTTAGCTAAAACCCTGATCAGGATACGAATAGGACAAATCGTGATCAAGCTAGCTTGACACCAGACAACAGACCACTTAGAGTGTGGCTCTGCGTGAATAGCTAGTAATAGAGGTTACGTTCCACAGAGTGATGAGAGATGTCGAGGCGGTGAGACAAGAGGCGACTCTGCTCAAGGAACAGATGACCACCGTCAAAGAAGACATCAAGAAGGTCAGGCTCTTTACCTGTTTTTATGATAATAGCATTATGTGATGATGATGTCATTGCATTCTGTGATGATGATGTCATGTGGGTGTAGGTAGAACGAGAGACGGCACAGTCGATGCAGAGGCTGGTAGAACTGGACTCGATGAAAACTCGGATGCTGGAATCTCAGAACGCACTGCAGGTAAATGAGTAACCTCCAATCTTCGACCTTTGCTGGTACAGCTCAGTGATATGTCTCTGGTCCTCTTGTAAGGAGGCAGACAACTGGACCACTCTGTCAGCTGACGTGGACGACGTATTTGCATCTCAAGACATTCACAAGGTAATAAAGCTGACACGACGTTGATTAAACGATTAATTACAGAATTTCCGTCCAAAAATAATTCGTTCACATTACATGTATATACAGCAGAACCTCTCTGGATAGAGGAAACCCCTGTGTATTATTCCACCGCTAAATGATCATGGTCCGAGCATGTCGTTGATTTTTAGGATTCACCACAATATAGCCAAAACAATCGTCAAGATACAAATTCTCTTCTTATATTACATGATTGTGCAGATTGGCGAGAAGCTGGCCGGGATGCAGCAGAGCTTGGTATGTACAACATGTTCCCTTAAAACCCTTTGGACGCCATGGGTATCTCCTTTAATAAGCAGAAATTGATGCATAACATATTAACACCTAGTATTATAGCCATAAATTCTTATGGACTTATGGAGGCTGTGGGCATATATATATGCCCATGGCTTGCTAAGGGTTAAGAAAAACTGAACAGCCGGTATATATACATTAGCTGTGAGTCTTCTCCTGTCTCCTCGTCTGATAGAACGTGCTTCACGACGTCCCCTGACTACGAGCAGAGGAAGAAACTGCTGGAGAGCCTCAAAAACAAACTGGAGGCTCTGCTATCTCCTCGTCTCGTCGCCGCCCTCAGCAGTCACAACCTCGGTCCGTTCTCCCACTGCATAATGATCTCTCTGTTGATGTACATACATAGAGTAGAACCCCTCTAATCAGGATACCAATGGGACAAGAGAATGTGTCCTTTGTATTAGTGAAGTGTCTTTATTGCAAGAACTGTTCTTGGGAAGGAAAAATGTGTCCGTAATAGAGAGGTATCCTTAATTCAGGGGTTATATTGCATGCAAGAACTGTTCATTGGAAGAAGAAAAAGGACCTTAATAGAGAGGTGTCCTCATTTCAGGGGTGCCTTTAGAGAGAAGGGCTCTGCTGTATTCACCTCCATTTCCATTGCAGAGGAGGCGCAGGAGTATGGGAAGATGTTCACCAGCATCGAACGCTATTCGCAGCTCAGAAACTATTTCATCGGCTGCCACAAAGTAAGTAACGCTTTGGTTGAGCATTCATCTAAGCCCGGTTAGCTCAGTCGGTAGAGCATGGGACTCTTAATCCCAGGGTCGTGGGTTCGAGCCCCACATCGGGCGACTTTTTACAGATTTTTTTACCTATTTTCGTTTTCTATAGACAGCTCTAGTGGAGATTTGGACGTCGCTCCATGACCCTGCGAAATCACTGATGAGTTACCTGCCTTCTTTTTACGACGAACTTCTCTCTCGCTGGCACTCGGAGGTGAACTAGACACCCACGAAACTGTGCCACTCTCGTTCATAGTGTGTGCCACTCTCGTTCATAGGGTGTGCCACTCTCGTTCATAGTGTGTGCCACTCTCGTGAATAGTGTGTGGCACTCTCGTTCATAGTGTGTGCCACTCTCGTTCATAGTGTGTGCCACTCTCGTTCATAGTGTGTGCCACTCTCGTTCATAGTGTGTGCCACTCTCGTGAATAGTGTGTGCCACTCTCGTGAATATTGCATGTTGTGTGCCCTGTTTAAGTATAATAATGCAGTTTGTGTGTATGGTTAGTTAAAGGGATGTGTATTTGCAGTTCATTCTTTCTTACTGCTTGGCTAATATGCAATAGAATATCATTCTTCTTCCTTACCATAATAATTATACTTGGCTAATGTGCATTACACATTATGTTACAAGGGGATGTGATGGTTGATTCTTTCCTCTTACTACTCGGGTAATGTGTAATTTAAGGGATGTTTTTTCTCTCTCTCTCACCTATCTTGAGTGGACCTCTTTCTCGTTCTCCTTCTCTCGCAGTACACGTGGTGTTCCCAGGTGTTCAGCGACCCCCTGGATCTGCTGAGTCAGCTATTCTCCGGTGCCCTGGAGTCACTGGAGTCCCAGATATCTCGCTGCCTCCAGGCCTCTCTCCAATCATCCTCTCTCTCCACCCTCACTGATGCTAGACAGGTCCACCACAATAAGTTATGATAATAATTGAAGGGGTCAGAGTCAGAGTGAGCCAACCCTCAATATACAACTCTTGCCGGTTTTCCTTCAAATATGTTCTAAATGTCCTTATAGAACAAACCGGCAAGAGTTGTATATTGAGGGTTGGCTCACTCTGGCTCTGACCCCTTCTATTATAGTAGAATGCAAATTAGAAATTACACTAAAGAGTGAAAAATCGAACATTGCGTACGTGTAATATAATGTTACAAATCCATTTTGTCACTGCGAAATTAACACCACCTGAAATATTTTACCTTTTTTACCTGCTACATACAGCAAGCTCTGAAGTTTGTGAAAGGACTGGAGAAAATGATCTCAGAAGTTCCCAGTGAGTATATACCATGCAAATGTCGCTAGCATAATAGTGATTACATCACTCAGCCAGCCTGGTTAGCTCAGTCGGTAGAGCATGGGACTCTTAATCCCAGGGTCGTGGGTTCGAGCCCCACATCGGGCGACTTTTTATTTCGTCCCTCTTCGCGTCTATCTTTTTTTTGTCCTCTTAACCTCTTTTTCTTCAGTGCCTTCCCCTCCTCTTCCTTCTCTTTTCTCGCTCGTGGAGGCCGTCCACGCTCCGTTCTGCCAGCTCCTGGTCCGATACCCAAACCTGGAGCAGCAGTCCCTCACTCACACCCTCAAAGACATGCAGCTGGTGAGCAATGATACACAACCACTGTTATAAGGAAACTTTTCTGGAGAGCAAAAAACCTTTTGCGATTCGGTAATGTTTCGCGGATTGCCCGCCCTTCAGTGCAAATGTTCCTACCCATGAAATTTCACAAAAAGCAGACAGTTCAGAACCTGCGACATTCGCAATAGGTTTTTCACTTTCAGTTTTCTCCACTATAGAGCATAAACACACACAGATGCGCAAACACTCTCTCTCTCTCTATCTCTCTCTCTCTTCTCTCTTCTTTCTAAAGTATACAGCAGCTCCAGAAGACACGGTGTCTTCTCTCTCCTCGTCCATTCCGAAAGTGCTCCACTCTGCAGCCCAGGCTCTGGAGAGGTGTGTTCAACTGACTGAGGGCTGGGGTACGGCTGGACTAGTTAGAGCACTGGAGGTACGTATGATGAGTACAGACAATAATGTGACACTATAGAGTGTCCATATTGCCACCTCCAATATTTACACGAATGGGACAGAATAAAGTGTCCATATTAGTGAGGCGTCCCTTGAAAAAACTGTTCTTTGGGACAAAGAAATGGTGTCCTTATTGGAGAGGTGTCTTCATTTCAGCGATGTCCTTAGAAGAAGCTCCATTGCCGCACATAACCACTGCTTGGCTGAACCTCTACCACACCTCTCTCTCTCCCTCCGTCCTGTCCTCCCTTGGTTTCAGGCGTTCTTCACTCAGTACCTGTCGAAGTTGTCGTCCACTGTCAACAGTCTGCGTGGGTCGTGTGGACTGGGCACTAGGGCTGGAGGAGGAGGAGCCTCGCGGGGAGAGGACTGGGCATATCTGCAAGTGGCTTTCGCCCTCATCCAGTGTTGTGGTGAGTCAAGTAGCAGTGTCTACACTTTACATCTGCAACCTGGGGTTTGTTTCTAAACTTGGGATGGGTGCACAGCTGTATGCGTCCACACCTACATACGTTACAAGTCTTTTCTGCTAAAGAGGCTCAATTCTATTATGTATAATAGGTACTGTATGTAGTGGAGGTATTGGGCATTGGGTCAATCCGTGACTTTTGTGCAAATTTCGCAAGTTTTAATGTGTTACTGTCAGTCGATTGCGTTTTGCAATACTAGAGATTACTAGAGAATGTGCAAGAAGTATTGCAGTGAAATTACTAGAGATTACTAAGAAGTATTGCAGTGAAATTACTGGAGATTACTAGAGAATGTGCAAGAAGTATTGCAGTGAAATTACTAGAATATGCATGGAAGTATTATTAGAGACACAAGACTTTTCTTGCAAAACTGAGAATGTTTTTGTCTGTAGGAGAACTACTTCTTCGAAGCGAGGGGCTCAATATGCAGGTGAGCGACTGTCTCTCGTCGCGAGCAGCTAGTCTGACAAGTCCGGCAGACCAGTCAAACCCGTTTGGCCTGTACGACTACCTGTTAGTCTACCATCCCGAGGAGCACACGGCCACCATGGAACTACTGACTGCAGTTGAGAAAGGTTTGATATACCATTCGGTGGGAAACATTAGGAGAGAAAATTTTCTCATTTCGATTGTAAAAAGGCGAATTTTTTTGTAGAATAATCTCCCGGACTGCTGGTTGTCCAATAATACTAGTGTGCCTGCCCATATACGATAAAAGTTTTTCGGTTGGCGAAATTCGTTAAATTTATACCTCAAGTTTGAGTCACGAAATCCTGCTGGGCAGTATATTTTCCATTGTTCTTAGCTCGTAACCCACGTTCATAACCTGTAGCATACTATATATGCATTGGGTAACAAGCAACAAATTTCGTGACTCAAAACTTAGTCTTTAATGAAGTAACAAAGTCATGTTCACACTATACCACATTGTCTGAAGATTTGTGTCTGTATGTGGTAGAGCGCTCGCCTAGACTGCAGAGTGTCGTGGGTTCGAATCCCACCCAGGGCAGCTCTTTATTTTTCCTTGGAAAAAAAGAGCTGTCTTGGGTGTAGTTGACTTGTTTGTTGTGCCTTTGCCTTTCTATATGTACCTCACAGTTTTCACATGCACTAGGAGGGAGTGGTGGACACCAACTTCTGGTGAGAACCAACAAACTCATCCACTCACTCAACGCCCAGGCCCACACATTCGCCTTTGATCTCCTATTCCTCAAACTGAAACAGAAACTCTCCAACTTCCCAAAACTAAAGGTATTATGTAACGGTATAGAGGTGGAAAAGTTTCAAGAGGACAAGTGGATTTAGTGGCAAATACGAATTTTGCAGAGGAAAATTTCGTAATGTAGCTCTAACATTTTGCCGAGAAATCGTTCTACAAACTGTGAAATTCATGCCGATATGCATTTCTAAATTAGCGTAAACAGGTGAAATTTCGCACTAGTGTTTAAAATGTCGTTCTAGGATGTATTACGTGTTTTGTGTTGTGTGTGTGTGTAGGTATGGGAGACAGGGGTGGTGTCTCCACTTGAGAGCCCACGTGCCCTGACAGACGATCTTCCCTCCTTCACCCTCTCTCCTCTACCTTACATCACTGAGGTATATACAGTATGCATTACATAATAGTCACAGCGCAAATCATCACTGGAGAACCTTGTACTATTGGTTTATTATATTTTTGTCCTTTTTGGCAAGGAATTTTAACATTAGCTGCGGTGCAAATTTCTACCAAGCACTTTGCACTATTATTTATCTGTATATCTGTCCTTTTGGCAAAGGGTTCTAGCTTTGTATTAACACAACAAACCCTTTACTCCATAATGTTGTTGCTACTTGTTGACCTTTGTGTGTGTGTGTGTGAGTGAGTTTGAGAGTGCGTGACGTATGACCTCTGTGTGTGCAGATTGGTGACTATCTGTTGACGCTACCGCAGCAGCTAGAGCCATTCACGTCCCAGGAATCTCCTGCCCTGAGCGCCGCTCTCAAACAAAGCCATCTACCCTTCCCTCCTACTGATGGTAAGACACTACTTCAAGACTCTATTGTAGCTCCTGTCGATGTACAAGGATCTGTGAGATGTTGAGACTCTACCACTGTTAGTATGCCTGCTTGGTCACCACACATCAGTGAGCTGCATGAATTCTATTTTCAAACCAAACTTGTGGTATCTTAAGAGTTAACGAATGCCACTCAATGGACAATATAATGTAAGCCACTCGCTGTTTCTATGGATAGGAGTGGCAGCTGACGAGCGAGAGGGAGAGGAACACCCCTCTGATGCCTGGCTGGGTGCAGTGGCTCGAGGGACAATGAGCACGTACATGACCAACATCCTCCAGATACCTTCTCTCTCCCAGCAGGCAGCCACTCAGCTAGCAACAGATATATGTGAGACAACCTTTATCGCACAAAAGGCCAACGGTGTATGGATATTGTAATAGGTCCTTGTTGTCTATTGCATGCATGCGTGTTGCATTGAGGTTGCATAAGACTTGTCTCACACAGCAAATTAGTGCTGTGTATGTTGAACTCGTTGCACAATGTTATATACTGTTTGTTGTCTGAAACGAGCACTGTTGATGTTAATGATATTACGTCATGTGTGTTTGTCTGTTCCCCCAGCGTATTTGTGTAATGTGTTGGCTGCTCTGGGTCAGAGTCCAATCAAGCAGCTGACACAGCTGGAGAGCCTCATCAAGGCCACGCGGGATGAGTGAGTGCCGTATCATGTTCTGATAGTGTTATAGGGGTCATGGGTAAGTTCACCCCCCCCACTCTCGTTTTGCTGCAGGTTCATTGGCTTTGAGAAATATGAGACCATTCCAAGGCAGCTCTACCAGGCTATGGCTGGAATAAGAACATGGCATGAGTAAAACTCCTTTTATGATTCACATTTCACTCCCCAACGAGATGCGGTGTAAAAATTTACTGCGCATGCGTACTTTGTGCGCGCGCCGCTCGTTTTACGCGGGTTTTCCGAATCTAAAGAAAGCGAGAGCCCCCGGGGAGAAGCGAGACGGAGAGAGATGCCCGAAAGCAGGAGTCGTTCTCGCAAGAGAAAGGCGGCGACTGCAGCCTCAAAAGCAACCAGTCAAGATGCGGAAAAAGACGCGTCGTCTCAGAGCTCCGCGCACCCGCCCGGAAAGAAGAGCGCTACGTGCCCCGTTTCGGCCCTTCGTCTTCCGCAGCCAAACGAGCCCGCACTGCTGGTTCTGGAGTTGCCTTCTTCTCCTGCTCCCAACCTGTAGCTCCGCAGGCTCCGAGCGGGTCTCGTGTCCGTAGAGCGAGCGACAATGCAACCACTCTCACAACAGAAGGCACCACCACCACCACCAGCAGCCAAGCTGGAGACAGTACTGAAGTAACGGTGCGTGCAAACAATTCCAGATATCGAACACAGATATTATTTATTCACGACTCTAGGTTGAAAAGACCACAACTAAAGATGACCCAAGTCTGTCTGAGCCAGCCACTGGCGAGTTACCAGTGCAGCATGATAACTCGGTTGGTGAAGGCATTTCTGAAAAGCTTGGTGAAGATTTGGACACACAGATGCAGGCGACTGCAACCATGGGGAGTATTCCTGGCTCATTCCTTACCCAGTCTCTCCCTCCGGCCCCTAAATCTAGAACAACAATTACAACCTCCTCTATCTTCTGCACGGCCTCCTTGTCCCCCCTCACCTACTTCTGTAGGACCTCTTTCCCCGACGCCTGTAGAAGACACTCCCGGTGAAGCTGTGAGAGGGGTGACTAATGAAGGAATGAACCTTGACCTCCTGGATCCTCTGGAATGCAATGAAGATGAAGAGGAGACAACGAAGGACGCTGGAAATGACTCAGTAGAAAGCACGCAGATGGTGGAGATCAATGAAGATGGTACTGCTCTGTGTGGTGATGAAATCAGTCTGCCAGCTCTACTCGCTGACCCACTACAGGACACACACCTCCTTTCCCCCATCTCCTCACACCCTCACCCCCCACAGGACACACTCCACACCTCTTCACACTCCCCCATCCTCACCCACTATTACCCTACACCCCAATCTCCCTCAACAGTTGGAAGGAGGGTCCTCCGTTCCCGAAATGGCACTTAGTCCGTGTCAATCTCTCTACAATGAACTTGAGAACGGAGGTGATGGTGGATCTGGGAAGAGGGTGAAGGGTGTGATGTGTGATGTGGGGGAGTGTGGGGAGATGTGGGGGAGGAGTGGAAGATGCAGTGGTGGTAGGTGGAAGCAGTGGAAACCTTCAAGTCTCCACTGACAATAAGGTGAAATCCCCAAAAGCATCGATGGAGGTTTAGCTTCAGGACTAGCTTCCTTAGTAAGAAGCAGTACAGTGGAACTCATCCTTACACAAATAGGGCGGAATAAAGCGGCAAGGTTTCCTTATTTAATAAACTGTTTAGGAGGTGTCACTAGTGTCCTAATATCAAGAGTGTCCTCAGAGAGGGGTTCCACTGTAATCTGGACTATTGGCACGCAGTAGTTCAATGTAATAGAGTCCTCTATATCGGTATGGAATGTGTGAGACCAGTCATGCATGGCAGTTGTCATACCCCCCACACCACACACACACACACACACAGGAGGCCACCCAGGAAGACACGGGGCACAGGGAGGAGGAGGAGGATCTGCTGGCAGTCAGGGAGATGATGGACCTCACAGCTCGTGACCTGCTCGAGAGTCAGCTCCTGGAGGAGGCCACTGTACCCTCCGTCTCCCCACTCGCCACGTCCCATCCTCGCAGGTACGCATAATCAAACACACTTTTGGCGAGTGGCGTGAGTGAGAAAGTTTGGTGGTGTACCATGAGTAAAAACACTTCAACGGTGTTATGAATACCTATTCGAAATAAATCTGCTCAAATGACTAGGTACAGGCTTGCCGCCCACTCTCATGCACGCACGTGTGAAACACACTTTTGGGGAGTATGTATAATACATCAGTGCACAGTTAACACTTAACCAGCCACAGACACATAAATGTGTCCAGAGCCTCCATAAGTCCATAACAATTTATATGTGTGTTATAATACTAGGTGCTAATACCTCATACATCAATTTCTGCTAATTTAAAGACACCCATAGCGTCCAAAGGATTAAAAAATCTGCTCAAACGAACAGGTAAGCTTGCTTTGTTCTGCATTTCAGGTAAGTACACAATCAGGGAACCACTATACTAGTACTGTACATTGAGGTATATTATGATCATGATCTTCATCAGCCACTCGTGTTTGGGACACAGTGTTGTAGGCAGTGTATTTGTGTAATCCCCACTCATTTCCTTTCAATGGGGGAGCCCAGATATAACGAGCCAAATTGAGTGTAACCCTCAATTACCATCTTCCCAACGTATTTCGAGTGGTATTTGGGACACGTAAGAGTTATGCCGTTCTCCTTTTGTTGAATCAACCTTCGCTTCATACATGGCAATGGAATTCTGATGGCCTGTTTGCGAGGGATTTACACAATCGCATACTCTATCACAAATATTTCTGTTGTGTGAACAATGGCCAGTAATTATTGTAGAGTGCATTATAATATCTCAGTAGCTGTGTATGTGTCTGTGAGATGGTCACTGTGTATGACACATGGTCGTTTGAAATTCGAGCTGAAAACAAGCGTGGGGGTGACGGGACCGTTCGGTAATGAGAATCTCTCCCTATTGCGCGCGCTGCATGCCTGCACGCATTAGCCTCCAATGACCTGAAACCAGTGCAATGGACCTGCGCTGCTGTGAGAAACTGCAAATTAGGAGCCTCTCATTCATGTCTGTAGTATTCGGGCATGGCACAATCACCACTTAAACTGCTTAGATACACTGCCCATTGTTTGGAAACACATTGTTTCTATTGTAGATGCGATGATAAAAACAATGGGCTGTGCGGTATGCAACCAGTCCTGTACCAAATACTCAACCACAAAAGTGGATCAATGTATCATCACGCACACACATGCACACACACACATCGCATTGTGCGCAGAGAGAGAGTTGAAGAAGCAGAGAGTGCAGTTGTAGCTGAAGGGTCTAACGTACTGCGTGGACTAATAGACGAACTCTCCTCACTCAAGTGAGTATAATAAATACACACCCCCATTTTAAGGGCTATTAGTGAAACTCTCTTGCCAAAAACTGACCTGCCACACCTTCTTTTCATTTGTCTAATTTAGACATACATGGCTATTATAAATGAGCAAGGGCTACCCACATTAGCCGTGTTCCCAGCCCTTTCCCTGTCAGAAAATCCTGGGAACGACCTAACCCGGTTGTAGTGGGGTTAATTTACCTATCCCACTTCTCATTACCTCCACCTCAGGCCACTTATTAAATTCGTTTTTAGAATTTCGTGGTTCCGTGTGCGTAGCACTCTCCGTGAAACCATCTGAGCTATATAGAGCGACTGTAATTCCTATCAATATGCAATAAACGGTCAGGGGTTCACTAGCAACAATGTTGTGGAAGAACATGTTGAACTCGACCCTCAAACTTTCAAGTCTGATTAAGGACCTCTGATTAAGGAGCCTTCTCCCATCAGTTGTATGTGTACTACTGTATTCTACGTGTGTGTGTGTGTGTGTGTGTGTGTGTAGTCGGTACGTGCTGGCATGCAAGAGAGAGTTGGAGGCCCAGCGGAGGCGAAGGGCTGCCTGGATAAGATCCCAGTCAGTTCACAGAGGAAGGTGAGGAGGACACACCACGTGTACTATCAAATTCTGCTTCCTCATTCAACAAGCTGTGACACCAGTACAATGGTCTACTGTATATATATACATACACAATCACTGTGCTGTGTGTAATGCATTGTTTCTCACTATGTGATGGTTGTAATTGGCTCACACACACACACAGTGTGTGTGACACCCCCCAGCTCTGTATCGGTCCTTTGTGTGTGTGTGTGTGGTGTGCAACTGTCAAATTTGTATACACCAAAGTAGTGCTATGATATCAACACATAGTCGATATACACGGCAGTAGATACAGCAAGGACGCATTGGCTGGGAGAGAAGAGCAAACACAGCACACAATGTCCTGAGTCTTGGCTTGAGCAGAGCACCCAGAAATGTAGGGCTTAATGGGACAGCCCTTTGATGTTGGCCCGAGGAATGTTGATAACATTCCTTGCCGGCACACAAGGCGCAGTGATAAAGAGCTGTGCTACCAAACAAGCCCAATGGTGTGGTGGTTATGGTCATTATTGATGAATGATTGGAGAGTTATATACAGCAAACACAAGAAAACAGAATAGAGTGTGCTGGATAGAGTGTGCTGGTTACAGGGCTCTTCAGCTGAGAATATCGAAATCGTCTCTCTGTAAAACAGGGGGGGGGAAAGCTCATGCTGAGATAGACTCACTCATACATGTTGTGTGGTTAGTGGGAAGAATACGACGTGAGTGGTGGCAAAAAGCTCTCGTGAGTGGTGGCAAAAAGCTCTCGACATGAGAACCCACACCGGGCCTCTATGGTGACACTTACGGTGTGGACAGAGGGCCAGAGAGTGGGGACAAAGGTTGTCCCACGTCCCCTACCCCTCTCCCCCTCTCTCCTCTCTCAATCATAGATTCACAACTAGTGAAGGGACAATGGACATAGCTCTGCAACTTGGTTTGCCAATAGTAACCCTTCAGTTCCCAATACAATAGACCACAATGGAGGATGTACAGTATATAAAACAAGGGGAAGCTAGTCATGGGAAAATAGTGCCGGAAAAGGTCTTATGAGGAGACCTCAAACAAGCATAAAAAGCCACATGACCACAGGCACTACTTCTCACAGTGTTCTGCATACTGGTCCATTGGAGTCCTAAAACAAGAGGGTTCTCTACATGTGAAGCATGCAAGATTTGCACACACACACACAATACGTTTATACAGCAACAATGCCACTACTTGAGATGGGCCAATGTCATGGATGTGTTAACTCAGCCCAAGTATGTCAATGGCATTATTCCCATCTAATCTTGGAGGTAGATAGACTCAACTAAAATAATTTTCAATCAACACCATTATAAAGAAGTCCATGCTCCAGATACCTCTCCCACCTATAACAACCTTTTGTCTACCAAGACATATCAGATTGTATCTCGTATACAGTTATGATATGCACAGACAAAAGGGTAGAGAGAAACAACCGAATCACGATCATATCAATTTACCTCTTCGTTGTACTCGAGAACATGTTTCCTGATTTTAGAAGTGTCCGTCCACGTCACGAAGTCCTCCATGTTCCTTGCGTGTGTACGTAGGCGAAAGTAACCAGGTCGTTTGTATGCAAACACACCAATATGCACCCTCCATATACACCTCCCTACGGCATGCCTGCGTTTTATTAGTCGTCCCCACCTTTGACCCAAAGGGCTTTTTAGAGCCACGCGGGCACATATCACAGCAGTAGAGAGAGGGTTGTGAAGGCAAACATTGCAGTATCAGGTCCAACATTGGCCTTGATGCAACACACTACGAGCAGTGCTGTTCTACCAGCCCACCACCCCTAATGTGCATGCCTCAAGCATCACCACCACATGCAGACTCAGCCGGTAGCTATTACACTCACAGTGAGTAGCACAGTTGATAGAGCCCGGCTTTGCTGTGGGCAAAAGGTATACAGGGCCAAGGGTTTTTGTACTTATAGTACGGTTGCCTCAGTTACAGTCCACAGACTTCAGAGTAGCCAATTCATCAAATAACCTCTCATTATCGCAGGAGTATCCCCCCCGACAATGAATATCGTTATTAATCGCCTAGGACGCGGAGCCCTCACAGGTCCACGGAACTGGTCTTGGAAGCTGCAAGCGTACGGCTGAGACCACAAGTCAGTTTGCATTCAGGAGGCCTGGGACTGGGGTCTAGGTGGGTATGTCACCGTTCTTTGGAGTGAGTTACACCACTCTTCTCAGGCCCGCCCCATTGAGTGTATTGTGTGTGTGGACGTTGGGCCATCAATGGGAGCCAAATGGGACCTCATTCCCAGCCTCTCCCCCTCGCGGCTTCTATGGCCGTCTCACGAGTAACAGAGAGAGGAGAGATGAGGGAAGAACAGAGGTACGAGAGGGAAGCACTCTTGCTATGTCAGGACGACTTCTCCATCGTGTCGCTATATGCACTCTCCCTCGTGCGCTATCTGCCCTTCACCATCTTTCCTCTCTCTGTCCTTCCTCCCTCTTTCTCTCTCGCTTCCTCCTCCCTCTTTCCTCTCTTTCCTTCCTCCCTCTTCTCTCTCTCTTTCCTTCCTCCCTCTTTCTCTCTCCTTCCCTCCTTCCTCCCTCTTTCTCTCTCTGTCCTCCCTCCTCTTCTCTCTCTTTCCTCCTCCCTCTTTCTCCTCTCTTCCTCCTCCTCTTTCTCGTCTCTTCCTGCCCTCTTCTCTCTCTTTCTCCCCCCTCCTTCTTCTCTCTCTTCTCCCTCCCTGCTTTCTCCTCTCCTTCCTCCCTCTTTCTCTCGTCCCTCTCTTGCCTCTCCTTTCCTCCTCCCTTTCTCTCTCTTCCTTCCTCCCTCTTTCTCTCTCTTTCCTCCCTCCCTCTTTCTCTCTTCCTCCCTCCCCTCGTTCTCTCTCTTTCCTTCTCCTCCCTCTTTCTCTCTCTTTCCTCCCTCCCTCCTTCTCTTTCTTGCTGAGTTGCTTTCGTCTAGCGTGTGTTTTTGCATTGGTGTTCACCTTTGAAAATACGAGGCAGGTGCTTCCCACCCAACATGATTACAGAAACCGAATGCTCCCCACGAAGGAAATGGAGTTTTGACAGCTCTAACCACCACCACCACTCGGTAGGTAGATAATTATATACACAACATGTGGTTACTAGCACGAAACCCCAGATTCATATTATAACTGCGGAAAATAAGCCCCTCCGGTGCCATACCATGAAATCTTACCCTCTTGTGTGTGTACATTTGGTGGGCACTCATGTGTGTGTGTGTGTGTGTAGAAGAGGACCCTGCTGTGGACGTAGAGTAATAATCAATTACCTTGTGACGAGGAAGGCTGGATCAGTGACAACTTCCGGACCAACTCTGATATCTGGTAGTGGTTAAGAAAATCGACCCCCTATCTCCTCTCTCCCCCCTCCCCCTTCCGAGAACAAAAACCCTAGCCCATGTTTTTATACGCACACACACACACACACACACATGCACGTACAGCACAGTTACAAAGTTGTATATATCCCACACAGCACTCTACAGTCAAAATCATGGTTATGCTGTCTCAGGTGAAAACATGCAGTAGTGGTACTAGCGATTACTCAGACCCTGTTGTAACACACTTAATTCCTGGGGTAAACATGTGCTAAACACGCACCTTATCCCGCACCTTATCCCTCGGTGTACACACCTGCTACTCAAAACAGGCATAACTGGAAACCACTCCAGCGGAACAGGTATTTGCTGGAGCCCAGCGGGACAGTGGCATTGGGTATACGCAGACCATTAACACCCCACCCTGAACCCTGAGTAATGTGCTAATCAGGAGTGTGTGGGGAAGCAGAGTCTTGATTCGTGCTGGACGTGGAAAGACAAGGTTGTTTTGGTGTCCCTTCCTACTAATTGGACACATGTTCTGAGGCCCACTATGTCCTCTGTCAGCAATAATAAGACTACATTAGCTTACGAAAAAGCCATAAATAACATCACATAACAATAAGACTAGACTTGGCAATATCATTCATAAAGAGAGCAGACCGACTATGTAAACTCCACACACACAAAGGTTCACTTGCCATGGCTATATACACTGATAAGATTCATAACGAGCAACGTATGTTGGTCCAGGAAGCAAGAGAGAGTACTACAAGTCCTGGTCATTGTGCCACCAGCAAACGTACGTACAGTGTGCAGGCACACTTGTGTTGCGCACTTGTGTTGTACATGTTTCTAGGTGTCCTGCTTGTGCAGGTTGTTAAAACTGTGGCCTCCACCAGTAAGTGCCAGGGACAGTTAGCGGGGGAACTTCAAGGAACTCCTGTCAAATAAAAATATAGCGCACATTCTAAAATTATCTACACGGAAGGAGTGATAGGATACGGCCTTGTTCCACAAATTTGGAGGCATCGCTGACCCTCTGCGCCATGTGCAGCTTTACCATCACAACTGGTAGTCTACGTCTTGGGGGAAAGAGGGAGAAGGGGGAGGAGGGAGGAGGAGGGAGGGGGAAAAGGAGATTAAGGGGTGGGCACAAAAAACAGCCGAGTATTAATTGGCGAGTGAAGTGAACCTGGCTAGTCGTCTGAATGCGGGATTTTCCATATACTGTACGATTCGTCGGCCGATGCACATACCGTAATGATTATAAATACGCGTGAAACGTGCAAAAATCAAACATCAACCTTCTAGTGCGAGCAAGCTGACGAAATTCTAGTGTAAACCTAACCGGCTCTACAGCGATGTACATGTGCATATGATCGTGTACCGCTATGAATAGGAAACGGTACGCCGGGCCATGAAACACTTGTAGCTACTGCTGTACACGGCCCATTGTAGTCGGCGCCCTAGCCCCGTTGACTGCTGACACACAAGATGAACATCGATGGAATTCCTCAATAATGTCTCCATATACTTGGCATGCATCGCCGGCCACACTATGTGACTAATAACAAGTAGTACTGTTATAGCAGAGTGCACAAAGACCAGCACACACATCAAACGTGTCACCATGTGACACCAGCCGCCCACAAACTGCTGGAAATAATTCGGTCAAAGGCTCATAAAACCACCGTCAGTCCTACGGAGAATGTGCAGCAAATCCTGATTCCCACGTCTCATTTTATTGCTCCTCCAGAACGGGATGGATTTCAAAGTAACTAGTATGTGATTTGGGTATAATTGTACTGGCAATTGGGTGGAAGTGGGAGAGAGAGAGAGAGGAGAGAGAGAGAGAGAGAGAGAGAGGAGAGGCCTCCTCCACCCCACACAAGACAATATGTGCATTAACACCTGAGAAACAAGGCTTATAAACCAGACCCAGCTAGCTACCAATGGTGGGGTGTATAGAGAGGCAGGTAGAGAGGGAAGGTTGGAAGGTGTAAGGGAAGGAGATACGCCCGACAAACAAAGCTATAAAAAAACAGAACTGACGAATGAAGCTGTGACGCATTCAAAACAGCATTCTTGAGGTGCTGACATGTCAGTTAGAGTTCCCTACCTGCAGAAGTGAGAGGTATTGACTTTCTCACACAGTGCCAGACTCTTTCGTGTCGGAATGAGGCTCATGGAATACCTGCATGTTCACACACACAAATCATCGATTACAATTGCCATACATGAAAGAAGCCAGTGGTACACGTACAACAAATGTCTCGTGTTCAATACACGCGCGTCATCATCCCCCATCATCAAACAGATCCTATTGCCACAATTGAGCCCCTATATTATTATTACCCTTGAAACGATTGACCGTCTAACAATATAAAGTCATACTCATTAGCGCTTCCCAAGGAGCACCCTGTTGATAAATTAGGGCGCTCTCCAGTGCTTTAAACGACTCTCTACATAGTGACCAAACAAATCAGGACATCTGACTGATCAGGACACTTTCCATTGTCAGAATTAACCCTACGATGCTCTGTATTGGAACTGAGATCCATATATGCACCGCAGACACCATCAGGACACGCGGGGAGCCAGGAGATATCAACAATCACGATCATTTTTCTGGCGCAGTGGGTGACCAGATCAAAGTCAGGGGAGGGATACTCAGTCTGGGGAAAGGGCAAATCGCTGGCCTTTGATCCCACTAGTACATCGTGTACACATGAATGAGGGGTACATAAACTCTATTTCTTTGTTGTCAGCCGTGCATATATATCAAGACAACTTTACAGTAGGGTGTTTGGTCTTCAGCGCTGCAGTCTGTGTTAGGTCCGGCAGTCCAGCTTACAGTTTCTCCAGAAGTTGTGTAGTGACTTGGTTGCGGTACGGGTCCTTTGGGTCCAGCTCTTTGATCTTGTTGGCGAGCGATTTCACCATCCCGGAGAGCTTGTTATACCTGTGGGGTGAAACTCTCGGGTAGTTTTTTTGCGCTGCCCGGCTGGTCTCACTTTGTATAGTCGTCCCGCCGCTGTATGTGGTAGCGTCTGAGTATTCTGGCCTCCCGAACATTACTGTCGCTCTTCCACGATATAAAGTCGACCTTTTTCAGAAGCTTTCGCTCGTGGAACTTCAACTTTCGCACCATCTTTGAGTACCACGCGCAGTGAGAAAGGAGTTAAAATTTCGCTTCCGGGTCCTCAACCCCCGTTACGTTATTTCCGTCGCGGCGATCGGTAGCTTGATTAGTTTGCGACCCACCCCAAAAAGCGTTACTTTTGTCGGGAGTTTTTCGTGTACAAGTAGTGGTAAACTCTCCACTATACAGTTAGTGATCAGTTTAGTATAAAGTCTTTCTAGTTGTGGACAAAGATTGGGAGAGAGACCGACACGGACCTGTCGCAATGTGCCGTCGTGCGTCAATCTCCGGCAGCGTGTTGTCGGCGGCACTTCTACTCCTTACGCTCCTCTCTGCCGCTTCTCTCGGCGCTGGAGAAGGTGCGTACACATATCTGCGTCTATGCAGACAGAGCGAGTGTAGTCTACGTGAGCCAAACCAGCGGAATTCTGAATCGGTGGCCGTTTTTGGACCATTACGAACGGCCGATGCGATGTGTGTGCATGCATTGGACAGTTAGGCGGCACATATCTCCTGTCGGACAGAGTAAAAACTGAGTGCGGAGCTATTATTGCGCCCCCCTGAAAAAGGTGTATCGTGTTGAAGGTTCATGAATAAGCTAGTGAGAAGCTGGCTGTTTTATGTCGGAATGAACTGCTAAAGAGACCGTACCGCTAGTGAGCGCACCACCACACGTAACAAGCCCGCGGCGGCGCGGTCTCAGACGCGCGACCGGCGGGCGGCCTGCCCGGCGGTGTCCGTTCGGCCGGCGTCGCGTGTGTAGGTCTGGCTAGCCAGCCCGAGCTAGCTAACTAGATCCTTTAGCTCCTTCAAGGACAAATACATTTTGGATAAACCCAAGTGCAATACTGCCATTTTGACGGTGACCCTGCATCCTTTTAGCTCACCGCATCCGGCACGTTGTAGAGGAGAGGCAGAGAAGCCCCTACACTAAGTAGCTAGATGTCACCATTTTGATTCTGAAGTATGTAACTTTCAAAACATCTCTCCCTTCGTCACAGAGCTGCCCTGTGACCCTCCCTGTGGCGTGAACGGAGAGTGTGTGGCCTACTTGGGAAACCTCTCTTGCCAGTAAGTTGTGGTCCATCTCCAGCTCTGTTGTCCTACCTCCCTCTTTACGACATGTTGTACTGAGTGTGTCCTATATGATGGCATAGAAGAACGCCAAAAGGCTGCATTTAGCTCCCTTTGACCCACCTCACCCTAGCCCCACCTTCTTGATACCAGGAGGGGTTGTATACCCAGGAAGCTGTCACCTGGGTATATACTGCCTCCAGACAAACTGAATCAGATTGGGAGTGACAGGTGGGGCAAAGGTGGCCCATATTGCAGTCTGTGGCCTGTAGTTATGGTGGACCCTCCCTGAGTCCCACCCAGACAGACTAGCATCTAATTAGTGAACATGGTGATACAGTGAACCCTCTAAAAGGACTATATATGAGGACCCCTCTCTAAAAGGGAAGCCACTTCTCTCTTCCCTAGAACGTTTTGCATGCATTTTAGCTACCTACATCTTATCTCTTGGTGCCCAGAACTCTGTATTGTGTAATATAGGGGTATATACTGTAAAATTATCTGCTTCAGCGGCCATGGCACACTGTCTGTGTACATAGAGTGCACATTGTCTTACATAATGTGTGGATTATTCTATTCTCCTAAAAACCGTGCACTGCTGGGACTGCTGGACTTTATACCGTGCCAAAATGTAACTGAATTGAAATTACACAGCAAAAAGCAACGTACCCTAGAGATTTTAAGAATGAGTGTGTGGATTGACGTTTTCGACTGCGCCCCCGCCCAGTCCAGGGTGTGCCCCCGCCCGGTCCTGTCTCTGGTTCTGTGTCTGTGTGTGTCACAGTAGATGAGAGGGATAAGTGATCAGAGCTGGTAATTATTAATAAGTATCACTTGACGCGTTGCGTGTAACTAGTGTGTACGGGAAATGGATACGCGTATGAAATTTCTAGTTGTGACTGTGTATATGGATATGGGGTTTGTTTCAATTTTTATCTGCCGGGGAGGGGGGGAGGGAGGGATTTATGTGGAGTCGCAAATTTTTGTGCTGGCTATGAAAAAATTTTTTAAGCACCAGGGTATGTAGGTGGATTGAAATGCAATGACAGACCTTTTGTTTCTTGTAGCAATGAAAATATGCTGTTCGTGGGCCAAGGAAACCACTTTTTAAAGGCATATGTGTGAGTGGTGTGGCCAATTTTGGGGTCTTATTGATTGCGGCATGTGCCTGGAGCTAAATGAGGTTTCAATGTCAATTAACGAGTTATGCTTGACAACACAAGTGCTATTAAGATTGCCTTGTGTATTAATTAGCACCAGAAACAACGTAATTGTGTTACGGAAAAAAATTTGAATGTTGTGTCTGACCTTGCTATAGAGGTACATGTGAATGACGATAATTGATACTCCCGTTTTGTCAACTTGGGATTAGGTTAAACCCTTCATATTATACCAAGATGCAGTGTGGTGGGTATAGATATATGGGACTCAACTGCAGCTTAATACTACAGTGGAACCCTAAAGAGGAGATGTCTTCTTTCCCCAAGAACAGTTCTTAATTTAACCCCTGAAATAAGGACACTACAACCGTAAAATGGAGACTTTATTTTGTCCAATTGTGTCTGGATTAGAGTGGTTCAAGTGTATTGCCTCACTCCTGACTGTTGTTAGAAGCCTCAATGCCACACTCATTTCTCCTGCCACACCAGTGTGTATGTGAATCAGCCAGGAGTGCATCTGTCAACTGAGCTCCTTGCTGGTTTCCAGAGGCTAATGTTCCCAACAATGTACACCCAGACACTGCTACACACATCACACCAGAGAGACACTGGCATATTTCCAGCAATTTGCCTTGCATTCCATACATTCCTGGAGCCCTGTAGAGTGTGTTTATCCGTCTGAGTCTGTTTGTCTGTTAAACTACTTAGAACAACCTTGATCATTAGCTGGAAGAATTATAGTCTCGTAATACCAGTTTGTAGGGACTCTGTTTCTATGCCAGTTGTTGCCAGTTGTAGTGTATAGGGAAGGAAGGTAGAGAGAGAATATGCCTGCCATGGCAGACAGCTGGACGACAGCCAATCTCCCACACTCTATATCTCTGTGTGACTATTGAGGGTAATTCTGTAGTCCTCTGAACTACAGTAGGGCCTCTATAACCTGGGTATCAATGGGAGAGAAGATAGTGAAGTGTTCTTATTTCAATGGGTGAATAGCATGCAGTAACTGTTCTTGGGGAAATAATAGGTGTGTCCCCCATTCACCTCATTTCAGGGTGCTGCATCCATAGAAAGAGGGGTTCTGCAGTTACTCTCTCAGCAGTAAACCTGTTTGTGCATCTGTGTGGGGAAGAATCAGTTGCCCTAGCTGGGGCCGGGAGATGCGCTGAGAATAAAATGTGTGCGTGTGTGGCTGCATCTGTTTGTGGGGAGAAGGGTTTCGTAAAGCCTCTCCCTAATCACTCTTCCCTTTCCACCCTCCCGGCCATCTTCCTGTTTCTGACCGAGCTACCTCACTCCATCTGCTTCTTATGCTTAATGGTTTATTCAAGAGTATTTGCTGGTGTTTAGCATGTGCAAAGCTCAGCGTAGCACTGGCACACCGTGTGCAGTTCACATGCATTAAGTGTGCACTTTCACTCCAGTTGCACTATGGACGTGCACACACAATTAAAACGGCCCTAACCACAATTCCAGACGGCTATTCAGTTCCGTGGTCCATCACTTCCCTCCCTCATCAAAGAACGGTCCCACTGCCCTGTACGACCATGTACACGCCGTTAAGCCATCAATACCAATCACTCGTTCGTTCTCTGGTGCATTCTACATTCTGTACGCCACCAAGTAACCGGTCCGTGTCGCCGTACAAGATAAATAATCAGTAGGTCCTTGAGCTAACGTACATCCGTTGGTACTTACCTACGTGTGTTCCTTTACATGGAAACACATTAGGCGTGCCGACGTAACTACAGATCGAGGAATACGTGTAATAGAACATGCTGTAGTAGGAACAGTGACCGAGTACATAGTACTGATGTAGTAGGACTGAGTGCTAATTTGGCGAGGGATACGTTCAGGTGTGTTACGAGGCGGATTATAGTAGTAACGTGTAGTATATCGTGGGGCTATAACGATCTGACGTCATTTTCTGTGCTTGTAAGGGACAGAGTGTGTGTGTGGTGCATAAAGCGCAGTTAAGCGGGCGTTGGTCACGGTTTTGTATAGTGTAGGAGGGTAGGAGTGCGTGTGGTGATTTTCCTAGCCCTGTTGCTGCGTTGTACGTGATGCTCTGGTTGGAGAGAATGGCTCTAGAGTTTCGGCCGTTCCTTTACGCACGAGGCATTGTGTTACCGTGCGATAGGCTCACCTTCCGTCTGGAAGAGCCTCCCGTAGAAAGTGGAGAGGGGGATGGAAATAGCGCTGCCCAAAGTGTGTGTGTGAGGTGGCAACGACCACAGACAGGATTTACTCTAGGGAAATAGAGAGACCAGCTTTTGTGATAGTTTTTAGAACAACTTGGGTCACGCTATTCTTTCCTGACAGAAGCTGGTCTTTCACTTCCTTTTTATATTGCGTGCTTCCATTGAAAATTTTCTGTCGAAAGAGCAGTAATAGACTGACTGTCTTACTAGCCTTCTCACCTGGAAAAGCCTGATTTTTGTCAGGAAACCTCACAGTTTATGATGAAGCCTCAGTGGATGAGTATAACCAGGGAACAGGTGGGGGGTCTGTCTGGGTCTTGCTGAAACCTTCGCCAGATTTATCATGCCTTGTACTGGGAAGGGGTGGTCTTTCTGTCTGATCCCTGGGGCTCCTCTCAGGGGAAGGTTTGGTTTCCTAATAGGTGTATGAGACAATACAATGAGCTGTATATACTTTATATGGTGGTATGGGCTAATCAATGGAGCAGATATACCCACCTGCAGTGGCCATTGTGGGTATTGGCATGTGTGATTCTGGTGAATATTGGAGGCAGGGTAAACAGTTATTAAATCTGGGTCTTAGGGAAAGATGTGTACTTGTTGAAGGGTATATACCCACATGCATAAACACAGGTAGTCCTTTAGTATGCTGAACAAGGATGCGCCTGTATTTTTATACTTTGTGGTACAGTAGTGGTATAATTATATGAGTTGCCTGGTGAAGACTTTCTGGGTGTGTAGAGTGAAGTAGGTAAGTAGGGGGGACATCTGTGCTGGTGGTACATAGTGAGGTACACACAGTTAGTATTGATGCCAGTGTAAGTAAGGGACACCTGTTATGTGTAGTACAGTGGCTAGTGTGGAGATGTGGTAGCTGCTAGGTGAAGTTGTGTATCAGACACAGATGCCGCAGACAGGTCTGAGTGGTTTACATTCCAGCCGGGAGGGGAACAACACTCAGTGGTTTTCGATTATGATTCGATCTGACCAATCATCACGTCTTGTTTTGACTTCCTAGGTGTGGGATAGGAATGGCGGCCAGACTGTTTTTGACCAAAATACGTGAAGTGGTGGGGATGCTTAATATTGTATTCACGAGTTAGGGAGTGACATAAACAGTGGTGTTGTTGTTTGTGTTAATGGCTTTATGGGGTCTGTTCTGAGCATGCTCAGTTTGCAATCTAGCTGTTTGACAAAGGGGAGAGATAGACTTGTGAGTGCGGGGATGGGATGGTAGTAAGCAGTCTTAGCCTTGGTGTTGAATGTGTTCTCATAAGTGAATTTGATATAACTGAATTAGTGTGCATATTTCTCTGCCTATGGCCCCCACGACTGAAGATCTCCGTAACTAGAGGTGGTTTGTGTGTGTGTAGTCAGGGAATGCAGTCTCAGCTCTGTTTTGGGAGGTGTGGGTGGGAGAAAAGGCAGTTTAGTCTCCGCCCCCATTCCCCGGGGATTATCGGACATGTTTGCGTGTGTGTTTGTTTGTTTGCCTTGACTACCACTCCCTCGTTTATAATTAGCATCCGCATATGACGTAATGCATTCAATTAGTGATGTAATGGGGACATTTCGTGCGTGTTTGTTTGTTTTGCCTCCCATCGCTTGACTACCGCTCCCTCGTTTATAATTAGCATCCGCATACGATGTAATGTATTCAATTAGTGATGTAATGGTCGACCCACTACTCCAAAGGGGAGAGGAAGTGTGGCAAAATTGTACATGAGACCAGATCTGCATTCCAACCATGTGGTTTCATCTCCAAGTGACACATTACAGGGAAACCGGGCTGCTTGCACAACAGTGCTATTAAGTGATAGTGTGCTCGGGTTCTTGGAATGTTAATGTTCGTAATGAGTCGTTTAGTACGATACGATGCGATTTTTGAACACTCCATACATTTACTATGCTGACATAACCATTAGTGGGGGAAGAGGGTGGGGGTGTACTAATTTAGCCATTCCGAAAGTGACGCAGAATGACGTGTGTAACGTCGTTTGGCAGTGGCCTGAAATTCTTCCCCCGTTCCTTGTTACCATAACAGTGTATTGTTCCCACATGTGGCCAAAGGCTTGAAGCAATTGTCTCTCATTTTGAGACGCGCCTTTCGGGAAAAGTCGCCAAATGTTTCGTTTTTTCGTTCTCTGCCTGTCCTACTCCCAGCACTGTTAATGTGCCTCCTGGCGCCTTCCTTCTTCCTCTTCCTTTCAATTACACCTCTGCCCCCTCTATCTGAACAATAACAAGTTAACCCTGACCCTAGTACTGCATAGAGTAACGATATCCGGTTATTTTGTACTCTGGACTGTGACTTTTGTGTGATTACAGGATAACTCTAGGACCTATATACCTGCCCACTGTACAACCCTCCTCCCCCATTCCATATGAAACCCCCCCATGCAGTGTACAATATATTGATCCCAGTTCAAATTACGGCCCAATTCCTCCTCTACTTCCCCATCCCTACTCAATTTCCTTAATTAATTAACTCTTTGGACACCGCAGGTATCGGCAGAAAATCACGTATAAAGTGTTAGCGCCTAGCATTGTAACCCACATTTGCAATTTCTTATAGAGGCTCTGGACACATTAATGTTGTGCCACTCAACCCACCAAGGGGGATGTGTCAGTACATAAGGAATGTTACTAAAGATAGAACTTAACAATAGGGCCCAGTGCAAGAATGCAATTAAGTTTCCATTTTCAGTGACAGTGTCTGAATTTAGCACTTACATCACTGCCGCATTCCCTTTGAACCTTCTATTAATGCGCCACTTGCTTTAAAAAGTACGAAAAAATGCAGAATGAAAAGATGTCAGGAGTGGGATTCGAACCCACGCCTACATGAGTAGACTGCGACCTGAACGCAGCAGCGCCTTATCTTTTTCTCCCCACCCCCTCTCACCCTCCTTCTCTCTCTCCCCACTAGATGTATTGGTAACTGGAGTGGTTCAGATTGCTCCGTCTCAATCTGTGAAAAAGACAATCCTTGTCTCAATAATGGGACGTGCTCCTATAACCCGGCGGATCCCTCCCAGTTCCTGTGCTCCTGCAATCTGCCTTACTTTGGGGACACTTGCCAGTACACCACTGAAGGTTAGTGTGCAACGAGAGGGGAGAGAGAGGGAGAGGAGGGAGAGAGGGGGAGAGGGAGGGAGAAAGAAAATACGCTATGGTAAGTATATGCTGCATGAGAGATGAGTGTGTGTGTTTGTGCATACTGTTTCTGCAGCACAACAGATGTGTATGCTAAGTGTCTAGAACTTTTAGCATGGTGGGTGGAGGAAGGGAGGGGTTAATAGTGGAATGCAGTGATTAATGTTCCCTGAGATGCCTTTGCCTTTAGTGGAGGCATGGTGGTAGCTTAGTGAGTGTCAGGACCTTATAGCTTAGTGGTGTCACATGACATCCTAGCGCTGTTCCTTCTTTGTAGGTTCACTCTTTGTTGGTACAGTTTATCTATAGTGGGTAGCTAATATCTGCTTGTAATGGCAGGGTTGACCCCCAATAGCCCATCTCATTGTCTTGGTCTCTAGCTGTTGGTAGGGGTAATTCTGCAGGAATTTGCCCCCATAATCTGCTCCTGCAATCTCCTATCCCTGGATCTCTCCTCTTTCCAACTGGTGTTGCTATTACACCTAACACATCCACCGAGAAAGCCCATGTGCTGCCAGAGGAAATGCTTCCGATATGCTTTAAAGTCGGGCGAAATTTGGCAGGTGGCCACAGATGTACTTTCCTCATCAGTAGGGTTTTTGTAGTCCAACTTTGGAGATGATTGAGTAGATTCCCTGATCTCTGTAAAGAGTCTCTCGCTGGTCAGTTCCACGCCAGCAAACGTGAATGGCGCTGCGCGTGGTTAACACGCATCAGACCACCTGCAATTGAGGCTGATTTAGACGCGCCGTTGACGTTGCATGTAATGTCGGTCGCATTCATGAGAAGTGAACAGATCAGGTTGTTTATAGATTAAGACAGGGACACAGTGGCCAGCAAGGATCAGCTTAAGTTGAGATTTAGGGAAGAAAGTCTGGGTTCTGTGATAGGATGCTGCATTCGTGTAAAGGTGTAGGTGTTTAGCTCTATACCAGCCAGGACTCAAAGGAAGGACGTAATTGGATGGTGGTAAGGATGGCTCAATTGTAGCTATACCAGTCATGATTGAATGGAACAATGTGTCGCTCAGCTATCTATATATATACCGGCTAAGACTCAATGGAAGGATGGGTCCTCTAGCTATACCAGCCAGCATTGAATGCAAGGAATTGTCCTTAGCTATCTATATATATACCAACCAGGACTCAATGGGAGGATGGGTCCTCTAGCTATACCAGCCAGGAATGGAAGGCGGGGCCTGAGATGACGGTAAGGATGGGCCCTGAATTCACACCCTCTATGATAGAGAACCAGCTCAGCTCTCACGGAATGGTGGCAAGTCTAAACTGGATTGGCTCGGGGACGGGAGTCTCTTTTCTCGCTGGCCTCAGCTCACGTGGGAAAGAGAGGCAATGGGTTGGTCTTCCTTTCAGACCTGGTGCGGCGTACCCACCGTGGCTGCCAAGGTCTTGTATGGACCTTGGCAGCCACTCCCTGTACTAGCTCACGGCCTACAGACCTACAGACAGAGAGAGTGAGAGGTATACTAGTGTTTTTTTTCCGTTCGGTTAAGTCTGCATTCGAGGTATATTACGCAAAACGGATTTTCGTGACCTGCGAGCGTTGTAAAGAGCGTTTTGTTGAGCCGCTAACTTGGGTTTATAGTTTAGCTGTGGTACATTCTGGTCGAATGGTCAGACGGTGGAGAGAACAAACACGTCTCAGGCATTTGTTTGGTGTGTGTGTGTGTGTGTGTGTGTGTTTGTGTTTCGTGAACGAAGGTTATAGATTCTGAACCGTACCAAGTTGGTTAGTGAAGTATGCAGATTGTGGGCCTATTTGTCATAGTCATGGTGAGGGTGAGCCAGACACTATAGCTGTGGAGGAGTAACTTTACCCAATAAGCCACCTCATCGATATAATCATCCAGTGAGGAAACTTGTGGACCATCACTGCTGGAGGTTACTCAATAAGAAGCAAGACGAGCCCTCCTATGATCCCAAAATTCCCAATGCCCCTGGAGTGTAAACATCGGAACTGAGCAGAGTGACGCCGCCAGCAGCACCTCGGGATACTGCATCACACACAGAGTGCAGCAGCACCCATTGTCGTGTGTGTATGGAGGAGCATGGTTGGGTGGTGTACTGGAGTAATGCAATTGAGCATTGACAGGGCTCTGGACACAGAAACCTTGAGGAATGCCCCCTGTGGGGTTCCTGCCTTCCTGTGGATTCTCTCCTTGCTGGTATTACAGTAGTACTTGAGAGAGGGGGGGTAGGGAGAGGAAGGGGTTTGGGAGTTACTAGGAGAGAGGGAGGAGAGGGAGGAGAGGAGGGAGAAGAAAGAGCCAAGGCATCTGGAAGAGGTTGGACATCCCGACCAATATGAGTGATGGCAGTTCCCCCATGATTTCATAGTCCTGGGAATGCTTTCCATGGTGCTGTAATTGTGTGGGTATACGGTCATTACAGGCAGTATAGTAGGTAGTGAATTCTCAGACTGGAGGACTCCGGAGGGCACCGCAAATGCTGAGAGTCCAAAAAGGCACACTAGTAACTCCAGAAGACACTTAGGTTATGTGCTTTAGTTGTCTTCTGGGTATTGTATGATCTACCTTTGCCTGGTAGTTGTCTGGCTATAGTGGTTCAGCTGTGTGTATGTTGATTAATGGGAAGGAAATTGTCATTTCCTGTTGGTCACATCGGAGCACTTGTCATAATAAACAGGACACTTCTAGGATCAGGACACCTGTGGATTAGCAGGACGTGATACTAGGACACTTCTAGGATCAGGACACCCGTGGATTAGCAGGCCGTGATATCAGGACGTGATACCAGGACACTTCTAGGATTAACATCCGTTATGGACGGAGCCTGTTTTTGCCGAGTGATAATCAGGACACCTTCCTTGTCAGGACCGGGACAGGTTTCCTGTCTGGAAGAGCATCAATTGAATTATGCTAAACAGCTTTACTGGAGCTGTGCTGGCTGACTAGTTACGTAGTCTGGGGGAATGGGATTATCTACTGCACAGGGCTGCACCGCCTGCAGAGACACAGCTGAATTAGACTCGGGTTACTAGAGAAACATCAGATTATGGAGGGCTTGTGTCCACTGGGCACATGTCTCTCTCACCAACTCCTTTTTGTGGCATTATAGGTTTGAGGAAGTAGCAACAAACCATCACAAACTGCAACCAACGGATACACCTCATTGCCTTCCAGAATGCTACTTACCCCAGTTCCTTTAATTCAACCAAGTGTCGTCATACAAGCATTCTTCGGAAGAGCTATTATGCATCTACATCAGCTCCTTGTCCCACACTGTAGTTATATAGCAGTGCTACTTGCCCTCGTGATTGAAACTCCACAACAATACAATCCCGTGTCTTCCAGCAGCAAATGTGTCGTAGTGTCTTACTGCACATCAATTGGGGTGGACACTGGGATCCAGATGTGCCCTTATTGTGCCCCATATGGCCCAGCATGGCCAGAGCCTCCATTTCTACACACACCATAAAACCAACGCCTACTGTTGTCTGCTACACTTTCCACTGCCTCTATCTTTTCGTTGGTGTGCATGTTGAGGTGGTGGTGAAATATACTCTGTTTTGATCTTGTCGATTTCCCGATGTGCGGAAATCAAACCCTGTCGTAATTTTATGGCTAGCACACATGGATGTGAGGCTCTCAGTGTGTGTGCCTGGGATGCGTGCACGAAATTTAAAACTCTGAATAGTTTTTCTCTTGAGTGAAAGTGTGATTGTCAACATTTCCCACCGTATACTATCTTGTGGTTCAAGGTTTCTTGCAACTGAAAGGCAGGGCACCAGGGGGAAGCTTGGATTTCTATTTCGAATGGTTGCAACTTGGGTAGCTTCCTTTGTGGAAAGTACGCTACTTGTTTCAAGATTAGCCATTACAGTGTTATCTCAGCACGGCCAGATCATACCCTGGGTGTGGGTGCCTCCACGTGTGATGTGATGTCTCATTTATGATCTGTGCTCCATTGTTCAGGTGGCGCTTGTGTAAGTAAGTGGCCCTTTGGACTGTCCTGTTCGCAGAGTGCTAAATTCTACTGTAACTGCATGCAAATGGGACTCCACAACTGTTCAGTCATAATCCTCCTGCTCAGGGATAGTGCTACTGTAACTCTATTAGGACAACTGTTCAGTCCTGCTCAGGGAGTGTGTGGTGTAGATAAGAAAATATTGCTGGTTCAGAGTTTATCAAGTCCTGGGAACAATGTAGTACTGTCTCTATTACAGCCCTTGGAGGCAGTATTATGGTGTGGCATCATGTCAGAAATCAGGAGAGGACAATCTAAACAGATAAAACCTCAGGATTTGTGGAGGGGTTTCTGTACTGCTCTCATCATGTGATACTTACATGATTACCACATGTTTATCACATGTTTTTCACTGCAGTGAACAATGGACCCAACTCTTGTGAGGTGGGCAATCCCTGCAATGGATCTACTTGCTACAACCTTGCCAGTGGCGGACACCAGTGCTTCTGCATGGACGGGAAATGGGGCGTCGGTTGCAAATACACCGTATGTGAGATTATGGAGAAACACCTCTTGCCCCCTGCCCGACGATCGCTGTGCCTGGAAACAAGACTTGTGCAATGGCCGCGGTACGTGCATCTGGGACGATGATTTCGACACTACTTACCGTTCACGGTGCCTGTGTGAGCCGGGCTGGGACAGTTCCAACAACTGTCGTAAGGCCAACGGAGTGAGGATGCAGTGCAAGAACAACGGAGCGTGCGGGGACTATGGAGAGTGCGTTTACATCTTACCGGAGGATTATGATGGGGAGGACGAGGAGCTGATATTCGAGGACTATGAGTGCATCTGCGACGGAGGTGAGTTTTAAGTTTCAATTTCGGTTTATTATTACTACTACTGTGTGATTGTTTTTGTGTGGAGCCTAACGCCGTGATACACGAGACAGCTTTTGTTTTGCGGGAGAGAAAGTTGCGTGCAGCTTCAAATGTATGGGTGTGATGGTCCACACAGCTTATTGCACGCTACTGTCTAGCATACCCATATACTTTGAAGTTGTGTCTCAAGCAACAAAGCTGCATCACGCATCATGGCCATTAGCTTAACCTCTTCCTCTCTCTCTCTCCGCACGAATGACGCAGAGCATCAAGGCAGGAACTGCTCAGAGTCGTTCGACATATGCAGTCCAGACCCCTGCGTGTCTGGCACCTGCAACGCCACTCATGACGGTCACTATTTCAAGTGTATCTGCCCGCACAATCGAACGGGCCACCTCTGTGAGAATTTCATCGATCCTTGTGCCTCGCTCGCCTGTCAGAACGGCGGGAACTGCACAACTCTTGTACCTCCCAACCCGGACGGGAGCTACAGCAGCCCCGAAGCCTGGTGCTCCTGCTGTACCGGGTTCACCGGAGGACGCTGCGAGATGTCGACCGATAATCACACCCTCTGTCGACCGAACCCCTGCAGAAATGGTGGCAAATGCCAGCTACTGTCTGATACCTCGTACAAGTGTGAATGTGGGGAGGAGTACACGGGGGTAAACTGCGAGCTACCGAACCTCTGCCATGAGGGGCAGACCACTTGCAACTCGGACACCACGGAAGTTTGTCTTGTGGCGCAGGACGACGGTGAAGTGAAGCAGGTGTGCATCTGTACCGACGGTTGGGGTGGCGACACTTGCACTGAAGATGTCGACGAATGTCTGGGTAGCTCCGCCCCGCTCTGTCTGAACGGAGGAACGTGTGTTAACAATCTCGGAGGACACTCGTGCCGCTGTACCCCGGAGTATACGGGACCGGAGTGCAAGGACTACGTACCCCAGCCGGTCAACTGCAGCTCGACCAATCAGATGTGCAAGAACGGAGGGGAGTGTATGGACCAGGGCCCCGGTGTGATGGTCTGCAACTGCACTAAAGGATTCACTGGGGATTTCTGCGAAATAGTCGGTGAGTGGTTAATATATTCCTTATTACCCACCGTGTGTTTATATAATATACAGTACTGCACCGGTGTTTGTATCGTAATGCTAGAGCCATGGTCAATAGCTTGAACTACTTAACTTGCAGCTTGTATGTTTTAATGCTGCCGTGTGGTCATACCCTCATCAGGGGGGTATACTTGCACCTGTGTTTATGCTGGAGCGCCTTTTTAGGATTAAAAAACTGTGAGTGTGTCTCACCGTGACATGTAAATGTCTCCCATATGCAATGATGTATATAGCCTGCCTTTTTTGCACTAATGCTTAGCGTGCATGTTGTTCCTGGTGAATATGTTTGCTGAGACAACCGCAAGCTTGTATATACTTCAACTCCCACCTAGGATCATGAATGACGTCTTGTGGCCTATACGTTATCTGCAGTTGTAGATAACATATCTGTTTGTCTAATCTCTCAGGCCATGTTTTTCATTACACTTGGAGCGTAATTCTGTCACCAAAGGGTTACCTTGTTGTGAATGCGTCTAGTGCTAATGGGGTTAATTGACGAGGTGTTTCAATGAATGCGGGTGCCGGGCTGTGAATAATTGGCCGTGTTTTGAGATGAGATTTTTGTTCCCATGCAGCTTGCCAACACGATTACTGCGAGGAGCGGGGCCGGAACAGCCAGTGTGATGTAAGTCCACACCTCTTCCACATCTCTTCCTTTTCACTTCCTCCTGGCATACTTTGCTTGCTGCACTCTACTAGCAATGTAGCCTCTCCTTCATCTTATAGTACACTACAATACACATACAGTACTTGGCTACCAGTCTATGAATTTTCTCTACGGAGCAGGTTTTTGGTGCCTTTCAGCTTCAAGATCTTGTTCTCTATCTTTCTTCTCTCCTGCATGTGTACAAACATTAACCCTTCTCTCCCTCCTTTCTCCCTCCCCCTCGGCCCCTTCTCTCCTTCCTTCCTCCCCCTCTCCTTTTCTCTATTCCCCCTCCCCCCCTTCTCTCTCCTTACTTCCCCCCCTCCCCTCTCTGCTAACAGTTGGAATGTTTCAACGAAGAGTGTGGATATGACGGAAGGGAAGGTCTGTGTCTCCCGAACAACACCCAGGATCCCTGGGAGAACTGTCCTCAACCGGCTCACTGCCGCCAGAGAGCCAACAACAGCCAGTGTGATCCTGATTGCAACACCAGAGACTGTCTCTATGACTTCCACGAGTGTGTGCCTTCGCCAGAGGAGTGCCCTGCCGATATAACGTGAGTCACCAGAGAAATAATATTAAGTGTTGCCCTATATACAGCATTGAAAGATTGAGGTTGAACGATTGTGGTTTTCAGAGTACATAAATCAATCGTGATTCGCCAGAGAACTATTAAGTGTTGCATTGAAGGTTGAGGTTAGTGTTTGTGCATGAATCTACTTCACTTCCTGGTTAACCCTAGGCGCGCATGCACAGCGAGGGTTACAGTACTTGGTTTTACATGAAAGTAAGGGAAAAATTTCGTGGCTTTTGGTTTTTCAAATCCCTCTTTATATCACTACTCGATGAGATGGAAATCTCTTTTTCTTTTTTTCTACTCGAGGGATGTGATGTAATGGTAATGACCTTAATAGGGGTTGGTATGCATGTTCCTAACGAGACGGTACAAATATCCGCTGGCAGCGCGTGTTTCGGAAACCCAATTACCCCATTCTCCCACCCCACCTTGCCCACCGCCCACCTTCGCCCCTCACCCCACCAAACTTCACATTCCTCCGTTCCCTTTCCCGTGCATGGTGTGTACATTCCACGACTCACCGGTTTAGCGTGCTTAATCACAATTTGTGAATTCTGTTCCTTGGCCGGCTCTCTCGTGCTGTGTGTTTTGACTGTCCATCCACCTGCTCGTATCAGTCCATTGTAAGAGAGGGAATCAACTTTGCTTTTAGCTCTGTTGGCCGATTCTGCCACAAAAAGTTGCAATTGTAAACAGAATTAGGGGACGGGTTTTGGACCCAACCCTTAACAAAACAGTCCCCACTATTGTAGCAATTCATCATTGTATCATCATACAACACGATACTGTACTTCCCCGGTGTAAAGGCCATGTGCGGTGTGTGTGTGTGTGTGTGTGTGTCTGTGTGTCTGTATGACCCAGAGACACACAGACTGAATGGAAAGTGGGCAAGAGCCCTCGCCTGAATGCAGCAAAGCCGGGGGCCCTGTTTGTTTATACTGTTATTGGTGCATGCAAAGCCCAAATGAAGCTCAATCGCGCCGTTTAACGACATAATGTGTTTTCGAGGGTAGTTGTGTCTGGAGCACAGTGTTTTTCAGGAGAGGCTCTATTCACCGGCTAATGAAGTGTTGGGTAACAGTCCCTGGGAAGAGGGTGTGAGAGCTGGTAACTCTAGCCCAGGGATCGAGCCATAGTTGCACTAAACTGTAAGGTTTTACTTGGCATATTGGGGCTGTTAGATTATACTTGTTGTACGGTAGGTTGTAGTGACTGTTTGTTGAGGGCGGTTAATTTTTCGTGTGTGATTCGGTTGGTAACTAAGGAGTATGTGGGTGTTGACTACGTGGGATGTGGTACTTGTACTTTCTCTCTCTCACACACTCTTTCATTTACTCCTTCTGTCTTCTCCTCTCCTCTCTCTCCCTCTCTCTCTGCACGAGCAGCGAGCTCTGTCAAAACCAAACTGCCACGTCCTGTGACGAAAGCTGCCACCTGCCAGTCGTCGTATGACTCAGGATGACTCTGCACTCGGAGAATATGTGAGTCTAGAACACCAACAAACTGTACCTCTCCACTGCTAGCATTACTTGCCAGATGACAGACCAGCATATACACTAGCGTTACCCCAATATCAGAGAACAAAATTCAAAGCGATTTTTGCCTACCTACTCACACATCCGTTGTGCATCTCTTAAATAAAACCCCTCATTTCTTCATCTATTCTCCACTTCACCACACATCAATAGGGCGAACACCCCTTCACCCACGCACACGCAGCTCAGGGATAGAGTGGTGGTGTACATTCTGGGCTCGGCTGGCCAGACTCTCTCTCAGAACAAAGACGCCCAGAGACGATTCGAGGAGGCCATTGGCGCCATCACCAACACAAACCCAGTCATCGAGACCGTCGAACTGCTCAGCGAAAAGCAGGGAGAGGAGGAAAAAATAGACGTGCCCGAGGGACAAAAGTGAGTGTTGAGAAGTATCTACTTAGAATGTTTGGTAGGTGTATCGTAGTGGAACTAACAGAGTTTGCAAGAAAGTCAGTATTTGCCAGTCTTAGAGACTCACCTTTTTAACGCCCGGGGAAATGGGGTGAGAGTGTAAGGATTCAGACGGCTGTAATTTTGACTGCCCCACAATCGCTGTTTGGTCTTTGTGAGGGTAACTAGCCTGTGTATGTATGTGGGAGCCTATGTATTTGAGAGCCAATTGTGAGCCTAAGTACGAACAGTATATGTGCCTGGAGCCTGCGTGTGTGAAAGTATAGGAGTCCGTCTGGAGGCTGTTTACTTGTATTTCCCGATGAACTTAGCTCCATTTGTGAATTTCAAATCTCTTTCTTTTAGCCTCTATCGGGTGACACTGAGGTTGGACACGGAGTACTGCTCTGACCAGTGCATAAACTCAGTAGAAGAGGTATGAACACATTCGTGCAATGCATCTACTGCATATGTCATCCTTACTCCAAGAGCTGTAGTGTACGTGCATATTCGGCATCCCCGTGATACGTGATACATCTGAGCCATTATCAGCATGTTGTGGGATTGAACTGTTTGTGTCGGGCCCTCTGAATGGGAGACGCTAGCCGTCCTTTCTCAAAGGACATTCTGCTTGCCCGAGCACTGTTAGTGTACGGTACGGGCGACACCCCTGCACGTGTTCTCTACTGCTCACTGCGTTTGTTTACACTCCGCTTTCCTTTAATGTCCGCCTTTGTTCTAAGCTTACCCTCTCTCTCCCTCCCTACTCTTCCTCCCCCTCTCCCTCCCTCTCTCCCTCCCTACTTTGTGTGTGCTTGTTTGTAATTCAGGCGGTAAAGTTCTTGAACGCGTACTATGCATCTGGGAACAAGGATATTGCCGGGTTCAGCTATGTCAGGAGCGATAGTAAGTTGATTGATTGGAGCCCTTTGATGAGAGACACTAGCATGCGTGTTTCCCAGACACCAGCACCCTTTTATCATCGTGTTTACTCTTTCTCCCTTCTCTCCTTTCTCTCATTTCTCTCTCTTTCCCCTCTCTCCCTCCCTCTCCCCCTCTCCCTCCACTAGCAGCTGAAGAAGGTCCAACCGAAGGTCCAACCACAGGAACCACCAGCTCTACAGTCACTGCCATTGTCGTCACCTTCATAGTAGTCGCCTTCCTGGGTGTCTTTGTGGTCGGAGGTGTCCTCGTCGGCAAGAAGCGAAAAGTCATCCGGTGAGTTCTGCAGTGGTTAGGACTAGATATAGAGTAGTGTGTGTAGTGTGTGTACATGTATATCTGGGGCTGTATACCAGTATGGAGCTATGTATATAGGATCAACCGTGGAATAAGTGTAATAATTACCAGGGGCAAGCCTTTAAGTTTGTTGCCGTTTTTTTTATAGAAATAATAGCTACTGTGTGAAGTCCAATTTGTAGAAGCAGTTAATTAAAACACTTTGGACACCACCCGTACAACTGCGCAATTTATCTGCATATGCGAGTCGCAGAATTATGCTTTCGCGTAGTGCACGATTACATGCCATTTAAAGTGGCACGTGGCGTTGCGCAGCTATTGGGTGAGTATCATCTAACGGCCGCGTGGTGTGCATAGTGTTAATACTCCATCTCCCTCTCTCCCCCCTCGCTCCCCTCTCTGATCCTCAGAGCAAAGATCTTCTACCCGGGCCAGTCTCAAGTCGATGATTCCACCCACGACAGATCCCCGCCCAACAAGAAGAGGAAGGTGGCCCAAACGGACCTGGCCTCCGGAACACTTGTCAGCAGCACCGAGGAGTCCTCCATTACGTAAGCAAACACCTCTCTTTGGGTAGTGCGGTTTTTTTCTGGCACTTAAAATTTTCTTTTAGGCAGTGCAATTAGTTTTGAAAAGCACAATTCACCAATGTCTCAGTACACCCTCAGTACATATGCATGCTACATTGCCTTGGCTAATGCAGTGAGCATGAATCTATAGCAATTATAGCTGTGCCACATGCATATTCGCTCGAGGTCAGTATGTATATTTCCCATAGTACATCTGGGCATGTGTCGCACGTGAAGAATAGACTTGTTTTGCCCACTCCGCTATTCATTCCATCCGCAAGCAATTTCACACCTGCCAAAATGAGGTCTGGTTTCCCGGAGACACCCGTTGCCACAACATCCCCATCTTCCTCCTGTTTTCACTTCCTCCCTTTTCTTCTCCTTCCTCACTTCTCTATCTCTCTCTTTCTTCAGTACCTCCTGTATATACTATTCTCTTTCTCGGTGCTTCCTGTTACCCTTTTACTGATTTTCTACACCTGCAGGGCTTCCTGTGCGTCGGGGGACTACATCAGAGATGGTTCCAAAGCTGCAAAAATGGAAGGGATCGTCTAAGATCACCTGGGCCGACTACAAGGTGCCCGTGGGTGACTCCCCCGGTCACGACCCCTCAGACGTGGCAGTCGTCTCCCAGATCGGGAAGGACTCGCGAAAGTGGAACTACCTGCACTACAGCGCCGTGCGCAACCCCGAGATAATGCGGGGACTTCTAGAGAAATGCCGCGGAGACGACTCCAAGAAGTGGGACGTTAACACCCCAGGCCCCGGAGGGTACACCCCGCTCATGCTGGCCGTCACCCAAAAGAGCTCCGACAGCTTCCCCCTCCCGTCTCGCAGCAGCAGCTCGTCCGAGTCATCTGGCGAGCATACCGAACACAACGGTCTCCTCTTCTCTCCCATGACAAAGGCGATGCAGTTTGTCCCTCACTCCGATACCAGCAGCCCCTCTGGCTCTTTCACCGGTTCTCCCTTCAACTGCTCCGTGGACGTTCTCCTCAGCACCAGGGTGAAGCTGGACGCTACGAATGACTACGGTCGTACTGGGCTCCACCTCGCCGCCGTGTGTGCCCGCGGGGACTACGTGAAGAAGCTACTCGCGGCAGGGGCAAACCCGAACGTCCAGGACAACTGGGGTCAGAGTGCACTCCATCGCTGCAATCGGAGCTGCTGCCGAGGGAGCCTTTCAGGTGAGCTGACGCGGCGGACCAATTGGAACAATATAAACAAACATTAGAACACTGTCCAGTGGCGGTTCCAGGGGGGTTCCTTGGGTTCCGTGGAACCCCCCTTTCTATCGTTTTGGGTGCATGCGTCGCCGGCCTCATGCGTGTGCACGAGCACAATAAAAATGTTGGACAGCGGGAACCCCCTTTCAGATCCGCCACTGATGTCAGAAGATAGAAGCGTATAGTTTAGCTAAGAGTGTAACTCTGAGTGTGTATATATAGGGCATGGCAGTAAACTGGCCAGAAAGCAGTAGGGGGCTAGAATTTCATTGGGAAAAGCTCTATGGGTGACCCTCTCCCGCAAAAGTGTGCCGCAACGCTCATAGTGTACATGCACATATACACTGTGCACCCATATGACTTGACCCTCTATGTCTGGCCTTCCACAGATGCTACTGGATTTCCCCAAGACAGATATCAATCTAAAGAGCGACGGAGGGATCACCCCTTTGATGGACGCCGTGAAGACCACCAACATGTACATGGTGAAGCAGCTTGTCAAGAAAAACGCCGACATATCTCTCGCTGACTATGAAGGTAGATACACCTCTAGGACCCAACGTTGCAAAAGATTGCATGCGCATCCCCTCCCCCTTCCACTTTTGCTATAAATGACACTTTTGCAATGTATCCTTCCTCCTCCCTTTTCAGGTCGTACTGCAGTGCACTGGGCAGCCATGACGGAGAATGTAGAGGCCCTGAAGCTGCTGATCAGGCAAGGCCCAGACACCATCAAGGACACGCAGGATAACAAGGTTTGTCTGAGAACTTGGCAGTGTATGGCACAACAATCCGCTCAGACACGGCCCCAATGAATCCATCAGTTGGCTGGCAGTTGGCCCATTCTAATTGTCCACAGCCTCCAGGCTTGTTTCAATGTACATTATAGCAGCACACACTTCCTCATGACGTATGATATAGGTTGGGTTGCGTAGCCAGCACTTCTGATATATGCATAGACCTACTCTAACTTCTGTTATCAGAAGAGTGCCATGGTGATTTCAATCATGTGCCAAATCATCTGCTCATCATAGTCAAAGTAGGACATGCAAAGGGATCCGTGCACGTGTGCGTCCTTCCATCTTATGTTGGTGGGCTCTATTTGGACCTTCCAAGCATGCAAAATGTTAACGCGGTATTGCCTGTTGATTTGACCCCTTTCCTCCACTCTCCAGGGTCAGACGGCGCTGTTCCTGGCCTGCAGGGAGGGAGCCACCGAGTGCACCCGCCATCTTCTGGACGTCTTTGCCAACGCCACTCTTCTCGACAACCTGGACCGATCTCCAATGACGATTGCCTTTGAGCGCCAACACCTGTATATCATGGAGATGCTCAAGTCTCACGGGCCGTACCACTACCAGCTCCCAGCCAGCGGACGACACGGAACAACCGTTCCCCACCACGTCCAGATGGCTCACCAGCACCACGAGATGGCTCTGAGGCAGCAGCAGCAGATGTCCCAGCAGCAGGCGTACGCGGCCTACCCCCACCCCCCAACCTCCCACCACAACATGATGGTGGAGATGCAGTCAATGCCTCCGGCTCTGGAGCACTACCCCGGACCGGAGATGCAGCTGCCTCCACGCGGCCAGACCTTTGGGGATGTGGGGTACCCCGTGTCTTCTTCCATGGACCTCGGACTCCCGGGGAGTGCCTCGTTCAAACAAATGAACACCTCTCTCTTTTTCTCGAACCACGCCACCGAGAATGGCGGAGTCCACACCCCCACTGCTGCCATTCCTCAACATTTCTACCCTCCCTCGACCTCTTCCCAGCTTCCAGTGACCTCTGCCGAGCATCCTTCCCCTCCTACCACCTACCACCAGCACTCGTCTCCTCCAACTCTAGTGCCAACCACCATGTCTGATCTCCAACCCACTGCCATCCCCACCAGCTACTCCCAGCCTCACCCCGTCTCCTGCGGGGTAGACCCCACCACCGCCTCTTACTCCGCTTACCCCACCTCCGCGGGGCATTTCCCGGTCACGAGCAGCACCAGTGACTCCGAGCAGAGGATGGTGAGCGAGCTCATCACCTCCATCTCTGACTCTTCTCCTCCTCAGCAGCAGCTACACTCACCACCTCAACAGCAACCGCACAGTGCCAGCTCCGTACACTCTAATAGGAGCCCATCAGCCTTCTACCCCTCTCCACCTAATTCAGACACTCTTCAACACTCGTCGGAAGTGGCCCAGCAGAACGGGTTAATGGCAGGGGCTTACCACCATGCCAGTCCGCCAAGCCTCACCCCCTCTCCCGAGGGACGAGACGAGACTCAACATAACATTACGACAATAGAGGGTCTAGTTCAGCAGCACGACTACCCCAGTGTGCTGTACGGAGGGGCTGCTGACTCCTATAATTACGGTGGTATCAGGTTTACACAGGACTACAGTACTGAAACCACCGTATAGATTGAGTACACATGCACTGATTATATATAGAGCACATTTTCTTGTCACACTGTTGGATTGTCATCATTCTATTACTGAAATAAAACACCTATGTTGTTGTACCATTCACATTCATTGTACATTCCCTTTGCTGTTCTCTAATGAAACTTTTGAAGAATGTGTCTTGAATGCATAATATTTCTTTGCTTTGGGTCTCTGTACAAGAGACAAAATGGCTCTTGTGAGCAATGAAAGCTATATATATATACGTCCAGGAGCTAGCTGATGCTTTGCAGCACAGGACGAGACGAGACCCAACATAACATCATGACAATAGAGGGTCTAGTTCAGCACCACGACTACCCCAGTGTGCTGTACGGAGGGGCTGACTCCTATAATTATGGTGGTATCAGGTTTACACAGGACTACAGTATACATGTACCTCGTGCACTGCACATTTTATTGTCACTATTTGGTATTACTGGACATTGAGCACTTGCATGCGTCAACGAGGTAGACAGGCAAAGGCACAGCAAACAAGTCAACTACACCCAGGGCAGTTCTTTTTTTCGAACCCACGACACTGCAGTCAAGACGAGTGCCCTACCAACTGAGCTACCATGGCAACTCAGCTGGTGGGGGTTCAAATCTACACAATACAACCAAAGGTAAACCTTAAAGGGAATGTGTCAGTATAAAGGCGAAATTTAGAAATGTTACTGAAGATAGAACTAAACAATGGACCCAGTGATAATGCTATTAGGTTACCGGTAGTAACAATTTCTAAATTTAACCCTTATTATACTTCCACATTCCCTTTAAACCACTGTGCTATGGCAGAGCATGACAGAGCTGTTCTTGTACTGTCTGCAGAAAAAGTTAGTGCCACAATTGTAATCCAGCAGACAGAATACGTGCTACCATGTTCATTCATCGAGCCTTGCGCACCCCTTCTCTCACAAGAAATATGCAGAGGGCTAATAATACTACATTATTAAACATCTGTATGTCCATATGCACGATGAAATTATACAAGGTTCACTGCTATTATGGATCTCCGTATTCTTCACCCATTTGCGGTCTTCTGGTGAAGGATCTTCTCCCCATCCTGACTTTAATATTAGACCATAATCAGCGATATCTACAGTGCCACTTGCAACAGCCTCATGGAAGGCCTTGATATTCTCTGCGTCATCGTGTAGTAGCACAATGTGCCATGCTGGACGACCTCGGTCTTTTCCTCGAACTAGTAAATTTTCGGTGATTAATTATTTGTCTAACCTTGGACCAGACGGCAGATGAGGCAACACTGCACTGCTCCTCCTTTCCTTCCCCACACCTCACCATCGTGAAATCGACACCAATTGTCTTCTGCTCAGCACTGAGCTCTTTGCCAAAGGCGTAGTGAAACACATATCCATCTTCCAGTTCCATGGCTCGTGTGGTGTAGGCTAGTTCAGCTGAGTCTTGGCCTGTCCGACATGATGCTGCAACCTTCAGAAGAATGCCCTTCTCCCTGGCTGAGTGTCCACATGGCTTCACTCCCTGCTCATCCAGGAACTTGGCACACTCACTCACCCACCGTCCTGAGGAGTGACAGTCAGTGACTATGGCGAGACCTCGACCACGGCTGTGTTTCATGTAGAGATCAGCAATGTCTCTGAAGGTGATGAAGCCATCTCTGAAACTCCAGTCACCAGTGTTCCTCCGACCATTGCCATAGTAGTGTAACACAACTGTGCAATAAAGAAGGTAAAGAGATTAAGGATCTCTGGTTACATATCCCAATCCTAACCTCCTGCTGTTTTTGTTTTTGAATTTATTAGTAAAAACTTGATCTGCTCCAGTATGTAGCTGCGGCTCAGTTCCATTCCAGGTCTACTGACTTGGACTGAGAACACATCATAATACTCTGTCTTGTTGTAGAGAGCCAGTAGAGCATTTAAGTTGCTCCACTGGTCTGGAGGTAGAGCTAGCTCTGCCAGTACTTGACGATCATCATCTGATAGATCAGCTGGCAATTGAGGGACCACTGACTCATTGGAGTGTGAAGTCAGTGATCCCAGTATCATAACTGCCCTTGTACCCTATAGAACACAACATGATGGGAGGGTGTTGGAGGCACAATTTGGGCTGTCAAGCTAGTAAAAGCAACGCCCACTTAACTCACCCCAGATACCATTGATTTATCTTCTTTCTCATCAGCTGCTTCTTCACCTCCCCTAATGATATGACACTCTCATTGAATGTGCTATAAACTTATAATAATTTTACATTGACATGGTTGCATATCCAGTGGAAAGTGTGCTCAATGATTCATCTGATCTACTTCTTATTAGTCTCCCTGCATTATAGGAGTTATATAATATATACATACAGTGTATATCGACCATTCTGCAAAAACCATTACCTTGTAATTGGCCAGTTGCATCAAAAACTCTCTTTTCCTTCTGCACACATGAAACATACAAATTTAGACAAATTTCCTCACTGGTTATTGTGGTATATATACCATAGGCAGGAACATCTCAGTCTCAGCTTCATCCATTGTGTAGACTGTCCTCTCCTCCGGTGGTCGTGACAGTATCTCGCTGGCTAACGGCATTCCACGGAGAGTGGCCAGCACATGACCAGCCACCGAATACGGGATGAGCAGAGTGAAAATAGTGGAGCCTCCGGGATTGCTCTTGTGGGTACGAACGGTGTGAGGGTGCAGTCCACACTGTTCAGCCAATGATCGCTGGACGAGACGAGAATCGTAAAGCTTGTGCTGTGAACCTGAAAGATGGACGTCCATAGCAACCGAGTCGGGTCGTGGGGAGCACAGCTGCAGGGCAGTGAAGTGATCGATTCCAATCTCCTTCTCAAACTCATTCATATCAGCTATGTACGCTTTCATTTCATTCACGAGAGCGACGTTTCCTTTTGCGAATTCCTGGACCACATATTCCAGGAGCTCATAGTGGACAAAGGTCCAATACTGATTCAAAACAATGATTACTTGAATGATCTTCGTGGCTGATGCAATTACTAATTGATCGCCAGGCGATATAACAATGTGGTGGCCGTTCAGCGATGCCGGCAAATAGCTAATAGCAACTTTAAAATCATCAAATTCCTCGGTGGTTGTAATAACCCCAGACAAATATTGCTGGGTTTTACGAACAAGAGTTCGAAAGTGGGAGTCTTTTTGTTTAGACCTTTCCTGAACACTTGGATCTGCTATTTTCTCTAAGGCTGGAATGCAAGAAAGTGTAGCACCATAATTATGTCATTTCTAAAGTTTACAGCTACAGTATAATATAATAATATTCTTAATGCTATGGTTGTGTTCACAACCAGTGAAATATTTACCGCTTATTAAACTTGGTCTAGCTCGAGACGTGGTGATAGAACCAATAAAAGAATCATCATTATCGAATAAAACAGGAGACCTTGCAGAGACAACTGGAACATCCATCACTACAAAGAGAAAATTTGTATTCGGTACAACACGGCAAGGACCTATCTCACATGACTCAGCCCCAGGACTCAGTGGTCCACTTGACACACTGTCAGTATCAGAAACTGCAAGACAAAGACAAAGTCATCCCAATTTAGCAAGAACTATAGCTAGTTACATACTTACTAGGAGTAGTAACAGATATCAAATTGTCATCAGTTTTATTGTTGGAATGAGCACTTTCAGAATCTGATTAAAGATATATAACAGAACCTTCACAGAATCATACTATAAGTGCTGGCATAGCTACCAGGCACAGCAGTTGGAGTAACAACATTGCAAAACTTCTCTTCGATCTCTGCAGCTTTTTTCTTCTCATCAACCACTGTAGATTGCAAGACAACCACAAGCCTCTCCCACGTTGGAGGAGGGTTGATCCCTTTTAGCCACGTAGACAGCATGGTCTCTAGACAATCATAGTTGTTCCCGCTCATTGCCTCGAGATCAGACTTGGGAACGGACAGCCCTAGCCCTATTCTTTTCCACTTTGTCCTTTTATCATACAACTCATTCACAAGATCCCAAAGAGATTTCTCATCTAAAACAGCTGAACAACAAAGAAACTCGGTGGTATACCGCGCATAAGGCAGGTTATAACTAAGCTTACCAGCACCTGTAGACTGCATCTCCGCCATTATTATTATACCAAGAAAGGGTGGGGGCTTGTCACGCCTAACGCGCGGCGCGCAAGCCGACCCGCTATATATACACACCCCCGTGCGCGTCCGACTGTCCGTCCCCCCGCCTTGAGCTCCTCATCCATGAATAATGTTGGCGAGGGAAGCGGCGTATAGATGCGGGTATATACGGAGACCCAACATAACAATAGAGGGTCCAGTTCAGCAGTACGCAGTGTGCAGTTTTAGGAACATAACAAAGGAATACAGTACTAAACCAAAATATGCAAATAACTTCTCTCAACTATCAGTCAATGTGTATGTTTTTTTAAATAGTACAGTAGCACGAGGAACCACACTCCATTATATCCTCTAACTGTTATTTTTCGGTGTTCTAGTATCAATTCCCCAGCAGTGGACCAGGTGGCATCTGAAGCAATACTCTTCCATTCACTTTCTAAATCTCACTTGTCAGCAAGGAGGGTAGTGATACACATTTCCTTCGAGGAACTGGTGAAAATCCCCAGTGATAAAGGGCGCCCTACTCTTTTTCCAATACTCATTGAAGGTGGTCCAGCACACACATCATAGTGATGACAACGGTCTACAACTACGGCTTTTCTTTGGACGAAGAGACAATGCATAATAATTATTATTGAAACTACAGTCAATACTACAGTCAATACTACAGTCAATACTACAGTCAATACTACAACAATCAATAATGTCTACAGCTGTGTCACTGGATGGCTTTCTACCAGGTCGAATCTGGGGCAATGCTGCACTTTTCCTCCTTTCCCTTCCCACACGTCACCTCGGTGAAATCAACACCAAACGTACGTTGCATAGCACTGAGCTCTCTGCTGGTGGAGTGGTGCATCATTCCATCTTTCACATACATGGCTCGTGTGGTGTAGGCTAGTTCTGCTGAATTTTGGCCTGCCTGGCATGATGCGAAGACCCTCAGAAAATATCTCTTCTCCCTGGCTGAGTGTCCACATGGCTTCACTCCCTGCTCATCCAGGAACTTGGCACACTCACTCACCCACTGTCCCTGAGGAATGACAGTCAGCGGCTATGTTGAGGACTTGACTGCGGTTGTGTTTCATGTAGAGATCAGCGATGTCTCTGAATGTGATGAAACCATCTCTGAAACTCCAGTCACCAGTGTTCCTCCAACCATTGCCATAGTAATGGAGAACAACTGAAACAGTAATTGTTACTACACTGGAGACTCTTGGAAAACAAGTTGCTAACCAGTCTCTTTTGTATTTTTGAGAAGAAACTCGATCTGCTCCAGTACATAGACACGCCTCAGTTCCATTCCAGGTCTACTGACTTGGACTGGCAATACCACCCACTTAGTCTTGTTGTAGAGAGTCCCATAGAGCATTGAGGTTGTCCCACTGGTCTGGAGGTAGACCTAGCTCTGTCAGTACTTGACGATCATCATCTGATATGTCGGTCGGAGTCTGGGGGACCACATCTGGATGGAGTGTCTTTCCAGTAGTTGAACCAATAATCATACTTGCTACAAGCTAAGAAAAACCCCTAAATCCCCAATATGAGAGAAAACTATAGTCCATACCTTCTTTTGATTAAAAATCTTGATCTTTTCCTTAAGTATCTGCATGATAGCTTGATGCTCCTTCTCTGAAGTTGCCATTTCTACAGCAATTAAAGCGTACAAAGGCACGAAAAACCCAGAGTCATACAGGGAAAGATAAAACACACGGACAGTACTACACCTGCATATTTGGCCGTCAAGATGAGACAATAATGTGAAGTTTCAGGTTCACATATGTACTTTACTAATTGATAATTGACAAACTACAAACCCTGTAATGTTATGATTCGTTGTGTGGGAAAACATGCACCGACACATTCCTTACTGGGGTGATGGCTTCAGAAAGCAAAAGAAAGCAAAAGAAAATTAATGTCGTTGGTAGTCAGTTTACCATGGAAAAGAGAAACAGAGGGATATAGAATTTTCTAACACAAGTTGCCCAAAACACTGCAATGCAGCATAATTGGGCAGCCCACCCTCTTACACAACAGCAACCAAGTAATGCGCTCACACTGTATACAGTGGGGACTACTTTCTTTGCCAAAAGCCCTTGTGTGAAACATAGCGGAAGACCAAGTGCCCATGTTTACATACATGGGCTGATGTTAAAAGTGCTTTAGCGTTACTTTTACATTTCAAAGATCATCCCAGACGCCTTTAAATAGGAAGTTAGTAGCTACTCAGCCCCAGCACTGTATGCATGTGCGTTATTACAATCTACAAAGTTATCACATGATTGACTGCCTGATATGGAGGCAGTGTTGACAAAGTACATTCCATGGCATTTACTTATTTCCACAAACCTTCATTTTCTCCCCAAACATGATCTGTCACTTGTTCAGCAGTTGGCCAAGAGGCACTACCGCACTCCTCCTCAGTGAAGTCAACACTAAATGCACGCTGCTTAGCACTTAGCTTTTTGTTATGGTAGTATTCCACATATCCATTTTCTCCCAGTTCCATGGCTCGTGTGGTATGAGCTAATTCTACAGAGTCTTGGCCTGCCTGACATGATGCGAAGACCTCCAGAAGAATGCCCTTCTCCCTGGCTGAGTGTCCACATGGCTTCACTCCCTGCTCATCCAGGAACTTGGCACACTCCCTAACCCACCATCCAGAGGAATGACAGTCAGTGACTATGGCGAGGACTCGACCACGGCTGTGTTTCATGTAGAGATCAGCAATGTCTCTGAAGGTGATGAAGCCATCTCTGAAACTCCAGTCACCAGTGTTCCTCCGACCGTTGCCATAGTAGTGGAGAATCACTGGAGAAATATGACAATAAATGTATCTAAGTGTTATAGGTGTAAAAAGGCAAATAACTTTTCGTTTTGTTCCTGAATTTCTAAAAAAATATTCAGTCTGCTCCAGTATGTAGCTGCGGCTCAGTTCCATTCCAGGTCTACTGACTTGGACTGAGAACACATCATAATACTCTGTCTTGTTGTAGAGAGCCAGGAGAGCACCAAGAATATCTCGCTTATTTGGTGGCAGACCAAGCTCCGCTAGCTTAGAATGATCTTCATTGGTAAGATCAGGTGGTGAGTGGGGGACTACCTCCTCATTATCTGACGATGGTGGTGTAATTGAACCAATAACTGCAACTGCTGCCCTCTTTTTCTGTAAAGGTTCAAAGGATTATTCTAGGTGTAGTAAGAGCATTGCCCTTACCTGCAGTTCATTGTCGATTTTCTCTTCTAGCTCCACTATTTCCTTCTTGCACTTTTCCAGCTCATCGTTACTGCCCTTCTTTTCATTCTTGCGCTGTTCCAGCTCATCGTTCATGTCCTTCTTGCACTTTTCCTGCTCATCGTTACTTTTCCCTTCTTTTCATTCTTGCACTGTTCCAGCTCATCGTTCATGTCTTTCTTCCACTTTTCCAGCTCATCCTTCTTTTCATTCTTGCACTGTTCCAGCTCATCATTGATGTCTTTCTTGCACTTTTCCAGCTCATCGTTACTGCCCTTCTTTTCGTTTTTGCACTGTTCCAGCTCATCGTTCATGTCTTTCTTGCACTGTTCCAGCTCATCATTAGTGTCATTCCTTTCCTTCTTGGACTGTTCCAGCTCACTGCTACACTTTATCTTGCACTGTTCCATGTATTCCTCTAAACTTCTTGTTCCTGTAGATCAACACAAATAAACTCTCAGAGTGTCATCAAACTCCTACCTTTCTCATGTTGGAAGATTTCCTGACCTCCATGGCAGACTCCCTCCCCCTCTTCTGCCAAAAAAGGTAGCCTGGGCAGAACTTGGATAAAAATCAGCAGTAAAAGAGCTGCCAACAGAAATATCTTTGCACTGTAGCCCCACATCTTCAATTGGATAAAACATTATAATTTTAACTATTTTGGAAACAAGCTTCAACTAACCCTGGATTTTGCCGTTGCACCGTCTGTTTGTGTTGTATTATCAACTTTTAAAATCAAGACTTCGTGTGCTACTTGCTCAACCCCTACCCTCCCTCCCTCATTCACCCCTCCCTCGTACCCTGCCTCATTTCCCTCTGATGCCAGACTCCCCCTGACTTCCTTTTCCCTCTGCTGAGCTGCTTCTTCCTTTTTCTGTAATTCATTTTCTAGCTTATTCTTCTCGCATAGCACACGATTACATTCCTCATCCATCTCGATTTGTTGATCGTTCATGATTAGCTGGAGCTCTTCTTTTTCTTTTACCAGCAACTGGGTTGCTAGTTCCTTTTTTTCCATCTGCACTTGATGCTGCTTTTGCTCTCTCTTGAGCTTTTCTACCTGTTTCCTCTTGAGATCTTCCAGTTCCTTCTTGAGCTTGTCTCCCTGCTCTCTATTGAGATCTTCCAGCTCCCTCCTGTGCTCCTCCTGCATCCTCTTTAGCTCCTCTCTGATATTTTCTCGCTCTATTTTGGCTTCATCACACTCTCTCCTGATATTGCGTTGCTCCTGTTTGTTATCTTCTCGCTCTTTCTCAATGGCTCGGACTAAGTCAAGTTTACTCATTTCAAGGTGTTCTGTCGAAGTCTCTGTTTTTGCAGACTGCAAGAGAGCCAGCATGGCTTTGACTTCAGGCCTTTTCGTACGGTTGTCATCAAGGCACTGCTCTACTGCTTCAATCAGACTCTCATGGCCCTTCACCACCTCACGCAACTCCTTTAGGAAGGGGTCTCGACGCTGTCCTTCAGAGCGGAAAACAGGCTTCCCCTCCTCGGTTGATTTTACGGGTAAAGGCTCAGGAAACTTTTGTATCAAAGTGAAAAGGGCCAAAACACCAAAGGAGAACATATCAAGGGATTTCTCATACGTTTTCCCTTCTGATTCAGGGGGCATGTAGGATGGATTTCCTGGCCTCCTGGTTAGTTGATTTTCTCCATCAGGAATGAGGCGGGCCATGCCGAGATCAGCTATCTTGGCGACCATCGCTGAATTGAGGAGGACATTGGGTGCGGTAAGATCACGGTGGATGATGGGAGGAGTCTGAGCATGAAGGAAATGAAGACCCGAAGCTACATCGTGAAGGATGGAGAATTTGAGACCAAGTGGAATACTTGTGGGTGACTGGTCGAGCATAGAATGCAGATCGATAAAAAGCTTCTCTGTTGCCAGACCGAGGGTAGGGGTGCCTCGGACGACAATCTCGCACACTCCGAGAAATTGCACAATGTGCGGATGGCGCAAGCGGCCTATCACTTTACACTCTCGGAGAAACTTCTCCTGTATTTGCTCGGGACTCTGCCAGTCCCTATCTTGCTTTGCAAACACATCGTGTACCCTTTTCACAGCGCAAACCGCCCCAGGAATCTCCGCCTCTAGTACCACGCCATACGAACCCCTCCCTAGTTCAGGACGGTCGGTGAGCTTCACAGGGCACTGGAGTTGAACTGATGCCAGGTCGAAATCGGGACCACCTCCAACGGACATTTTACGGTGCGACGAACGAAGAGATAGGCTACTAGTAGAGACTGGGCGTTCCACAGGGTAGAAGGGGGCGAAACCTTATAGAGCGCCTGCGCCAGCGCTAGTGTGCGCGTTCGCAAATCGGGCAGCATGGTCTAGCTAGCTACATAGTTCTGTGTGGTTGCACGGGCTGCGACTGCTGCAGTTCCTGGCTCTGTGGTTGGGCTGCAGGATTCACAGTCTGTCCGGCGACTCCCGCCGCTAGAGCGGCCGCCTGACTGTACAGAGCCTCCAGCTCCGCCCTGTTCTTGGCTTGGGCCGCGGCCAGCTCCGAGATGTGCTGCGTGCACGAGTCGTTGACGCTCGAGAAGTCGTTGAGGATTAGGAACTCTTTCAGATCCGACACCAGCTTCGATAGATTTTCGGCCGCGCGAACCTAAATGGGTTAGAGCTCTCTGTACGACTGAGAAAGGACAAGGACTAGTACGCTTACGATGTTCGCTGCTCTAACTTCGATTTCGTGCTCTACATGAGCCACTTGCACCTCTGCTGCTCCTCTTCTGATACCTACAAAACAGCATTGGTGAGTGTTCTGTGAATGAAAGCCCCACCTTGGCTGCTTTGAGCATTTCTCCATAGTTCTCCAATATGGCCTTCACGTTTTCCCTCAGTTTTCTCGTGTATGAAGAGATGTGGCCCTGGTCTTTCTTTGCCGACATTGTTATGGTGGGCTCGTATTAGAGAAAACGCTCGCGTAAAAATTGGCGGTTATAGACGCTGATTCGAGGTAACTACGCGCAGTAGAAAGCCGAGAGCCCCGGCATTGTGGCGCCCCGAGCGCAGCGAGGGCGCTACCCCCGGGGCACGAGGCTTTCTACCGGCGCGTGGTTACCGAGGAATCAGCGTCTAACTATTTTAGAGTGAGCGCTTCACGTTGAGCGCTCTGGCTTTCCTGTTCGTTCGTATGGCGGAGCGCTTCTAACGATAACTGGATGGAGACTGGCTCAGAGCGCCAGAAAATGAGCGAAGCGGCAGAGACACGCGGTAGCGACTCCTCCGCCTTCTTTTTCTGGTTGCGCGCGGGGGTCTGCGCGTGCGCGTGGACGACGCGTCAATGTAGATTCAGTTGTTGATCTTGTTGTTTACATGTACATTTTGTTATGTTTTCCTGTTTTATCTGTAGGTTTTGTAGTTTCTGTAGGTTTACTACATGTAGTAAACCCCGTCGAGGTTTACTACGGGAAATAGTAAACCTCGGCTTTGCAATCTGATTGGTCAATTCGAACCTAGCTCACTCTAAAAAGGTGTAAGAGCGCTCGCCGACCTCCGCGCGCGGTCCGCGCAGCGGTGGTACTTACATATAATAATACGCCACAAAAAACGGATAGGAATGTGTTCGAACGGACAATAAAGTAGTTCAGCAGCACGGACCCAGTTTAGGAACATAACAACCAATTGCGCAAATAAGCTAATCTCTGCTCAACTATCAGTCAACGTTTATGTAGCAAATACGACTTGCTATGGCCATCCATATTCCTTGCATTGCTGGTCTTCTGGTGGTGCGTCTTTTCCCCATCCTCTCCTCAAAATTGACCCAAACTCAGCTACATCCCTACTACCAGCTCACTAATATATTATAGAACTCTCTGCATCGTCATACAGTAGCTGAAGGAGCCACGCTCCATTATTCCCCAGCACTGTGTTGTCCAGGTGGCATTTGAGGTAGCTAATCTGCTCGCTTTCTACACCTCACCCTTGTGAAATCAGGGAGGGTCTCAGTGTAGCTAGTGATACACATCATATTTTCCCTCGAGGTAGTGTGGTGAAAATCCCCAGTGAAGGACCCTACTCTCCCAATACTCATTGAAGGTGGCCCAGCACACACATCATAGTGATGACAACGGTCAACAACTACGGCTTTTCTTTGGACGAAGAGACAATGCATAACATTATTGTAACTACAGGCAATACTACAGTCAATACTACAGTCAATACTACAACAATCAATAATGTCTACAGCAGTGTCACTGGATGGTTTTCAACCAGGTCGAATCTGGGGCAATGCCGCACTTTTCCTCCTTTCCCTTCCCACACGTCACCTCGGTGAAATCAACACCAAATGTACGTTGCTTAGCACTGAGCTCTCTGCTGGTGTAGTGGTACATCATTCCATCTTTTCACATACATGGCTCGTGTGGTGTAGGCTAGTTCTGCTGAATTTTGGCCCTGCCTCACATGATGCATAGACCCTCAGAAAATATCTCTTCTCCCTGGCTGAGTGTCCACATGGCTTCACTCCCTGCTCATCCAGGAACATGGCACATTCAATCACCCACTGTCCAGAGGAATGACAGTCAGTGATGATTGTGAGGTCTTGACTACGGTCTGTGTTTCATGTAGAGATCAGCGATGTCTCTGAAGGTGATGAAACCATCTCTGAAACTCCAGTCACCAGTGTTCCTCTGACTGTTGCCATAGTAGTGGAGAAACTGGATAAACAGTAATAGTTAATTCTGTAGACTCATGAAAACAATTCTAACCAGTTCTTTTTGCTATTTTTAGTAAAAACTCAATCTGCTCCAGTATGTAGCTGCGGCTCAGTTCCATTCCAGGTCTACTGACTTGGACTGAGAACACCCCACGCTTAGTCTTGTTGTGGAGAGCCCACAGAGCATTGAGGTTGTTCCACTTGTCTGGAGGTATGCCAAGACCTTTCAGTACCTGACGATCACTCTCTGACAGATCAGCTGGAGTCTGATGGACCACTACAGATGACCTCCTTCCAGATGATGGTGGTGGCATGATAGAACCAATAATCATAACTACAGGTAGCTAAATTAAAGAAAATTCTCTTTAATTTTGAAAGAGATGAAAGAATGGTCTTACTTGCTTTTGATTTGCAATCTTAATTTTTTCCTCAAACTCCTCCATGATAGCTTGTTGCTGCTTCTTTGATGTTGCTTCAAGTACAAAATAATTTATTTTCAACACTAAAGTGCAAACCCTCGGCGAACTGCGCATGCAGTTCCACTAATTGATGGGTTGGGGGGCTATCATCATAGAACTACCCGTATACTCAGTAGGAAGCACTCACTACTAGCATCTACGTTGTTTGCTGGAATTCTGATCTTACTCTCAGTCATCATACAAAATCCTGTATATACACCACATATACTATTATGCACATGCCATGTTGGTAACCTTGGTTTTTTCCTTTAAGAATGGATTGTGGGTGAGCTACCAATTCCCCAGCAGTGGACCAGGTGGCATCTGAGGCAACGCTGCATTTTCTCTTCCTCTCCCTTGCCGCACCTCACCCCTTGTGAAATCAACACCAAATGTATGTTGCAGATTGCTGAAGTCCCTGTCAGTGTAGTGAGACAAAGTTCCATTTTCTAGTTCCATGGCTCGTATGGTGTAGGCTAGTTCAGCTGAGTCTTGGCCTGCCTGACATGATGCATAGACCTTCAGAAGAATGCCTGTCTCCCTGGCTGAGTGTCCACATGGCTTCACTCCCTCCTCATCCAGGAACTTGGCACATTCCCTTACCCACCATCCAGAGGAATGACAGTCAGTGACTATGGTAAGACTCGACCACGGCTGTGTTTCATGTAGAGATCAGCGATGTCTCTGAGGTGTGGAGAATCATCGAGAGTGACATAGATGATACCTAGTGCACATGATACGGCTGTCAACCCAAGTGCATACTTTCTCGTGTTTGGTGTCCTGGAATTCTAAATAGATGATCAGTCTGCCTCCAGTATGTAGCTGCGGCGCAGGTCCATTCCAGGTACTACTGACTGGACTGATGAACACATCATATACTCTGTCTTGTTGTAGAGAGCAGGAGAGCACAAGAATATCATGCGACGTGTTTAGTGGTGGCAGACCAAGCTCGCTAGCTTAGAATGAATCTTCATGCGTAAGATCAGGTGGTGAGTGACTACCTCCTGTCATTATCTGACGATGTGGTGTGTTGTATTGTAATTGAACCAATAACTGCAACTGCTGCCCTCTTTTTCTGTAAAGGTCAAAGGATTATTCTAGGGTTTGTAGTAAGAGACATTGCCACGTTCACTGCAGTTCATTGTCCGATTTTCTCTTCTAGCTCCACTATTTCCTTCTTCGCACTTTTCCAGCTCATCGTTACTGCCCTCTTTTCATTCCGTGAAACACTGTTCCATGGTCATCGTTCATGTCCTTCTGCACTTTTCCTGCTCATCGTTACTGCGTCTTATCATTCTTGCACTGTCCAGCTCGATCCATTGATGTCTTCTTGCACTTTTCAGCTCAGCGTTACGGACCCTTCTTTTCGGTTTTGCACTGTCCAGCTCATCGTCATGGCTTTCTTGCACCTGTTCCAGCTCTCATTAGTGTCATTCCTTCCTCTTGGACTGTTCCAGCTCACTGCTACACTTTATTGCACTGGTTCCATGTATTCCTCTAAACTTCTTGTTCCTGTAGATCAACACAAATAAACTCTCAGAGTGTCATCAAACTCCTACCTTCTCATGTTGGAAGATTCCTGACCTCATGGCAGACTCCCTCCCCCTCTTCTGCCAAAAAAGGTAGCCTGGGCAGAACTTGGATAAAAATCAGCAGTAAAAGAGCTGCAACAGAAAATATCTGTGCACTGTAGCCCCACATCTTCAATGGCATAAAACATATATATATTTTAACTATTTTCGGAACTAAGCTTCACACTACACCTAGGATTTGCCGCTTTGCCCGTCTGTTGTGTTGTGGTTTATCAACTTTTAAATCTACAAGACTTCGTGGTGCTACTGCTCAACCCCTACCTCCCTCCCATTCAGCCCCTCCCTCATTACCGCTGGCTCATTTCGCCTCTGATGGCCCGACTCGCCTCCTGACTCCTCCCGTTCCGCTCTGCTGAGCCTGAAGCTGCTTCGTCCTTTTTCTGTATGATTCATCTAGCTTATTCTTTCTCGCACTAGTCACACGATTACCTTCTCATCATCTCGATTCTGTGATCGTTCATGATTAGCTGGAGCTCTTCTTTTTCTTTTACCAGCAACTGGGTTGCTAGTTCCTTTTTTTCCATCTGCACTTGATGCTGCTTTTGCTCTCTCTTGAGCTTTTCTACCTGTTTCCTCTTGAGATCTTCCAGTTCCTTCTTGTGCTTGTCTCCCTGCTCTCTCTTGAGATCTTCCAGCTCCCTCCTGTGCTCCTCCTGCATCCTCTTTAGCTCCTCTCTGATATTTTCTCGCTCTATTTTGGCTTCATCACACTCTCTCCTGACATTGCGTTGCTCCTGTTTGTTATCTTCTCGCTCTTTCTCAATGGCTCGGACTAAGTCAAGTTTACTCATTTCAAGGTGTTCTGTCGAAGTCTCTGTTTTTGCAGACTGCAAGAGAGCCAGCATGGCTTTGACTTCAGGCCTTTTCGTAGCGATGTCATGAAGGCACTGCTCTACTGCTTCAATCAGACTCTCATGACCCTTCACCACCTCACGCAACTCCTTTAGGAAGGGGTCTCGACGCTTTACTTCAGAGCGGAAAACAGGCTCCCCCTCCTCGGTTGATTTTACGGGTAAAGGCTCAGGAAACTTTTGTATCAAAGTGAAAAGGGCCAAAACACCAAAGGAGAACATATCAAGGGATTTCTCATACGTTTTTCCTTCTGATTCAGGGGGCATGTAGGATGGATTTCCTGGCCTCCTGGTTAGTTGATTTTCTCCATCAGGAATGAGGCGGGCCATGCCGAGATCGGCTATCTTGGCGACCATCGCTGAATTGAGGAGGACATTTGGTGCGGTAAGATCACGGTGAATGATGGGAGGAGTCTGAGCATGAAGGAAATGAAGACCCGAAGCTACATCGTGAAGGATGGAGAATTTGAGACCAAGTGGAATACTTGTGGGTGACTGGTCGAGCATAGAATGCAGATCGATAAAAAGCTTCTCTGTTGCCAGACCGAGGGTAGGGGTGCCTCGGACGACAATCTCGCACACTCCGAGAAATTGCACAATGTGCGGATGGCGCAAGCGGCTTATCACTTTACACTCTCGGAGAAACTTATCCTGTATTAGTTCGGGGCTCTGCCAGTCTCTATCCTGCCTTGAAAACACATCGTGTACCCTTTTCACAGCGCAAACCGCCCCAGGAATCACCGCCTCTAGTACCACGCCATACGAACCCCTCCCTAGTTCAGGACGGTCGGTGAGCTTCACAGGGCACTGGAGTTGGACTGATACCAGGTCGAAATCGGGACCACCTCCAACGGACATTTTACGGTGCGACGAACGAAGATAGGCTATGCCCGCTACTAGTAGAGACTGGGCGTTCCCCACAGGGTATATAGAAGGGGGCGAAACCTTATAGAGCGCCTGCGCCAGCGCTAGTGTGCGCGTTCTCAAATCGGGCAGCATGGTCTAGCTAGCTACATAGTTCTGTGTGGTTGCACGGGCTGCGACTGCTGCAGTTCCTGGCTCTGTGGCTGGGCTGCAGGATTCACAGTCTGTCCGGCGACTCCCGCCGCCAGAGCGGCCGCCTGACTGTACAGAGCCTCCAGCTCCGCCCTGTTCTTGGCCTGGGCCGCGGCCAGCTCCGAGATGTGCTGCGTGCACGAGTCGTTGACGCTCGAGAAGTCGTTGAGGATTAGGAACTCTTTCAGATCCGACACCAGCTTCGATAGATTTTCGGCCGCGCGAACCTAAATGGGTTAGAGCTCTCTGTACGACTGAGAAAGGACAAGGACTAGTACGCTTACGATGTTCGCTGCTCTAACTTCGATTTCATGCTCTACATGAGCCACTTGCACCTCCGCGGCTTTCTGCTGCTCCTCTTCTGATACCTACAAAACGCGTTGGTGCTTGCTTTTGAGCGTTCTGTGAATGAAAGCCCGACCTTGGCTGCTTTGAGCATTTCTCCATAGTTCTCCAATATGGCCTTCACGTTTTCCCTCAGTTTTCTCGTGTAAGAAGAGATGTGCCCCTGGTCTTTCTTCGCCGACATTGTTATGGTGGGCTCGTATTAGAGAAAAACGCTCCGCGCAAAAAAAATTTGACTGGACGTCCACGTGCGTTTCTCCCGTTCTCCCGGTCAGCTCGAGCGGGTGCGGTTGTGTTAAAGATGGTAAGTAAATCTGCCTTCATCGAGTCAGTGAAGCTTTTCGCAGGCATATTATCTATACCATAAGATAAAGAGTTCATGTATATCTACTTCAGCCGCCCAGACAGAAGGTAAAGCGGACAAAGAAGGTCGCCGCTGCGCCGTTCGTGGCCAAGCAGCCGCCAAAGAAAGAGGTGAACCCTCTCATCGAGAAGAGACCCAGGAACTTTGGCATCGGTGAGTATATACGTATTGTCTTCAATAGAGTTCTAAAATCTCCGTGTGTAGGCGGTAACATCCAGCCGAAGAGAGACCTGACGCGTTTCGTCAAGTGGCCAAAGTACATTCGCCTCCAGAGACAGAAGCAGGTCCTCTACCAGCGGCTGAAGGTCCCTCCATCTATCAACCAGTTCACCCAGACCCTCGACAAACAGACAGGTTCAACAAATACATCTCAATGTTCTTACTAAGTTTGTTGATATGTGTATTCCTTGCTACAGCTACGCAGTTGTTCAAACTGCTGCACAAGTACCGGCCGGAGACAAAAGTACAGAAGAGAGAGCGACTGAGGGCCGTGGCGGTGAAGAAGAGCGAAGGTGGAGATGTGACTCCCGGGAAGAAACCAATCACCATCAAGTATGGGATCAACCACATCACAACTCTAGTGGAACAGAAAAAAGCACAACTGGTGGTCATTGCTCACGATGTCGACCCTATTGAGGTGTGCATGTCTTCACGTGTTAATATTCCATTTTATTTGCTCCTATCCCCTTTATCATATTTCTAGATTGTGGTGTTTCTTCCAGCTCTCTGTAGGAAGATGGGTGTTCCATACTGTATCATCAAGGGAAAGGCAAGGTTGGTTTGTGTAGTATGTACCAGTATATACAGTGGTGTATATCTAACTTCCTCTCCTCTGACAGACTAGGGACACTGGTGCACAAGAAGACAGCCACTGCTATTGCAGTCACTCAAGTGAAAAAGTCAGTCCACACCTTATCATGTTGCACCTTGCAGCAATTTGAACCTGCTCTTTCACTCCCTCACTCTCTTTGTCTGTTCTGTACTTTCGTTTCTGCTTCTCCCCTTCCCTCCATGTCTTTTTCTGTTTTTCTATCTCACTTACTCTTTTTTCTTTCCCCCTTTCCCTCCTCCTCCTCCCTCCCTCCCAGTGAGGATAAGGGTAGTCTCAACACACTGCTAGAGGCGGTGAAGACCAACTACAACGAGAGGTATGATGAGATCAGGAAGAGGTGGGGCGGAGGAGTCATGGGGCGAAAGGCTCAGGACGCCAAGGCCAAGCAGGATAAGATCAAAATGAGAGAAATGGCGTCAAAGATGACCGCATAGGACGAGCTAGTGATGCGTGTATTATAATGTCACCTGTGTTGTACAGAGCAAATTTTGACTGACAAATTCAAGCTGAAAACATAAACTGTCGCAAGCAGCATAAGTAATGGTGTAGAACAGTTCTGACACACTCTTGAAGTCTTCCACTGTAGGCTGTGGTTTCTTTGTACTAATACACACCACTCACCACCATCACGACCAAGTCACCACCAAGAGTTTTGTTCCTTTTTGGTCCCTGGCTGCGCCAAGAAGTTCAGAGTGGTTCGCATTATGGTGATCTGTTAACCGCATTATCCTCTCGCAAAAAAATTTTTGACACATGCATGCTACACTACATAATGTATCAGTTCTATACGAAAAAGTATATATTCCAGTCTGCCACAGGTAGAGCGGCCATCACTGCTTCCCAAAGAACTTCATGAGCAGGTCGATGGGCAGGGGAAAGACGTAGGTGTGGTTGTTCTCTGCAGATATGGTGTTGAGGGTCTGCAGATAGCGCAGCTGGAGGGAGGCCGGGGACTCATCGATGATGTCGGCCGCCTGGCGCAGCTTCTCCGACGCACCCCTCTCTCCATTGGCGGCTATCACCTGACGTTATATGCAGGGAAGGGAGATGCAGTGGTAGAGGTTTGTGGGGCAGGGATGAAAGTGTCTTACTTTGGCGTTTGCCTCCCTGGTGGCTTCAGCCTCGGCAGCCATGGCTCTCTGCATGTCTTGAGGCAGACTCACATCCTTCCTGCAAATATACAAAGTCCATTTAGTGCACACCATATTCCAGTAAGTGCACACCCTTCTCTATTTAGTGCACACCAACTTACATTTCCACCCTCTCCACCTTTACTCCCCATGGATCAGTGGCTACATCCAGCATCCTCTGCACACAAAACACACACCACTCGTCATCACACATGGCACACAATTAACCCGAACGAGAGGGGTTAACTCACGCTCATCTCTGCTCTGATGATGTCCCTCTCGGAGAGGATTTCCTTCAGGTTCTTGGTGCCGAGGATGTTGCGGAGTGTGGTCTGAGCTCGCAGGTACGTGGAGTTGAGGGCATTCTCGACACTTATGACCGACTTGATGGGGTCGCTAATTCTGAAATAGACCACTGCGTCAACGCGACACGTCACGGAATCTTTAGTCAGAATCTGTATAATTATAGAGAGAAATAACAACAGGTAGTGTGTAGATACGAGTTGGGTTGGGTGTGTGTCCACCTCTTGTGGAGGGACATCAAAAGTCACAGTTCTCAAGTTGACCACCCGGACATCATCAATGCAGGGAAGGACAAAGAAAATACCTGTGCAAAGAAACACACACTTCTTGCACGTGGTGATCGATGAAGATGTTATCGATCAAACCTGGTCCCTTGGCTTTCGTAGAAACAAGCCTCCCCAGCCTCAGTATGACAGCTCTCTCATAGTCCTTCACAATCTGCAGGGCACCAGCAAAACAGTAACTTAGCGCTCACTCACACAAATTAGTCAGGGCTCTCAGTGGCCTGCTTGTTGGGTTACCTTCACGCTCCAGATGAGTGAGATGGGGAAGAAGAAGATGACGATGAGGAAGGAGAAAAAGGCGAGGATGTAAAAGCAGCAGCCGAGGTCTCCGCTATCATCGTCAGCAACGTCCTTCCTTTGGCCCGGCGATCCTGCGTGCAAGCGTAAAGTGTATCACCACATTCCGCCGTGCAATACTACACAGAACAAGCCGCCATACAGCGCAACAAGCGACAGCGAGTAAAAAGTTGCCCGAGCAGCCGCGCAACACGTACTTACCAATCTTTGATCTCGGCTCCTCTTCCTCGTCCACCACCACAGCGTGCGAAGCCATCGCGTCGATTGGCTTCTCCTGACTTCTGGCTCAGTCTCTAGCTAGCCTCTTGAGCTGGAAAGCTGGCCAACTAGCTGCTGCACTCCGCTCACAGCCGGCCGCACCTTTACAGAATTTCGCGGTTCTAATTATTCGCACGGATATACGCATGCGCAGCCGCTGTTTCAATTTTTCTTTTAGCAAAATTTATTTACACACTGTAAATTTGTATCGGCTACATTCACATTTATTTTCCTGGTATATAGTAGACATAACTAGCGAACAGTCTTTCAGATGCTGGTCTGCGGAGCAGCACCTCCCATTGCCTGTGTATGAGAGAGAGAGAAAGAGGACTAAATAAACAGTAGCGCATGACTACAAGTGGCTGAATTACATTATTATTGTAGTATCCAATTACGCTGCGATAGTACTCTCAAATACACCTGTACTATAAACTGTAGCTGGCGCACCCATAAGTGCATTGCTAGTGATCCCACAAAATGAATATCATTTTTGGGAAGAGCAGTTGAGGTGTCTGGGAGGTGAGACAGACACCTCATGTTCATATGGTGTATGTTCGTTTGTTAACGGTTCCGCCCATTGCTCTGGGTGCGTGGTCTATGGCTCTAGTGCTATGGCAGCCACCTGAGTATTATTATTATTTGGGAAGAGCAGAATCCGAGCACACACATGAACCCACAAATCCAATTCTTGGCAGCAGCTCTGGGTCTCTCTCCCAAGAACAAATTGCATATCAAAGGTCTCTATTGGCTCTATTTGCCTCATAATGAGAATGCTTTCATAGGTACAAGAAAACTCAGCCATGTATGGGTACAAACAGTTCTCCCCTTTGCTGAAGCACACCTACTACAAGAAAATACACCCATGAACCCACCAAATACAACTCTTGGCAGCTGCTCTGGGTCAAACCAAAGGTCTCTATTTGCCTCATAATGAGAATGCATATACAAGAAAACTCAGCTATGTATGGGTACAAACAGTTCTCCCCATTGCTGGAGCACACCTACTCTCAAAGAAAACAAACCCTGCAGTCAGCACATGTGTGGAGGGTGTGTGCGTGTGTGTGTGCATCACTCACAGTGTGGCCCATGATCTCCATGGGGATGGGAAACATGATGGTAGAGCCTCTCTCAGCAGCGATGGTGTTCAGGGTCTGAAGGTAACGCAGCTGGAGGGCAGTGGGCGTGGCAATCATGTCCGCAGCTTCCTTCAGAGCACGGGAGGAGTCGAGCTCACCCTTGGCGGAAATAATCTGGTGAAGAAAAATAAAAATCAATCTCTAAATTTTTGCAAGGTTGTGTGTGTTCTTGCAGACCTTGGCAGAGGCTTCACGAGTGGCCTCAGCCTCGGCAGCCATGGCTCGCTGCATCTCTCGAGGCAGACGGACATCCTTGCTGGAGACAAAGAGATGGAAAAACAGATGAAACACTAGATTGGAATGTATATCTATGCATGCAGGACATACATTTCCACTTTCTGAACATCGACGCCCCACCTATCAGTCGCATCATCCAAATCATTCTGAAACCCAAAAAAATTGCACTCGTGTATAAATTTGACACTAAATCTGCAAAATCTTTACTAAGTTTTCCTCCACTTACACACATCTGGTTCTGGATGGTGTCCTTGGAGCTGAGGATCTCGGAGAGGGTGTGGCCTCCGAGGGTGTTCCTGAGAGTGGTCTGGGCAAGGAGACGAGTTGCGTTGGCCGCATTGACGACGAATTTGATGGATGCCACTGGATCCCGGATCCTGAACTGGACAATGGCGTCCACGTTGACCGTCACACTGTCCTTGGTCAGGATCTGAACAGAGAACACAAAACACAAGATTCAAATTCCACCCCACCTCATTAGTAATGGGTGTAGTGAAAATTAGGGTAAAATGACATTATGAGTTCTTTCTTAAATAGATTTTTAAATGGTGACAACCCGGTTCTTTGAATTATCCACGTTCTCCTTTTTACCCGTTGTGGAGGCACGTCAAAGGATTTGGTTCGTACGTCGACCGGCACAAACTGGTCGATGCAAGGCATCAGGAAGAAGATTCCGGGTCCCTTGGCTTCGTCGTCCTTGATCCTCCCCAGTCGAAATATCACTGCCCTCTCATACTGCGGAACCACCTATATGGACAAAATGTTTGCAGCTGCATGCAGTGATCTCCGGCAAAATATAGTCAACTCAACCACAAGGAATGAGAGGAAGAAAGAGGGAGGAGGTGGGGTTTTATGTGCAGACCTTGATGACGTAGAGGAGGGAGAAGGGGAAGAGGAGGAGGATAGTGAGGCCTGAGATGATGGTGAGGACAACGGTACAGCAGCTCGTCGCCACGCCCGTCACCGGCACGCGCTCTATCTCGTCTTCGCTTTGCAGCAAAGTTTTCCCAACGCCTGCAGGAAACAAGCACAAAATGATGGAAAATCAACCATAAACCATTAGCTAGTGTAGCTAAATATCCGTGTAGCTACCTTTCTCTAATGCCATGCCTTCCAGCTCTTGGTAAGAGCGCTTATCGATCTTCGACATGCACGGCCCACAGAACCGTCAGAGAGCGGTGTGATCCAGACACCACACGCTTGAGACCAAGTGACGAGGAACAAAGACGACGGAGTGACCGACGATCACGACCTCCCAGCCTAGCCGCTGCAAAATTTGGGTGGGGTGCACAGCTCACGTGCACTTAAGGTGTGCACTATTTAGGGGGAAAACAAATGCTGCTGCGGAGATGTTTTTGCAGGTTCTGCAGGAGCGTCGTACAGCAGTCCAGACACTCGACGCTGCACACTGGGACGGTGTACACAAAGGAAGAGTCCCTCAGGACCCACTACCAGGTGCTAGGAGTTGGGAGAAGTGCCAACAGGACGGAGATTAGAGCCGCGTTTGTCAACCTTTCCAAGCGGTATCATCCGGACAGCAATCCCCAGCAGAAGTCGGATTCGGACACTAGAGCGTTCGTTGCCGTGAGCGAAGCCTATCGCATTCTCAGTAGTCCGAAGAGAAGAGCCGAGTATGACCACCAACTGGCGGTGGCTGAAGCGTATAAAGAGAGCGTCTACGGCGGTAGCGGAGTATGGCAGGCAAGACAGTCGTTTCCCTCAGACAGCTACGACGTGAACTGGGAGCTGTACCGAAAGTCTATGAGGAAATCAAACCATTCGAGAGTTCTGTTCATGCTGTTGGCCCTCACGTTCACAGTCCCAGTAATATTCATGCTGAGAGTCAAGCACAACTACCACAAGTACTACCAGCCAGTCGCCATTCTAGAGTCTCAAAGGAACACTGCAGTGTACAAGGCAGTCAGAGAGAAGGCCAGGAGCTCCACTGTACAGGAGCAGTTGGATTTGCTGGTGGCTCGACATGCAAATAGGGCCTCTAATAAAAACGATAACCCTCCTAGCAGGTAGTATGTCTTTGTCTCTCGTTTTCATTCAGTTGTCGGATTTTATATGCGCAAATCCGCGGTTTCCTTGGAGACGTGGGCGTGAATAACAACAAAATGGCGGCCGCCGGAGAGCATAGAGCGGCGAGGCAATGGGTTCCTCTGCAGCGGCAGCTGGTTCCGGAGACTGTAGAGAAAGAAGGAGCGGTATACAGTAGAAACATGCAAAGACGGCAGAGAGAATCTATTCGGAACGGTCTCAGGAAGGGCTTCCTGAAGACGCTGGATCGAGACCTGATCCTGCAGCAATGGTGGGAAGGTGGAGAAGAGGAGCAGAAGAAAGAGTCATCCAGCGGCTCTCTCGAGCACATCTTGCGTGTGTCTCTCCCCAGATCGGGTGTCCAGGCCATCCACGACGTGGCCCTGCTGTCCTGCCCTCAACTCCGCATCTGCAACCTCCCTCACTGCTTCATTCAAGACCTCTCGGCTTTCTACGGTTGCGTCAACTTGCTCAAGCTGGACCTCAGCAGCAACCAAGTCAGTCTGTTAGATTCACTCCATGCTTGATTCAATATTTCTCTCTCAAAAGGTTGAGCATGTTCCTCCTGGCGACTTCTGGTACTCCCTGTCCTCTCTACGAGTGCTCTATCTTAATGGAAATAGCATCAGCAACAAATCCTGCATCCAGTGGATAAACCACTGTCCCCATCTCCACGTGCTCACCCTTCACTCCACTCCACTCTATCTGTCTAGAGACTACCGTCACCATGTCGTCAACGGGTAGCTACATACGTAGATATAACAACCACACACGATATAGCACTTTGGCAACGTTCGGCTGACTTTATACTCAGGCTAGCTAGAGCCACTAGGATTCATGTTGTGCTGTAGACAATAGGACAACATGACTCAATTGTCAGCCATCACACTAAAACGTTACAAGAAACCTTAGTTGTGCCATGTCTAGAACAATGCTTCAAGTACTGTCTCTCTTGTAGACTACGGGCACTGTCTAGAACAATAATGCTTCAAGCACACTGTCTGTCTTGCAGAATAATGACACTACAGGCACTGGACAAGCATGTGATATCAGACGAAGAGATAATGGAGAACATGAGCCTACAAGGAGCCTTCCAGGCCTGCTCGCCACAGCTGAGGCTGCAACTCTACCATCCCCACAACTCAGTATGTACACAGCCCAATATCTCAGGCTACTGTTAAACCTCCGAGTAAAGGACACGTTGGGACAAGGTATTTGTCCTTTACGGGGAGGTTTTCCTCTCTTTGGAGGTTAAAAATGTGCTAAAGTAAACGTTTGGGACATCAAAGTGTGTCTTTTATTCTATTGCGTCCTTTATTCAGAGGTTATGCTGTAATAGGTGCATCCCATGCAGGAGACTGAGTTTTCCTTGGAACTGAGAGGCGTATATCAGCTACTGTTGGCAGTTGACAGTACCCTTGCACACTGCTCGCCAGTCCACATTGTTCAGCGACGGACGCGCGGCTGGCTGACCAGGAGAGCCCTCTTGAAAAGCTCTGACAGTAGAATAAAGTATGGAATGATCGCATGTTCCTACTCTCTATGTATTAGGTTACCGTATGCATACCTCTTCCAGGTCACTAGTTAGCAAGTACCAGTCCACTAGAAGAAGGGCCCAGAACGCGGCTCCTCCGCCACCCAATACAGCATATGTCACAGAGAGACATCCCAATGTACAATCCTCACATCCCACCTCAGATCCTTCTACCTTCAAGACAAGGTGGAATATCTCTCTCCCGGTACCTCAGTCTGCCTCTCCCGTCTACTCAATTACACCAGACAGGGTCTCCCCTAGCAGAGTACAGAACTCTAACTCTCCACAGCATGCACCACTGGAGTCACACACGGTCGCAATACACCCTGGGTCTTCCCGAACCCACCACTCAATCTGCATCAACCTTAACAAGCTAGAACACAGTGTGACCAATCAGAAGTGTACTATTACCGCAGTGAGGACGCAGCAAGCTAAGCAGAAGGGGTCTACCAACCCGAAGAAAGATAAGCGACTAAGTGTCGGGGAAGAAAACAAGGAACAGAGCAGAGAAGAAAGTAAGGACAGAAGATCGTGGATCACTGTAGTTGGCGAGAAAGCAGATGTGCTGATGGAGAACGACCATGTTGAGAAGATGGCGGAATCAAAGAAAGAGGCAGGGAGGGAGCTGAGAGAAGAGGAAGCTCAAATCATGGAGACGGTGGAAAAAATACGGGAACCTCCTTCTAAAGATCTCCGCAAAGTCGCCTCGCCTACAACCATCCACGGAGCTCCAAGACTCAGTAAAGACGCCCTGGCATTCAGTCGAGTGTTTGAATCCATGACGCTGTCAACATTCAAAGCAGTGGACAGGATTCACGAAGTGCAGAGAATGAAGGAAAACTGGGAAAGGAAGGCTACTCATGTAGCCAGGATGAAAACCGAGAGGGAAAGACGACGCAGAAAGATTCAGGATTTCCAACAAAAGACGAGGGAAACCATCGAATCATGGAAGATAATGGAGGAGAATAAGCTGATAAGGTTGCGTGAAAAGGCAGCCCAGGAGACCATGCAAAGCATTCTTGACAGATCTCTGCGACGGGCTGCTTCTGATAAAGGCCGGCAAAAAGAGACAGCAGAACGGTCGTTCGCAACAGAGTTTGCTCGACAATCCTTGAACATGTGTCACGAGGTATCAAAGGACGACCACGGGCTCTCACTTGAAGAAAGGAGAGAGGAGATAAAGAGACAGGTCAAGCAGGTGACCGAGGCTACTCGTCAGAGGAGACAAGAAGCCAAGACTGAGAGAGAAACAAGAGAAGCACAGCTGGTGTGGGAGGGGGAACTGGGGAAGAAGGAGCTGAGCAGGAAGATGATACAGGCAGCGGCCCAGAGAATGTCTGAAGCCAAGAGGAGAGTTGGGAGAGCGGTTGTAATGAGGGAAGCCGCTAGAGCCTCGGTGGAGAGGGCGAGGGAAGATTTCAGGGAGAGCACCTGCAGAGATCAGCCTGTCAAACTACCACCTTTGATACTGGACCTGAGGCCTGAATCTGAGCTTGTCAAGGCCGGACGTAACAGACTTCGCAAGGTCGTAGCCGGTGAACCAACTCCAGCTCCATTCAGACTCAGGTGTTTCACTCACGAAGCCAACCGGACGTGGCAGAGAGGGACTCTGGTCCTGGCAGCGAGTGCCGCGCAACCGCACACAACCTCTCCAGCACGATTCCCTGAGATTGAGAAGGTTTCTCGTGCCCACCACCAACTTAGACCGAGTCGCATTCTGCATAACTCTGCCCCCACACCCCTGCACTCTGAGTGTACGGAACAGAGCCCTGTCGAAACACCAACTGAACACTGTGCCTGTGGAACCAACACCAGCCCTTGTTCAGTGGGTATGACCTAGAGCTAATTTATGTATACCAACGAACGATTCTTTTGAAGAGCCTCCCTTTATTTAGTCAATGATTCTAATTGTGTCAAGCTTCCACAGTTGTATGCTACGCTGCTCTACAGCACATACCACACCAGAAGAGGAAATGCACGTATTAGGTGTCCCTCTTTTAAGGAAAGACACCTTTTAGGTGTCGGAGACACCCTTCTGCGCACTACTACGTAAATAAAATCTGTGTGACTTTACATATAATACAGAGCAGTACATATTTACAACAGGTTAAAACATTATGACCACACATAAAAATAGCTGGCTGAGACATACGTTTCTGGTTGTTGATAATAATAGTGATAATGCAGAAAATAAAATTAATGGTGGCAGCTATGCGTCCTTGATGAAGGAGCGAGGAAAAATGCCTGTGCTTCCGTTACACTGGCCTTCATACCAATCCGCGTTGACTGCAGAGAGGAGAGTGAGTGAGGGAGGGAGGGAGGGAGAGGGAGGTTAATGGTTGATATTATACATGTCTGATGAAACTTTACAGAAAACAAAGTTGTGACAGGCAACAATGCTGAAAGTTAGATAATCTTGACAGAGGACAATGCTGTGAACAGGACGGAAGAGCTACACAAGCTAAAATGTCGTCTTATGTTTGTTAGACTTTGCAGATAGACAAGAGTTGGGGGAGAATAAGAGCTACTGCATCATGGTGACGATGATTCTGGGAGTCCTCATTAAGACTGGACGTGGAGGTGGGGGAGGTTGTGAGCGAGCGTCTGACTCACTCTCTAGCGTGATCTTGATCTTGTCTCCCGCTCTGAACGTCAGTTCGTCCTCGTACTGTGCCGTGTAGTCGGCAACTGCCATCACCTCCTTGATTACTGTTGCCTGAGCCTGAGAGAAAGGGAGCAGAGAGAGGGGAGAGAGATACATAATACACACTCGAATCCCAAGTGTATATACCAGACACATACAAACGTAACACTATCACTTGTTTGCCTATAGAGTCCCTACGAAAGTAAATTCAGTCGGACAACAAACTAGTTATGGGCAATGGGGTTGTTTATACCTATAGTATTCCTGACACTAGACTCCCTGCCGTTATCACACACACACACCCTCACACACACGGTTACACAGACCTATGCGAGGCATGATCAGGCAAAAGATCACATTACCATAATAATCTGGGCTCGTTCCTTGAAAGGGGAGCATCACGTTAACATGGTATTCAAGCACCATACACAAAACAATTGTCCTGTGGATTCTCACACATTACGGAACTAATCTACCACAACTCCCTTGGCTCAAATTCTGCCAGTACTGCTGGTTAGGTCACACAAAGCCCTAGCAGCAGCAACTTAGTTGGGTCGGTCTGATATTTACTGAGCCTTTTCACTTCTGAACACAAAAAATCCACACCATCAACACGTTTTTTGTTCTCACCTCGCTTTTCTCATAGGCCCACAGTGTAAGTCTGAAACCGTCCTCCAAGTCTGCGATGGCTGTTCTGAGCACTGCATCGCTTGTGATCTGCTCGAGCTCTCCACTTGCCGGCTTGTACCTTCACAGAAACAGACACACAAACACTTTGAAATCGTATACACACACCGTCAGACTGCAATAAACACGACTTATGTAGCTTTGCATTTTCGTGACACTCGGGGAAGTTTCGGAAAATGTTTGCATAAAAACAGTCTGAAATTGCAAAATCCACTAGGCGGGAGAGGTAGCCTATATTTGAGTATTTAGAAAAGGTGCTAACCCGCATGTACAACACTTTCCCCCTTCAGTAATGCTAAGAATCTCATTGATATGGTTGTCAGTTGTTGACTACCCAGTGCAGCTAAGGTGTAAATTCCCCACCGTAATTGTGAGTTTGTCTTGTGTGACCGTAAAAGGGACTAACCAGAGAGTGAGGGTGCCGTCCTGCGCCCCGAACTTGCTGCAGATTATTTTACTGAGCTGGTTGAACTGAATCGAGTAGAGCACCCGCACAGCTCTCGTGGACGTGTAGTGTACCTTGATAGTTATAGTAGTCTGGGGAGGAAAATGAAAGAAAAATGAACAATACCTATCATAGCCACATACCCCTATAATGCTAGATACCGTGCCAATCCCTAGCATACTCTCAACGCAGGCAAGACACAGAAGGTGTATAGATGGTGTAGGTTAGCTCACTGTATAGTTAGCTCACAGTATAGTTAGTGCTTGCATTTTTCTACGTACCTCAGGGGAAGTGGGGGTAGGGGAGCGAGCTGGAGAAGCACTGGGGGATATCTGGTTGGCCCGAGGAGCCATGCCGCTTGACTTGGCGTCTCTCGTCGGTGCCTTTCTCCCATTCATATAAGGTGGGGAGTTTCGTCTCGGGAGAGACCTGGGCCCTCCCCCATTCATCATGGTCGGAGGGGGCGGGGTCTGCGGCTTGGGGGGTCTGTTTTTGGGGGCTATGGGGACCCTCGACTTAGTGGGGGTCGAGAAAGATTGTGAGACCTGGAGAAGGGAAGAGGATTCCCGACGAGGGAGAATGAACGGCTGAGCCTTGTTCTGCTGCTGGAGACTGGCTTCTCGAGCCTCGATTTTCAACCCCGCGGACGCCGGGGGTGGCGGGAATGAGGGTTTGGGGGCACGGGAACGGGACCTGGGAGGGGAGAGTCTGTTGGGGGATGGAGACCTCGATCGCTTGTTCTGTAGTGAGGAGGAGGAGGGGGAACATGTTTGGTTAGGATGTGATTAGGATGTTATTCAAGGATTTAGTACTAAAGTAAGCAGGACAAACACAATGAGGGTTTGGTTTAGATTATTAGGATGTTATTCAAGGATTTAGTAGTAAAGTAAGCAGGACACACAATGAATGTTTGGTTTAGATTATTATGATGTTATTCAAGGATTTAGTATAATTATAGTAAGTAAGCAGGACACACAATGAATGTTTGGTTTAGATTATTATGATGTTATTTGAAGGATTTAGTAATAAAGTAAGCAGGACAAACACAATGAGTGTTTGGTTTAGATTATTACGATGTTATTCAAGGATTTAGTATAATTATAGTAAAGTAAGCAGGACACACACAATGAGTGTTTGGTTTAGATGATTATGATGCTATTTGAAGGATTTAGTAGTAAGCTGGACAATGAACCACAGCCCTTAGCAGCGGTCTGTTATCATGCGGCCTACTCTACTCACCACTTCCCACTTCCAATGGACACTCAACTCACACATACAGTCCTACTAGTTGACCAAAGCACACACACAACCTACTTTCACACCTGCATTAGTGGTCCAGATAAACAGCACGGGACATGCTTTCTGGATATAAGGTTATAGCAAGACAGTAAATCTGTATGCTTCAGGCAAGGTATATGTATGTACTATACGTGTGTACTTAACGTAACTAACTAACTAACTAACTAACCTGGGCACCCACAAAGCCTGTAAAGTCGTCCTGATCCACAATTGATGATACAACCTACACGAGAGAGAGAGAGAGAGAGAGAGAGAGAGGGAGGAATAGTTTTCACTATAGTAGTAGTTGTGCTGTATCCGTCTTCCTGCCCAAACGCGTGACGGTTTCTATTGTGCCGGTCTGGCTACTGGGACTCACTTTGGCTGGCTTTAGAAACTTGACTGGTTTGATGACGTCGGTCTTGTTTCTGGGAGGGAGGAACCACATGCATGACTTGGGAAGCCGGTAGGGGAGGAATGTCTTTCCCGTCTGTTCAGAGAGAGAGGGCAAGGGGAGGAGGAGAGGAAAGGTAAGTAAAACATATACATCAGGAGTAAGATAAGCAATGAGGTTGCAAGGCAACTACAGTGGAACCTCTGAATAATGGAGACATGTTGGGACCAGGAATTTTGTTCTTTAGAGGGAGGTTGTCCTCTCTTTGGAGGTTAAAACTGTTCTAGAATAATAGAAAGGTGAACGTTTGGGACCTAAAAGTGTGTCCTTATTGAGAGATTGAGCCCATTATCAAAGGTCCTACAGTAGACCCAAGACAACAGACAACCCTTCTTCCATATGTATGTTACATGTGTGGTGCAGTAGACGTTTACCTTGAGGCTCTCAATGGCACTGGTGATAATCCTGTGCCGGCTCTCAGAGACACCGCTGGCTGTTTCCCTCCCGTTCTCCAGCAGTTCGTCGCACTGCTGCCTTCGCCCCAGTTGGAGCTCAGCGTAGGCCTTGTTGTACAAAACCTGCGGCAGAACAACAAACTAATCTCCATGTACGTATACACACATACAGCCATTACTAGTACTAACAAAAGGGTTATAAACTAAACGTGGTTCAGCTACCCGAAAAAATGTAATCCACAGAAACCAAAACGAAAAGCAGCATAACTATGGCAGCAATTATCAACAGAGGTTTCAGAGATGTTCAGTTTCAGAGATGTTCAGTGGCAGAGCCTACTTCCTTCAAGCTTGGGAGCTGCCCACACACTGGCTTCCTGAAGCCCCTAGCCTGCCCATTCAGGCAGCTACATAGCTCCAGTCTTCAGTCCCGTCCAGTGTGATCATGAAGTAGGGGCAGCCCAAGGCAGCCCAAGGTGTACACACATACCATTATAGCAAGCCACACTACACCAACATCCCTTAGATTTTAGACACAATTGTTCTTAATTTCCTCTTCCTCTGCCCTTCACCCCCTATTCCTCTTCCTGTCTCCCCTCTCTATATACCTCTAGTTTTACTCCCAGGGCTCTCTCTATGCACCTCCCCCTTTCCTTCTCTCTCATTCTCAGCTTTCTCTTTTTCTCTCTCGACCCCAAGGCTTTTCCTGCCCTCCCATTTCTCTCTCTCTCTCTCTCTCTCTCTCCATCTCTACTGACTTGCTAGGCTCACCTCACAAGAGTAGAGTTTGTACTGCAGTCCAAGCTGCTTGTAGTCAATGAGAAGATTCCCACGAAGATGCGTGAGAGCCAGTTCGAAATCCTTCAGAGCATCCACAAACCTGACAGAGAGAGAGAGGCACCTCAAGTACAGTAACACTAGCGATATCTGAAGATTAGGATCCCATACCCCCACACATTCCTATCCAAGACGTCAATTGTCACCATGACATCTTGAATAAACTAATCTATGTCAGATGTTCTTAAGGCAAATGCTGGCAGATGGTAAGAAATTGTTCACACATGTAGAGGAAATGCCTAATACCATAGACTAAGTGACCTAGGAAATATAGGCACCATATGGGCTATTTCAGAGATAGTTGAACAATACCCGGATGAAATTCTAGCGTCTGGAGTGGTGTGGGAGGGAGCCCACAGCAATGGGGACACCGTACAGATTAGGAAGACTTGTGTGCATACACAGGGTTCACTGTATGGACTGCTACAAAGGTGTCACCATTGCACGAGTAAAGGATGCCTCGCTAGACAGTGTAAAACCCCAGTGACGGATGAACAGCCACTGTCTGGAACGTTTTCGACTGCGCTCATGCGGATCCAGGGGGGTTCCACGGAACCCCTCTGGATCCGCCACTGAACCCCCAAATACAGAGCCTCTATTCTGTGTCCCCACAGCCAATATTGCAGACAAGGTTGCTAGTCTGGGTCCCAAAGGAGTCCGTTTTAGCTGAGCTTTCTCAGGCTCCAGGTGAAAATTGCCCAACAAAACAAACGACCACTTGATTCACACGTTCCCCACTCTTACCGCTGTTTCTGTAGACAGAGGCAGCCTCTCTGGAAGTAGCCAAGAGCCATGTGAGGGTCCCTCTTCACGCAGAGGTCCAGATTCTGCACGGGAGTGACAACAAGCCAACGTAACTACAGCTGTTGCAAATAGGAGCCTCGGCTACGCATGCAGACGGCGCGCTGTTCTGCTTGCTTGCTTACCCTCTCTGCGTCTTCCAGGTTGCCTTGTCGGAGAAAGGCAGATGCAATGTTGAAGAAGATGCGAGCACTGGGCTCTGGAATCTCCGTGAAGTTGTCGACGGCCTCCTCGAAGCGCCCGGCCTCTGCGTTCTCCACGCCTGCCTGCCACAAAACCACCATCTCTTTTAGAGACATGGCTACACTTTCTCAGTAATAATGTCTTTCTCAGTAATGATGTCACTCGACTAGATTCTATAAAGACTCGTTTTGCAAAAACGGTTCCTGCTTTCAGCTTTTATGGTCGCCATGCTCCAGCAGATTACGTAATCTGGTGGGCGATTATTAGGATCGACCCGTTTCCTGGCAACGAAACAGGAAAATGGCGACCACGGGCGGCAACGCGGGCAGCCAGTACAAGGGCCCATTGAAAAATGGGAGGTAAGCATTAAACTAAGCGACCACCTCTATGTCATTTGCCTGTGAACTGGTTCTGCAGAATGGAGGGGAGGGCAGAATATGTGTTTCCCTCGGGAACCAAGTATATCGGAAACATGGAAGATGGAATGTAAGAACACTAAATCTAAGTGTACACATACGAAAAACAAATTATCCGACCCATGCCAAGAATTTCAAAAACTAAACCATCCATGAAATTAAATGACAAGTCTGTGTGTGTGTGTGACCACAGGTTCCACGGTAGAGGCACCCTCTACTTTCCCAACGGAGGCAAGTTTGAGGCAGAGTGGGAGAGAGGGAGAGCCGTAGGGTCCAGCGGTTCCGGTGGGCAGTTAACCTTTAGAGATGGGCTGCAGTACCAGGAGACCGACTGGAGATACTGCGACAGAATCGACCGCAGGTTCTGGACTGAGATCTGCCACGGGATCAAACCAGCAGGTATACACTACATAATGGAACCACACCATGTCTCATAGAGGCCAATATGATGCTAGGTACCATGCCCATCCTGTATATACCATACTTAGCACACAACATGTTGCACAAACCTATCATACCCATACGTTAAGATCGCCTTAGTCGACTAAATGTCAACAACAAAATGAGGGTATTAGGAAAGTGAGAAATGTGGTAGTCTGTGGGTTTTGAAAACAGCCCTACAATTAGTGGAGGAAATTGAAAGAGTCTGCAGCCTTTTAATGGAAGAGCAAAGTTCAGGTCAGCCATAGTGGAAGGAGGAAGTTAATCTGTTATTCAGCACCACTTCCCTCCAGCTCCCTTGTACATGTTGCACAATAGTCAAATGGCATATGACCCTTCTATTCCCAGGTGTATATTGCATTTTCCAGTTAATTTCACATAATATACTACCTAAATACAGTCTGTACATACATTTTGCATGGTTATTGGCCAATCCCACCTCATGAATATCAACCATACTGAATATACCAACTCAGCATACTCTAACTGGCTGCTGAGTAAGTACGATGTATTTTTGCCTAGCATTTGGCCTTCCTGTCTCATCGTTATACGTACATGCATGTGAGTACATAATAGGTTGCTGGATATAGGCTCCAATAGTCCCACCTGTCCATCTGGAATGTCCATCTGGAATTTAAATTCACCTCCCTATTCACTATGCCCATCCCTACACTATACTGTACCTACACAGACTGTATGTATGTAGGTATGTAAAATTATCTGGAAAATGCAATATATACACCTGGGAATATATAGAAGGGTCATATATGTACATCGTCACTGCGGACAGACACCCATTATTTCCCAGGCGCGTATATCCTACATCTGCCCCCAGTGAATGAATGATAGGCTCACGCTATGAGTTCACCACGTTTTTCGAGTCTCACAACTAGAACCGGGGGGAGGGGAATTAAATTCCAGTAGTGTCTTGCCGACACGGGGATTAAATGGACAAGTGGGGACTACTGCGGTATGGGAGAAAAGATGGGATGTATGCAACCATTTTGTTAGTATATAGCTTTACAATCCAACGAAGACATGCGGGTGGGTATCAGTAGCTTTACAATTCTCCTTCCTCCCGTATCTCTTACAACAAACCTTTGGGGTGGTTAAATGCCTGGTTTCACAGCATCCCCCTCCACTTTCTTTTCTTTGTCCGTGGTTATCCACCTTCCTTCCTTCCTTCTCTTGCCACAACCTCACTGGCGGTTAAAATACCTCCATTCCTCCTAACAGTGGTAGTGTATGCGCATGTATCTGTATGTTTGTTCGACCATTGTGTGTTGCGCAACATTTTTCATGTGTTGTGAGGTGCGTACAAACATCTCGGGGCTTCTGCGAACAATTCCCACTACTGTGTAGTCCGCTAGAACAAATGCAATGCTTGGCTAGCAAAAATCAACCTTTGAGCACATGTGCATTGTCATGCCACAGAGACGTGGGTCGGTTACATAATATAAACAGAAAAAGAAAAATCGTGCAATTCAGACGATGAGGTAGTCTTGCCTCACCCACCAGTAATACATACAGGACTGCTACATTATCTCTCCAGTGGCAGATCCAGGGGGGTTCCCGGAACTCCCTTTTTGTCGTTTTGCGCGCATGCGTCGCCGGCCTCGTGTGTGCGCACGAGCGCAGTCGAAAACGTTCTGGACAGAGGAACCCCCCCTTTCAAAATCCTAGATCTGCCACTGCTCTCTCTCTCTCACTGCACCAGGTCGCACCCAGCTAACGGACCGGAGGCCAGAGGTGGAGATCCCACTGGGATGGTATGACTGTGGAGACGGGCTCTACAACCCTCAGAACAGAATGGTCTACTCCCACAACATGACCTTCCTCAGAAATGCAGGTATAGACATACATTCAGTGAAACTTCTGAATAAGGGACAACTTGGGGACATCGAAAGAGTCCGTTATTTAGATGTGTCCTTGTATTCGGAGGTAGTCTAATTAACACTAATGTGTTAGTAAGAGGCAGAACTACGTGTCCCTTATAGAGAGGGTGCCCTTTATTCAGAGGGTCGTTTTTCAGAGGTTTCACTGTACATAGACACATAGACACATAGATACATACATACATACATACATAAATACATACATTGGGCAACTGTAGTTTGGCAATATTCTGAACGACGTACGAAAATGTGTAAGAAGGGACATTATCGCGACCATTGTGTGTTGCGCAACATTTTTCATGTGTTGTGAGGTGTGTACAAACATCTCGGGGCTTCTGCAAACAATTCCCACTACTGTGTAGTCCGCTAGAACAAATGCAATGCAACGCATTCTTGGCTAGAAAAATCAACCTTTGAACCATGTCTGCACATGTGCATTGTCATGCCGCAGAGACGTGGGTCGGTTACATAATATAAACAGAATAAGAAAAATCGTGCAATTCAGACGATGAGGTAGGCTCGCCTCACCCGCCAATAATACATACACCACTGCTAACATTCTCTCTCCAGTGGCAGATCCAGGGGGGTTCCTTGGGTTCCGCGGAACCCCCTTGTCGTTTTGCGTGCATGCGTCGCCGGCCTCGTACGCGCGCACGAGCGCAGTCGAAAACGTTCTGGACAATTGTGGCCCATTTTGATAGTTTGCAGACAAGCGCAATTCTATGAACTGTTTTCTCCTTAAAACATTCCTACTCTAATGCATGCACTCCTACTCTAATAGCTGACATAATACATACACAGTGCAAGCATTCTTAACTCAATTATAAAGTGTAGTACTGTTGTTGTTGTTGAGGTGAACGGTAGAAATAACGGAGTGGTCAGGCACAGGGAAATGGGGTGTAGTGAAGTAGTGTCCCAGCTATTTCCCTGTGTTGTGCCAATCTCCATGGATCATACCACATATCTTACCCCTGGGAATAGACACACCGTCCTGTGTGTTCTGTCCAGGCCAGCTAACCCTGGGCCACATCTCCCCTGTGAAGCTCCATTTTTCAGAAGTTCACCATTTCCTAACCTTCCTAACCTTTCGCACCTCCACCAGTTATTATGATGCCTTCCTTTCTATTATATTGCCGTGCTTCATTGCATCGTCAACTCAGTGGGACATTAAAGGCAAAGTGTTTAATTATTATGTACCTCAATTTGCAATGTACTGTGGATTGGTAGTTTTTGCGGAAAAATTTTCTTTTCACAGACAAAGATACCCACACCCACAATATGCTTTCCTGTGAAAGCCGAAAAATATGCTCTCAGAAAAAAAAAAATTGGCGTAGTAATGACATTTTGGTCAATGTATAGGTAGACATAAAGTTCTGTCATTAAAGTGACTATGTGGTATTTTTCAGATATTGATGAACACGAGTGGATAGTCGGGACGTGTCGGAAAGGTGTGACACCAGAGGAACAGTTCAACCACTAGAAAAACAACACAATACGCTTTATGATATGTTTGTCATACTCATATAATTGGTTGTTGGGTCCTCATTATAAGCTCAACTAGTTCGAGTCTATCCTGCAGAATCTGACTAGTTCGAGGAAGAGAAGAGGGGGAGGAGGGGGAGGAGGAGAGGTGGTGCTTCATGAAGAGCAGAAGACTGTCTCTGAATGGCTTTAGGTGTGGCTGAACCGAAATCCGTGAGAAAATAGCTCTAGAAAAGAGAGCGATGGAAAAGATAAGTGAATAGTGTGCATGTGCACAGCATGTGCACCAATATTATGACAGAAATTAAAAGCGTGTCATTTGCTGTCAACATCTCCAAGGGATGCACAGGGGAAGAAGCAGAGAAACCAGCACATTAGGCAGACTGTGGTCTAGAGTATGCCCCCTACACTCTGGTATGCTTCACACACACAATGAAGGGATGCAACAGTTGCACACAAACACCTTATAAAAGCACAATACCGAAAGGTAATGGTAGCTCTGATTAGACATGCCTTCTAGTTCACTGACCTCCGTAGGTATGCTATTTACACAATACATTACTCACTTGCAAGTGTCTTGGCTGCAACAGGCCAGCAATGTGTGGAGCAACTTCCTGTAAAACTTCAGCTCCTCTGCCTCGCTGAGCTCTGTGAACTCCACAACCTATTAGGCAACAAACACTGTATCCCTAACCTTCCCCCACTCACTCAGCACACACACACGTGCATGTCTCCGCATGAGCTACTAACACACACCACACACACACACACAGGGTGAGGCACTGACAACTACTCAAAAGATCAAGCACATCCTCGGTAGTATAGTGGTAAGTATCTCCGCCTGTCACGCGGAAGACCCGGGTTCGATTCCCGGCCGGGGAGCTTTTTTTTCTTTGCCACTTTTCCCTATTATTTTCTACCAGAAACATACCCTCAAAACGGAGAGGGAAAGAGCCTGCGACATCACAAGGTGAGTTAGCAGCTGGTGAAGATTGCCACGAGCAAACGACGTCATATCCGACAGGGTTTTCAAACGATCCCACAGACAATACTGGAATGTAACCTGAGAGATTACAAGGGTATACAAACCAAGATTACTAATGTGCAAACTCTAGCACTGAAGTTAGTAAAACAAGAAGTATACAAAGATTACTGAAGTTTACTGACTATTATGGATGCACATGCTCAGCACGATCTAACGAGCTGGATCCCATTACCGGGTTAAGCCCCTCGAACAAGCAATCACAGGATTCAGACAGCATGTAATAATACAGCATGTAAAATACTGCATGTTACATTGCTGGATTCCCCATCAATTACGGACGCAACCAAAACAGGAGCTAATGTCCTATATATACAAAAGAACCCCAAGTAGCACGCAAACAGTAGCACTACAGCGGCACGTTAGTTTATAGAAATGTACACTGTACGTTCACTCAGAAGTGATTCCTAACGTAACGTCGGCAAATTCGAGAAGTATCATGATATCAAGCTGTATAATAAATAACATACCTGATGTGTTCGACTGCATTCACAGAATTTCTGACCGAGAAATGCATAGTATGGATTGAACTGTCTTTCCTGAGGGACACACAGACACACACACACACACAGAAAAAGGACAGAGGAAGTAATTGACACCAGAAAAAGGAAAGGATGCACAGCAGGAGATGAAAGGGCGAGAGAGAGAGAGAGAGGAAGGAGAGAAAATGCAAGAGGTGGGGTTCACAGGAGAGCCCTGCATACCTGCAGGCAACAGTCGACTAGGACATGGACGATCTCTCTCTCTTGCCTGTCCTTCAGTCCCAGTCTCAGCAGCTTCTCAAATGCATCCACACAATCCTGCAAACACCACACACACACACACAACCATGATCTCATGTATATTATATACAGTGTGTCCAGCTTGGTTAACATTTTGGTACAGAAACCCTTCCTTACGTCACCCCTGAAATAGAGACACATTTTCTAAAGTGTGAGTCATGTGTTGTGGGAGTGTCCAGCATATAGTAGTCTTAGGAGCAATTTCTTAGTTGCCCTGCAGGGGAAGCTTGGGGATGATGGGTTTGAGCATTTCCAGTCGCTTGATAGTTTCAGGAAAGCATCCTTTATATTGGGTAGTGAACTGTGGGAGGATAAATTTGGTTCTTTGCTTGGCCTTGTTAAAGATTTTATTTTGGATGTTTGGGAGCTAAGAAAGGTTAGGTTATACGGCGATAGTCCCCGCGTACAACAAACCCAGTCTCAGATTGCGTCTGGGGAGCTGCAGGGTGTGCTGTGAGTGTGAGTTGAGGGGTGTGAGTTGAGACAGACACCCTCATGTTCATATGGTGTATGTTCGTTTGTTAACGGTTCCGCCCATTGCTCTGGGTGCGTGGTCTATGGCCCTAGTGCTATGGCAGCCACCTGAGTATTATTATTATTATTATTCTCTCCCCGAGATGAGTTCCCACATGTAATTTAGCCTCCGTCAAGGGCACCTCAATATTATTATGGACACATCCTTCTGTCCCATAGGGTTCTAGATTAGAGACGTGTGTTCTTGCATTGTATCAACTTCGAGAGGTGTATCACTGGTCTTGGCTAATATAATACACAGTTTTGGTGTATATGAGAGCAGAATATATCCTTTCTTTCTGCTACCAAAGGACATTCAGAGCTGTAAGGCGCGGTTCATACAAGGCCTATACATCTCAGCATCACTATCATACTGTGACCTTACCTTCACCCCAGTACTACTAAAACTGTAACCCAAGAAGGACGCACAGTACGACACATTCGGACTACTCTGCACTCTAAGGTAGTCCTGTGCAGCCTCACTAGAGGTCGTAACCCTGGCACTGGATATCAGTACATGCCCAGCTACTGTTATGGACATTAGGATAATTGATTAACTTGCCAGACAAAACCATCTGCTCCTACAATAGAACACAGTATAATACATGTAAGGTTTAGCTTACATGTCAATTAGGATAATATTATTAGTTAACGAGCTGTGCTAAACCTGCATTTTCTAGCATGCTTACCTAAAACAGAACAGCACATCTACGGCTATATATAGCAATAGTTAATCTATTTCTAATGTGCAGAATGTATATACAGTATGCAAATCAGCACACCTTGCAGTTAAAAGCCACCCACTTTGCAAGTTGCAGTCTTCTTCAGTTCAGTTACCAACTTTGCAGTCTTCTTTTTGAGGCTTTACAGTGACACGCTAGCTTAGCTCTAGCTTGGAAAAGTGTCCATATTTGACAAGTCTCTTTTACTGAGAGTGTCCAATAGCAAGAGGTTCTACTGTGGTTATTGCATGTTTGTACTAGACTTGCCTCGCTGGTCATAAGGACACAGAATATGTTTCGTCTGACTTCAGTGTTCATTCTCTGATTCCGAGCCAATTCCATGACCCAGGACTCCGCTGTGACACTCTGGCATGCTAGTAGAGAAAGGGGGGGTGTGAAGAGAGAGAGACAGAAGAAAAAAAGGAGAGGTAATGGAAGAGGATGGAGAGTGGGGGAGAGGACAAGGGAGAAGAGAGAGGGGGAGAGGAAAGAGAGGGAGGGAGAGAGAGAGCGAGGAGAAAGAGAGGGAAGTAGGAGGGAGAAGAGAGGATGTGTCATACCAGAAGAGCTGGCAGCTGGAGTTGTTGACTCTCTTCCTGTCCAGGCAGACCCCACCACCCACCATCTTCCTGGAGGACAGAGAGAGAGAGAGAGAGGAGAGAGAGAGAGAGAGAGAGAGAGAGAGAGAGCAAGTGAGCTAAACAGAGGAGGAGAGGTGTGCATGTTGCTCCAACCTTGCTGGTCGGCATTCAACAAGTCACTCAGAGAAATCTTCAGTTGGTTCTCATCAGCTGGTCCTGCACATAATTGACAACTTCCCTCTTCACAACCAAACTATATAGCAAAATTACTAAACCTAAAAATCACCGCGTACTCGTCGTACCTTTGGAGTGAAGAAGGCCTCTCATGAGTCGCCTCATGTGCTCCAAAAGTGACGGGTCGTAGTTCGGGATCTTCCTCGAGTTGTTGGTCTTCAGTGCAGTGATGGTCTCCAGCATGAAACGGGTTCTGGACCTGTTTGACCGGTTTGTTACGAAGCGAGACATTCGGCGGGAAAGGTGTTGCGCAACTCACGATTCTTTCACCGTCGAGGCAGCTGCTTTGGACTGTATCTGAAGAATTATGTCCTGGGACATGGGATAAGTATGTACACCTTTTTCATAGACAAATGAAAACTAAAGTGCAAACCCTCGGCGAACTGCGCATGCGTGATACTTCTAATTGATGGGCTGGGCTATAGTATGCGTTTACCCGTGGTCGCTTGTGGCTCGCGGAGAGTCTGACACGGGCTAGCTACAGTAGTAGATAGCATGCGTGAGTCGATACATGCCATTCGTTGTGACTTCCTGAGCCCCCAAGGTACACAGAGCGAGCAGATCAGGTCGCAGTAAGCCCAGTGCGATCGTGTGCACAAACGACTCGCAGTGAGCTGTAACTCATTTGCATATTGCCCTTTTCACGGCATAACTTTGGAACAGAAGGTTTTTTCGAAAATCCACGAGTCAAAATCCAAGAAAAGCCTACGAGAAACCCATGTGTATCGTTGCTTGCGGATATAAACGGACGCTGAAGCAGCTAGAGCGGTAACAGATACACAGACAGACACACAAGACAACTACAGTAACCCTCGCACATGCGCGCTGAGGGTTAATAATGCAGTCGTCACAGCAAAGGAACTTCAACCAAGGCGGCAGTGGATGAGACACGAATACACACAAATTACATAATCAATACATTATCAGGAATGAATCTCTACTGATAATACTGACACCTTACAATCACAGGTCAACAGTCCACTTACTACTACACTCAACAAACATAAAAGTAAATAAAAACATGTAGCTTCCTTACGCAGGAAACTACATGTTCCTGTCTAATTCGCAATAAATGCAACCCAAGTACACACCGCCCTGAGATGATACATTACTCTCCTTGGAAAGCTCCTATTATAATTATATTCCAAGAGGGAATGAATACATCTCTTTGGCTTCGGTTAGTTAACCCTCGTCACGCACGCGCAGCGAGGGTTACACTACTTGGTTCGCGAGCGTGTCCGTCTGTCTGTCTGTTATCACGCGCAAGTAATCGGCCAAAGAGCGATAGCAATGGGTTCAGTGCCACACTGGCTTGATTTTAAAAAAGGCGATAAGAATGGCATGCTGGCTGATGCAAATATCATTCACTTCTTCCGTTTAGAGTACTGTAGTCTTAAATATATACTCAAATCTGATTGGTCGACTAGAAGAGAGCCAGTCCACTTAGTTTCTTGTACAGTACTCTATTATCCAAAACCATACCTTCAGTGAAGTGGCATCGTCTCTTCGTATCTCCATCCCTGTGTCTATCACAAACGGTGAGAATTCAATTAGTGCTAACGAACAGGGGCTCACTCACTCTTCAGCAGTAGTAGCAGAAGTTCAACGTCCCTCTCTGCAAATGTCTCCAACAGTTTTCGGATGATGTCATAGATTATGACGCAGTGCACAATCTGTTGACATACCACACAATTAAGTCGCAATAATTATGTCACCGGTACCCACAAGAACTTACTGTATGAACTTCATCGTAACATCACACCTTAACCCTCTCCGTCAACTACATTTTTCCACCCGACTTTCTACCGGAAACATTACACATTAACCCTCCTCCCACTGAATTCCACCAGGTCAAACCATTTGCTTCAACCGTATCGAGTTTTTCACACCGGATAGTGTGACAGAAACACTATCCACCATTAGACACCTCAGTTCTAACACACCATGGCCATATACGCACGGTCATCAATTATAGACGTTAGAAGGAGTGGTAGAACATGGACAGGTAACGGTGCATGTAATCCCTACTGCTGCTTCAATGGCTTGTTGTACACGCAGCAGTCCAACCAACAATGCGATGTGCTACTTACTACACTAGCTGCTATTGAGGACGTGGGAGTAAACTGAGCCTCACAATGGGGTTAACAATCCTGACAGGGTCAGTTAGAGTACACGGCAGGAAGCCTGGATTCCCCCAGTAGCATGAGCTGCTGAGGTGTACCTGTGTCAATAGCAACGTCGACGTCGCAAGGCAAAGGAAAAGCAAACAACGCAAGAAACATAGGAGAACAAGAGCTGCCTGGGGTGTGATTTGAACCCACGACACTCTGCAGTCTAAAGCTACCAGGGCAGTTCAGCAGGTAATGCCTCGAGCTACAACACAGAAGATAGAGGCCAATCTCAAACACCTGTGCCATGCCCACAAGGTCATAATGGCGGATTTTTTTCACCAAAAGAAATTTTCTTTTCATGTAAAGAGTTTTGCAAATGCAGTCAGCTGGTGATTATTACGGCCCATTAAAACCATAATTGGGTACTTCTAAAAGCAATATATATACAAGTGTTTGGAAGTGGACTGACCTTGAGAGTATAGAGATTGGCCATGAGGAGAACAATACAGTCGCACTCCTTCCCCTGGCCGTAGTTTGGGGGTTGAGATAAGAGAGATTCCAACTTCTGAGCCAACTTTTGAACTAGGTAGGCACCTTAGGCGGGATGAGAAAGAGGAAAAGGAGGGAGGGAGGGAGGGAGAAAAGGAGGAGGAGGGAGAGGAGGGAGGGAGGGAGGGAGAAAAGGAAGAGGAGGAGGAGGGAGAGGAGGGAGGGAGAAGAGGAGGAGGAGGGAGGGAGGGAGGGAGAAAAGGAAGAGGAGGAGGAGAAGAGAGAAAGGGAGAAGGAGAAGAGGAAGAGGTGGATGAGGAGAAGGAGGAGGGAGGGAGGAAGAGAGAGTAAAGCAAACAGAAGGAAGAGAAGAGCTGGAAAGAGCTCTTACCGACTTCGCTGCCGACGTTGTTGTGCAGAATGGCGACCAGCAGAACGTGGATCATGACAAATCTCTCAGAGAAGAGCGCCGGTCCCACGCAGGCCTTGACCATAACCTCAGTCAGACACGAGTTCATGTCTGTAGTGAGAGAGAGAGAGAGGGGGGAAATGGATACTCTTACTAGCACACTACTCCGAGGGAGACAGCAGGAAGGAAATGGGGACTTTTGTTGAGCATAATTATGCTTCTTCATCAAACAAATGGATGGTCATGTACTTCAGTGAATCATCAGTGAATCATCGGTGAATCGGAACTTTTGTTGATATAACTTCCGTTGAGCTTGAAATAGCAATCGAACACTCACAGAATCTCAAACAGAAGACATTCAAACTGTCTATAAAAGGGTACCACTTAGGAAGTCTATATTGTTGTTCCCAGGCATGCTTTGTGAATTGTACGCCAGGAATAGGATGTGGTGACATACCCAGTACAAAATATCAAAGAGAGCCGTTACAGAAGCTCAAGAAACAGTAGTGGATACAAGCAAAGCCAGCATACACACATGCTGGTTACACCCCACCCCTACACATACCTACCAACCTGCAGATAAAACCTTTGCTTGAGAAATGTGTCAAATTTGCAGTATTTTTGCTGCGTGTCCATTCAAAATGTATGGGCATGATGCATCACAGGTTAGCACAAAAAAGAGGGATTTGGCAATTTTCTGGTGGGAAAGGCAGTATTGTTTTTGCCGATTATCAAGCAAAAAGCTGGATGGTTGGTAGGTATGACACACACCCACCCAGGGCAACTTCGTCATAGACACACACACCAATACAGGTGACGGTTCAAAGGGTGCTGTTGGTGTGGTCGTATTGTCGTCTCACCATTTCTGCTGTTCTCTGCGTACATCCGTTCCAGCTGCGTTGCTATTGACTGCACGTTGCCCTCGCTCAACCTGTGTGGACACAACAGCACACACAAAGAACCTCGACATCTTTGTACAATAATGGTAGAATAGGGTAACAAACAGACTGTGATATTTATTATTGCGCACTGTGAAAGATAGGCTCTAACATGCAAAAATCGCAACTGACAAAATTTTCAGGAGTAGTGTGAATTTTTAGACTTTCATCAAGTTGACATAAAATTTTTCTTCACCTGTTGACAAGACCTTGTAAATTTCGCTGCAGTTTCTCAATAGCTCGAGAGCTCCTGGGGTTTCCCCTCATGTGAGGAGGTACGTAATGAGCCTTGCTTTCTCGCTCTTCCTGTCCCTCCCGTTCCTCCCCCTCCTCCTCCTCCTCTTCGTCTCCTTCTCCACCAGCAGAACTAAGCTCACTGTCTTCCCCTGACTCTTCACTGTCGTCAATGTACCCGTCACCTTCTCCCTCCCCCTCCTCTCCCTCTTTCTCCTCCTCATCTCCCTCTCCAGCACCCTCCTCACTAAAACTCCCACTTTCCCCGTCGCTCTCTTCCTCCCCCACCTCCTGATCCAATCTCGCTCTCTTAGTGGACGAAATTACAGGAGTCGACTCATTCCACGATCTCGTTCGTCAGTGGCTGATTCCATTTTGAGAGAACGCTCCATTCTCCGTTCTTTAGCTCTGTGGGACCTGGTTTCCGTTTCCAAAGGCTCGTCTCCACTGCTTGCTGGGTTAAAAATAACCAGTGATGTAACCAAACAACAGCTCTGTAAATAGTAACACTATGCTGACATGTTTGTAGTACAGCTCACATCCTGAGTCATTCCTGTCCCCCAGGGATTCAGGAATGCCGTCACCTTCATTGTCCAGCCCTTCAGTCAGGTTTAACAGGTCTGGGCGGCAGGCAAAAGGTCAAGGAATGCAGCACATCCACAGCATTACGTTTACACGTCTGACCATGGTCTACGCACACAACATTGAATTTACCCAGACACACAATATCCAGGAATGTACATACTGGTGGTTCTACAGAGTGGGAGTATTACACACGCACATGCTTGTGGATTCTTTTGCCTCCTCCTCCCCCTCCCGTACAATAGGCTTATCACAGGGTAATAGTGTCCTACACAAATTCCTAGACACGTCAAATGACGTTCCTGAGGGTAAGGACACCCTGTGACGAATATCCTTCTGAGAATACAGACATTAGGGATTGTGACGTTAGGAATGGAGCTAATGTACTGGGAAACTATGGTAATCTAATAGGGATACAGTCCAATCCATCTTCTCTGAAAGACATTGGCAACCTCTTCCTCTTCTTCATCCCCAGTTTCTTCTCCAGGCGACTCATCTCTCTCTCCTCAGCCGTCAGCCGCGGAGGTCGTCGATATCTCCCTCCCTCCCCCTTCTCCCCACTCGCTCCCTGGCCACTCCTCCTTCTCTCCTTCCCCTCTTCCTCCTCCTTCCTCACTCCCTCCCTTCCTTTCCTCCCTCCCTTCGCCTGTCATCAACATCACATGCATAAAAACGCTCCTTGGCAAAACTGAGTAATGTAGGTATAATTATACTTAACAATTTTAGTGAGGAAAGCTGTACAGCAGTGGACTGTGGAGTCTTACTAATTAATACTGAGAGAGCATGGGTCCCACGTGGAGCTAGATGAGGTAAGGGAGAACGGGATGTGAGAGTGCAGGATGTGAGGGTAAATCAGTCGCGCGCGCGAGGACACACTTCCTGGCTGAAAGTTGCACACCGCATTTCATAAGTTTGTCACCTCTGGCTTGCCTTCTGTACTCCCGCTAACGTCCCGGCGTAGAAGGATGGAAGCTCGTCCACGAAACGTCCCTAACGACCGATTCGAGCTCGACACGGCTTCCCGTTTAGTGCCGCTTTCGCCTTTCTTCTGCGCAGCTGTCCGCCTGGCCTTCTTGGCTTCTCTCTCGCGCCTCCTCCTTAGCTTCCGGCTCGCCTCCCTCTTCTCCTTCCCAGGCACGCTTCTCGCCGGGCCACGCATCGTCGATCTTTCTTCTTTCTGTTTTGCATGCACACGTGGGTATATACGGACACGCCCCTACCTTCAAGCGCGTAAAAATTATTTTGCCCAACCCGCAAAATCCTTTTCACATAACCAGGGGAAACAATGTGATCTGGGTGGTTAGCTGTGCGGTTTCAAAAAATGACACATCAGAGTGCATTTAGTTAAGGAAAAATTACTCGTAAAAAATGTGAGGAAATAGTGTGAAGCAATTAGTTCTGCGTAATCAAATCAGTCTTTCTTTGCCCTCTTCTTCGTCCACGAGGTTCTCAGTCGCTTTCTCCTCCACCATGCTGGGTCTGTACGACTGATGCCTCTTCCGATAGCGGCGCCGCAGGAGATGCACACCCAGAGCCGAACCCGACCCTATCACCATGACGATGATGATAATCACCACGGTAACGACTGCAATCGTACCGGTCGAACCTGTTCCGCCTTCTGAGACGAGTTCGTCTGTGCAATTTCTCCCGGTAAAGTGAGAGGTGCATTCACAGGTATAAGGTCTCGAACCGACTTCGTCAGTGCAATTTCCGCCGTTTTCGCAAGGATTAGGTTGACAGTCGTCGATGTCGATGGTACAAAGTTCACCCGTGTATCCCAGATCACATGCACAGGTGAACGATGCTATTGCATCATCGGTACAGTTGCCATGGACGCAAGGATTGGGTGAGCAATCGTCGATGTCGATGGTACAAAGTTCACCCGTGTATCCCAGATCACATGCACAGGTGAACGATGCTATTGCATCGGTACAGTTGCCATGGATGCAAGGATTGGGTGAGCAATCGTCGATGTCGACGTCACAAGTTTTTCCCGTGAATCCATCGTTACACGAACAACTGAAATCAGCCACTTGGTCTGCACACACCCCGTTCACACAAGGTGCCGAGCCGCAGTCATCAATTGTCTCTTGACACGTCCCTCCGGTGAAATCAGGAGCACATTCACAGAAGAACTCGGCTACACCATCAGTACACTGCCCTCCATTGGCACAGCGATCGGGAGAGCAGTCGTTGATATTGGTACCACAGAAATCTCCAGTGTAGCCCTCGGCACAGTGGCAGGTGACTATCTCTCCCGGCCGAGTGTTGTCACAAGTTGCTCCATTTTCACAGGGATTTGGATCACACGATCTGGTAGAGGCACTGCAGTTCTTACCAGTGAAACCAACCACACAAATACAGTTGTAGTCTCCGGGAAGATTGGTACAGTTCCCGTGGTTGTCACACGGGGTAGTGAGACATTCGTCGATGTCATCCTCACAGAGTGGTCCGGTCCAGTTGGAGGGACAGTGGCACATGAACCCCCCAGGTAGAGTGGAGCACTCTCCTCCATTGAGACAAGGGTCAGAAGAACAGTGGATGTTCTCGTCACACGTCTCCCCACTGAACCCTGGAAGACAGAGACAGTTGAACTCGTTCAATGGAGGCAACTCTTCTGTTGTGTTCGTATTCCCACTCTCAACGCAAGTGCCTCCGTTTTGACACACGATATCCATGCATTCATCCACGTCTTCGCTGCAGTTCTGCCCACTAGTTCCAGGGAGGCACTCACATCTATAACCAGCAACTTCATCGATACATGTTCCGTTCAGTAGACAGGGATTCGGGGCACAATCGTCGATGTTAGTACTGCAGTTTCCTCCAGTGTATCCAGGCAAACATAGGCAAGTATAGTCCGCTATTTCATCAAGGCACGTGGATCCATTTGCACAGGGGTTCGATGCACAGTCGTCGATGTTAGTACTGCAGTTTCCTCCAGTGTATCCAGGCAAACATAGGCAAGTATAGTCGGCTATTTCATCAAGGCACGTGGATCCATTTGCACAGGGGTTCGATGCACAGTCGTCGATGTTAGTACTGCAGTTTCCTCCAGTGTATCCAGGCAAACATAGGCAAGTATAGTCCGCTATTTCATCAAGGCACGTGGATCCATTTGCACAGGGGTTCGATGCACAGTCGTCGATGTTAGTACTGCAGTTTCCTCCAGTGTATCCAGGCAAACATAGGCAAGTATAGTCGGCTATTTCATCAAGGCACGTGGATCCATTTGCACAGGGGTTCGATGCACAGTCGTCGATGTTAGTACTGCAGTTTCCTCCAGTGTATCCAGGCAAACATAGGCAAGTATAGTCCGCTATTTCATCAAGGCACGTGGATCCATTTGAACAGGGGTTCGATGCACAGTCGTCGATGTTAGTACTGCAGTTTCCTCCAGTGTATCCAGGCAAACATAGGCAAGTATAGTCTGCTATTTCATCAAGGCACGTGGATCCATTTGCACAGGGGTTCGATGCACAGTCGTCGATGTTAGTACTGCAGTTTCCTCCAGTGTATCCAGGCAAACATAGGCAAGTATAGTCTGCTATTTCATCAAGGCACGTGGATCCATTTGCACAGGGGTTCGATGCACAATCGTCGATGTTAGTACTGCAGTTTCCTCCAGTGTATCCAGGCAAACATAGGCAAGTATAGTCTGCTATTTCATCAAGGCACGTGGATCCATTTGCACAGGGGTTCGATGCACAGTCGTCGATGTTAGTACTGCAGTTTCCTCCAGTGTATCCAGGCAAACATAGGCAAGTATAGTCTGCTATTTCATCAAGGCACGTGGATCCATTTGCACAGGGGTTCGATGCACAGTCGTCGATGTTAGTACTGCAGTTTCCTCCAGTGTATCCAGGCAAACATAGGCAAGTATAGTCGGCTATTTCATCAAGGCACGTGGATCCATTTGAACAGGGGTTCGATGCACAGTCGTCGATGTTAGTACTGCAGTTTCCTCCAGTGTATCCAGGCAAACATAGGCAAGTATAGTCGGCTATTTCATCAAGGCACGTGGATCCATTTGAACAGGGGTTCGATGCACAGTCGTCGATGTTAGTACTGCAGTTTCCTCCAGTGTATCCAGGCAAACATAGGCAAGTATAGTCGGCTATTTCATCAAGGCACGTGGATCCATTTGCACAGGGGTTCGATGCACAGTCGTCGATGTTAGTACTGCAGTTTCCTCCAGTGTATCCAGGCAAACATAGGCAAGTATAGTCTGCTATTTCATCAAGGCACGTGGATCCATTTGCACAGGGGTTCGATGCACAGTCGTCGATGTCTTGCTCACACTGAGATCCAGTATAGCCTTCAGTGCACATACACGTGTAGTTCAGAGCATATCCTTCCAAGCAGGTGCCATTATTGAAGCAAGACACCAAGGAGCATACGTCAATGTCTTCGTCGCACTCTGAACCAGTAAATCCTGGATCACAGATGCATTCAAAACCACCAATGAGATTGCGGCATTCTCCCTGCAGGCAGATAGCACTACCAAACATCTCGCATTCGTCGATGTCTTCGTCGCAAGTTTCCCCGGTGAACTCAGGAGGACAGCTGCAAGTGAAGTTGGCCAGGTGGTCTGCGCATGTTGCTCCGTTCTGACAAGGATCCAAGAAGCAGAAGTCAATGTCTTCGCTGCAGTTGGCTCCAGTGTACCCCTCGCTGCATAGACAGGTGAAACTTGCAATACCGTCCACACAAGTTCCTCCATTGAGGCAAGGGTTCTCGGTAGTCTGACATTCGTCGATATCCTCTTGGCAAATGTCTCCGGTATAACCGGCTGGACAGATGCAATCAAACCCATTGACAAGATCGACGCAAGTACCATTGTTGGAGCAAGAGCTAGGAGTACAGTCGTTGATGTCGATATCGCACGTATGGCCTGTGTACCCCAGTGGGCAAGAGCAAGTAAACCGTCCTAGTCCATCAGTGCAGTTGCCATTGTTTTCACATGGATTTGGGGTGCAGTCGTCAATGTTTGTTTCGCAGAATCTCCCCGAAAAGCCAGTCGTACAGCCACAGTCGGGAGGAGGTGGTAAAAACGGAACCATGAGATCGCCACTTCCTATCCCCGAGTTTCCTTCCCCAGAACCACTGCCAGGAGGGAGTCGAGGTAGACACGTGGCATTATTCAGACAAACTTCGCAGCCAAAGCAGGTGTCAAAGTCGAGTTGGTACTCACAGTATCGTCCGTAGTAGCAGAGGGGACAGAGGCAGGTAAAGTTGGCCAATAAGTCCACACACTCCCCACCACTCTCACAGAGAACCGAGCTACATTCATCGATTTCAGTGTCGCAAAATTCGCCAGTAAAACCAGCATCACATATACACACGGCCTCAGTGGGAGAAAGTCTGGAGCAGTTACCTTCCGTACATTGTCGAGATTCACACGGATCGAGTTCAAACTCGCAAAAAGCTCCAGAGTAGCCATCGGGACAAGCACAAGTGAATGAAGCGACCCCGTCCATGCATGTGCCGCCATTTTCACATGGATTTGAGTCACAGTCATCGATATCGTCTGTGCAGTTTCCCCCTGTGTATCCATTGGTGCATAGACACTGATAGTCGGCAATAAGATCAATACAAGAGGCTCCGTTCTTGCAGGGATCACTGGAACACTCGTCAATCTCAGAGCTGCAGTTTCTTCCGGTGAATCCTGCTGAGCAAACGCACAGGTAGTCAGCCACCATATCCACACAGGTTGACTCCTGGGAGCAGGGGTTGGGGGAGCACTCATCGACCTCAATTGAACAGGTGTCTCCCTCGTAACCATCTGGGCAGAGGCACGTGTAGCTGGTGACTTCGTTCACGCATGTGGAGAGACCAAGACAGGGGTTTGGGGAGCAAGCGTCGGCTTCAAACTGACACTCATCCCCAGAGTAACCTTCGAGACAGACACACGTGAAGTTGTTTGTCCCGTCGAGGCAACTACCGCTGTTCTGACAAGGGTTAGGAAAGCAGTCATCGACGTCCGTTTCACAAAACTCTCCGGTGAATCCGGGGAGACATAGGCATTCCGTGACTACCTCAGACACGGGCGAGAGAGGAGGGTAGAGATTGTTTCCTCCACTGCCCATTTCTCCGCTACCACTCCCAGTATGATTTACTGTGGCAGGTTGACAAGCTCCTCCATTCTCGCAGCTGCAGTTGTAGCACGTTGCAAAGTCAAGCATCGACTGGCATACATTACCATAGAAGCACGGTGGACATTTGCACATGAAACTGCCAACCAGATCCATGCATTCGGCACCGTTCATGCAGGGTTCTGAAGCACAGTCATCTATGTTGGTCCCGCAATCAATGCCAGTATAGCCAGCAGGGCAGTAGCACTGTGCCGTGAGCGGGTTGATCCTGTTGCAAGTACCTCCATTGAGGCAGATGGTGGTGTTACAAGGGTCTAGGTAAGTTTCACACAGCGGCCCAGTATATCCTGGTGTGCAGGTGCACGTAAAGTGGACGTCGTCGATGTCGGAGCAGGTGGCGTTGTTTTGACACGGAGAGTCGAGGATGCAGGGGCTTCTGGTCTCGCACTGAGATCCGTAGAACCCCAGGGGACATTCACAAGTGTAGGTTTCGTTCTGTTGGTTGCACGTTCCTCCGTTCTGGCACAAACAGCCAACACAGCCAAGGTCTACTGAGTCTCTCTCGAGGATGTCCTCAAAGAGCAGAAGGTTGGAGTTGACTACGATGGCTTCAATACAACCAACGAATGAAGACGTCGATTCAACGAATGAGAGTGTGGACGAAGGCATTCCGCCGAAACTCAAAAGCTCTCTGAGAGTTGCATTCATTTCTAGGGTCACTACTCCAAAGCACTGTGAACCACATTGAAGGGAGTCAACTGTTATACTGGCTCCAGTTGGCTGGATGTTTATAGCTACTGCGTGATTTTCACCATCCGTCAATCCAGTTCCTAGGCCCGAGGCAACGTACTCGTTGTCAGGGGTCCCCCCATCTTCTAGCTGCGGGGAGTAGGTAAATTTGAGTGTTCCTGACACCAGCTCCAGTAGAATGATGCCACCATCCACCTGAAGAGAAATAGAAAGTATTGTGGTGGGTGGGTACATTAGAGATAATGTGGCAGTATAAATACTGAAAAAAGGACATTCCTGCACTGGGCCCTATTGGCTATCTTTAGCCACATTTTAACATCAAATTTGGCCCTTGAATCACATTTCTGACTTACAGTGGTTGCGTGGAGTATAAGTCCATCCGAGATGGTTGTGGAGAAGTGGAAGTCTATTACAATACTGTCTTCTTGGGTGGTAGAGAAGGATATGAACGATTCCTCCTCTTGAAACGATAGCTGGGATATGGAGTCACATTCTGGGCCGACCAGCCCCTCGGGACAAACACACATGTAGCTATCAACCAGGTTCACGCAGGTTCCCTCGTTATTACAGGGGTTCGAGCCGCAATTGTCAATCTCCTCGGAGCAATTGACTCCTGTGAATCCAGCGGGACACTGACACTCGTACGTGTCCTCAAACTCTCCTTCAAACACCTGTTCCAATGCCATGCACGTGGCTCCATTACCGCATACGCCCATTCCACAGACATCTATGTAAGTCTCGCACATGACTCCCTGTGTAGAGCAGGGGGCACTGGCAAGAGAACGAGCCAACTTCATTGGTGCAAATTCCTCCGTTTTCACAAGGCGTCGATTCGCACTCGTTGATCGCAATGTCACATGTGGTGTTGGTGAAGCCTGCAGGGCAGACACATTTGAACGAGGCGACAAGGTCGAAGCAAGTTGCTCCATTCTGGCAGGGTATTGGATCACATTCGTTGATGTCTATTTCGCATGTGGTACCAGTGTATCCCATTGCACAGTCGCAGGTGAAGGCGTCAAGAAGATCGTTACATGTGCCTCCATTCACGCACGGTGCTGAAGCACACTCGTCTACTTCACTGCTGCAGTTTTCTCCAGTGAAGCCTGAAATACAAACGCATTCGTAACCCCCAACAAGGTCGTTACAAGTTGCCCCATTCTGGCAAGGCATCGGATCACATTCATCAATTTCAGTACCACACGTACTGTTGGTGAAACCTACGGGACATTCGCACTCGTACCCTCCAATCAGATCGCGGCAAATTCCTCCGTTTTCACACGGCGTCGACCCACACTCATCAATGTTGACGTCACACGACACCCCAGTCCAACCTGGTGTACAACTGCAGTTGAAGCCACCCGGATAACTAGTACATGTGCCGTTATTCCGACAGGGGGCGGAGTCACATTCATTGATAAAGACCTCGCAGTTCGTGCCCGTGTACCCTGACGAGCAAAAACACATGTAACCACCCGTAATCTCTGTGCAAGTTCCGCCATTTTTGCAAGGTGAACTCACACACTCGAGCAGCTCAGCCTCGCAATTATCTCCAATATACCCATCGGGACACATGCATTGGTAACCGTTTACTAGGTCCATGCATGTCCCCCCGTGAAAGCAAGGGTTTGGAGAGCATTCGTCGATTTCTGTTTCACACAGCCGACCAGTGTACCCGGCAGAACAGCTGCAAGAGAAGTCGTCGAGTAAATCGGTGCAAGTACCGTCATTCTGACAGGGCTGCGACAGGCACTCATTGATTTCGTCGCGACAAGTCATACCCGTGAAGCCTGCTCGACACACGCACAAGAACCCAGACTCGGTATCGTTGCAAGACACACTCCCTTCAGCGCTACACGGGTTAGCATCGCAGTTAGCATCGTTGATCTCGCATCGGTCCCCCGAAAACCCACCGAGGCAGACACAGATGAACCCGTTTACAATGTCGTGGCAGGTCCCTTCGTTAAGACATGGAGACGAGGCACACTCGTCGATTTCGAGGAAGCAGGTGTCTCCCGTGTACCCAGGGGGACAGCTACAGGTGTAGTCGTTGTGCCCGTCGATACAAGTGCCGCCGTTTCGACAGGGATCCGGGAAGCAATCGTCCACCGATATCTCACAGTCATCTCCCGTCCAACCCAGCGCACAGAAACATTCGTAGCGAATCTCTCCTACCATTTCGGTTTCGATGCACACACCTCCATTGGCACAGGGCATGTGCACCTCACACTCCTGAATATCTCCGAGACACAGAGGACCAGTGTACCCCGTCGAACAGGCACACTCGAAGCTGTTGACTCCGTCGATGCAAGTCCCACCAAAATGACAGGGGTTACTTGCACAATCATCAATGTTTTCCTCGCAGAGGTCGCCCTGGAAACCAGTGGGGCAAGAGCAGTTGAAACCGGCCACGAGATCTGTGCAAGTTCCTCCATTTCTGCACGGATGTGACAAGCAGTCGTCGATATCGGTGGCACATGTAGGCCCACTAAAGCCTTCGGGGCACACGCAGCGATCGTTGCCCTCCTCACACGTCGCTCCGTTCTCGCAGATGTTAGGCTGGCAGTAAGAACACAGGCGCCCGGATTTAAACGGAAAACAGGTCTGATTGTTCGGGCAAGGGTCCAGGTAACAATCACTCTGTGTCTCGCAGTTCTCACCTGTAAACTCGTCCGTGCACACACACTCGTAGTCCCCCACCAAGTCGATGCAGGTGCCACCATTTTGGCAGGGACTGTGGATGCATTCATCAATCTCCATGCAGACACTGGGTTCACTCTCACTGTACTCAAAGCCTTCTCTACAGTTGCAGGCAAAGAAGCACGTCTCAATTGTGGCATTGCAAGTCTCTGGACAGGTCCTGTCTTCAAGACAGGCATCCATTATGATTGACCTGCAGTAGATATAGAAACACCCACCATTCATAAAAACACTTTCAGCGGATAAAGGACCCTGAAATGAGGGACACCTCTCTTAAGGACACCTTTTCTTTGCCCAAGAACAGTTTTTCAAAAAAGAACACTTTAAAGAACAGTTCTTGCATGCAATTGAATAAGGACACCTCACTAATATGGACACTTCTTTCTCTCCCATTGGTGTCTGGATTAGAGGGGTTCAGTGTACTGAATTGCGGATTGTAGTCTATGATTCGGTCAGATCTATAGGAGTATAATACTTACCGACTGTCTGTGGACTGGTCAGGAGTGACGATGAGATAGGGGATGCTTTCTGAAGTGGAGTAGGTGAAGTCATAGAGACAGCCGCGAAACGTAGTGAAATCCAAAGAGGGCGGAGCTGCAAACGATGGCAAAACTCCGCCCAGTAACACCTCTGGTGTTTGTATGATAGTGGAAACACCACTGGTCACTGAGCAAGAAGAAAAAGAGAGAAGGTAATCATTGTTTGGCGTCATTTCTTACAGACTTACCAGGCACTAGGACTCTGTCATGGTTATCGACGAGAAGGTCCACGGTCTGAGACCGGAACAGAACCTGGACTGCATGAATCTCTGTGTCGTTGACACTCACGCTGCTGCTCCCCGACACCGTGGTGAAATTCAGACCCCCAAAGTTGTTGAATTTCACCACCACGCGACCCCCCTCGATTCCCAGGTACAGGAAATCGTACCCGACCCCCAAAGAACCGTTAACCTCAGCCGTAAACAGGAGCATTGCATCGGGAACACTGCACAACAGAAAAACGAAATTTACTTTTTGTGCAGTCAGTGTGCCTGAGGACGAGTGCTTCATATCTACTATATATATGTACATGGTAAAATCGTACCTACCAACTTGAAGATACACCACTGCTTGAGAAATGTGCCTGATTTGGGATATTTTTTTGTCTTCAAAATGAGTGGGTAAGATGTATCCTATGTAGGTTCTCACAAAACAGGACGGATTTGGTTGTGGGATGGGCAGCATTTTCAAGCAAAAAAGCTGGATGGCTGGTAAAATCTCTACCTGGTTCTTAGCTGGAGCGAGATTTTCATGAAGTCGGTGGTAATTGTAGACATGTAGAACTGAAGGTATGCATCATTCTGGCTGAGCGTGAAGCTGGACTGAGGCTGGCAGTGGCGGGAAGGACATCCCAGCCGTACATTCTCACTCATGTCACCGTCGAATAAGTCTAGAGTTCCGTTTGACGTGGCAAAGTTCTCCAGACATACGTCGAGCCAGGCCCTCAGTCTGGGTGGCTGTAGAACCAGAGAAAATGGAAATAATCTCAAACTTGTGTGTGGCAGTTAGAAGACGGTGTGTGTGTGGTATGCTGTACAAGCCACACATGGCATGGGTCTTTGGTTGTGAATGATCTTCATTGTGACGTCTGTCACATGAATGGGATTGCAACGTCGCCATGATTATTCAGAGGAGTGTGCAGGAGTTTAAGCGAGCCTTGATTCATAGTTTGTATGTGGGTGGTACTGTATTCAAACACTATATACCCGTTGTACAGCAGAAGCCAATCAAATAATCCCACTACCTACCTGTATTTCTAGTATATTGGGGTGTCCTCCGATGTACAGCGGTCCATCCAACAGACCGAGGTCTAGCAAAGTATCGGTTCCACTGATTGCTGAGTGCTCTGACACCGTTCCATTGACCGAGACTTGGAGTGCATCGCTGCCGGCTCCAATATTTCTCAGAGTAACCTCATGCCATTCACTAACGCCCAGCTCCACAGTAATCTCAATCTAACGGCAAAAATTATGTCTTACCTAAGCAGAAAAACTTTAGCTAGCCAATTATACCTCTTGAGATGTTGCGCCGTTGCTGAGGCTCAGCAGTAGTCGCACGCCGCTCATTCCCAGCGTCAGGTACCGCTGGCTGGAGCTGTCGGAAGCATGCAGCAGCACTCCGTCCCCGCTGCAGTAGCGAAACCTGCAAGGAAAAGACGCTTTGCTACAGTAGTGTATGTTTTTAGCTATCTAGCTATCATCATAGGCTAGGTATAGATATAATATTTGCCATACCTGAACGAAAGCGTTTCGTTAGCTCCTGTCAGTCTTTCATTGGCTGAAGTGAAACCTGAATAGCCATCTCTACTGTAGTAGGCGGTAGAGGACTGCGAGAAAACCTCTGGCAAGGCTGCAGAAACGGTAAATTTCCCGTAGTTGTTATGCCTGATTAAATGCTGCTGCACCGCATTCTCACCTGCTACTGCAAGAGTAAGAAGAGTGAGAATTGATTTGTGAGTGTGTGGAAGTCCGCTCGACCACCGCTTTCTTCTCGGCTTCATCTCTACCGCGAGGAGGAGAGGTGGGCGTGTCGCGGGTGTTGGCGATCCTTTTGGTTGAACGAATGAAGGTTGACAGACAGCTGAAGGGCAGTAAACCAACAGTTTGACAACTTCATCAGCTGCAACACTTCTTCCGAATGCAAAAGGTTGTCATGCGCGCTTTGTGGCTGGCTATGGTTGTTGCAAAGCTCGAGCTCCTCCCCTTTTTCTTCGAAAAAAGGGGGCGAGGGCGGTAGACGACACACGTGCACGCGCGCATGCGCGGCTATAGCAGGAGAAAACATGTCAGCAGGGAGAGCTTTTAGATTACTGAGGAGCCCTGGACGCAGGTGGACGCTGTCTCGCGGACTCGCCGGCTACCCAAGCGAGCCGCTGACGCACCCGATCGACGTGGACACTCCGCCACGTGACGCCGGGTCCGCGGACAGACTGGCACAGTCTCTCTCTACCGGTGGGAAGGAAACTCGGATCACGCGACTGGAAAATGGACTGAGAGTCGCCTCTCAGGAAGCCTTCGGACAGTACTGCACTATTGGAGGTGAGCTTGCCCGGTCGTCCGCGCAAACACTAGACGTGTGTGCGTTATTTGGAATCGTCTGAAACTACAGTGTTCGTGGATGCTGGGTCTCGATATGAGGTGGAACACACCAGCGGCGTATCCCACTTCCTGCAGAAACTTGCGTTTCAGGTACATGCGTGAGCAGGAGACAAAGACATGCGTCTCACAGGCTAGACCCCTCAACCATCATTACCTCAATACATTCCTAAACATTGCATGCTGGCGTGTGACGACTACCTTAGGCTTACGTATGGAGTCTTACGCTTTTGTATAGAGGGGGAGAAAGAATTTTGACAGAGAAAGGGAGGTGGGGGAGAGAGAGAAAGAGGGAAATATTGACCTATCCCCCCCCCACAGAGCACTGAGAAGTTCCCTAGTCGCGAGGCACTACTCCACGAGCTGGACCAGTACGGAGGAGTGTTTGACTGTCAGCGAAGTAGAGATGTGTTCATGTACACTCTCTCCGCCTTCTCCTTCGCCCTCCCGCAGGCAATGGAGGTCCTCTCTGACTGCGTTTGGAGACCCAGGATCACTCAGGAAGAGGTCATTTTCTATCGTGCTATATGGTTATGTAACTTCTGAAACGGGGACGTCTCCTTACTATTTGCATGGTCCCATGTGTCCACATTTAGAGGCACTGTATGAAGATTTTTTTGTATAGAGGCACATGTTTCAATCCAGACGAAGACGAAATAACCCTGCAGTGTTGAACCGTGCAGTAAAGTGTTATGAGCGAGTAAAAAATACCTGCCCTGGGTGTAGTTGATTTGTTTGTTGTGCCTTTGCCTTTCTATGTACCTCATAGTTTCACATATTATATATTTGCCACAATCGCTAAATTTCATTATACAGAATCCTACATACGTTTTTGAATATAATTTGTTAGCCTGTATTTCTCCGCCTGTATTTCTCCTTTAGAATCCTCAATTTTCTTGTTAGCCACTGACTCCTCACTTCTCTCTCTCTGTATGTATGTATACAGCTAGAGATGGAGAGGCAGTCAATAAATTTTGAACTGGAGACGGTGAAAAACGGACCCAGCAGTGACGTCTGGACCACTGACCTCATACACCAGGCTGCCTACAGGGACAACACCCTCGGTCTGCCCTCCCTCTGCCCCGAGGAAAACATTCCCGTCATCCAGAGAGACGAGCTGATGGGGTACCTCGCCGGCCACTACCTCCCGACGAGAATGGTCCTTGCCGGAGTCAACGTGGACCACGATCGCTTCGTGGGACTGGCACGGGAGTGGTTCGGTCGGACCGAACCGGTCTGGGGAGGCGGGGGGCCGAGAGGACCGTGGACCACTCTATATCACAGTATACCGGAGGATCAGTGAAGGTACAATGTGTGTGCAGTGGAATTGAACTTCCTTGGTATAATTTACTTATCTTTGTGGGAACTTTCACTTGTACTCTGTCGACTGTTGTCACAGATGGAGAGAGAAGGACCTCCCGTCGTGGGTCCCACCCTCTTCCCGACCTCACTCACGTGGTCCTCGCCTGCGAGAGCTCCTCCTATCTCGACCCCGACTGTCTTGGAGCTTTATCTACATCTTTGCCGTCCTCGAACGTTCCCTCTGGAGGTGTAGTTCGTTGCTCTCTTCGCCGGCGGGCCAGGGAAGGGGATGTATACGAGGCTCTATCAGGACGTCTTGACCCGACACCACTGGATCTACTCCGCCCTCGCCCAGAACCACGCCTACTCTGACTCTGGATATTCTGTCTGTTTGGCAGCGCTGCGCCAGCCATGGTGAGTTGGGGGACATGCTGCCGTAACTTAATGGAAGGTGGCATATGGGCTAGTAAATGTACTAAAGATGGGCACAGTGTAAAAGATAGCTTCACGAAGCGCAATTATTGAAGTCTCGCGGTTTAGTACATTTAGCCACTGCAAAACATGCCCTTAGTGAGCCGTCGATAAAAAATTTATGTTTTTATGTTCAATTTATGTGACTGTGATGTATATTATATAACCATTCGGGTCGTGTACAATATCAATAGAGCTCTGTTGAAGACACGCTGGTTTTGTGTCTTCCACAGGCCAGAGAGCTAACTGAGGTCTTGTGTATGGAGTTCATTGGAATGACCACAGAACCAGAGGAGGTGTGAGAACTTATGAGGGAAAGAGGAAAAAATTTTGAGAAATAGAGAGCCAGCCAGCCACCAGTTAAAGATTTTGGGCACACAATCAGTGAAACTTATCCACAATCTTTGCCAGTTTACGCTAGAGAGGAGAGATGTGTGTTTGTGTGTGCAGGGAGCAGTGGAGAGGGCCAAGATGCAGCTCAAGTCGGCCATGATGATGAACCTTGAATCTCGCTTCATCCTCTGTGAAGACATTGGCAGGTCTCTCTCTCCGTCTCCCAACTCCCTACCCTACCTCTGCTGCCTTTCTTTCTCTGCTCCTCATTCTCTAACTCTGCCACCGTCTTTAGGAGTTACTATGTATTTTCTTATCTTGGAAAGTGCAGTGCAATATAAAATTGGGTGGCCTAAACTTAGCGAGCGGGTGGTGAGAAGGTAGACCAACCAACCTGCTATTAAGTACTCTCTATAGACCACATACTTTCCTCTCTCCAGACAGGTTCTTGGGCAGAATGTCAAGTACTCTGTTGAGGAACTCATGGAAAAGATTGGTATACATACATACATACAGAGTAGTTGAATAACTTTTATAGCTCTCCTCTGTTGATTACTGTATAAGCATTTTGTGGACCTCTTTCATCTATTTGCAATGCACACAAATGAGTCATAATTATTATTGCGTCATACTTGGCTCGTACCGCACATTCAACAAAATATGCTGCACCGTGTCCATTTTGCATCTGAGGTCTAACCACGCCCAGATTCCACACGGCGCCTCTCGTCCTCTCTCTCTCCCCCCAGATGCAGTGACCCCTGCTGACCTCCGGAGAGTGGGAGAGAAAATGACAGAGTGTCCGATATCCCTGGCGGCCATGGGGAGCCTCGCCCACGTCCCAGGCAAGAGGGAGGTGGAGGAGGCCTTACGAACACACGAGGGAAGACTTGCTACAAAGAAAAGACTCTTCTCTTTCAGATAGCCCAGCCCAACTCTTCTATATCATTTATTCACAGTGTGTATAATAATTATAAATTATACAGCTTTTCATGGTGTATTAAAATGACTATAATTGGCAACAGGCTTGCAAGAATGTTGGATAGTAAGAGTATAATAAAAATGATGATTAGCCTAATGATGATGGCGACCCAGAAAAACTGCAATGTTCTACTGTTAGACCTCTGTATGTGGGCTGCCAACGTTCGTTCTTCACTAAGGTTGCATTCATGAAGGTTTTCTCATTGCATACTACTGTATTCATAATATGACTTGGTGGTGGCTCACTTCACTGGCAAACATTACTATATACACTGTGTTGGCTGTTGGCTGTGTTAAAAAAAGTGACTCCTAATAAATGATATAATACACGTTCAAAAACATATTCCAATATAATAGTGGCATGGAATGAGACTGCCACGCCCACTAAACCAAGGGTAGTGTTCAAAATGAAGATGCTCTAATCTCATTGGTCGAATGTCAGGGATGTAGAAACGATCGACGGTGCCGTAGCCGCCTTCGCAGGATCCAATACCCCACGACAACCATCAGCCCCCCACAGAGAATATAGTAACTGACACACAGTCCCATGTCGTACGGAGTTAACCCCAGTCCGGGGTGGCTCTGGGTTCGAAGGTCAAACGGACGACGGCTGGTAAACAGTTTCGGCCATGCGGCCTCTAACACTTGCCTATGTGTGATGTTGTGGGTGTGGTTCCAACTATAGTGGTTCCAGAGGTAGATGAGCACGGCCGTTCTGTTCCAGCCGAAAAACAGGTTTTTCCGGTCGGGGGGCGTGTCAGGCGGAGGAAGTAGGCTCTCGGAGCGAGACCTGAAACCTGTGTTGGACCAGGTGGGTGTGGGTGGAGTCACCACGCCCCCCTGACGAGCTGCACCAGACAAATAAACAGTCGACAGTGGTGTGTAACAGTAGGGGCAGCGATTTTGGGAGGGGAAGAGCCTTTTTGGGTAGAGAGGATCCGAACTGATGTCCTTTACCAGCCGTCTATTGACCCTATTGTGCGCCTCCCACAGCCACAGTACTGCGTCGCCATCATAGGCCACTTTTCCTTCCTCCAGCGACCGGGACATGTCTGAGAAATGCTCCCGGCAGTGTTCACAGGAGAAGAAAATCGCCAGAAACTGAGAAACCACTCGCAGAGCTTCTTTGCTGCGAAACGAGTGTTTTGAGCGTGAGGAGGGGTGTGTGTGGGCGGGTGAGGAGGTGGGGAGTGTGAGGGTTGTGAGGGTGTGAGAGAGGGTCCAAAGGGCACAGGGGTAGCCTCGGTAGTGAGACTGGCTCCCGCAACAGTTGGCCCACTCTGGTTTGACGGGGAAGAGAGACTTGTTCAACTGGAGAGAGGAGGAGGAGGAGGAGGGGGGGAATGGGATTAGCTAGTCTCATGCCCAGACACATGTATATACACTTTGTATATAGGCATGTTCAGCAAAATGTGAAGAAATCTAACAGGCATTGTTCTAACAGGCGTTGTTAACATTATTAACATCAGAAATCCTATTAATCACACTCTATACTGCATTGTTCCTCCCATAGTTAAATGTTGCAATGTCTCACACACAGGGAGGATTGTTTGCCCTGACCTTCGTGTCTATTAATCTGGTCCAGTCTCGGGTGGTTATGAAACCAGCAGACATTCGGGTCTCCAGTCTTGACCTCACCAGAGACAGGCTGGGCCCAGCTGCAGGATAGGCCCCCGTCAAGGCCTGGGGAAACACAAGACGAAGGTTTTAAGAGAATGTGGCAGTACGAACACCAAACTTTGTGTGAGAATAATTGCATTCTTGTGCCGTGGTTAGTTCTATCTTTAGTAATAAAGAGGTTTGGTTAATCCCATTACACCTAACTGTGCGTGTCATTGACGAAAGAATTGAGCCACTTGGCTGTCTGAACACTGCAAATACACATGTATTGAAACTATGGCGGGCAGTGAAATGGAATAGGGGGGCGGGGCAGGGCAGGGAAACCTTGTCTGATAGTATGAAAAACGTAAAAGGAACTTTCACAAGCATAATGTACAGCACGAGGGGGGAGAAGAGAGAGAGAGAGGGAGAGGGAGGGAGGGAGGGAGGGAGAGAGAGAGAGAGTCAACTCACATCCTCCAGTAGGTGGGTGAATCTGAGGAGGGCAGTGAAGGCAGGCCCACTCACAGTCGACTGGAGGGGAACCTCCCTACGGAATATGTAGGACACTGCACCCAGCACGTCTACTGGATCAACTCTGTGAGAGAAACAGAGCCTTACAGGACACTCGTGTAAGTAACACCTTTGCTAACAAACTGCTTTGTGAGAATTTGCAATAGTTTTCAGAATTTTTGTGAAAGTTCCTCTTAATGATTTTGCAGTTGCACTCTAGTAAGGCAGTGGATATGCAGAATCTCTCTGCACAGTTTAGTGGGAAAAGGTCACTCCATTGAAGAACCGCAGGAAATAAGTGCACACCTATATACCAGTAAATAACATTGCATCATATTGTTATGCAATCAACTATAACAGCACAGTTGGCAAAGGAAGAAACAACCATTGTCCACTACTACAATACAAAAACAAGCTCACCTATTGGGTATGATTGGCACTGACAGAGCCTCTGTTGCCTCCTCGTCCTGTAGGTCAGGTCGTTGCACGGTGTCCTGACTGTCGGCTCCGCGGGGAGGCGGGCTGGAGGAGGTTGCCATGGAGACAACACGTGGAATGTTCCGGAAGTGTTTTCTGACGGCCTCGGCAAAATCTCTCCTGGGGTCAGCTAGGGAGTGTCTGATGATGATGATGATGACGATGCACGTGTGTGTGTGTGTGGAGAGAGAGAGAGAGGCCGAGAGCTTGAGGGACACTTTTTGTTGCAAATTTGAGCTAAGCCTGTGAAATTTTATTCTCTAAAAGGTGAAAACTATTTTCCTCCTATATTGAATTGTCGGCTTGCAAGGAGGACAATAGTGTGTGGTGTCTAGAGTACAGGTCTAAAAGCTGGTCTTCACATAGTCTTACTTGGTGTTGCGCCTTAACTGTAGACTAAATTTTCAAGATCCATTGAGAATTTCTCTGTCATGCCTCCGAGTAAGGTATACCCACAGTGTCAAACTATTGTACATTTAAGGCTGGACCACGCAAGTCTGGGTCTTAGAAATATATAGAAACGCAGTCTGTTCCCCAGACCTCTGCAGACCGCACAGGACTGCGTAAGGCTGTAGGAGACCAGTCTTAAAACGTTGTCGTTTTCTCACCCGGGAATAACCATGTAGTCGTGTTTTCTGGACTCTACGACCAGGGATGGGAACTGTAGTATAGAGTAGTGGTTGACTAGATGTAGCTGTTGGAAGGAGGGAGGGAAGAGGGAGGGAGGAGGGAGGGAGGGAGGGGGGAGAGAGAGAGAGAGAAAGTAAAGATATTTGCAGTGAAAGTCAAAGACACAAAGAGGAGAGAGAGAGAGAGAGAGGAAGAAATGTTGAGTCATAGCTGATAGTTATAAAGGACCCTGTCACTCACATTACTGGGCAGTACTCTGTAGACCTGGAGCTCTCTCAGGTCCAGGAGATCCAGCATCAACTGCATACATATGTACGTGTGTGTGTGAGTGAGAGGGTAGATCAGCATTGAGAATACACATGTCCAATATGGTATGATACTAAGCCTAGTCTCATATGTTCTTTGTTTGAACATGTATTGTGTATATACAATATACCATTTTTTGGGAAAGCAGAAAAACCGACCAAGAGTATAAACTCAGTATAATCTACTTCAGAAAGCGGACACAAAAGATATTGAATTAGGGGTCCAGAGATCGCTCGCTAATAGCCTTGAGGAGCCAATGAAGCTTAGCAACACGTCCACTTTAATTGCGTAGTGATTATAGAATATTACACAACAAACTGGCTAAGAACGAGTGACCTGGCTCATGCAGTGGTTATTACCACATGTACACCCAGATAATACACTAGTGCAAATGTTGAACATTGTTGGCGAGCGGGAGCGACCCAACTTGCGATTTGCCCGTGATGTTCGGGTTGCATAACGTGCCGTCAGCGCACAGCTTTCCTTTCGTGAAGCAAGACAGAGCTACCTGTCGCCGTTACATAACGTATTGTACATTGGCAGAACGGTGAGCAGGTGAGCAGAACGGTACTTACCTTACGCTTTCAACTCATCAGTCGTGGTTCACCAGGCAGCTGGCATGCAGCAGTACGTGCACGAGCAATCCTAGCGTATTTGCAAGTTGCAGCTTGGAACCATGAAGATTGGGAAGAGGTACAGCCTTGGTCAGTCACCGAAGGTTGCAGCGCATGCCGTCGAATGGAGGATAGTTCTCTAGCTGGCTAGATCGATCGGCGCATATCGCGAGGCACCGTGTGTGAAAATGTGTAAAAATTTTGAAATAGTTTCGAAGCGCGTACAAAGACGCGCATGCGCACTTACACGACGGTCGACGGTCGACGGTCGTAGATATATATATATATAGAAAAAAATATATATAGAAAAATCGCGCCGTTCGTACCACTAGGTTGGCTCGCTCCCGCTCGCCAATTATGTAATGCTCTGCAAATATTTACGTTCACCGCCTCTGTTCAATCACTTTGTTGCTTGTGGCCAAAAAAAAAGGGGGCATACCTTTCTTCCGACAAATGAGTCTTGGTCCTCAAAGATGAGTGCAGCTGGTGTCCAATCTTTGCCTGGTATTGCGAGAAGATGATCCCCTCTACATCAGAGGGGGAGGAGAGAGAGAGAGAGAGAGGGAGAGAGAGGGGGGGAGAGAGAGAGAGAGAGAGGGAGAGAGCATAAAAGTAACTTTTCATGGAACACTTGGAAATGTTGAATTATCGTCTATTAGTCGTAAAATGGAAGGCAAGAGAAAAGGGGGGAGTAACAATAGTCTCTGTGACTCCCGACTCACTCCAACGGTTGGAAATGCGGCCATTTTGCTGCAAAAGGGCCCTCCCACGACTGCAGGCGATTGATGATTGCCTCTTGTACATCCTCCACTTCCCGCGAGCCTACACACATTACGTGTAATACGAAATTCACACTTCATTCCAGCTACATCATAGAGGGTGACTTGCCGTGGTAATTGTCTGTAGCGGATTTAGGGTCTCCTCCGGGCTGGAAAAACTGCAGCAAAGGTAGAGGGAGGAGGTGTTGTAGTGCGAGAACACCCAGAATGCTCGTTATAATATAGCCTGTAATTACCCTCGGCGTGCATGCGCAGCGAAATTGGGCCTGTAATGTATTTTCTTTAATGCTGAAAGCGCAGTGTGGCGTTCTGAACCATTGTTGGGTTATTGACAAAAAGTGTTTCGGGGCGTTAATCGCTGCAGTTCGGTGGGTAACTCACTCTCATGGTGGGGTAGCCATGAACACCATAGTCTGTGCACGTGGAGTAGCTCTGCTTAGCCGAACAGTCGATGACTCCCAGTTTTACCACTGGGGACCATCCTGGATTGGAGTGAGATAGAGAGAGCAGAGAGAGAGAGAGAGGTGGAGGAGAGAGAGAGAGAGAGAGAAGTGGAGGAGAGAAGAATATTGCTTTGGTCGACCTACAAAGACACTGGACAAACAAAACACACGTGTTTATTATGTATGTATAATGTGGACAAAATGCTACACATACACTACGTGATGAGTAAACAATCAAGGCCACACACACGCACACGCACCGGCGACATCTTCAGCAAGTTTTTTCCACGTCGGCGCCAAGTGCTGACAGTGGCCACACCAACTGCTGTAGAACTCCACGAGCCAGCCAGTCCCTCCAGTTGCTATGGCGGTGGTGAGGTCGTCGCCCTGGAAACAGACCACGCCCACCGGGGAGTCGTTGTAGAGGGCACAGGAGGGAGCGTTTGCGGCGGGAGGAGCAATGCACGGGTGGAGAACAGCTGCCACCACCAGCAAACCATACATTCCTTTCACACCTTTGTAAGGGAGCCACATGAAACGTTGGGAGCAGAAATACATTGTAAAGTTGTTCGACATGCCCCCCAAAAGTATAATAATGACGGCATTTAGTTAAAAGTGCAGTCCTGTCTCGCGGTAGAAGTAAACACTGCCAGGGTTATGAGAAAACATGTCAAGATATGCAGAACCTGAATGAACGTTGATACCATGTATATGCAAGTCCTCCAAACATAGCCATATGCACGGTTGCTTGCCTCTGTATATGTACAGGTTGTATATACCTTATATCTACCACACCACACCGTATCATCATCGATCACACTACCTTTTGTACACACAAGTGTACAGGAAACAACTTACAGTTATATCTCGCACTCCTCCCTCCTGGCTGGCTAGTGAAAACTCCTCTCCCAACGCAACCGGTGGAAGAAAACGTTCTTAACAAGCCACGATCACCGGCCAATGCCCGAGTTTTGGTCGCAAAAAGGTTCGCGGCGAGAAGTTGAGACCGCAACCTCGCCGTTTACTGGCAAAAATTCCAATTGAAGCGCACCAGGTACAAAATGGGATAAATATGTACATAGGCGTGATTGTGTGCTGAGAGCAAAGACCAGATAGAGACACACACACAGAGAGAGAGAGAGAGGCTAGGCCAGACACAAGTGATATGATATGATAGAGATAGATGCAGAGTCATTGCAGCTCAGGGCTCAGGGGTAATCGGGTGGATCCAGACCGGGAATAGATGTGCTGGAGCACTTCATCTGAATGTTGTCGAGAAGATTCTGAATCTCTTCGTCGCTTGGGAGTCTCATGGGAAGTGAATCTGGTTGCTGCGAGTGCTGTGGGGAGGAGGGGGTGTGGGGGTTGAGATTGGAGGGAAGGTTCGGTGTGAATGACGTCATCTTCAGCTGCGAGGCCAGCCCCGCGAAGTGCGTTTGGAGTAGTGTGGATGTGGTGGTGGAGGAGGGGGGATAATACGTTGGGGGGCGAGGGAGGGGGGGCTGTTGGTTGCCCTGTATAGAGTTGGAGCGATGGCTCGGTTTAGTCTGCGATTGGTTCTGCTGTGGCGAATGTTGTGGTTGCTGGGAGCTGTTTGATGAGGCTGGTACACTGCCTCCCCAGTTTTGTTGTTGGAAAATGGAACCACCTCTGCCCTGAAGAAGCATCGAGTATGCCGAGTTAGTATCTCCCGTGGTGCTTGCTGCAGACTTTGGTTTCTGTGGCTGCTGTTGTTCTTGTCTTTGAGAAGGGGGTCCTGCCTTCCCCGGCCACTGAGGGTCTTGCTGCGCGGATGTTGCTTTTGCAGGCCACCCGTGTTGCTGCGCAGTACTAGGTGGCCAGCCCCGCTGCTGAAACTGTCCACTCGATCTCTGTCCAACAGCTCCCATCAACTGCTCGGCTGACGGCAACGTGTAGGGAGGATTCGATGCTGCGGTGCTACTTCTCCTGCTCTCGGCCGTCATACCCGCTGACTTGTCTTGCCTCTGGAGATGGTGTTCCTGGGTATGACCGCCCCAGCCTTGTCCCACGACAGACAGTTGGCTCTGTTGCTGTTGTTGCAGGGGATCTGGTATGGAAAGAGGCCAATGGTGCTGTTGAGGTATTGAACCAATGCTTCCCCTGAGACCTCCCGGTGCCTGACCGAGTAGCATTGAATAGGGATTATTATCGACCGAGGTGGGCTTGTTTGGGTGAGACCCGCCCTGTTTCGGTGCCTGCTGGTGTTGTTGAGCGTTTGTCGAGGCTTGGGCTGGAACGCTGCCCGCCTGCCACTGCGGTTGCTGGCCCAACGCATTTCCCATGCCCTGTCCGAGCATTCCGACAGACGACTGACTAAGGAACATCGAGTACGGCGAACTATCGATCCCTGTCGGTTTCCTCGACTGCATGAGCACTGTAAACGGATTCACCTCAGAGCTGGTCGTCGTGGGGAACTGCTGGGGGAACCCCCCTGATGTCGGGGGGCCGGTCGCAGGCGGCTTGTTTTGCGACGAAGGAGGTCCCATGGACGACAGGAAACTGTAAGGGTCTGGAGTAGTGTCCTGGGAGTTGGGTCTCGCGTGATCTGTCTGCATGGGAAATCCGGAGGGACGGAGGTTAGGATTGAGAGCAGAGCCCCCAGAGGTCCCGGTCCCGATGCACTGCATGACTTGCTGCGCCACATGGTAAAACTGGTTTCGTTCTCGCTCCATGAGCATCTGCTGTTCGAGCAGCCGGCGCTGCATGTCAAACAGCTCGTTGTTCTTCTTCTCAATCTCCTGCCGGAAGTCGATGAGGAGGTTGGGGGGAAGGTTCGCCCCCATGTTGTGGCCTTGCTGCTGTTGAGATTGATCGCGCGACTGCTCCTGTATCTCTTGGGGAGGAGGGTTAACACTCGGTGGCTCCCTGGTCTGCTGAGCCTGGGTGGTGCTTAATGGAGCCTTCCCCACACCTCTCCCACCCGGCTGTACTCCACACTGCCTAGTGGAGGCTGTAGCTGAAGCTGACTCTGGCTTTACGTGCTGTTGTTGTTGTTGCCGTTGTTGTTGTTGTTGTTGTTGTGGAATGGAGGCTGAGGACTCCGACAGGTAATCGTCCTGCAGTAGCGGAGACAAGATGGACGGGGAGTCAAACAGAGCAGCAGTGATGCCCGTCTGCAACAGAGAGTGAGGTGGCAACTTTGGAGGAGGTGGGGCCTTCTGGCTCAGCGGCGGAGGGTCGTAAAGGTCACCCCCGCCACCCACGTCGGGAAGGAGGGAGCGACTACGGAAGAAACGAAACTCGGGGACGACGTGGTCGCAACCGAGCACCCGACTGGAGAGGAGAATGTGATCGGGCTTATGATTCCAGGGGTTGTACGAGAGATACCCCTTAGAGAGGAGCCACACGTAGCGCCCGCCTTTGGTCTGGAAGCGGTAGGGGTTTGTGGAACCCCGTGTGTTGGTGTAGATGTCTCCCATACGTTCCCCCACGTCCAGGAGGTGGTAGGGGTCGACGTAGTCAAAGAAATGAGAGCCGACAATCTCCGATACGGTGAAGCCGAGGACGAGAACGGCGTGACTGTCGACGTTGATGATGTTACCCTTCTTACTCACACGCATATCGAAATTAAAGTTGACGTCGTTGACACCGAGCGGGAGATCGAGGAGAGTGAGATTGGTGGGAAGTTTTCCGAGTAGGACGACATACGATTGCTGCCAAGGGTTAACCAACCCTCCTCCACCTCCTGGAAGAGGGAAACTCTCATTTTCTCCTCCTCCTCCGCTGTTGTTTAGCTCCATAAACGGACTCATCGGAGGGGAGCCGGGTTCGTCGGTGTCCTTCCAGCGACGGAGGTAGGAGAGACATGTGAACGGGAGATGCTGGGTCAGACTACCCGTCTCCCCGGTGTACAGCTTGAAATGGCAGTGGAGAGAGCGAACGGGGTACGACAGGACCTTCCCATTGGGCGGGGTGAGGAGGGAAGGCGTGGCGTCACCGGGATCAAACATGTCCAGGAGAAGTGCTTTCTCTGACTCGAGGATGTAGTCAAAGATGTTCTGTCCGACTAGCCGTGTCTGCATGTGGCCCAGGAGTGCCGTGATGAGCTCAGTGGCGTACAGAATGTGTCCGCTATCAGACACCAGGATGAGGAACGTGTCGTGGGCGTCCAGGAACGACTGAAGTGCCTCCCCCGACGAGATGAGGTGAGGGTAGAGCCCCTCAATTCCAAGGTCTTTAGCCACCTTGCTCCCTCCTTTCTTGCTCTTCCCTTTCGGTTTCAGGAGAGGGGTCTTCCCGGGTGGAGTCAGCTCAGCGTATATCCGGAGGCAGCGGACAGCCTCGTGTAGAGTGGACGCCTTGTCCATCTTCTTGGGGATGGTCCGCTCGCTGACCATCGACAGCAGAATGACAAGTTCATCGTAGTACTGGTTCATGAGAACTCGCCGCCTCTGCTCGCTCTCTTTCCGGCCTCGCTTCAACGATTCCTCGTTCAACGGGGGGGGGCTCATGGCGGCCGAGGAACTGGGAGGAAGATTGGTGAGTTTTTTCGTCTTGTTGACGGAGGAGACAGAGCACGGCGGAGAAGGGCTGGAGTCGCTCATTCCTGCAGACTTTTCACTCACTGTGTGCATGTGTATGAGGGGGAGGGAAGCAGATACGTAGAGATATAAATTACTAGCAGCTGTTTCAAGAGGATAGGACACTTCTATAGCATAACCAATGTGTTAACTATAAATTATCAGATTTTTTGTTGTGCATTCTTGCTGTCCAATTTATGGTTTGTAGTAATTGTGGTCACAAACAACATACCTACAGCCTACAGGCCTATTTACCACAAGCACCAGCAAAGGTGTTAACTGCCAACTGTCTTCAAAAATTAGTGCTGTGCACTCCTTTTGTTTTTGTGATTGGTGAGGTTTAGACTAGCAAAAATAAACCTGCACACGGGAGATGAGTCAGTTTTCTGTCAAAAGAGCATAGATCGTACCTTGCCTGACCTGTGCATTTGTTCAACGCATCAATTCGCAGCTAGCATGCAAAGTGGAAGGAACATGGCCCAGCTAGTTATTCTTGCCGCGGCAAATGGCAATTTGCCGAGGCAAGAGCACTTTTGCCGCGGCAAAAGGCCCGGCAACGACAAGAATATTGACACGATTGAACATGGCCCAGCTAGTTATTCTTGCCGCGGCAAATGTCCCGGATTTTTCGGCCCAGGTTTTGCCGGGGCAATTTCCGCGGCAAAACGGAAATGCCTTGGCAAAATCGACGTTTGAAATACTGACACGAATACCACCCCATAAGTAATACACAAAACAGTAGATCAATTCCTGTATGTATGCTTTATACAATGCACCATAAATGGTACAGGAGATAATTAATTGTGGAGCAAAGACAAAACCAGTTGGTGGCTCTAAACCTGCTCTCACTATAAAAAAAAACTGCGTGAAAAGTGAGACGTCCGGCTATCCGAAAGCCCACTAGGAATTAGCGGAATTAGCTTAGGGGTCGGGCTAGCTGTGTCTTGGTCGTTGCTGCATACACACAAGAACACAGCCGCACGTATAGCTAGCTAGCTACTACACACAACAAACATACGCACTCTTCTCTATCTAGCTAGCCCCCACCGGTCCAAACAAACATACTGGCATGTCAACTTGTACTGACACCATGCACGGGCGTACCGGCGACCTGTGGGGGAGATCCTGTAGTTCCACCAGCAGCGTGCGTGGCGGCTTTTCCCCCCTTCAACGAGATCCTGTCATGTCAACACGACAACGACTTGCTGGTCACGCACTTGAAACGGCGGGCACTGCGAATGGAGCGAGTCACTCACGAACCTCGACGACTGGCTTCAGCGCGTGCAGTTCTACGATAATAGTGCCACTTACGTAACTATTCACAATAATATTATGTATAATTACGTAATGAACGTTAGCTATTGCGCATGCGTACACTGTTTGTTCTAGAGAGAGCTATAATATAGCTAGCCATGGCGACGAAGGAGAGGCCGAAATCTGCATACGAAGGCGGGCGTCTTCCAAAGAACGAGAGTTGGGGGACGATCGTGGAGACCAACAGAGGTCTAGGGCACCAGAAAGGGTCCAAGGATGACGTGGATGCAATCGTGGAGCGACTCAGCACCGTTACGGCCAACCCCAAGGTCCCTGATGCGCAGCGCACAGGTGCTCTCAAGCAGAGCGGGATCATGAACAGCTACGCGTGGAAAGGCTACTAAGCTGCGGGCTAGGTGACCCTCCTTTCCTGCAAACCTCTTCCTGATCCTGTGTGTTGCACGTGGATTTTGTTGTTTTGGGTGTTTTTGTGTTGTTTGGGTGTTTTTGTATTTGTTCCTCCCCCCCTGTTGTCAATTCTGTACGTGTTCATGTTCACTGCACGCTGTCGCTCTCTGGTTTGAAACATTTCTCTTTAAAACATGTCAAGTATACACAGAAGTGAATTTGAGTGTCCAGGCATGCTGCAGACTAGAGTTCAAGGGAAGGTAGGGGAGGGAGACGACAACGTAGCCTTGACTGCTCGTCCCCCAGGCCAGTGTCCCGTTGTGACCTAGCAGAGATACTTGAGACCCCGCAACTGGACGTACTGATCCCAGAGTCACGGAGTAGCTCACAGGCCACTCCAGTAGAATTGCATACACTGATTTATTCACAGCGTTCCAAGTGTACCTGGAGAATATGCACAGAGCACATCTTATTATCGACTCAGCCCATTTTCTCAATTCTCAAATGGAAATGTACGTGAGGGCTGCTGACATAATTTCACATGGATAAACTCAAAACAAAAGCTATGTCGATCTTCCATTAGAATCAGCAACTCTGGATCATATTTATGCACTCAGTTAATCTACTCTCGCATTAACCGCGGTCCGGGTTTAAGCAAAGCACAACTTCCTGCTTGCAGTCTTTGGCAGGTGCAATACTAACAGATGGTTCACCAGACAGTGGAAGGATGGAGAGTATCGTTCTGATGGATCCAATGTGAAGAGTTATAGATTGCCTCTCCATTCACATCCAGCCACGAACCTGCACGTATATATCACATACAAACAAAGACAACTACATCAAGGTCAACTAGCTATGGGTGCCTCAAGGGAAAACGAGATGAGCTATGTGGGAATCAAACCCACGACACTCTGCAGTCTAGGCGAGCGCTCTACCAGCTGAGCTATACACCAGGGAAACAACTCAGCAGGTATAATTATAGGGGCTCAAATCTACAAAACACAATTACAACACACACACACACATTCTGTACTAAGAGATACTCACCCAGTTGAAGTAGTCTCTCTTGCATAATTGGAGGGATGGTCCCGTCACTAGCTGGACCAACATTCAGCAAAAAATTTCCACCTCGACTATATTTAATAACATCACCATTATAATTATTTGGAAGAAAGTGTATATATATTTTGTGAGCCAGGACAATTGCATTGTGGGATGGACCATTAGCAAAGGTTTTCTTGCATGATCTCCCTTCAAAGTGTCTCAATGTATGGTATATATTGAGAAACGTTTGAGGACCGTACATTGAGAAACGTTTGAAGGGAGATCATGAAGAAAACCTTTGCTGCAGTTCAATTATACATCTTTAGACTTCTGCATTAGTTGTAAACACGTGACAGTGGTTAATGATACCTGACAGCGGTGACAAGCTCCGAAATGATGATGGAGATGTTGCGATATTTGCGTATGTCGTGGTCCCTGCAGTAGCCCCACGAACCCTCCATGACAGAGTAGTAGGACTCCCACTTGTGAGTGTGCAGACTCACTGCAGGAGGAGGGACAGAGGAGGGACGTATATCACATCATAATTCATACCAACACAGCACTAGCAACTTGTAGTCTACGCGTGAAACCACCAACAAAGATTGTTTCAATCGCACACGTTTAAACGTTGCAGAATTAAAATTTGGCACATGTGAAACCGCTGCATAGTTAACCAAGATCGCTTCAATCACACACTTGGAAACGGGTTTATATCTGGAGTTGCAGAAATAATATTTGGCGTGTGTTTTCTTATGCTATTGAACCATTTCCTCACACTATCCCCTGCCCAACTTTGCACACGGTATGTTTGTCATGGAGAAATGATACAATATTATGGATACATACAGTATGGCTGATGAGACTAGTTTTTTCTCACTGTCTTTCCTCCAGTTGCGGCAGGTAAAGTAGCCTCCGTGAGTACAGCTGCAGTCACTGCCCCACCTGTCATTCACCACCACCTCACTCCTCACCGGACTTTAACAACAAACACACCGTACATTTGTTTGAACTCCAACTTTTGTTAAAACGCATCAAGTAGAGATTGTTTAACTCCAACATTTGCAAGTTGTGAATTGTGAATATTGAAGTGAAGTAGGAACTCCAACCAACATTATAGTGAATACATTAAGTAATATTGCAGATTATCCTTTGAACTTTAACATTTTGTGTTCACAACAATATTGTAAACGCATCAAGTAAAGATTTTGTTAACTACGTAACAGTTTGCAGTAGCGGCGTCATTCATACATGTGCATGGTGTCAGGGGCGGATCCTGGGAGGGGGTTGAGGGGGTTGCAACCCCCTGTTTCGTAAAGCAAAGAAATGAGTTGCAACCCCCAGTTATCGTAATATGCTGGATCCGCCTCTGGGTGTTCTACTGCTGGTTTATCTGCCCCTCCCCAGCACCCAACCTGTCATTGTAGAGCCAGGCCAGGAAGCGAGTTGTGTTCCAATACGAGGAGTTCCCATCCCAGTCACCGTCGCCCCAGATGAGGTGGGGCTGGTAGCTGGACACCAGGTCATACAGCTGGGGCATCGCCACCTCCTGTTGGGCCGGAACGACAAACAAACACTCAAAAATCTATCACAGAGAAATGCACCAGGCTAGAGCGTTTTCCGGGAATATTATTATGAAATTTGTTTCTGGATCATAACACAGCTACGTATGTCACTTTCCCAATTTGTAAACACATTTTATAACGCTGGTTACTGCAACCTAAGCTCACTAACTATAAAACCTAGTGTTTGCTTACATGCAGTCCACGCAGGTCAACCTAACCTGGTTTGATGTTGCAATAAACACAGTTTAATCTTCCTGGAAACGTAGCAGTACACAATGGGCTACAAAAGATAGAACTAAGCAATATGGCCCAGTGCAAGAGGTTTCCGCTTTCAGTAATAAGCTCTTATACTGCCACATTTCCATGAAAGACAATAAACTTTGCAGTCCACAAGAGATGGGTGTGGTTTACGGGAATGTAGTCAACATAATCAACAGCTTGAAAATCAATTGGGGTTAATTCACCCATGCAGCTCATAATAATAAAGAGTGTTGAAATATCTTACTGAGACGTATCTCTGTGTGTGATAATGGTTGGCCTTGTCAGAGAGGAAGAGAGGGTGAAACCATTCAAAGAGAGAGAAATAGACGCCAAACCTCAGCGACGAATTGCTGCGAGTGGCATTCGCCAACTCTCCTAATGATGATATTATTATGTTTTATTAATAGTAATACTTGTTAATAAGATATATCTTACGCGTATTAACTTTGAACATTGACTAGCTGGACTAGCCGAATCAGTATATTCTTTATTAGTTATTAGGCAGTGTCAATTTGGTGCATCACATTTCTCATGAGCTAGCACGTATATACTCCGATAGCAAGTAGTGATTAGGAAAAACCAGTTCAGACTAAAACAGAGGGAGCTGCTGAGTGTAGGTAAGGGAAGATTTTTTGGTTGAAAGTGCACGTGCTCTGACCGACAAGATCTCTCTGAGGTCCACTGTCCACGGAGTTCCAGTTCCAAGCCTCGTTTGAAGGCCAGTTGGCCCATCCCTCGTGGTGCTTGCTAGTGAGCACAATGTACCTGCACACACACACAATACCATTGTCACCCCTCTCAGAGTGTGCATGGAGTGGACCCACTTTGCTCCTGCTCTTTCAAACAGGTCCACCCACTTCTGCGGATCAAACAGCTCGGCCTTGAACTGTGGACCAAAGTCAGGGTATGTGAAAGTCTTCAGATAGTTCCTCTGCATGAAGTGGACGATCCAGGGATCCTTGCGACCGACCCAATTCTCCCAGAACCACTCGCAGCCGCTCTTCCCTCCCCCGTAGCTCGGCACAGAGAACAGGCCCCAGTGGATGAAGATCCCCACCTTGGCCTCATCGTACCAACTCGGCAGAGGTCTGCACGGTTTGAAAAACCGAGTATCATGTTGAAGCTAAGCTATAATTAGGTAGAGCTAGTTATGTATCATGCAAAAAGCTGCAGTTCTTGTTAGTTTACGTTCCACCTGCTGTCGAGGGAAGCCCAATTGGGCTGGTATTGCTGCAAGCCTCCAACGCCTGCAGCGAGCAACAGGCACCCTCCAGTCAGCCAGCACAAAAGCATTCTCCTGAAGCCAGCTAGCCAGTCGTACTGCGCATGCGTAAAGACTATTACTTGCGCGCATGCGCGATGACCGCCACGTTCGCGCATGCGTGAAAACCTCAGAACTGTATGAGAAGATGCTATTACCACAGATCCTTACACACTGTAACACAGACACGCACACATAGAAATAGACAGACGCAATACCCCACAAATGACATACTCATTGACTCAAAAAAAAAAACAGGATGCATTTTGTGCCAGAGGATCAACGACAACACATGGAGAGGAAAACTACGCATACGGCAGGGCGAGCACGCCCTAGCCTAAGTGACTCGACAACTGTGACACTTGACTGACGATATCGTTCACACATTTTGTCACTTTCTCCTCGTTCCTCTGCCAGAGGGGACCCTTCACGTCTCTCAGGTAACCAAACTCTCCCCGAAGAGAAGTCACCGCTCTTCTGAAGGCAATCGATTTCGTGCTCGGCGTGCTCTGTGCGGTGTTGACTATACTTTCAGTGAGATCAGCCAGAGCTTCGAGAAACTGGGGAACTCCGCTGTAGCGGTTGTGCATGGCGGCTAGTATGTCCGGGGCACTCTGCTGAAGGTTGACAATCATGTCTTGAGCTGTCCCAGAGGGAGTGAGGTCGACATTGTACGACGTCACGGAAGAAGACGAGTCTTGTCGAGGAACGATGCCTCTTGGTTTGTTCGGGGGGAGGGGCGGAGGGGGGGAGACGGACGTGGACAAATTAGAGGGGCGCCGGGGGAGCGGGGGTTTCGGTCTCCGCGGGGGAGCGGGGCGATCTGAGGGGGGTGGGGGAGGCGAGGTGTGATTCATTTTGAGCGGGATCTGGGGTCTGCGTGGGGGAGGGGGTTTTGAGGAGGCGATGTGATGATTCGCGGTGTTGCCTGAGTGTGGAGAGCCAGGTCGGTTGGGAGGGAGCGGGGGAGAGGTTTCCGATACCCTCGCTAGCATTCCAGAGTTGGGGGAAATAGATCGTCCCTCCATGTCTTTCGTTCGGCTGATGGGCGGTGGTGCAGGTAGAGCGCGGTGGAAATGGGAGTGAGATGGCTTCGCGGGGAGTGGCCTGGCGGAGTCCTCGTTATGGAGCGGCTGGGGGATGGTAGGGCGGGGTCTAGGGGTGTTGGGGACGGGCGGAGGAATCTCGCTCACAGAGATGCTGTCTAGACGAGTGGGTGTGGCTTCATCTCCTCTCAACACAGCTTCCACAGCTAAAAGTGAGAGATATTCGGTCACACACCAGATAATAATGAAGCTGTTTTGTGTGAATTTCCTAATCACTTCTATTACGGAAATGTCCGTACACTTGAGAATGTCAAAATATTATGCTGATTTGGCAACACTGCACACATACGTACATTAGTAGCACACACACAGTATAACAGTGGGGACCAGTAACGTTCAAACGGAGCCAGAAACACTGCATGTTTATAATTGGCTACAGCCACAAAAACATCAAATGCGCAGTGACAAAAACAGTTAGATTTCGAGTGAACTGCAAAAAAGGTTTTCAGAAATGTACCTTCATTGATGTCAGACATTCCGTTGAGAGTATCAGAGAGAGTCTTGAAGGAAGGTCTGTCTTCTGGAGCCCACTCCCAACACTTGTGCATCATGTCATACACCGGCTGCGGACATCCCTCGGGGCGCTGCATACGGTACCCCGACTCCAGGAGCTCGTAGACTTGCGACAGTTCTACTCCGGGGTACGGAGACATGCCGTAGGTCGCCAGCTCCCATAGCAGCACTCCGAATGCTGAGAGGAGAGAGAGGGAGGGAGGGAGGGAGAGAGAGAGTGTGTGTGAGAGTCACCACCAAACACAAGAAAAACTAACGACACCTCCAGTATAATTCGTCGTCAACCCTACACACCCTTCCCAGTTCATCACTAAGCGGTGTTCACACGCTCATTGAAGAAAGACAGAAGTTATGTGAATACACAACACCCTTCAGATTGTCATATATAGAAAGTAAGGGGGGGGATCCTGGTTATTGGACGCTAATAGATAGTGGGTTTCAAGATGGTTGGGAGAGGAATGTAGGAAGCGCCCACAACCCCTATACAAAACCTGGTCATGTGTAATTCTATGTATCAGAGGACAATGTGAAGGTATGTTCTGCCAGGAAGAAGGTGATTAGAACTGTATACAGCACAACAACTGTGTATAAATGTATGTTACACTGAATATGGAAGGTGGGTGGGGGTCTTAGTTCTCTCCATGTAAGGAGACACTGAGAGAGAGGGGGGGGAGGGGAGGGGGCATTGACCATAGGCAGCTCTGTGGGTGAGCATCACTGCCTGTTACTTAGGTAGGCTGTAGGTGGGGGGCACATTAAAAGAAGGTGGATCACACAAACATACAGACTCGGGACTCCCTACTGGACACTCGGCCAAAGTGGTCATTACAGCGTTGATGTGTGGACAAGTGAAAAATCCACAGACTACAGTACAAGTATATGGGCCCATCGTCCCACTTGGAAAGCAGATGCCAAGGACATAAATGCTTGTCATTTCAACCAACGGAAACACGGTGCATTTGCATACATATAAGTACACTGCTTGATGAATACACACATACACACCTACACACATACACATAATATGTACACCTATCTACTATACAAACACAGGCAGAGTGTAAACAGGTCCAGGCAGATGTGTATGTGCCTGTATGAAGCACATAGGGTGAGCCAGCCAGTATTCTTATAGAGTCATTAGCCTGGTGTGGCCTCTGTAGGGAACTAACTCCATTGGCCCCCCCTTTGTGTACTTTAGTTCACAGAGGAGGGAGAGTGGAAAATTAGGACTTGTTCTTTGGGAAAAGGGTCTAGTGATCCCTATTTGTGAGTTTGGAAGAGAGTGGGGAAGGAGAGGGAGAGATAAGAGTGGGGGGGAAAGAGCAGGGAGATAAGAGATGGAGTAGAGAAGAGGGTAAAGAGTAAACCCTCACTTACCCCACACGTCTGACCGAATGGAAAACTTGTTGTAGGCCAGAGCTTCGGGCGCAGTCCACTTGATAGGAAACTTTGCTCCCTCCCTGGCGTTGTAGACGTCGCTCTCCATGAGTCTGCTGAGGCCAAAGTCGGCCACCTTTATCAGGTAGTGCTCCCCAACCAGACAATTCCTGGCCGCCAGGTCTCTGCGTGTGTGTGTGTGTGTGCGTGTGTTTCCACAGTTAGAGAACTTTACTACCACACAGTGCAGTAGTGAAACATTGAGGTGTACTGGCAATTGAAAGTCTGAAATAAGGAAGGGAAAGTCGAATTTCGACAAGATCATGACATAAGTCTACCACACGCGCGCACACACACACACACACACACTACACACGCAGGTGCACACAGCAGTAAAAGTATGCATATCCTTGAAGACACATAGAGACTTATTGGTTTGTGTGAATCCAATTAACCCTTGGCTGAGGGACAGCCATGTAGATCAGGCAGAGGTTTACCCACTCCATATATGCATATACAACACACCACTTCCTATAGTCAACACACAGTTTCCCAGCTATACTGACACACACACACACACACAAACCAAGTACATACATACGTACATAGGTCACACTGAACACAGCTAGGGAACCGTTTTACTATCACTGCTGACATTTCAACATTCTCAAGCTACTACAGTCAATATTGAGAACGTAAAGTTGTCACACACTGAAGGGTTATTCCTAAATCTCTCTGGACTACAATAATGTAACTCGCACAAGCTTATGTAAGCAATAATTTGAACAAAAGAACAACTTCCGTAGCCGCTTGTTTCACACGACAATGTCTCCTCTTTTCCCCCCCTCTCCCTCCCCTCCCTCCCTCCCTCCCCTCCCCTTCTCCCCCCACCTGTGTATCATGTTCTTGGACTCCAAATAAGCCATGGCAGATGCCACTTGCTGGGCCATGTAGACCAGCGTGACAGCCTCAATGTCTTTCCCGTCGTTCCCTCGCAGGTAGTCCAGAAGATTACCCTTCACCATGTACTCCGTCACGATGAAAAACGGGAGCTCTCGCGTGCATACTCCGAGCAACTGGACCAGGTTGGGGTGGCGGACAGCTTTCATAATGGCCGCCTCTTTTAAAAACTCTTCCGCCTCCATTGTCTCCTCCTGTGCGTGTTATGTAAGAACGAATAATGGGGTGTCAGCACACTATCCAACAAAGAAGAAATGCCTAGTTAGCCCTATGGGTAAACGTTCACAATATGCAACAACAATGTGAAAGTAGAGTGGTTGGGAAAGGAAATATTCCACACACGTGGGAACAGTCAAACTGAAAATGCCGACTGTCTGAAACACACAATCACCAGGCACGGGGTTTGTGTACTCATGCATACCTTGAAAGTCTTTACTGCCACATAAATGTGCTGTTTCTTGAGCGAAGCCTTGTAGACCTCTCCGTACTGACCTCCGCCTAGTTTCTGCCCCATCTCGATGTCCGAGCGGTTGATTTCCCACTGGTCGACGTCGTGCGAGATGCTGTAAATGGGCGGTTTACGAGGGTTGGGTGCAGGGTAATGCAGCGTCGTAGTTAGCCCGTCGGGATTCTTAGAGTGATGCACGACTAGTTTAGCGAGCGTGTCGAATTTCGACTCGGGTGTGACATAGCACTTTGCCCCGGCGTCGAAATGGATGCGGTAGTGAAACACGCGTCCGTCGTAGCGCAGCGAGATCGAGAACTGCCCCGGCTTGCTCTCGCTCTCGCGGACCAGAAAACTTCCGTTGATTCCGGAGCTGAGCGACAGCTCGGCCTCTGCCCTCGTTATGTTTCCGTGGAACCACGAATGCTTCTCCAAACTGTCTACCTTGGCGATGTAAGATGTAGGGACCCAACCAATCTCTCCCCTTACGCTTGTCGCCTCGCACCAGTCGCTGTTCTCGCTCTTCCGCGACACCTTCAGCTTGTCGCCCTTCTTGATTGAGAGTTGACCGGCCTGGTCGGTGGTGTAGCTGTGCTTGGCTATGTAGAGGTCAGGATCATCTTCTTCCCCACCGCCCGCTGTTAGAAGATTCTCCAGCGAGCCCCAGCGGTTCGAGTGGGTGATTGTGGAGGAGTGAGGGTCCTCATCTTCCAGCCCGTTACCGTGATGATTGAGATGATGGTGGGTTCCATTGGCTAAGGAGAGGGAGGGGAGAGAGGGAGGGGAGAGAGGGAAGAGAGGGGAATGAGAAAAAGATAGGGGAAAGTTAGGAGGTGGGTGAAAAGCGAGAGGAGAGAAGAAAAGGAAAGAAAAAGAAGAAGGAAGGAGCAGAGAACGATGGAGAGGGATGAGTGAGCAGCAAACGAAGGGGAGAGACAAAGGGAGACAAATGATATCACCACATTTCCTCCCCCAAAATTTGTCCATAAACATGACCCACAAACTGAAAGGGATTAGAACAAATTTCCTCTCACTCACCCCTGACCACAGCACACTCAGGGCACAGTGTACATGCACACGCATAAACCACAGCTTGTCTAGCATTCCACTGGTAATGAGGGCAAATGACTCTCATTCACTTATAGCGAATTCTGCTGCTTATTAGCCCCGTGTGAAGTGTATAGGCATAATATTGAGTGAAATAGTGGAGTAAAATGTACGCGGCACGAGGGAATTACGCCATATACGGGCGGTTGACATCCGACAGCATATGTTAGTGACTGCAAAAACAGTGAAAACCGGGCAACGTTTCGTCGATGTGTTATTTTAGTGGACACTGCGCTTGCGACAACAGCCCTGGAACTGTGCCCGAGTGGGGTGAGCATTAGTGGGCATTTGGTAGCAACGGAACACACGATGACACAGGGCACCTTACAAAGACGCCTTACGATGGCTTGGCTCAGACAGAAAAGCGGTCGAATATTGAATCAATCCGCAGCTTATGCACGGCAGAGTAGAGAGATTTGGCCAGGAATCGCACTCGCTTCTCGCCACTAGCCTTTTGAGGGCTACTTAGCAGAGCAAAAGGCACGAGAGGGAGAAGACAGCAAGCATGATCACGTTAGGCACATACGTACATCTCTTTAGAGGCACAGAGCAACATTAGGTTGCCACCTACAGACACGGCGGTGTAGTAGGTTCGGCATAGCACGGGGCGTGCACCGACACCATATTATGTATCGGACCGTTTTCTGTACACAGACGGTAGAGCATCTGTGTTCCTGACACCTGCTTGTGTGCCAACCGGGCAGGATTGTATGGTGGATCAAGGACACATAGAAATAATATACACGCAACACATGATACAGAGATTTGGTAAAAACACTGAGCTATTACTCGTACAGAGTTCAGTACACAAGAGGTAGACCTTCGTATGCTGACTAGCAGAGATAACCTCACTGAGCGTTTGGTTTGACACAGTTGCAGGCAGCGTGTATGCCGCAGTGGTTTCCCGAGTGCTTGTTCGACAAGTGTTTGAGCTGAGGCAAAACACGTGTAGGTACATGGGGTACACGGGGTACACGTGTAACTGAACGACATGCGTGCACTTTTCAACAAGCTGGTTGTTCAAATGAGCAAGAGAGAGCGAGGTTGGAGAGAGGGGATATACGATGTTGACTAGGAGGTTTTTGAGGCTAAACAACAACAAATACAGTTGACTGCTGAACTAATAGAGACTTCCTTCCTTCCACCAAATTCGACACCTTATTTGGTGAAGACACACTAGGTGCAAGGCCCACATCATTGTAGATGTGAAATTAGAGATCTGTAATAACTTCTCCTTCTCATCCCTCCCACTCCTACCCCCATTCAGCTGAGCAGTATAATGTGGCACTACTCAAGCATTCAGAGACTCCGTGCTCAAAACACAGTGTAGAGGTCTGTCTACTGAGCCTATCCACTGCCAAGTCAAGGTTGCCTTTATGCTGTGGTGTGTGCATCTGCTTGCTGCTGAGTTTGCATGCACACCATGCAAGACCAGTCTACATCTTCCCTTGTCACAGGTTCCTCGGACTACGAAACCTTGTAATATTGGTTTCCGTTTTACACACCTCTTCTCTTTCTCCACCATCAGCACACACACACACGCGCTCTCTCTCTCTCTCTCTCACATCCTGCGTGCGTTACCTCTGTCGCTGGCTCCGGGGAGCTCCGTATCCACGCATGTGTAGCTCCTGAGCACGCCGGGCGGCTGCCACGAAGGCTGGCCCTCCTCAGTCTTCGTCTTCCCGCCCGTTCTCTTGTTCACGGTGCGCTTTCTGTCAATGGACGCCACAGAACTCCCAGATGACTTTGCGTTCCCCATGTTTCTCTCTCTCTCCTGACACCACGTCTAGCTATTCGAAGTGGTCTACTGGTATACTCAACTCTAGCTTCTCCAACGGCACTGGATAACCATCACAGGACACCAGGTGTGTCCTACACTTCGTGACAAACTCAACGATCTCTCTTCGGCTGCTGTGACGATGATGGAGCGTTAGCCCTTTGGGGAAGCTTCACACGGACATAGTAAATGCGTGTGGAAATGAGACAAAAATCCTAGCCATGCGAAAGTCACGTGACCCTAAACGAGCGCGCGCCGCGCGCTCCCGGCCGGTTTGATTATGATAATGAAGCACATAATAATACTAGAAAATGTAGGGAATAATCCTTTTTCTATTCTTTGGGTAGTCGTCGAACTTGTCAAGGTACCAGTTGTGCATCTGGCGGGCGCTAAGACCCAGCACAAAGGCCACAAACCAACAGGGGAGCAGCATCGTTAGGGAACCGGCCTGGACCACCAGCAGAGAGCAGTAGATAAGGATCTCGGCCAAGTAGTGCGGACAGGAGACCAGAGCGAACCAGTCCCCGTGCGGTATTCCCACTCTGAGAGTCTGGGGCGGCTTTGGTGGGTGGGTATCAGCTACGTTATTTCTCTGCGAAGAAAAGTTGTTGGAGCGGCGGAGGTTTGCTAGAATTTGGTGGCAGTTGTACTGATGGTAGCTGGCCCAGACAAACACCACCAGAGCCACTGCATATCTCCAGAGAATAGAAAACGGATAGTTCGTCAGCTCGTGGCCTAGAAGGAAGAGAGAAAACAAGGAAGAATGGGGAGTTAAAAAGAACGGAGGGATTAGAGTAAGCACGTGAAATGTCATCATACGCCACATTTTACTGATTGTATAAGCGGCTGAATCACTGCCAAAGAAACTTGTTCAACACTGCTTTTAGCACATTACCTAATGCACACACGCCCAATAGAGAGAAGACCTAGGATGTGTGGAGCAATGTGTGACATCATCACACAACAAAAACAATCGCTAGCTGCACGTCAACCACACACCCTTTTTGGCAGTTGGAGAGTCAGTTCCAATTGAATTCTGACCTTCCACAAGGTTGCTTGGTGAGGGCTGGAAACAAGTGCAAGTTCCTAAAACGCTTGCCTTATTACTACTTCCTTTAATTGCAGATCACCCACGAGCAAAAATCCTACACGAAATTCTGTTTTTGGGGCAACTAAAGAGTATATATGTTTTGGTGTGTTGGTTGTTTTTGTAGCCAGAAACAATGTGGATGACCTTTCCTTGTACGTGAGTGGTTATTATAACAAACTCTACATGACAGCTCCACTTCAATGCGTGGCCTCACCGTCTCGGTTCAGATGCAGCATGGCTGTAGGACCCACTGCAGTGTAGAAGTAGAACCCCAGAACGTAGTGTACGACGTGCATCTTTCGCTGAGAGTGGCGGGTGACGCACACACACTCCAACAGCCGACGCACCGTTTGACACACGAGGAGCGAGAGAGTGAGAAAAACATCAATTTCCGCTTGCAGTAGGGGTTTCTGTTTCGTAGCTGTTGACTGCGGCGGCGTGCTGTTCTGATTGTCAAACAGTGACAGGGTGCTAACAGTCCTGCACGTGAAGGCTATGAGAAGTGAAGTGTTCCACACGGAGCCCCAAACGTAGAAGTGAGTGAAATATCTGCAACTCCCAAAATACCAAAACGGTGAGTTATGATGTCAAACCACCACTACCTTCTAGGCACAGAACTCAAACACTCCATAAAGGCGGGTAACATCCTGTAATTGGAGAGATTAGTTTCACGGGAAATACTCGAGCAGGAGAACGAGAATTAACTTATGAGGCGAAGGAGTTTGGCAGGCGTCGCGGACGCCCTACCAGCGCCAAAGTTCTTCAGCTTTCCATATGTGAGCATCTCGGAGAGGGCGGAGGGGAGAGCGGGCTCTCCACGGTAGGAGCAGGTGGAGGAGAAGGGCTGAAGCGATCCACACCGCCCAGGAGAGCACCAGCACGAACACGCCAACGTCGTAAAAAGCCCCCATATTCGAGAAGTCGGAAAGGAGTTCGTCGGAAGGGCCACGTGGGCTGCTGATTCAGCACTCACTTTATCCATTTAAACGAAAACAATGCAACGACAGATATTTTGAAATTTGGTCAGCGATGGTTTGTTGTTTCTTCATCCGTTCGGATGGGAAGAAAGAGGGTGACAGTTTACTAGTGGGTGCGGTCTGAAGGTTGCAGCGTCTATTCAGTGTCTGCCCCGCTGCCTGAGGCCTGTTGGAGAGAGATGGCGTTGAAGAACGCCGTGCTCGCGGCCTGTGTCTCTCTGGTGCTAGTGGCCGTCGTCGGAGCCATAACAAGAGCTGAAAAACAGCACTACAAGTGCGGTTAAAAAAAGTTGTACGAACAACTCACCCCATCACGTACAATGTTTCATTTTTCTCCAGAAACAAAGTGGTAGAGATGTTCTTCCACGCCTATAACTCTTACATGGTATATACATTTCTCTCTTCTCTAACTATTATATGCTACGCACTGTGTACGATATGCAATCTCCACAGAACTTTGCGTACCCTGCGGACGAGCTGATGCCCCTGTCATGTAAGGGCAGAGTGAGAGGTGTTGACAGAAGCAGAGGCTCCGTGGACGAGGCCCTGGGGAGGTGAGGAGAGAGAGAGAGAGAGAGAGAGAGAACGGACATTTCGGTCGAAATTCCAATATTGTGTCTCTTTTTACCTTTTTCAGCTTCTCTCTGACTCTGATTGACTCACTGGACACTTTGGCAGTAAGTGAACGTGACTTTTACACACTTGGCTCTCAAATGCACAATCTGACTCGTGCCAGGAGCTTAAAGTTAAAGTGTAATCCGTTCCCTCTCACTCGTTTCTTTCCCCACCCTGAAACTGTGGGGCTCTGGGATGGTGCCTGTACAACTATAGTCAGGCACTGCAGTTTTTTGCTGGGTCGCTTTTAGGTTCAGCTTGAGCAGCACTTATAAGCTAAAGTGTAATCATTTCCCTCTCACTCGTTTCTTTCCCCCCCCCCACCCTCAGGTGCTTGGGGCACTGGATGAGTTCAGTGAAGCGATTCAGCTGGTTCTGAGAGACGTTCGCTATGACAGCGACCTCGTGGTCTCCGTCTTCGAGACCAACATCAGAGTCTTGGGGTGAGTTGCCCTGGTGACTAAGTAGTCAACACCTCCTCTTGTGGTTTTTGGTAGAAACAGTCTTCCTCCATTTCTTTCCCTGTCTCTCTCTTCTTTCCCTCTGTTCTTTCTCTTCGTCCGTTCCTTTCTACTTCCCTTGGCTACTCCCAACTGCGTTACTACATATACATATATGGACATGTATGTTCACAAGATAACTAATTCAACTGCAGATGTAGGGATAATATTATTAGTAACTATCTCTTCAGTAGTTCCAATTCGTATGTGAGCGCCAGATGTCATGAATATTCCCTAACAATAGTTCTTTTTCTTTCCTTCTCCCCCACCCTCTCTCTAAATTCCCCCCCTTTTTTCTTGCTCCCTCTTTCACCTCCCCACTGCTTCCCTAATTATCTCCCCCCAGAGGTCTCCTAGGAGCCCATTTTGCAGCGGTGGCACTCAAGGAGAAAGGTCACCACCAGTTGTCGTGGTATTCGGACCAGCTGTTGGAGAAGGCGGAGGAGGTCGGCCAGAGGTTGCTACCTGCCTTCAACACCTCCACTGGCCTCCCTTACCCCAAGGTCATAAGGCTATAAGATTCCCCACTCTGATAACTTGTACATGTGACCTTTGTACCGTAACTAGAACGAACGCCGAGCATGTTGCGAGTGAGCGCGAGCAGTTAAACCTTTGTGTCTTAGTCGCACTACAATCGTGTACACAACATGATGGTAGGTGCAGTGCCCATCACATTATATACAAATTGATTCACGCATTCAGACAACTACTGTAGGTACAGGTTCGCTCGCTCACTCGCCATGATTTTACTTTCGCAAATTTACTAAAACACATTGTGTTCTCTAGCAAGTATATAACAAGTTTGTTACTAGAACTAATGCAAAAAGATTGTTAGAGAGAAAACACAAGTCCAAAAATTTTTGTAAATGATGTATGTACCTCGCGGCCTCGCATTCATAGGTCATTGTGGAAGCTCTGAGGAGTCCTGCAGTCAACGTACCAGCGCTAGCTAGAAGAGTTGAAGCATCTCTTTCCCGACCTCACATGTAAATGTGTACGGGCCGCATTCAGGTCATTGGAAGCTGAGGATCCTCAAGTACCCAGCTGAAGAGTAGCACTCATCGACCCTGTACCTCAACATAGTAAATGATGTGTACATTGGTGGCCTCGCATTCATAGGTCATTGTGGAAGCTCTGAGGAGTCCTGCAGTCAACGTACCAGCGCTAGCTAGAAGAGTTGAAGCATCTCATTTCCCTGACCCTGTACCTCAACATTAGTAAATGATGTGTACATTGGTGGCCTCGCATTCACAGATCAATCTACTGAGAGGCATGGAGTATGGAGATGTGGACAAGACGACGTGCACTGCTTGTGCCGGGACCAACATCCTCGAGTTTGCAGCCCTCAGTCGGCTCACTGGCAACGCCGCATACGAGACGAAGGCTCGTAGGTCTATGGAAGCCATATGGATGGCTCGACACAGAGGTCACGACCTCGTGGGGACCACCATTGACATCAACAACGGGCAGTGGACCAGGAAAGGTGAAAGGGTGTTGGGGAAGGGGGAGGAGTCTATATACTAACTGTATTGATAGTACAGTGAAACCTCCGAATAAGGGACACCTTGGGGACATTGGAAGTGCCCTTTATTAAAAGGGGCATCCTCTATTTGGATGTAGTATACACAATAATGTGTTAGTGTGCAGCAGATGGTTCTTTTTCAGAGGTGTCACTGTAACCCCCTCTCCCTCTCTCTCTCTCTCTCTCCTCTCCTCTCTCCCTCTCAGACAGCGGGGTGGGTGCTGGTATTGACTCTTACTATGAGTACTGCCTCAAGTACTACATTCTACTAGGAGACACTGAATACCTACACAGATTCAATAAGGTATGTATGACTACCTTTTCACACGGACGCAATGTTTGTGAAATTTCATGGATACGTGAAACCAAAACAATCCGTGTTTTTGTAAAATTTGGTAACGTTTGTAAATCAGTGATAGCGCCAATCGTTTCAAAAGGTACGTGTTCCTTCTCCTCTCTCTCCCTCCGTCCTCCCACCTACTTCATCTCGCAGCACTATACAGCCATAAAGAAGTACATATCCAACGGTCCACTGCTAGTAGATGTCAACATGGCCGCTCCCAACAAGATGTCTCGTAGCTTCATGGATTCCCTTCTCGCCTTCTGGCCTGGACTCCAGGTATGGCCGTATGGAGTCATGACGGTATGAGTGTATGGAATTATGAGGGCACGAGTGTATGGAATTGTGACAGTATGAGTGTATGGAATCGTGACTGTGTGAGTGTATGGAATTGTGAGGGCATGAGTGTATGGAATAATGTGTATGAAACCAGAAGTGTGTGGAATCAAGATATGAAAACATGAGAGTATGAGTGTATGGAATCGTGCCGCAGGTCCTGTGGGGTGACATTGGAGCTGCCATCCACACCCACGACATGCTGTACCACGTCACACAGAGACACAACTTCCTTCCTGAGGTACCTCGCAGGGAGGAACAGGGTAGCCAAAACTAGCAGACATGAGCAAACCTTCCATTTGAAAAATGTCAACGTGCATTAGACTGCCACCAGTTTCATACTTCAGTGTGTTTGTAAGCCTGTTAGCTGTAGTAATCAGCAACATTATTCTTGGGTCAGTTTGCGTTTAAAGTGTCAGTTTTCAGTACTAGACTAGAAAAAAGCCAACTCTGTGCATCTATCACTAGTGTACATACTACGTCTGTGTGTGTGTGTGTGTGCAGGCCTTCACACTGGATTTCAAGGTCCACTGGGGCCAGCATCCTCTGAGACCCGAATTCATTGAGAGCACCTACTTCCTCTATATGGTGAGTGTATCCTTTATAGCTTCCTTTATCTAGTACAAAGAAAGATCCCACACACTCTATCTATACTACATACTACATGAAGAAGGTTCATACACATTGCAACTTTGTGACCAAATCTCATGCAATTTGCAACGTATCACTTTTGTCGTACGCAAAAAATAGTTACACTATTGTATGTTAGTCTAGGCTCACACAGATCTCAATCAAGAAGAAAGCTCTCTCTCTCTCTCTCTCTCCTCTTTTCCATTCAGGCAACTGGGGATCCTTACTATCTCGACGTGGGGAAGACGGTGATCGACAATCTCAACGAACACGCTCGCGTCTACTGCGGGTTTGCTGGAATCAAAGACGTCAAGTTGAACACGCACGAAGACAGGTGAGCACCCAGTTAAAGAACCTTATTTACAGGTATATACTCCAAATAAAAGACACCTATTGCTAATACAGAGTGTACTTAGCCTCCAAGTTCTGTAAATTTTCATGGTTTTAGCATATCGTTTTGACTTTATCATTTACAACACTCTCTCTTTCTCATTCTCTATCTCTCCCTCCCTCTCTGTCCTTCCCTCCGCTCCTTCACCCACCCTCCTGACAGAATGGACTCGTTTGTTCTGGCGGAGACATTCAAGTATCTCTACCTCCTGTTCTCGGAGGAGGAGGACCTTGTGTTGGACATGGACGACTTTGTCTTCAACACTGAGGCTCATCTCTTCCCGCTCTCTCTGGCCACCTCTCCTCTTCCTCCCTCTCCCTCCTCCACAACCTCTCCCTCTTCAGTAAGGATATTTTCTGCAAGGTAGAAAGATTCCATTAAATATTTTGAAGCCTCCTGTCAAAATTTTGTGGAAAAAAAGGCCGTCTTTTGAGGGAAAAGTTTTTTGCAAATTTCACGGTTTAATAGGCGTCCGTGAGTTTTCTCCGCGTGCATGTGGGGGGCCAGAGTTCCCCACAAAAATGGCATTTGCTACCAAAAGTTGCCTGCTGTATGATTAACCACTGATGTATCATTCACCTCTAGTCCGTGTACGTTAATGCCACCGAGTCGACTGACCAATCAGGAGGCCCCGACGCTGCCACACCCACTGATGTCGGGGGCAACGAGAGCGTGGTGATGACGCGACCTCTGGTGTGCCAGAAGGACAGTTTCGCTGCTCCCTACATCCAGGCCGATCGCTACCGGAGGATGATGCTGCAGCAGTGCACTGTCTCCAGATTTGGCATACGGCCTCCTCCTCAGAGGTATGATTGAAGGGGTCAGAGCCAGAGTGGGCCAACCCTCAATATACAACCTCCTCAGATGTATAATTATTATTACGCTGTTCACGTGGAACGTCCAGTGAAACTTCTGAATAGTGGACACCTTTGGCACATTGATATTCAAAGATGTCCTTGTTGCAGAGGGACTGTGGCAGTATAATAATGGCTAAATTTAGAATCTTACTAAATCTTACCATTTTTAGTAACATTTCTAAATTTAGTCCTTACATATATATACTGCCACATTCCCTTTGATGGGGCAGCACTGTCCTTTGTTTTAGAGGTTGAACTCGCTGGCCGACAGTGTGCATATATGGAGTGTAACGTAAAGCTGTTCGAAAGTCATTCTTAATGACATTACTCACAAGAAACTGTACTGGTATTGTCTGTTAGTTGAAGCAACTCTCTATTCTTCCCTCCGCCAGGAAGAGGAGTGACGGGTCGGTGTACCAATCTCGTCTCTCGGTCAGCAGTCTCGACTTCAGCGATCGAGAACAGTTGAGTCTGCTCAAAGACATGGGGATCGTGATCCAGGCCATGTCCGATGGCCGCGTTCAGATCTCTCACACCATGCAGCTGGTAACTCTCTCTCTCTCTCCTCTTCCTCTTCTCCCTCCCTACTCACCCCTCTGCATTTGATTTGCGAGCAAATTGAAAGTCCACCAGTCGTCTGAATAGCTCGGTTTTTCCATACACGTGTGTACAATGCAACGACCGATAAATATGCACCAATGGGCATGCAGGAACATTACTTACAGCGGTTCGAAGGTAGCTTGGCTTTGCTTGCCTAATATTTGTTCTACATTCATTCTAGTGAGTCCACCTTTTGCAAATGCTTGATTGCTTCTGGTGTATTGCTTCCGATCAATCCTGAGTTTTACTTTTCTTTTCCTGCTAATTTGACCAATGTTGGCAAACCTCTTGCAAATTGTACACTGTTAACTATTTCCTTCCTCTTCCTCTCTCGCACACTAACACACACACCACACTCACACACACCTCCCGCTAGGCCCGTAACCAGGAGGATGCGGAGGAGGGTTGGTACCTAATGCAGGAGATCATCAAAGCCATGGATGCCCAGAGGGCCATGGGTGGAGGAGGAGGAGGAGGTGGAGGGACAAGGGAGGCCAAGCAGGTGTGGATTCTCTCACCAGACGTAGAGGACGACAAGATTGCCGTGGGACCTGCTCTGTTTGGACCTGACCTCGGGGGAGACAAGGACTACCAGGTGACTGCATAGAGTAAAATGCAGTTTTATTGGCGAGCCTACCAATGCCGATTTTATATCTGACAAGCACTGCACATGCATATATACCATAATAATACAGTACGTGAAATATGCACGCGAAAATTTGAATTTGACATTTGCTTGCCAAGCGTTATCGTTGCTCTTCCAGTCATGCAAGAGATACATTTTTAGTCAAGCATGGGCGGTTTGGGTTCATGTTTGTTGAGCAAAGTGAGCCTATGTATATACCTAGTCATCTTAATTGCGCCTTCCTTTATTGGGAGTGTCCTTTATTGGAGGTTCTACTGTATTACAGGTAGCAGCAGGGCTGGTGATACTGGAGGAGAGCTCGAAGGCCTGTTCCACTCTCCCTGGAGACCTGGGGCTGAGCGGGAAGATCGTCCTCATCCCCCGAGGCGGCTGCCTCTTTGTACAGAAGGTGAGATTCTCACGGATTAACGTAATCATGCATCAGTAAGTGAGGTACATATATACAACACATGGAGAAAGGGAGAGATTGATTACTGTATTAAATGCAGGTACGCGAGGCTCAGAAAATGGGAGCAGTTGGCGTCATCATTGAAGGTTTGACCTACTCAGTTTGACTGCTATTCCACATTCAACCCACGCTCTCCCCTCTCTCCCTCGGTCTCTGTCCCTCTCTTCCTCTCTCTCCCTCTCTCTCTGCTCCACCCAGACAATGTACTGACAGATCATAACGCTGACTCCTTGCCCCAAACCTTCTCCATGAGTGGAGATACCACATCGGGCGATATTCAGATACCGTCGGTCTTCATGTTGGCAGAGGACGGAGCGAGACTCAGGGACGTCGCGGCTACCAGCTATGGGGAAGAGGTGTTTGTTCTGCTCACCTGGACGAGGAAGAAGGGGGAGGAGGGGGGAGAGGAGGAGGAGGGGGAGGAGGAGGGGGGAGGAGGGTCAGGGTGAAGGGAGTGACAGTTGGAAAAGGACAGCAGCGGGGGACAGCAATAGGCAATCTTCACCTTCTCACAGCTCATATGATGAAAATTCAAATCATTAGTACACTGCATTTTTATCTATTGTTGCACTGATCGATGATTAATAACAGAGCATATTATTTGGAAACACTAACGGAATGTGGTGATGATTGCAATAAAGATTCCGGGCAGCACGTTAGGTCATGCAAAAGCCTGACATAAAATTTGGGTGTTGAGACTGTGGAATGCAATTTGTGGAATGCGAATAACGTTCGTCTGAACTTAGGCTTTGATCGCAAAGTGGTACATGTATTAGGGTGTCATTAACACCAGTCCGCCTCTGTTTCAAGTACGTATAGGCTATGCTGCACTGCACCTGTTCCCCGTGGCTAAAATTGTAATACCGGCTGTTTGGAAACAATCGGGAGATATAAGGAGTGGTCAAAGGTAGCGAAGCAGTGCAATTGATTCAACAGAAGCTAGCTGATAAAAGTCCCGATCGACAGCTATGGGCTCCCGGCACTTCTCTAACGGCTACATTTGTGTTCCCTGCACAGTGGATTAGTATAATTATACAACTCTGCATAATATTATCTGTAGCATTGCTGCGTGTTCATTGCTGTGTTCAGCTTCACTGTTGTGCCTACATGCGTTCCTTTCGCTTTTCTCTTGGACTGCATCTCACTGCTAATCCACAATTATTAATGGTTACCGTTCTTAATGTTGCCAGACTCTCATGTAGAACGTGCACCACCCAAACCATTCTCCTCATAGCTTCACACATTAACCAACCCTGAATTGTCGATCTTTCCATTATTACATTACTATATAATTGAATCATGTACAACTAAACTTTTCTTTCTTACGTTTCTTCTGATGACGTCTCTGAATAAGGGACACTTTGAAGGCAAAAATCCTTTATTCAGAGGTGACTCTTTCGAGGCAGAACCAAGTGCGAGGTGTTCTTTATTTAGAGAGTCCTTTTCGGAGGTTCCACTGTATCAGCAGCTTTTAAAGCATCAAACATAACGGGATGCGGCAGCCAAAGTGGCTATTTACTGTTGATTTGAACAATGTGCCCTTCCTAAAAACATGCACATACCTACCAACCTGCAGACCTTTGCTTGAGAAATGTGTCAAATTTGCTTGATTTGGAGTATTTCCTTGAAAATGCTGCATGTCCATTCAAAATGTATAGGCATGATGCATCACAGGTTAACACAAAAAAAGAGGGATTTGGCGATTTTCTGGTGGGATAGGCAGTATCTTTGCTTGATTATCAAACAAAAGGCTGGACGGTTGGTAGGTATGCTTTCTCTAAATGGAGTATAACACACCTTCTTGTTTACCATTTCCCAGAAGAAGATAGCAGGAAAAGTGTGGGTGTATTTGACCAGCAACACGGGGCAGTGCTTGCCTTGTGTGTACATGTCTGGCAACACTCACTCACCCGAGACCCGTCAGCACTTCCTCAATCACTTCACCATTGCAATTTCAATCGAGTATGTTGCAGTATATGATTTATACTAGCATACTTTGTAGTGGTGCTAACATACCCCCGACCCTTTATGGCTAGAGAGCCCTACACTGTTTACACACATGCACTGAACTATTAAATTCCCTCTGGGATTAAAAGTTTAGACAGTGCTATGACAATCTTAACCCAATATAGCCCCAAATCATGCATGCACTATGCACGCTGTTTCTAATTCACTTATCAAGACATTGTTTTCGAAGTGTTGAGAAAATTATTATTAGCCACATAACAATACAGACTAAAGTAGAAACAGTGCATGAGTCTTAGTGGAATCTACGAGCTCTGGAAGAGAGGTTTGATGATACTTTTCGAGAGGCTCTCCGTCGAGCGATGGCGTGAGGGGGAGGTGGGACGGGAGAGGAGTAGGCCGAGCTGTAGCGATAGAGAGGTGAGGGGATCTGGGTAGGGAGGAGAGGGAGGGGCCGGTATTTGTACGGTAGGGGGACGTCGACTACGGAGTACTCGGGGGTTGACATTCTGGAGTGAGTGGAGTGTTGGGCGGAAAAAGTGGGGGACTTGGGGGGAGGTGGCGCGGGGTACCCAGGGGAATCGAAGGGCCGCCGAAATTGGGGAAGATTCTGGAAGAGGCCAGAGTCGGGATTACGGCAGGAGGAGGAGGAGGAGTCTCTGGGGATGGATATGGGAGAGAGGCGAGGTTTTTTGCCCGGTTCGGGGAGCGCCGGGGGAGACGGTGAGCGAGAATTTGACGTGGGGACCTCCAAAACGTGGTAAATAACGCTCTCCTTTTTGCTGTGCAGCGATTGGATGAACTCCCTGGTTTCTCCGTTCTTTGCCATTTCCAAACAGCTCCGGCCCATCACGTCTTTGGCCTGGGGGTTTGCTCCGAGCCGGACTAGAGTGTCGATAGTGCTCTTGTGTCCCTTCTGTGCGGCAATGTGGAGAGGTGTTGCGAGGTTGAAATCGGTTGAGTTCAGGTCGCAGCCGGCCCTGGCTAGTGCTATGACCGACTCGTCCACGTGGTTCGTGGAGCCGATTGGCGGACACGAGTTGATTATGACCCAGTGGAGCGGAGTGAATCCACCGGTAAGGTCCGTGGCGTTCGGAGCTGCTCCACGGTCCAACAGGCAACGGACGACGTCGTCACGCGCGTGCTTGGCGGCGTGGTGCAGCGCCGTCATCTCGTTTGCGTCTGCAGTATCGAGCCCCACGCCGTTCCGCAGAGCCTCCAGCACGCCCTCGAGATCTCCCCCAGCTGCCGCAGCGAGGAATTCCTTCTCGTCCGGAGTAAGAGATCGGCGACGCGGCGGAGCTCGCGTCTTGCGTCGCAGGAGAAAGTTTCGACGCGGCTGGAGCCCCATCGCTCTGTTCTTCCTGATACTGTTCCTGATGCTCGTGTTGCGCCGCAGCACAGGGCCCGAGCGACGCAACGGCTTTTCGTCGGGGTCTGCGCGGCCCTCTTGGAATTTACGGTGGAGGTCCGTCACAAGTTCCGCAGGCCTCGGCACTTCCGTACCACTGACAGTTGCATTACTGTTACCCATGGCTATTTCACTGTTGGTTCTCAAACTGTAAAGTGCGGGAGAAGCCAGCTTTTATACCTTGCGCGCGTGAAAGTGCGCATGCGCATTGTGTATGGAGTGATGTCGGCGTCTTCTGAAGCAGAAAGGGAGGAGTTGGGTTACCAGTATTCTCCCAGTCGGTGGTCCACGCGACTCCCCGCAGGCGTGGTAGTGGACGCTCACTCGGAGGCCATCATTGCAGCCACCAAGACGGCTCGCGAGACGCTGCAATGTGACCTGGGAATAGAATACTTTGATGTCGGCGTCTTCTGAAGCAGAAAGGGAGGAGTTGGGTTACCAGTATTCTCCCAGTCGGTGGTCCACGCGACTCCCCGCAGGCATGGTAGTGGACGCTCACTCGGAGGCCATCATTGCAGCCACCAAGACGGCTCGCGAGACGCTGCAATGTGACCTGGGAATAGAATACTTGGAACCTGGGGGTCCGGTGCTGGATATCTACCACCCACAATCCACCTCAGGTCAACGCATAATCATACATTGATAATAGGGGCAACCTCAGTGTGTAAAAAGTACAGTGTCTCCTTAGGCTTCTTTAGACTAGGAATTCACAAATTGCACTGTCGGAATGGTCTATCATTGGGTCATGCATACATCGTTAGCGAATGACGTATGAATGAATGGTGTAAGCGGTACATGCAGTGTATGATATTTCCCCACAATGAGACTTTCAGGAAATGCAAGTATAAAGAGAATGTACAAGTATGGGTCGGCTATGGAAGGGAGTTGTCTAATTTCCTCTGTTTCCTCATTCATCTCCTGTCAGGAGACAGGGGTGACTGGTGCCTACGTTTCACACCTCTCTTCCTCTCTCCCTCGTCCTCTCTTCAAATTTTTCCACCAGTCATGTGTCCTCGACACCTCCGTACCAAAACAAACATGCGCTACTACTCACAACAAGCGTGCTGAAACGGAAGTTTGGTAGTACTCATAGGAGTAAACTTGCCACCTCGTGTGCTCAGTGAAGCATGAACACTGCTCATGTATGGCAAGTCGTAACCAAAAGCCTTGCACTGACTATTTCGCCATCAGCGATCATCTCTTGAAATGCAACGTCAAGTACACAGGCGGCACATGATCAGTACACTAGAAACTGCAAAATTCTACTCATATAGTTAGTGGCAAAATGCTTGTTTTGCAACTGGTGTTACTGTGTGTGCAAGTTCCGTGTGCTATTTTCAACATTTGTCATTTGATGATGACGACATAAAGGTGATGTAATAATTACGTAATTTTGCAGGTGCCCTAGGAGATGTGGTGTTCGTTTGGTACCACGGAGGCTATTGGGTGGCATTTGGGTAAGCCACCTTTACAAAATTCATCTCTTTCTCTGCTACTTTAATCTGTCCAATCATAATTATGTTTTAAGTTTTGCAATGCAATATTGAATGGTTTCCATAGCTGTTCTAGGCCTTATGTATATATCCTATATAGGGGACTATTATGCTATCTACAATTATGTAGGGATTGGTCTAATGCCCAGGGAGTTTTACTCATGTTAATACACCTTTGCACTCTACGATAAGTAGTATGATATAGGTGACTCTACCTTACACAACAAATGACAACATTAATGGCTTCACTGGGGTTTCATCATTATTGTATACTTAGCTCAGTGACCCTTGCACTGGAAGTAGCGGGGGACTGTGCTAGGGGAGTAAAGGCCATCTCTCATTATTAGTTAGCCTGTCTCCTTTGAAGGCAAAATGTGAACGATTGATCTCCTGTACGGTGTTACCACATCTTGAAATCGTAGGCTGACCCTTTGATGTGGTGGCTGGAATGCTATTGGAATTAGGTTACCTTGGTTTGCAACCGGGAAGCTAGCAGGAAAGGCGGCTAACAAAAAGTACACACACACACACACACACACACACACACCACACACCACACACACACACACACACACACACACACACAACATGCAGGCAAAGCCAGCCTAGGTATACATGTACAGACACAAATCTGAGTCAGCTTTCTGTTGACGGATCATTTGACGGATTTACCTCAAAAAGCCACCGTGATTTGTAGCTGTACACAGCGAGTGGGTGTGTGGGTATAGCTCTGCATTGCCTAGCCCTGCTAAGTCTCTCTACCTTGGCACTACAAGATCAGAGCTACTGGCTTCCAAGGGCACTGCCTTCTAAGCCATCTGTTTGTATTCACTGGAGCCTACACCACTGGCTTTAGCACACATTCTGTCCCATTCTGTACTCTGCACAGCAGGTTATCTATTGCATACTACGTCCATAATGCAGACCCACTAGTCTAAATACATCTGTATACAAGTTACTGTGCTGATCAGACTTGTAAGTATATACAGCTCAAAGATGTATGCAATGCAGGTATTAAACATTCCAAGCTCCAAACAGGCTTTCCTAAGGGCAGGGTGTCTTGTTACTAACTGGATGGTGGTGACAGGAAAGAGACGGTCAGATGTGCACACGTGCCATCTGATTACTGACACACTGGCAGAGACGCATTCCAATTAACCTGCATACCATTGGTAATGCACTAGGTAGGGGTCATGCTAGACGGTTTACCTCATCGGTGCTAAATTACACAAACACCATTTTTTTCAATGTACGTAACCTTCAACCTAATACGCTATGATGTAACCATCTCCACTTGCTATCTAGTTTGAAAATCTAACTTAGGTGTACTGTAATATTATTATTGCGCAACCTTCAGCATAAACCTATCAAATAGCACTAACGTTAACTTGAGTGAATAATCGTGTATTATACTAAAACCCACTCCACTTGCTGCTTGCAAATCTAATGTTACGTATATATATACGTTGAATGAAAATCTATATACCTTCTTTTATAACTTGGATTGTAGCGGTTCAAATCTTGGGTCTAACCACAGTTGGATCTCAGTGAGAGTGTGTGTGGCTAGTGGTGGAGGTGTGAAGGGTGACAGAGGTCAGATTTCTGGGTGTCGTATAATTCGCTGTCTCCCACACCCTCCCACGGAGGGCTAGTACTGGTGACGTTGTGGAACCGTGATCTCGTTTTAACAGCCAAACTCCACTCACAGATGACTGTGTGTGTGCTGTTGGCAACAAATAATGGTCAGAAACACCCCATCTGTCTCCACGGTGATGGCACCCTCCCTTATACCAGCTTACACATGCAGCCACACACCAATACACGTGTGTGTGTGTGGCTGTTTTTGGTGTTAGTTCTTAGGTAGGTAGTGGAGTGTGTGTTGTTAAGGAGGGATGGGTAGGACATACTAAGACATCATCATCCATGGAGTGTGTGTGTATGTGTGTGTAGTGTTAGTTCTTAAGGAGGGATGGGTAGGACATACTAAGACACCATCATCCATGGAGTGTGTGCATGTGTGTGTGTGTGTTAGTTCTGAAGGAGGGATGGGTAGGACATACTAAGACACCATCATCCATGGAGTGTGTGCATGTGTGTGTAGTGTTAGTTCTTAAGGAGGGATGGGTAGCGAGGTACTAAGACACCGTCATCCATGGAGTGTGTGTATGTGTGTGTGTGTGTTAGTTCTGAAGGAGGGATGGGTAGGACATACTAAGACACCATAATCCATGGAGTGTGTGTCTATGTCATCATGGCACCTGTATATACTGTGCCCGCCACACAGAGCTCAAGGTGTGGTACCAGCAGTTCTTGATGTCCATAGCTCTGACGTTTTCTTCTACTTTCTAGGAAATGGGTGCAACAGTATCAAATAGAATGTAGTAGCTCTCACATTGGATTGGAGGAATGGTAGCTCTGGCGTTTAATAAGAGGCATCTACAGCTTTGGCATTTCTTGGGAAACGATAGAACAGGATTTAGTTTCTATGGGTGTGACGTTGAATTGGAGGAATATCGGTGACATTTTATCAGAGACGCAGTCCTCATGAAATGCCTGGTTGTTCCAATGATAACTGTATCGTATATATCCCAGATGTACGGGTGGACGGGTGTTTTGAGGATAGATTTCAGTTTTTGTGGCGTATCACCTTTCCTACTGTGGTTAAGAGAGTGCCTACCTGTGCGCGGAACATAAACAATGATGATGTAACTCTGCAGCTATGTAGAGTAGTGTAGAAGAATGCAACCGATAACCGAGGAAAAGGGAACAATGCATCACAACAGGTAAACTATAGTACGAGAGAACTTGGCTAGAAACGAAGGGAAGCCAAAAGGAATTGCGGCATCAACGGAGTAGTGTTTCGGTAACTACATACTTCGTGTATTGCACAATTGTGTGACGGTGTTGCTAATGAGTGCTTGGGTTCCGTAATATGCTGCTGCGATTGCAAAACAAAAGCTGGACGGGAATATTGAAAGTTTGATTGACGAGTGAAGAAATTCGCAGGTGAGGAGGGGAAGAGATTGCTATGTCGCTTGTGTGTGTAGTTCACTGGACTTCCTTCCAGTCACGTTTTACTCCCGACAGAAACTGGTCATTTCTCTCTCCCTAATGGTCTGCTTATTTCTCTACCATTCTTCAGTAGAACTATAAACTTAGGTGAAACACATCAGAAGTTAACACATGGCGAAATGCCTTTAAACGGGTTGGACGGAACTTGCGTAAGAGCACAACAGTAAAGTTAAGATGACAATGAAGTGAAATTTTAGTCAGAACAAAATACTGACGTGGTGTGTGTGTGTGTGTGTGTGTGTTATATGTTGTAGGGTGGGGCATGCTGGGGTGGCAGCTGTCCCTCTGACCAAACATGGAGCCACCGTGGTTGCCGTTGGATACACTCTGGCACCCAAAGGTAACGCAATCGTCACCCGGGAACAGTTATTACTGACACGTTTGTTTCTATTACGACAGCTGACATGACAAGAATCGTGCAAGAGTGCAGGGAGTCCGCCGTCTTCCTCCGTAAGAGGTTTCCTGATAAAAGGTGTGTTCGGTTCAAAGTACGCCCGGTTCCCTTCATGTTGTAAGGCCTACGCATGTGTGTTTGTTGCCGTTGTCCTTATTTGTACGGCACTGGCATGGCAACCGCATGCACAAGTGTGACATAGGAATGCATCGTTATGTAACCCTGACAACACCTCTCTGGTACTTTAACGTAGCTGCCAAGAACGTATTTTTGGCGGATTTGGTGGATTTGACGGAATGTGTATATGAGATAACATCAGACATTGTGGCTGTTTAGCATAATATTGGAGCATGTTGTAATACACAAGTGAAAGTGCTGCAAATGTATTGGCAAATGTGTTGCATGGCCTATTATACCCATACATTGGAAGTTGCATCATGTATCGTGCGTGGCCTTAATCAACACACACAGTTCCCTCAGTATTGTCCTGTTGCTAAAAATACATCTCGTTGCTACTACACACAAACATGGACTGGGAAACAAGGGGGAGAGTGTGACTATATATGGGCTTTCGACGGCAGTATTCTCACGAGATTAGCCGTGTATATCCTTTTACGTACTGGCTGTAGAGGCACGTGCTGGCCTTACGAAATACCACACGCCTTGTATGGAAGTGGGCTATAGTATTGTGTGACCATGTCAGCAACAGAGATTGCTACAGTAAATTGTGTAAATCTGTCTTACCAGGAAAGAGCTGCGGATTGGCCTGCAGTCAGCATTTGGGTCTAGCCTACTACAAACATAGAGTGTGTGAGGGTGGGCTTTGAAGGCTGGGGAACTGTGCTGAGCCAACTGGTCACAATAGTACTGTGGGCTCGGGCGGTCCCGGGACTCAGCCCCCTGTCTCCACTGCTTTGACTCACACCCACCAAGTCCAGTGTAAATCAGGGAAACTTGGCGGGCATCGACACTTGGCAGTCTGGCGGTATCGATCAGATAATGGAGTTTAAAATAGCCCCAAATTTTTTAATCAGCTACGCACAATAAAGCGCTGTAATTAACTGCCAAAATTTATATGGATGTCGTGGATGGCTATCATTAACCCACAAAATGTCATAAATGGTTTTTCGTTCTATCTGTGTGCAGGATATTGTGTCGGGGCGGTCAGCTCAGCACGCACACTGTGCGAGCGTACCAAGGCGACCACTTGAATGATCACAGACTGAACCACAGATGGGAACGGGAGGACGTTCCGTTCATCTAGGGTGCGTTAACGGGACAGACTACACGTGGGATAGGTGTGATTACAGCCCTGAACCGCTAAAGAGATGTCACCTGCGATGAGGACCTCATTTCACACTGTAAGCCAATACCTTTACCTCCATAAGCTATCTCATTCTGACGTTTCTACACCCCTTCAGTTGATCCTCTCTATAGTATTACCATTCTACCTGCTCGGCTCGTCAACTGCTACACTCGAGTCTCTGCGCCCCGGCACTGGGGAGTACAGGCGACACTCGCGGCCCCGGCACTGCATCAACAGCGACCCTCGTCTACCTGTACACTGACGCAGCACGTCTACACTCTCGCACTTGCACTTCAACACAGTCTCGCTACCTCTCGTACCCTTACACACTTCAGGACAGTCGGAAACGCTAGTCTCCTGGTGCACTTTCAACACATGTCCTACCCTGCTCTCTGCACTTCAGTACAGTCGATCCCAATCTCTCCTTCACTGTTCAACACATATGTCTACACTCTATCCCTTCACTCAGAGTACAGTCTACCTCTCTCCCTTCACTGTCAAACCATTCTTACCCTCTCTCCGCGACACTAAGCTACACAGCAGTCTACCTCTCTACAAACCGTACACGTCGCACGAGACACATCTCTACCCTATCTCACTTCATTCAGTACAGGCTAACCTCTCTACCTTCAATTCAAACACATTCGACCCTCTCTCCCTTCACTTCAACACATTCTACCCTCTCTCCCTTCACGTCAGTACAGTCTACCCTCTCTCCCTTCACTTCAACACATTCTACCCTCTCTCCCTTCACTTCAGTACAGTCTACCCTCTCTCCCTTCACTTCAATACATTCTACCCTCTCTCTCTTCGTCTCCAATACATTCTATAGTCTCATAAATTATATATACTGATCTCCTCTATTATCACGCAGGGAAGAGATCAGTCAGTTCAGCCCCCTGCTACAGGCTGACAGACTGGCAAAACTGCCCTCCGGTTTCAGGTGCCTGGTGGCCAGAGGAGAGGAGGAGAGTTCAGAGTTCGAGAAACAGTCCCAGGAATTCATTCAGGTCTATATATACAGTGGAACAACCAATGTGGCAGTAGATAAGGGCTAAATTTAGAGCTTTTGCAGCTCGTAAACCTTCTCCACAGAAATGTTATATATATGCAGGAGTTTGCATCTTCACTAACAGTTAGCCCTTATATTTCCTCTCATACAGCAGTTCTTCCCTCAGCTGTTGACTCACTCTCTCTCCCCTCCCTCTTCCGCTCTCTCACTCCCTCCCCCTCCTCCCTCTCCCCCTCTCTCACCCCTCTCATCTGTCGTCTCCCCTGCGTCAAGTAGAAACTGCTGGAACACGGTGTTGACCACACGAGTGGCGTGATTAAAGGATCTGACCATTTTGAGTATGCAGAGAAACTACAAGAAGAGGAATACATACTCACAGGGGTTAGGAAGTCACATGATGTCTCATGTGATAATCATGTGATGTTTTCCACCTCCCCAGATGATGATAAAGTTTATGTCTCCAAAAGCTAAACCTCCAAAATAGTATATATTGCAAATTTATGCGAGTTAGCATATTGTATAGCTAATGTATAATAAATGCTGTCACACACGAACATGTAAAAATACTAACATTTCGCACTTGAACATCATTCATTCATTATTGCAGTGTACATATAGCATTGTCTACAGTAACGATAGAAGTGAACTGGTCTATATTGAAAAACAGGAACATTGGACTATTGTACTAATACAAACTGGTACAGTCGACTATTGTACCTGGGAAACAAGTTTGTATTGGTACAATAGTCAGTTTTTCGCAGGTATATAGACTAGTCCATTGAAAGGAGAAAGAGAGCAAAATCGATATATTCGGTCAGTCCTATCTGCCAGCAGAGGAAACCTTCATCAAGGCCTGCTGGTAGTCCTGCTGCAGCCGGCCGAGCTTCTCTGTACCCTGTTCTATCGTTCTCTGTGTCTCCTTTATCATATCTGCATACCTCTCACTGTAGTGATGTCATTATGACATAATGCATTAGGTAATCAATGTGGAAACCCACTAGGCCTAAATCCCACCCCTGAATGCAGAGGGCACCTCTCTAATAAGGGCACTTTTTCTCTCAAAAAGAACATTTCTTGCATGCAATTTAACCCCTGAAAAAAAGGACACCCCACTAATAAGGACACTTTCTTGTCCCATTGGTGTCCCGATTAGAGAGGTTCCAATGTACAGCACAAGGGCCTAGTCTTACGATTCTTTGGTGATATACGTCAGTCTCTTTTCAACAGTCAATTTTGCCTCTGAGAGCTCCTGTTTCACCAGCACAGGTCCCACCAGTTTGTACAACACTGCACCTTCTTCCAACCTATCCAACTCCTGCAAAGACGTGAAGGTGTGTGTGTTGGATACACAGTTTTTCTCCTCAGAAGAGAGAGCTACCTCTTTGACTGTCTTGTTCTCGTTGACCTGTGTGTCCAGTTGCATTCGACTGGCCGTGAACTTCTGCAGTTCTGCGTGTGCGTATATACACACGTGGGGGTGTTACTCCAAATAATGCACACCTTTCTTCTGCAGCTACCGACCTTTCTGTAGTTTCTTGAACCGTTCAATCTCGTCTTGCATCACCTTCTCCTTCGCTTGGAGCGCCTGTACCGCCGCCTTGTTCGACATAGCTCACTGGATCCAACTTTGACGACAGCCTGCCTGATAAACGCGCAACGGATGAGCTTCCCGCAAGCGTTGCGTAACAGAACGTTAACGAAACGTAAGGCAAAGATGGCTGCTCGTCAGAGGTTTCTAGCGGTATGGAAGGCTCATGGAATAACTATCAGCTCAACAGAGAGAAGATTACGCTCCCGTTGCCTCTGTACGTCCAGTGAATTGCTAATAAAACTAAAAACGGAGATGGTTTCTTGTTATGGTGGCTCCCTAGCCACTGGCACAGGGGAAAAGGGGAGGATGAGTGGGAGCAGGGTGTTCTGGCTCTACGCCATGCCAGTCACCGCCTTCTGTCTTGGTACCTGGCAGGTCTACAGACTCCGGTGGAAGAAGAGACTCGTATCTGACCTGGAGAGGCGGACCTCCCAACCTCCCATCACCCTCCCTGAAAAGTGAGCCCCTCTCTAGCTCCTCCCCGATATGTTCTCTCTTTTCTGGGTATATATATATACAATTTTGTTTCTATCCAGTGTTCTGGAGAGGCTGGATGAACTGGAGTATCGTCGGGTGGAGCTGCATGGAGTCTTCGACCACTCCCGGGAGCTCTACGTTTGGCCCCGCCCACTAATTTCCGATGATGTAGTCCCCAAGGGAGGGCGGGGGAGGACGGGCGGGGCACTTGGCGGGAAGGGCCCACAACCAGGGGCTTTTGTCATCACACCTTTCCATTGCCGGGAGACAAAGTTAGAAAGTTGATCGCAAAGCTGTCTTCACTGACTCTCTCTCTCTCTCTTCTCTCCATCCCTCTCTCTCTCTTCTCTCTCTCCCTCTCTCTCTCTCTTCTCTCTCTCTCTCTCAACTGTGTTAGTGGTCTGATATTAGTGAACCGAGGGTGGGTCCCTAGGCAACAGATGCACCCCTCCACGCGACCAGAGGGACAGATAGAGGGAGAGGTGGCCCTCACTGCCATCCTCAGGAAAACCGAGAAGGTACAATAATTATGCACCCACACTTTTGTTAGTACATACCTTACTGAAACTGGGAACCTGATGTAGTTCCTGATACTTGTGCCCTGGATGTTGGTAATTTTGTGGCAGGCGAGAACTGTGACTATACCTTCATTGCATTACAAGGTTTTTTTCCTTTCTCCCGTTTTTTTATCACCTCCCTTTCTTTCCCTCGTTTTCCTCTGTTTCAGATGGTAAGGAGATACGATAGAGATCCATTTCAATGCATGATGCAAATATAGCGAGTGACTCTGTCTCTTCCTCCATTTGTTCTCCTCTATCTCTCACTCTCCTCTCTATCTCTCCCTCTCCTCTCACTCTCCTCTCTACCACAGAGGCTTCCGTTTGCTCCCAGGAACAATGCGGACGATAGCCACTGGAACTGCAAGGACATTGACAGGATGTCACAAGTGGCAGGCACAGAGCCTATACTTGTGGATGCCGACGCCAGTAAGCACCTGTAATTAACTAACTAAAGTCAATTTATTAAACACTGTATGGCAGAAACCTTTTTCAGGGAGAAAAATATTTGGTGAATTTGTAAAAATACGTTTTGCTCAAGTTCAATGATCCAATAATCCCCCAATAAAGGACACACTATTAGGTCCCAAACGTTCACCTTTCTATTATTCTAGAACAGTTTTAACCTCCAAATAGAGGACAACCTCCCTCTAAAGAACAAAATTCCTGGTCCCAACATGTCTCCATTATTCAGAGGTTCCACTGTATATACTTCCCCCCAGCCACCACAGTCCCTGGAGGCCCCATTGGAGGTCAAACAAGAGTCAACCTCCGCAATGAACACCTGCAATACATCATTACTTGGTTAGTGTTGCTGTACCATTAGGCCTCCTCTACTGTGGTCTAATGGTCTCCACACGGAGAGTATGACACGGCTAGCTACACTATAAGATAGCATGCCGATGCGGGAGTCGATACACGGCCTTCGTGGCAACTTCTTGTAATAGACGACCATGAAATCACAACATGTCCCAAAATACTCCCGCATGCAATTCAACCCCTGAAATTATTACTAAGGACACTTTATTCTCTCCTATTTATGTCAGGATTTGTTGCGTTCCACTGTTTAGCTAGGAGCTTAAAGATCTCTTTCTCTTGTCTCCTATAGGTATGGGCTATCACTAGCTACCTTCTACCTGGCAAGACAGTTTATGAAAGGGAGAATGTTCCGATAGCAAATGAAAATTTTTTCCTAAAAAATTATCACACACCTTAAAATTATTACTGGAATAAGTGTTCAATGAGTGTATTGAAGATTGACTGTCGCACGTTCTCATCAACTGTCAGTTGGTTTAGTAGAGACTCAATGTAATGGTCTCCACTGTATGCGTCACTGAGGCCTTCTGGACCAGACTCAATATGTACGCCTGACAAAACCACTCTCCCTCTCCCATAGTCCATGCTCACTATTGCTGCCGGTGCATCGGGATATGGGGCAGGACCATCGGGCAATTGGACGTCCAATTGTGCATCGTCACTGCCATGTTCAACACTAGGTGTGTCATAAGTTGCCAAAACCTCAACATTAGTCACCAGATCTCCACCAGTTTTCTCAGACACTTTACGATCTTCACTAAAATAGCACCCTCCATTGTAAAACACAGGCAGAGAAGGTAGTTCGGTCAATTTCTTGAAAAGTCCTGTATATCGGCTGAAAGAGATGGAGCAAAGCCGTGCACCAGCATTGCTGTCATAACGGAATCCTGGAAAAACCGGCCCCCGAGCTACCCCTGGGTAAAAATTCAGTTCTCTCGGTCCAACCACCTCAATTAGGGGGTCTCCCACGGAGAACTCCACGCGCGCGGCTCCGTAATAGCCCCCGGCACACAGACCCAGGTAACTGCCGCCTTTCCCGACGAAGTTGCGGATTCTCTCGTTGCCTGGGCCGTTCAATCGCGAGCAGTAGGGTAGGTCTCGACCGCCTGGCATCACTAGCAGGGAGCAGCGTGTCTCCAGCTCTCCTCCCACGACTGAGACGGCGTCAGTTTTCTCCACCGAAGGCGTCTGTCCCTCCGCAAGTCCGTTCTTCTCGGTCAGCCACGATAGAGCGCGCCGGAGCTCACGAATGGTCATCGATACGCATGCTTCCGATGCTCCAAGTCCTCCGTCTGTGTAGACCAAGACTCTCGACATACTCGCCTCAAACACACGCTCGAGCTCTCCCTTGCCCCTCCCCTTTTCAGGCCATGTGATTTGCGTTTAACTCCTCCCCTCCGGCGTAATTAACGCCCACCTTGCCGACGTGGCGGCACGGCACACGCGGTGTTTCGGATAAAAACGTCTTTGTCCCCCCGAAGGGACGGACGGTACACTACTACGCAGGTGAAGGACCATGGCCCTACTGACACTAATAGCGAGGGCCAGTGACGGCCTCGCGCTGTCTGCCTCCATCCAAGACGAAGAGGTTGGGGGTATGATCGAAACGTAGACGTTGTCGTTTTAGCGTGCGTTTTGTCCGCGCAGTCGGGGCGCAACATCTCGGACTACCAGGCGCAGGCGAAGCAGATATTCCGCAAGCTCTCTCCTCAGTCGCCAACCAAATGCAGCATTGAGAGCAACCAGCTCGTCTTCCAGTAAGCAAACCATCCCATTTTTGGTATCTAATCCTGACACCAGTAAGACAAGAGGAAAGTCGAGTCCATATTTTCCCCCAAGTGTCCTCGTTAGCAAGAAGCTATTTAGAGAGGTGTCCTCATTTTAGGGGACAAAAGTTGTCCTTGTCAGAGAGGTTTCCCAAACAGGGGTGTCCTTATAGAGGGTGGCGCTGTACTACCACCGCCTATCTGCCGACCCTCCCTCCAGCTATGTCATAGAGGAAGGAATATGCTACCTGGCTCTGTGCGAGCATAGCTACCCACCTCAGCTGGCCTTCAGCTACCTTGAGAACATACACAGGGACTTCAGTGAGCAGCACGGACAGGACGTGCACAGGGCACAGCGACCTTACCACTTCATTGAATTTGGTGAGTTGGCCTACAAATTTTTGTCAATGCTTTGGTTTTGGAAGCTGGCCAATTTTTTTCGCGAAACTTATGTGATTCATGAAGTTTGGAGAAGGCTATCTTGCTAGCATTCCCATATTCAATGTTTCGCTACTTTTACGTAACGTGTATATACATTTCCTTTGGGATTTTGTTTCTGACAGTCTGCTGGATGTGTATACATTGACAGTCATTACATTTGGCATTTTGCCAGTTATTCTGCACGAAAAATGACATTTTTAAAGCTGCTTTACACCACCATTTCCCACACAAAAAAAGGAAAATTGCCATGATTATAATGGTCACCTATCAATGATTATTTCTACAACTATATTATTTATTCCGCTGCAGGTGTGGAGATAAACCGGATCAAGAGGGGCTATGTGGAAACGCAGTCCCGCAGAGCCTCCAGCTCAAAGTTGAGAGGACTCAACAGCGAACTGCAGGGAGTCCAGAAGATCATGTTCGAGAACATCGACGCCGCCCTCCAGCGAGGGGAACTGGTCTCAGGTTTGTCAGTAGTTGTCTCAGGAGTAAAGAAGTCACGTGTCAACTGAACTTGCATCCTTGTAGGGACCCTGTATGTATGTATGTAGTATGTATGTATGTACAAAACATTGCACTACCCTTGGCCCCATGACGACATATAAAATAACGAAGATGCTTCAACAGATAGGGAAATATATAGAAACATATATCGTCCCTAGCTTCATCATTATTTCCCTCTCCATGCTTACAGCATTGTGCAATTAAAAACACTGCTAAACTGCTTGCTTTACGCACACCTCAGTTACTCAGAGGCAATAATTTATCTCCTCCTCAGCGCTAAGTGACAAGGCTCAGAAGCTCTCCATCAGTTCTCAAAGGTACAGGAAAGAGGCCCGCTATCTGAACCTCAGAGCCTCGCTCATGGCCAAGATTGTTGTCGTGGTGGTCGTTCTTTTCTTCCTCATTTTCCTCAGATATTGGCTGTTCTGACCCATCCACACGTGTACACATTGATCATGTTGAATTCCCAATAAGTTTTTTGATAAATCAAACGAAGGTCAAGAAAGAATAGTAGGGACAATGTTACTGGTAGTTAAAAGTTCAATATACAGTAAGTACACTATAATGTGGGAGTTAGACTTGACAATAATTATGGAGTAATGACCAGTTCTTTATGTGTACAACTGGTTGCATGAGGGAAAGGGGGGAGGGAGGACGGAGAGCAAAGGTAGATAAGGGAGAAAGAGCAAGGAGAAGAGTTAGCCCAAGGATGAGGGGGAGAGAGAGAGAAAGATGATAAGAGGGAGAATTGTTCATCAGTTTCAGTTTGAGAATATCTTCTGATCGGTCTTGAGTGTAGTGAGAGAGAAAGCCAGGCTCTCCACTGGGGAAAGAAAACCAGACAAAAAGTGTGGTGGGAACGATTTTATTTGCTACAATTTTAGTACAGTGTATGTATGTATGCTCGTCTATCATAAGCAGATTTTATGCCTTTAGTGCTGTATGGTGTAGTTGGTGTATAGCTGACAGTGAGGGAAGGAGCCTCTCTTGACTGTGTTAGTGAGACAAGTGACAAGGAAATGGCTGCATTTGGAGAAGTCCGACTCCATCTTCTGCCCCTCGGCGTAGCTGCACAAACACACACACACACAGAACGACAGTCACTACTGGCTGGAATATTGAACTGCTATAGTGAAGGTATCCAGAATAGTCTGTTGGCCCCCCACATGCTTGCTAAAAGTATCAACATTTCAGGTCATCCCATGTCCGTAATACCTGAAGCTTGAGTGGCCGGAATATTGAACTGCTATAGTCAAGGTATCCAGAATAGTCTGTTGCCCCCCCACATGCTTGCTAAAAGTATCAACATTTCAGGTCATCCCATGTCCGTAATACCTGAAGCTTGAGAGGCCGAGTTCCCACTTCTGTCTGAAGCTGAGAGTCAATCGCAGAGTCTTCAACACCGCTTCCTTCACAATGGATGCCTTCATAGAGATGCATGCAGTAGGTTAGCACAGTATGTTCCTGCTTATGGATTGAGTTTTGCAGAAGCAGTTTTTGTGGATGTTGACTTGGGTTACAAATGGCCATTATACTGAAAGTCTGTTCCCATGAAGGATACTTTTGCAGATTGCTTACGAAAACCATTCGAACAAAACAAACGGGAGTGGTGTGTGTGTGTGTGTGTGTGAGTGAGAGGGAGGGAGGGAGGGAGGGAAGAGAGCTGGGAGCCCAAGGTCAACCTTCTTGTTGAGCAGACAGCGGTCAAAGATGGTGGAGACGTAGTCACTGTGGAGGGTCAGGACTGTGTCGAGGTCAGCCGCCTCGTTGACCTGACCCTGGAACTTCAACCCCACACTGTGGAGGATCTGGACAGAACCAGTGTTAGTGTGCGATGCCTGCTGCATGAAATGTGCATTCTTGCATCTTGCTTACCCTGGTCATTAGGTAGTGATAAATAGAGTTGACGAAATGGAGCAACTTTGCCCTCAGTAGCAGCAGTCTATGTAGCAGAAGGGACAGAGGTGTGCGTGTCCCTGCTTCCCGCATGTGACCTGAACAATACAACACGAGATCCTCCAATCAGAGAAAGCCACACCCCTCTGGTCTGACCTTTGACCTGGAGTCCTTCAAGACACCACTTGGCCCACTTGACTTGCATTAGGAAATGGAAGATAGCGTTGTACGTCTTCATCACCGGCGCTGGTGAAGACTGTCGTAACCGGCCACGGGACCTGGGAGTAAAAGGGTTAAAATCTGGAAACTGAGAGGGTGTGGCTGGCATACCTGGTAATGGAGTGAGAGAGATGTAATGGATGATAGAAGATCACCACTGGACCTGTCTGCAGTTTCTCCCTCTACTTGAACTGATAGACTGCGATTGTAGACAAATACACACAATTATTTTCGCAAATGGAAAATTGAATTAATATTGCAAAAAACGCTACACAGCAGAAGGAATGCAGAGACATTTGTATAAAGGCAGAGATCCAGGTAATCTTTTGCTAGAGCATGGTCACATGACTTCTGACCAATCAAATGGATGGAAACTATGCATTAAATCACACAGTGTATGTACCACGTGTGCTATACACATTGTATTACTAGTTGTGGAAGCTACCAGTTGTCGAGGTGGGGGTAATGGGGTAAGAGTACTTCTTGGAGTAAAGAATTGAGGTAGACCCCATCCCTCCACGGTTCACCCCGCTGGATCTGGGGTAGGGAGGAAGAGGATTAATTAACAAGAGCTGTCGCTGTGCCACTGTCGTCGCGTATTTGTGCATTTCTGTAATACCAATATGACTTGTAGAAGAGAGACAGTTAACAGAAGAGACTAACTCTTGAAAAGATGTCGGAGGCAAAATGGTGCATTGTGTCTCCAGCTTCCATCAACAGAAAGAGCTGGACCGTCCTGAAATGGTCCAGGAGGTTGTACTCTGTATGCAGGATGTGCATCAGGCAACTGGATGCCTGATCCACGGATTGGACGGGGGTAAAACGGCAGTGCAACATTCTCACTTCTTTAAAAGTCGTTTCACGTACTTTCTTGCAGAGTTTGGAGATGAGAGGTTGGAGACAGTTCTGAACCAAGACATTCACTGGGGTGTTTGACTGTCTCCCTGGGGATCACATGACAGTCACATGACACCAAACTAGTGACTAGCAGTGTGGGTAAACAGTGAAACCTGTCCCTCTGGATAAAGAACACACTAGGAAACGTAGGTCTGCCCCATTTATTACAACTTACAAATAACAGATAGTATTATAGACATAAAGGACACTTGGTTTTGCCCCATAGTGCATTGAATAAGGGACACCTCTGACACTCTCAATGTCCCGAATGTACACCTGCCATGGTACGTAGCTCGTTCCAAACTGAGAGAGAGGTGGGGCCATCTGGGGCAGCGTGGCAGGTTAAGGACTGGAGATACTGCTGCAGAAGAGGGTCCATGTCTCTTAGTTCCAGTGGCACGTCAGTTTCATCCTCCTCCTCCTCTCCTCCTCTCCTCTGCCAGCTCCATTTATTGCCCCTTTCTCCTTGTTTCTGTCCACATCTCGACTCCCGAATGACACACTTTCCTCATCTCCCTCCCCTCTCTCTTCCTCCTCCTTCTCTTCTCTCCTTCTCCCCCCTCCCCCATCTCTTCCTCCTCCTCCTCACCCACACTCAATTCTCTCCTCAGAGATTCCACAAACTCCTCATAAAGAGAGGAAGAGAGAGGAGGTGAGGGACGGGGAGGAGCGACCAGATGAGAATCTTTCTCTTCTTCTAACACGTCATCATCTCCAGTAGCTGGATCGGACAGTAGTCTCTCCACCAGTTTCCACTGTAGACAGACAAGACAGACAGTAGACAGAGATCTCACAGACGATCACAGACGAGACAGACACCGACACGAGAGAGACTGTCTGTGTGTCTGGCCACATATTATGCTATTGAAGCTGTGCAATCTCACCTGCCCTGTGGTGTCAATGAGATTCATGGACTTGCCAGCCAGCATCACCTGGTCCAGGAGTGGTTCCAGGAACTGGGGGACTGGGTCTCGGACAGAGAAACCTTCCCCCCAGTAGTTCCCTGCCCCTTCAATTACAGCCTCGTTTCTGGCAAAAAAAAACAAGTTCCTCTCTAGATGTGAGTGTCGTATCAGGACAGGTTCAGTGGCTGACCTGACAATGCAGAGCTCTCCGTGCCTGTCCTGTAGGACACCTCTGGCCATCCACTCCCCAACGGCAGTCAGGTATGGGCGGATACTCATCACCCACAGTGGGAAGAGCAGCTGGACCTGTGTGAGGTGGTATATGGGTAGGCGTGCTTGGCCTAATCATTCGTGTTACATGAATTTTGAAATGTTACTAATATACTAAATAATAGGCCCAATAATCAATTCATCAAATAGGAATTCCTTAACCCTAATGATTTCCAGAATGTCACCAAATTTTCAATGGAGCGAGTCGAGTATGGTTGCTAGGAGACTCACACTGCTGGCCCCGCCCTCTCCGAGGGTGTGGCAGTACCGCAGTCCGTGCCACAGGCGGTCTAGAAACCGTACCACACTCGTCCTGGATGATCCCGGCATCCCTGGTTCATCAGTGCCGAGACCGCCTGTCACCATGTGACGCAGTAGGTCAACCTGCAACAGACAACACAGCTTGAAATGAAATATGGAAGTTTTCTACCAATTCAAAATACGTTAAACTCCATTTAATTTTATGGTGTCAGAACAGACGACGTAATTTCCAACGAACACCTTTTTTATAGCGTTTTCAGTGGGATTTGCAAGGGTAGCTGAATTGAAATAAAGTCCTTGGCATCGTCCAACCTATTTTCAAAACGAGTGTCACTGTTATATGCGTGTGTGCATTCGTATGCTCATCCATGTGTGTGTGTGTGTGTTTGTGTGTGTGAAGGGGACACAGAGAAGCTCACGTCTCTAAACATTGGGTGCAGTTCGACACTCAGTCCCAAGAGAGTCAGACTCTCCTCTAAGGACAGAGAGAAGAGAGTTAAAGTGTGCAATGCTGAGACGAGACGAGAGTGTAAGGGTGACAATGCTGGAGCGAGAAGAGAGTTACAGTGTGACAAATATGCCGGAGAGCGCGCAGCGAGTTACCGTGTGCACGCTGCGAGCGCCGCGAGTTACCAGTGTGAACACTGCCGGAGACAGAGCAGCGCGTTACCAAGTGTGCCCCTGCCGGAGCGAGAGCAGAGAGTTAAAAGTGTGACATGCGGAGAGAGAGAGAGTTCCAAAGTGGGCAAATGCTGGAGAGAGAAGAGAGTTTAAAGTGTGAAAATGCCGTGCGAGAAGAGAGTTAAACGTGAGAGAGTTATAGTGTGAAAATGCTGAGAGAGAAGAGAGTATAAGTGTGAAAATGCTGAGAGAGCAAGAGAGTTAAAGTGTGATGTGAAAATGCCGGAGCGGAGAAGAGAGTAAAGGGTGAAAATGCGGAGAGAGAGAGAGATGTTCAAAGTGTGAAATGCCGGAGAGAGAAGAGAGTTAAGTGTGACATGCTGGAGAGAGACTGGTCGAGTTAAAGTGTGAAACATGCCGGCTCGAGAGAAGAGATAAAAGTGTGAAATGCCGGAGAGAGAAGAGAGTTACGTGTGAAATGCTGGAGAGAGAAGAGAGTAAAGTGTGAAATGCCGGAGCGAGAAGAGCGTTAACGCTTGTGAAAATGCGGACGAGAGAGAGAAGAGAGTTGAAAGTGTGTACAAATGCCGGCGAGAGAGAGAGAGATAGTTAAGTGTGTGAAACTGCCGGAGAGAGAAGGATGAGTTAAAAGTGTGATGTGTGAAAAATGCCGGAGGAGAAGAGGGGTAAAAGTGTGAAAATGCGGAGAGAGAAGAGAGTTAAGTGTGTGAAAATGCCGGAGTGAGAGAAGGAGAGAGAGAAGAGAGTTAAAAGTGTGGAATGAAATGCTGCGTGGAGAGAGAAGAGAGTTAAAGTGTGAAAATGCCGCGAGAGATAAGAGAGTTACAGAGTGTGAAAATGCCGGAGAGAGAAGAGAGTTAAAGTGTGAAAATGCCGGAGAGAGAAGAGAGTTAAAGTGTGAAAATGCCGGAGAGAGAAGAGAGTTAAAGTGTGAAAATGCCGGAGAGAGAAGAGAGTTAAAAGTGTGAAAATGCCGGAGAGAGAAGAGAGTTAAAAGTGTGAAAATGCCGGAGAGAGAAGAGAGTTAAAGTGTGAAAATGCCGGAGAGACACTGACTTTTCTGCCTCACAATGTCTTCCAACTCTCTTAGTTTGTTGGAGAAAATCTGGGAGAGAGAGAAAGAGAGAGAGAATTAGGCACACCGCCCACTGCATAGCGTGCCGCACACGGCAGTTGCACACGGCAGTCACACAGAGCACAGAGAGAGAGAGAGATAGAGAACATAGCTCCATAGTTAGGCTAGGTTCAGAGCATGTCGCATTTCCCCGTCAGGCCGCGTTGTGCAGAAATAGATTCTATCCTCACGACACGGCAAAGCGGCAAGGTGCGACGGGGCAATGCGACATAATATTGTGAACCTAGCCTAAGAGTATACAGCGTACATACAGTACATGTAGATCCCTCTCACCTGAAGACACACTGACAGAGCATCAGCCGCAGCCTCAAATGTGTGAGACTGCGGAAAGTGGGGAAGAGGAGAGGGAGGAGGGAGAGGGACACACGTGTTGAGGGCAACTGTGTTGATAAATCTTCTGATTCTCAAGAGGACTGTGGCTGCTGAGGCAAACTGCTCCAGGAGACGACGTAACGATAGCTATGGAGAATGAGGGAGGAGGAAAGGAGAGAGGAGAGAGGAGAGAGGAGAGAGGAGAGAGGAGAGAGGAGAGAGGAGAGAGGAGAGAGGAGAGAGGAGAGAGGGTGTGCGTGTGTGTGGGAGGGGGGGCGAAGGAAGAAGAGGAAGGATAAAGAAAAGTGTACGAAGGTTCTTCAGCAGTACCCACAGGAGTAAGATGAGACAGCTGGATCTCTCTCCTAACTCCTATCTCTCCCTCTCCCTCCGCGTCCTCCCCCGGAGAGCTCACCAGGTACACAAAGCTTCTGTCCGCACCCATCAACAGCCTGGGGAACAGAGAAACAACATTTTGTAACATTTGGCCATCTCTTTTACTGCGCCCACGTCTAATTTTGTGTTACCAGTCATGTATGTATGTTAAAACATAGTACAAAGGTCACCAGCCAAAGGCAAGACAGACAACTCTTATCAGCCACACCCATTTACAATGGGATATGATCATTTAGAAAGGTGAGCACAAGCCGTCGAAACAGCTCACCAGACCCCCTATTGTATACTGTGCCATAGCACAGTGGTTTGAGGTTTGCCTTGTGTTGTGTTGTCCCCTACCAGCTGAGTTGTCCTGGTAGCTCAGTTGGTAGAGCGCTCGCCTAGACTGCAGAGTGTTGTGGGTTCGAATCCCACCCAGGGCAACTCTTCTTCTTTTCTTTGAAAAGAAAGAGCTGTCCTGGGTGTAGTTGACTTATTTGCCTTGCCTTGCCTTTCTACCTCGTTACCAAGTTGTCGAGACATGCACATTAAGTTTGGAGATATTAAAAGAAAAAGACCAACCACAGTGTCTCTCTCACTACGTCGACCTCGTCCAGAGTGGTGACGTCATCTCCGGGGGCCAGAAATGGGTCCACCTCTTCTCTGTACGCTCTCCTGCAACAACACATATATACATATACACATACTACTGTACTACGGAATAATAAACACAGCTGGAAATTTTGCGAGAAACCACAGTTGTAGAAATAATGGAATACCATTTCTCTGCGAGAGTACAGGCAGGGTGGGGGTGGGTGTGGCTTGAGGGCGAGGCCACACCCACTGGACGGTGGTAGGGATGAGACTGCTTCCAGTATGGGTACACGACGTGACTCAGGAGCCAGGCACGGGACTCAGACACTTCCGCCCTCTACACATGTATAGAGAGAGGGGGAGTGTAGTGTGTGTGTGTGTGGCCTTTGACTGGTGACCTTTGTACCATGTGTGTGTGTGTGTGTCAGTGTGTATGTGTGTGAACTCTTTACTTGAGCAGACATGCCACTGGGTTCCTCCTCTTCCTCATCTTCTTCCCCCACATCTGAATCATTGAACACAGCTCTCTCCTGCAGTGTCATACCATCAGTTGTATTCCATACTGAGGTATGTATCAGACTCACTTGGCGAAGCTTAGTCTTTTGGTCATCACCTTCAGAGACTTGGGACCACTGTGATGGGGGGAGGGTGATGGGGGGAGGGGGGAAACATACAGTGCAACCTCCGAAAGAGGACCCCTCTGAATTAGGAATTTTGATGTCCCAATGATTCAGAACGTAATGAGGTGAGTGAGAAAAAGAAAGAAAGGGGGGAGGAGTGGAGGCCAGGGAGAAGGATAATTACATACCTCACTGTCGCTGTCACTGTAGGTTTGAAATTCAATTCCTTCTCTCAGATAGGCCTGCCAGTCAAACCTCTCCTCCTCCTCTACCACACACACACACACAATAGCGCTGATGGCACACATTGACGAGTAGCTGTTGATTGTTGTAATATACCTTGACGAACAGGGTCTTCCCCTCGAGGAGGTTTCCATGGAGATCCAGTGGGATTCTCGGAGAGTGAGAGGAGCAGCTGCAACACTCCATAGTGGATCTCCGACTGACGTGAGAAAGACATACGTTGAAAAGTGACCACCTACAAGACCACCTTTCTACTCAACTGTGTCATGCTGGTATATGTATACCATTGATTTTGACTACTATAAACATATCCCTTTCCTAAAGAAGACCACCTATTTATGGCGCGCAGAGTTGGTCAGTAGAGGCTTTACTGTACCATACTACATATAATAATAACACAAAAAGAAAGAGAGGGAGGGAGAGGTGGGAGGAGAACATGATTCTTTGCCTGTTCGTAGGAGCCGTGGAGTCTGGAGGAGAGGAAAGAAGTGGTGAGAGAGTCCAGAGCTTCTGCTCTCGCCTCTTGCGAGAGCACACGGAATTTCTCTACGAGTCTGGAGACCACAAACTTATCATCCTATTGCCCCTCCCCCAATCAGTCTCACCCACCCTTTGATGGTGCGGGTGACTTTGAAACTGTCTACGTCCAGGAAACGATGGTGGCGAAAGTTTGACTTGACATACTGGAAACAGAGTTCAAAGTTCTCGTCTGACGGCTGCAGACAATGGAGAAGATACATAGAGTATCACCATAGATGCCATCTATATGAATGGTAGGTGTTGCAGTACAAATTGATGTAGTGTTTGGACAAATGTCTAATTGTCCCTCTCTTGGTCACCTGAAGACCGCTGATTGTGGTGACCAGCCGCTTCGAGAGCGTCCTCTGCTCTGCAGTGAAAACCGCCATTCATGCAAAAACATGCGGCGCGCGCACGTGGGCAGGTATACTAACTCCGTATACTTGGCGTACACGGAACCAGCATGGCGGCTTCTCTGAGGCGCATCGTTTCGAGACCACCTTGGCGGCCGTCTTGGTCGAGAATGAGAGCCAAGTCTCTTTCCACGGAGTCACCAAGTGTTTCTAAACCCACCACCTTACCTTCGGGAGGACTAGCAGCCGCTCCTGAGGCTCAAAACGAAGTTACTGACCGCGCAGTAATTGGAGGTGCAGTCGGCGACCCGTTGAATCGTGATGACTTTTTTGGAGTCGACTCTATGACGAGTGTCCGGCAGTTGCTAGAGGCGCGGGTCCATCTGGGCCACAAGACAGGGACATGGGACCCTCGCATGAAACCCTACCTATTCGGGTCGAGAGCGGGCGTCCATATCATCGATCTGGACAAGACGCTGCCCCACCTGCGTCGGGCTCTGAACGTTGCTGGTCACGTGGCCCTGCGAAACGGGATAATCCTGTTTGTGAGCGAGCGGTCCCAGTTTGAGCGACTCGTCCAAAAATCCGCCCGGGACAGCGGCGAGTACTTTGTCACCCAGCAATGGGTCGGTGGTACACTCACAAACTCTCAGATGCTCCTCAGAACGGTTCGCCTCCCCGACCTGATGATATTCCTCAGTGTGCCTCCCAGTAAGACAGCAATTAAAGAAGCTGCCATGTGCAACATTCCGTCCATTGGAGTGGTGGATAGTGACTGTAACCCAAACCTCATCACGTATCCCATACCAGGAAACGACGACACGCCGGCTGCCATGAGTCTCTACTGCTCTCTGTTTTCAGAGGTGATATCGAGAGCAAAAGCCACCCGAGAGTCGCGAGAGAGGAGGGAGAGGGAGGAGGGACAGTACAAGGAGGGTGGGAGAGAGCAAAGCGAAAAAGATGAACTTGCCAGTGAACACTCCATTGCTAGTCAGTAGTTGCTCGCTTCTTATGTCATAGTGTCAGTTTTCAAAAGAGTATACAGTGGAACACACACTTGACACACGGTTTGTATTGCTTATACACAGACTATGAGTGAGCTGAGCAGGTGAGCTATAATTAGAGCTCAGTCAGCGGGTAGAGGAAGGGGGAGGAGTCATGGAGGAAGTGACAATGGGGCCGCCACCGTAAGTCCTGATGATGTAACTCCACGTAAGCCAGGAGAGCTTGTGGTAGGCTGGGGCGGCTGCAATGAGAGAGAAAGAGAGAAATGAAAAAGGACAAACATTGAGTATATACAGTCGTTCCCAGGCACAAAAGCTTGGCATGTATGTATGCAGAGAGAGGGGGCCTGAGGAAACTCAATGGGAGGGCTCTCCCTAAAGAGTCTGAGATCTTCCTATAGTATTGCACTTTCAAAGACTGGTCTTGGTTTGGCATAAACCCAATCAGCGGTAATAATTAGTAATTTGTAATATGTACCTCGGGCATCATGGACCAGACGGAGCTGTGGGGGAGATTTTGGGTCTGGCTGTATCTCCTGAATGAGGTCTGAGTTATCCACCGGCCCTGGAGGTCCCACCGCTAGGAACAGGAGAGGGTAACAGAGTTAGCGAAATCACGGGGTAGTTACTTCCTACTACATACTGAACTCGACCCCCTCTCCCTATTATCGCTTGGTGTTCATTGGTTTTCCACTGGACATTAGGGGAGAGAGGGTCTAGCTGTGTATGTTATATATACTGCATGTATAGTGGGAAGCTTTCGTGGGAGGAAAGTTTTCAATAATGAAAATCTTGGAAAAACTTGTTTCACAGAAGTGTTTGTATCGCTGTATATACAAAGTTCCCACGGGTTTTCGAGGAGTGCACAGTTGCTGGTCCTCAAACAGTGCAATTCTCAAAGTCGTGTTTCTTGAAATTTCCCACTGTATACAGTGGGTGTGATTAGCGCGTGTATGTGTGTATAATATTATACCTAGAGAGGTGCAGTTGATGAAACTCTGCCACTGAGCCAGCCACCGCTGGGACAAGAGAAACGGCTCTCTCTTTTCCAGTTGTCCATGACACATACTTTGCAACTACAAACACACACACACACACACACACACAACCTTAGTAAACGGCCAACACATGCTGCTAAGAACATACTTTATGAATTTCTTCTTTCTCCCGTTTCCGTTGCTCGGTGTAGCTGTCTAGAAGATCCTTGCACACGGAGCAGATCTCCAGTTTCTGAACCATTGGTCCTCCACCATACCTATGTATAAACATGGGAGGAAAGGGAGGAAAAGTAACCAAACGACAAAAAAGATGGAAAGAAAGAAGAAAAGATAGATACAAGAGAATAGAGAGAGGGGAGGCCCACCTCTGTTGGTAGGTGTCCCACACATCTCTCCTGACAGACATAGCCAGTGGTCTCGCGTGATCCACTCTGTTTGGCAACACCGCTGCACACAACAAACGACACACAAACACTGACGTACATATGAACAACAACTAGAAGGGACCCGTTTATACGGTACATCATCATATAAATATACACAGAGTACATACGTATTACAGAAAGACTGTGATTTCCTTACCTCCATGTTCACAGGCAAACTCATACTGAAATATGGGACCTGAGAGGCAAACAGCGATGATTGTTACAGAGCTGGATACGTACATACATGAGATGAGGGAGAGAGGGAGAGAGAGGAGGGGAGGACCTGGGTTTGAGCATGTCCTGAGGAGATGCAGCCAGTGTCTGGAGATGTAAACAACTGGGTTCGGGTCGCCAGGTGACTTCCCTGGTCGAGGCAGTAACTGGCAGAGAGAAATGGTGTTTTAGTCACTAGTAGGTTGGAGCTCGGCGGTTCTTACCAGAGAGCTTAGCTCAATATTCTGCAGTGCAGCGCTGTTCGATGTTGGAACACGTCTGGAAAGAGGTGAGTAACACATTACGTTAGCAAATTAACAATTTCATGGACGGTTAACGAAACACAAGACCTTTCTCCCTCGAAAGCTTTCTGCTTTAATACACAGGAAAGAGTGGAACCCAGGTGGACTCACTTGTAGAAGAGAACGTATCCTTCGCAGTTGACGACAGTATCGGGAGAGACCGGCCTGACTTTAGTGTCGTTGAACTCAAACCATGAGCTGTGGCTGCTGTTTTTGGCAAAGGCTACATAGTGACCTCCTGTGAGACCAGGAAGAGAGAGGGGGTGTGTGTGTGAGAGAGAGAGAGAGAGAACTTAAGGGTTAGTAACGTGACAGAAGATTTAAAGCTTGCCTCCTGCTCCGCCGTAGTGTGTAATGACGGCACACAACTCGTAGTTGCAGTTCTGACCAGCTCTGGCAGCTACGTACACACCAAACACAAACACAAACAATTTTTAACCTCTTGACGGTACAATAAATGCACACTATAATAGTGAGATAATGAAGCTAATAGAGAGGAGAGAGAGAGAGAGAGAGAGAGAGAGAGTGATTATTCCACTCACAGTCCTTGAGGTACGGTCCCATGTCCAGATCATTCAGGGGGAATGCAATGTGGCGACTGATCTTCGACGAAAAGTAGGCGTCGAATCGAAACCTCTTCAGATGAACACAGAGAACCTGAACAAGGAGAGGAGGGAGGGAGGGAGGGGAAATAATCTGTAGCTACCGTAGGACCGGTTATTAGGTATTGCAAAATGCAAATTTATCCGCTATTCATAGCCCACCCTACAAAATCCCAGTAAAGCAGTAAATACGCAAACGCATTTGTTAGCTGGTCGTATATATGTATAACGTGTACATACCTCAGGGAGCTTCGTAATGATCATTTCCTTCTGGCTGTTTTGAAACCTGGAGAAAAGGAGAGAGACAGTTTTGAAGAATAACTTCTTGCAGCGAGACTTACTTCTTGCACTGGGAGCAATAGTACTGGTTTCCTCCTGAAGAAATAGAGAGGATTCACACGGCGAGATACGAAGAGGACTCCTTCTTTCTCGCTAACGGTATACACACAACTGTAGTACTGATGCTTTGGTGAGCGAAAACGAGACATTTACGCCACCTCAACGTGACGCTCTCACACGCAAACTGTCAAGCACGGTTGAGCCAATAGCTACGTACGTACATACACAATTGAGCACTCCAGATTATTATTGTTTGACTCATTTCACTATATACCCAATTGCACTGCATCGGCAATATTAAAATATTATACACGTCTTTATTTGGCACAAACCTTTGAGTTCGCTGGGGTCGAAAAAAGCGTCCAGGCAGTCGTGAAGGTTCGTCTCTGGACCGGAAAACATTTCCCTCACCTGGGACATGAGGTTGATGACTGTGCACAACCCCCGACTGAAGGTCCCCCACCACCTCCCTCTCTCTTCCCTCCCCCTCCTCCCCCCGAGACTGGGCCGAGCTCTGCCGTCTCTCTCTCAGGTTCGTGTCGACATTTAGCCATCTCCTTCCGGCCTGGGGCACAGAGGACAGAGAGAGAGAGGAGGAGGAACATGACAATTGTAAACAAAACCGGATTAGCTGGAACGTTGAGCATGCCAATTTAGCCACTTTTGCATAGTTCAACTACTTGTGGCCGACACTATGTATTCCCCAGCCACATCTTGCCATCTTATGAACCCTCTTTACATTATGGAGCCCCCTATTATAGGATGTGCTCCAGAAATGAACTTTTCCAAGAAAAAACTCAGGTGTAAATTGTGCTAATGCGATAGTAATCAACGTCGGCAAGCTTTAGACTTGTGGTGTGTGTGTGTGTGTGCCTATGTGTGCGTGTGTGTATGTGAGTTGTGTAGCCAGGTTTTAGACCCACGATGTGTATGCGTATGCACATGCATGTGTGTGTGCACATGGGTGCATGTGTATGCGTGTAGTTGACTAGTTTGCCTTGCCTTTCTACCTCGTTACCAAGTTGTTGAGACACGTGTGTGGTGTGTGTATATATACCGGGGATAGGGAGGGAAAGGTCTTGGAATGGCTCGTGTACCACGGAAACCTGTACATGGGAAACAAACGAGTCGGCACGTGTTAGGAAAATAGAAAAAAGACACACAAGACCAAGGATGATGACGGGTTGGGAGAACAAAGAGAAAGGAGTAGCTTTTTGTTGGGATTCAAACTCAGGCATCGTGACAGGAACTGATCGAGCTATATAAAGGAGGTTGTTTGTTTTCCCTCAATCCCTTAATAACCTCAGGGTATATCTATCATAGTATCTACACTATCAGGTCAAACAAGACTGCATCAGTGTGTCTGTGCAACGTACCTTCTTGCAGGAGCCGCACTTGACCCTGCTCTCCAGAATTCCCTCAAAAACCTCAGTCACGACGCTACGGAGCTCGGGCTTAGCTGCAGGGAGAGGAAATAAAAACTTCACCCACAACTCTCCCTCTCACACACACTGGAAAGAGAACATCAAACACACTAGCAGTGGAGTATGTGGACCGCAAGGCTCTCTACTATGCAGAGAATGCAGAGGTCCACAATAGTATGCACTGTGACCTCCCTGACCTTGCACTCTCTTCCCTCTGAGACGAGATTGTGGTGAAGATTGGAGATCAGTTTTCCTTCCGGCGGATTTCGTGTCTCCTTCACTTTGGTTCTGGCAACCCGACTGCTGTTGCTGGTTGGATGATTGGTCAAACAGGTGGCAGTTTCGATGAAGAGTGACGCGACGGGTTACCATGTCAATCTCGTACACCTCTCCCTCCTCCCCCCTTCTGACCACACCCACAGCATCATCGTCCGACGGCTGAGACTCCAGCGACACCTGAGACCCGCCCGTCCTCGCTAGCTGCTGGCCCCGCCCACCAATTTCCTCCGCCTCTCGGGACCCGCCCCGAGTCTTCCCCAATGAAGACGACGCTCTCAGAGCAAACCTACGATGTCCGGCCGTCGGCGAACTTTGCACCAAGCTCTGGCTCGATCCGCTCGATTTCTGTTTCAATGAGAGTCTTGCCAGCCCTCCCTTTTTCCTCGGGAGAGGCGAGCTCTTTGGCTGCGTCTTGCCCCCCGAGTCAGGCGCAGCGAGACCAACCAGGGGGGAATTTCGACCCCCTGAATTCGACCCCAGCTCTAAATCGTGGGATGTCGAGGAATCTAAGGAATCTCGGTGGGTGTCTCCGGGGGGCGTGTCCCCTGGTCTTATGGTCGAATGTCAGCTGACCAGGATGGCACCTCGACAGCTGTTTCGTCGTGAATCTGCATCAGTAGACAGCGGAGGAACTCTTGAGAGTCTTGTTGGAGAGACGTACGGAATATCTTGTTCCTCATTGCCGAGCTCACCATGCGAGGTGAGAGGTGCCCAGGAGGCCTGCACGAGGGAGGAGAGAGAGAGAGAGGAGGAGAGGGAGGGAGAGAGAAGATGGGGAGGGATGAGGAAGGAGACATTTACATGCAAATATGACGGAACACGATTGTGAACTGGCTCCAAAGGAAGCCGTGGTGTTTTACTGGTAAGAATATTTATTTAGCTGCTCAGGATTTCATCCCTAACCAAAAGCCTCGTGTTAAGAACATGTTCTCTAATCCATAGCTATCAGCAGTTCTTAACTCCTACACTAACAATATGGCTGTAGTCTCAAAAATTCGTGACTGGACTACAATTGTAGCACAGAAAAACACGTTGACTTACTTGTCGGAAGTCCACATTTTCTTGAAGACGGCAGCAAGCACATCCGCAGCTCTCTGGCCCGAGTAGGTGTGGCCTCCACCGGTTGCCGGCGACGACGGAACCGGGTGGTAACACTCGACAAAAAACTGTCGAAACGACGGGCTGGAGATGAGGAACAGTCACAATAGTGCTGGCTGGATTACCTCCAATGCAGTCAGTAATCTACATAGCTCTTGTATCACTAAGTACGGTAGTACTTAGTATATAGGGATGGGCATGGTACCTAGCACCATGGATGTTTGGGGCTATGATATCAAAGAAAGGGGTTGGCAATGGCAGAACTAGCGTCTAGGAGCTATAGTAGATTTTCGTGTGAAAGTTTGCTTCAACGAACCAGTTAGAGAGGGCCTGAAGTGCAGCATTCATGTAGCAAGAGTTTCCGATGTTCACCAGTCCTACCAGTCCTGCGGGAGAGAGGAAGGGAGACATTCATGTCAATTAATAAAGCTAGCTACAATTTGTCAAGAGGTGGCTGAACGAGGCCAAGTGCAGAGTGTAACTGGGTGTGTGTGTGTGTGTGAAGTAATGTGAATGAAATGTGCTGATGATAAGAGCACAGCTTTGTGGTTTTGTCTTAAACCCACCTTCATGACTTCTCTTCCATTTTCTCTCGTCTGTTGCCTGCGTGTGTGTGTGTGTGTGTGGAAAAAATGGGTGTGTGTGGGGTGCGTGAAAAACATTGTTAGCGTACTTAGTGCTGATACACACACGTACGTATAATTATACATATACAGCTTCCGCAGCTGAATATTGTTTAGTACATTGTATTTTAAAGCAGACACTCAATCGCACATAAACGAAGCGCTAGTGTGTATCTCTTTCGATTTACCTTCGCTGGAGACGAAGCCACGGGTCGAAACTTGTCCATCCGCACAATCTAGGGTAAGTAGTAGAGAGCGGTCGGCCACGGGGGGAGGTGATAGGTGTAGCTAGGTCGTGTAGTCCTCTTGTTAAGTAGGAGAGAATGTTCCTGCTGCTGGCGACGCCAGGTAGAAGGCTAAAAACTACTGTAAGCTACTAGCTAGAAGAAAGAGACCGATCAACACACACACACACACGTCGTCACACGTACACGTCTAAATGTTCCTAATTGAGCGAAAATGCACCGTCAGCGTAGTGTGAAATTTCAACATGCAACTGCGCTGCGAACTATACTGCTGTTGAGCGAAGAAGCGTTCTACTTTGGCTTTTCTTTCACTGGGAAGCGTGGGCGTCGGCTTCACTCGGCGGGACACAGCAGTGCAGGGAGCCATGCTGCTGTCTGTGCAGGAGCTGATCGTGTGGACGGGACTGGGGCCGTTCGAGGTGGCCCTCCACTCACTCGCTCTACTCGTGTTTACCCTCCTCTCCACGCTGCGGCTGGAGGGCGTCATCTCCACCTCATGGCACGCCGTCTTCTCCCCCCTGTACGTAGCTCTGGGTCTCCATCTCTACCACCTCAGCATCGTCTCCGCGAGAATGGCCGTGTGGGGATTCCAGTCCTCGTCGCCGAGTCGCTGGGCCAAGAAAATGCTCGTCGCCTCGCTAACTTTCCTAATATCCACAAACCTGGCCGGCGTTGGGGTTTTGCTGTTTGTAGAGTACTCTACCGCCGCCTTCCTGAACGGCGGAGGCAGCCCGGACGTCTTGATATCGTCTCTCGCCCTACTTCTCGTCTACTTGGTCGCTAGACTGTGTTTTGTATGCAGAACTCTCAAATCCGCAGCTCCCGGGTCCTTAGACTAGTGACTACTGTTTGTCGCCGTCCACCCATCGCAAAACACGACCTGCTCTGAGCACATAGCTACACACTCATTATGTTCTCACGTTTTTTTTTTATAAAGAAAATCACCATAACTCCATTTTTCATCTTATGACAGTGAAAATCCAGTCAACACGCACACTATTATAAGAAAACGTGAATGGTTACGGGGAACAAGTTAAGGGACACTTCACATGATGTACTAAAAGTCTGCTGCAGTCGTTGCCATGTCGTTGTATATATCAGTAGGTGCAGTTGGTGGCTGCGGCCCCTCTGGCCTCACATTAGCTCTACATACGCCAACGGAATCTTCCCAAACTTCCCCTTCGACTCGGCCATTATGTAATCGTCGTCACCAGGCACTGGTGTCACCTTGATCAACTATTGGGTTAATAAAAAGTTGGTGCGAAAAAATCAGAGCAGTATTATTGTGTGAGACTCCAAAAAACGTATAAGAAAATATACATAGGCCAAATGAAATTTTTACTGAAAAGTTCCTGATGTTTAATCTACACTTCTCTAACCAACCTCGTCACAGTAGACAGCGATTTCATTCTCATCGACAGGGTCATAGTCATAGAGGACTTTGGCTTGACGAGTCTCCTCCCGGTCCAACTCAATACCGTTCACTACAAAAGTGCTCGAATTGTTCTCCGTTGCCTCGCCTTGTTCCTCTCCCTCTGCCCCTCTGAACTGCGGGGGACGAGGGGGGCGAACAGGGGGCCTGCGTCGAGTGGAGAGGGCAAGAAAGAAAGCCAGAAAGAGAGAGCGAGATACCTAGAGAGGGGGTGCTTCAGTGGATGACCCACAAACTATAAATTATCCCTCACAGAATTTTAAATACGCTCTAATCTGGACACCAGTGCGATGGAAGAAAGTGTCCAGTATTAGTGTTAGTATCCTTGTTTCGGAGGAGGTTAAATTGCATGCAAGCAACCGTTCTTGTGGAAAGAAAAGGTGGAGACTGAGAGGTGCCTTCGTTTCATGGAAGAGGTTTTTCGCCAACGTAGGTTCACAACAGAAAAGTATGACTCACAATATGTCGTCAGTGTCGATGCTCTCCAGCTGCGAGAAGCACTCCCGATGGTACTCTTTCTGGGCAGACATGAAGGACTTGAGGTACCCCATGTAGTGGACGTGAGTCGAGATGACCTTCTTTGTCCCGTCGCGAATTTTGCTCAGCTGAACGTCAAACTCTGCCTGGGCCACCCTCAGCTCTATCTCTGCCTATATGTACACATTATAGCAACAACCATCACAACCATTGGCATATTGTGTACCCCAATAGTAATTGACGATCACATGTATACTGTGGTAAGTGCTATTATGATTGTGGTGAGTATTATACATACACTGTAGTGCTATACAACAGCTTCAGTGCTTGTATGGGACGGTCACATGATGATTACAAGTAATAATACAAACATAACGTGGTGCTATTGTGTGTTTTTAGTATGGCAGTACATACATAGGGGGTAAATGCATCAGTGTTGGTAAAGATAGAGCGAGAATGCAACAAAGTGTCCATTTTAAGTAACAGTTTCTGTAGCTGTTACATTACTGCAACATCCCCTCCAACCTGCATGAGTTTGTCTCCAGTTAGCTTCCGTGTCCGGCTCTTGGCGGCATCCAAATCGAGTCTCTTCACAGAGAGAGTCTTCTTTTCTCTCTGTATATTATACAACACAGCACAACAGGGCACACTTTAATCTGTTGGCACCAGTTTACATACACATAATACTTGAGAGAGCTCTACCAAATTTTCTGAGAGCAGCCCTCCCCCTTTCCCCCCTCCCTCACCATCACATTCTTGACGTCCACCTCCAGGAAGGCCCTGAGTGGAGTGAGGAACTCTTTCTGTACTCGACTGTGGTAGAGGAGCAGTGCCTGGCCCATCTTCACTTCTGCCGCTCCACACTGCCTCAGGTAGGCACCTGAAACAAAAACACACACACACCATCAATAGCGGTAATAGATACATGCCACTGCCGATATACTAGTTACTTAGCGATAGAGAAACCCTGCCATACAGGTTTCGACACCTAAACATCTCCTATATCTCCCTCTATTAATAACTGAAACAATCCCCCAGCAGTATACATAATACGTATAGCAAGACCAACTTTATACCGGAACCATAGGCTTCAGCCCCACATCTCCCTCTAGGCAACAGAATCGATCCCCAATGGTAACAGTATTCAGGAACTCGACGCACGAGTTTAAAACTTGGCCTCCCCTGTCCCTTCCGCCTCAGTTTCTCACTTTCTCTCACCGTATTCAGGAACATCCGTGCCAAACGCACTGCTAGACTTCCCCAGCTCAGCCCCCAGGAGCTCCTCTGTCTCCGAGCGGTGAGGTTTCTGCTTGTCGATTCGACTGTAAATGTTCTCCTCCAGACGAACCCCTGACAGTGTATATTATTATGAGACAGAGATTTGCAAATAACAGCGCCGGTGAATTGTCCCTACACGAAAACAGCTCACAAAGAGAAAGCAATGCCGGCACCACTGAATACCATATCATATACCACACACTGGCGGACCATAGATTATTAACGGGCCACTAAGGCTAGAATCCTCACTCACCAGGATGTGGTTGGATAAGGTACTGGACATGAGCCGCTATCTTCTCCGTGCTGGTGCGAATGGCCTCCAACTGCTGACTCAGTGTCTCGTACTCCGTGTCGAACGTCGTCACGCTCTCCGCCTTGCCCATCTTCTCGATGGTGTACTGCAGAGAGAGAGGGAGAGCCACGGGTGAAAAGGATCGAGTGCGTGCATATTCCCATACACTGTCAGGGACTTGCCTGCCTGGCACGGGTGAAGCTAGTGGACGCGAACTTTCGGAACTCTCCGAACTTTTCGTTGAACGATTCGTTGAAAGAAGGCCCCCGTTCCCTGCCGTCCTCTCCGCCATTGTAGCTGGACTCGGCCATCTTCACTCTGAACCAACACCCCTTTCTTGTTCTCTCTCAGGAATAAGCGCGAACACGCGCGCGCAATTAATTACTATCTAAGCGCGTTTTCATTACAGTTAAATATTTCTTTGTGTTTCGCTTAAATAGAATAAATGAGCAACTCAAAACAGAACAAAAAACAAAGTTAATTACGTAACATTGGTGTAGCTGCGGTACTTCTCAAAGTCAACGGTATACTGCAAAGGAAAAAGCAACCATTACATCATGCAGACACTGCCTTCACACACTTGCCTTCTCCTCAAAGTCCTCGAGGGAAAGCATCTGGAGATCACCAATGGCATGCTGCACAGTATCCATAAAGCAAACTTCAATACCAATCATCACAAGATATCCATACACACACTCTGTAAACGCACCTGGATCAAGTATTGCTTTTTTTCTACCATGGCACTCAGCTTGAACTGCAGACCATCAGTTGCTATACAATGATGAACGAAATAATGTGACGGTATACTTTGCTTGCAGCACATAATACACATTATTGGCGAGCAAATACAAGTTCGAAATTTAAGCGCTTTACGCTTATTTGGAATACAGTTTATGGTTATAATATCAAACATGGAAGTGTTATGCTAACTCACACGTACCAGATCGCACTTTTCGGGCCAGAGTAGTCCCTCTGAAGTAAACAGCAATCCATTACCAATGAAATTGCTTTTGTGTATTCCACACTCACTCTTTGTTTGCAGCTTCGACTGGAGCTGGTTTGGTCGTAGGGGCAGAATTCCTCCTCCCAACTTCACCCACTTTGAAACAGATGCTGAATCCGTTGATATCCCTAACGATAGGGGCAAAGGGTAACCGAGAAGAGAAGGCAAGAGGGGAAAAATGAAGAGATAAGAGAGAGCAAGAAAGGAAAAATGAAGAGATATGAGAGAGCAAGAAAGGAAAAATGAAGAGATAAGAGAGAGCAAGAAAGGAGGGAGATAAAAAGAGAAGCAGGAGGCGTGGGGTAGCCTCACGGTAGTCGTGTGAAGCCGAGCTGAACGTCCTCCTTTCTGCTGGCACTGAGGATCTGTAGCTCCCTCACAGCTCGTGTTGCCTGTTCATGTGGCGCCACCTTCATCACCAGGACCTTGTGCGAGAATGCCTTCGTGTCTGGAACACACGTCACAGGGAGAGAAATTACATATGGGTCTTGTGACGATAGGGTCGGTGGTCGTTTACTCACTGTCGTCGTGTGTGTGGGCGAGAGGGAGGTAGCCCAGAGGAGAACGATCGCTCGAAAGGATTACCTTCAGGTCTACTAGTGATAGCCGTCCCTATACAAGTCAGGCAACATGACATCTGAATAGCGCCTTGTGTACTGATACGTAGAGTAATACACTTACTCGAAGAGCTGACGGAACTTTCCTAGTGTAGGCCAGGTAGCGCTTTGTTGAGCCGAACATACTGCCCTCGGCAAAGTCCGCCTTCTTCCCGTCCACAGTCAGATCAATCTGGCGTTTGGCCAACTCTAACGATCAGAGAAAGCTAACTTCTTCTCGATACTTACCACTGCGTATCCTGACGGGACCTTCTCCTTCTTTGCCAGGAGGCAGATGTCCGTGATCGCTTCCTCGCCCTCCATCGGTTCTATGATTGCCCACTCCCCGCTCATTCTTCCCCGGGGCAAACAGGACACCGGACTTTCCGTTTTTGGGACTCTCGGTCAAACCTCAGAAAACATAATACGTCTACGTGCGCGCATGCGCAATGTCAAATTGCTTGGCTGCGCTGAAACCTGAGCAAGTGTTAGTACAGTGAGCTAAAGGTTTAGACGAATGTTGTAGCAGATGTTTCCCTGGCCCTCCGTTGTCTTGACAGTAGCCTTCAGAACTCCTCTGTTTACATGGCCGTTTAGATTGCCCACTGCTTTCTCACAATTCTGCACCACTTGAGCCTCAAACTATATACACACATCAAAAACTCAAAATCGGGAAGAGACCAATGTAAATTCGTCCTACCTGAAGTAGGGGAGAAATGTGTCTCTCCACTGTGCTCACACTTACACCTTGCAGGGATTCACTGGGGACTGAGAGAGCCTATGAAAAGACAGTGTAATTGCACAAAGACAATATCAAACAGTATAATATCGTAGCTAGCTAGTTAAATAATATACCTCTGTGATAAAGGAATGAAATGATCCTTCTATCTCCTGCATGGAGCTATTGCCAGAGAGAGAAAGGAAGAGGTCTGACGAGATGGCAGAAAACAGAGACTCTAGTCTTGTTTGAGGAACTGTGTTATTGGCTGAGAGCAAAGGACACACAGATTCAAAGTCACCATAAGCGCTAAGATTTGGTGACCTACCACATGTGTGGGCCTCGGGATCACTTGGTGACATGTACAACAGCCCCGAAGGCAGCTGATGTGCGTAAAGACAGACCAAATCTCCAGCACAGTCTCTATCAACTTGACAGCTCTGTGGAATCATGGTGTGTTAGAATAGCCGTGGTAGCTACATGGCTACTGTGTTCTCTGGGGAACTGACCATTTCAGTGGAGCAAGGCATGCAGTACTGGCCTCCACAGTCAACATCTGTCTCATGTGACTCTGTCAGTTCTCCATCCACACAAGTAGCCTCTGAAAATCCATACATAATGGTACTATAAGAGCCCAGCTTACTTCTAACATACCAGTGACAGTGAGACCAATGCTCATTGACTCTATACTCCCTTCGTTATTGGTTAATGAAACACTGTACACACCGCCGTCGTCATTAGTAACAGTAGTAAACATTAGCGAAGCATCGTATCCAGACACAAACACTCTCTCTGTGTATTCGATGGTGTTTCCATTTCTTTTCCAAGCTACCTCTGGGAATGGAGCTCCATCCACGATAACCTCCAGTGTATACGGAGCATCGGTTAGAATGCTGTCGTTTTGAGGGTGTTGGATAATTGAAGGGGCATCTGTAGGGAGAGGGGAAATGTATCAGTGGGTGAGAGAGAGAGAGAGACAATACTGCAGTATGTAGTGTGCCACTGCCTGTAAATAAGGCTTACAGCATTGATAGTCAGAAGAGACTAGGGCTCTAAGAGGAGTGTTTTCCAGTAAAGGTGGCCATTGGCATTGGGTCTCGTCTGTTGGAATGAGTTCAGGGTTCGCCGCCACGGAGTCGGCTAGCCACTGTAGACGGCAGTCACAAGACCAAGGATTATTCTGGAGCTCTCTAGTAATGAGAAACAGAGCTGAGTTTCTAAAGGTGAGTGGCTGAGGTTAATCAGCTTACAGTTGGAGGATAGCTACAGGTGCTCCGTCTAGAAATCCATCTGGTAGAGAATCCAGAGCATTTTCTGTCAGCGATCTATATTCATCAAGATAGCAGGGTCATAGAGATGAATATTCTGGATGGTTTACAGGAGTGTGAGGGCTGGAGTGTGCTCCAGGAAGCTTGTAGACAGAGAAACTAGCTCGTTTTCATCCAGCAGTCTGCAAACGAAAGGAGAAGGTAAAAGTGTACTGGTTTTTTTGTAGCTTGATTCACAGGTTGGTAAGTGCAGAGAGTCCCGTAAAGACCGAGCCATTCAACTGACTAAGTGGAGTTCTCTGAATTGATCTGCAGTAGGATGCAGTTAGCAAACACAGTCCAGACTTTTCAGGACTGGCTTCACTCACAGCTCTTGTAGAGAGGTGAGGTTGGAAAACACGGCCTCGATGCTTAGTTCCCGCAGTGGATTCCTGTCCAAAACTCTGCAAAGGAAAGCTATAGCACGTAGAGTGAAATAGGGAGCTGCTGTACTAACAGTCTTCTTAGGTTGGGTAAACTGTCAAAGTATTGGGGAGAGAGGGATGACAGTTGATTGTTGTCTAGCTGCAGGTCCTCCAGAGCTGGCAGGTGGGAAAACGCTCCGGACGGCAGATCAGCAATTTCGTTGTTGGTCAAGACACTAGAACAGTGGTAGACGTGGCTATGCACACTTGGAGTGAGTGGTTTACGTACAGTGTGGTAGTGGTGGGAGGAACGACGGGAATATTTGTGAAGCGAAAGTCGAATGCCTGGCGTGCAGAGCAGTCTGCCAGTCCAGCGATGCACGTGCAGAAAGGATCGCATTCCGTCTGAGCTCTGACGGCGGCCCTAGGAACCAGCAGCAGAGAGAGAGGAAGGAGGACAGTACGCAGAAGCAGCTCCATGTTCCTCTCGATGACAGTCTCCAGTGGTGGGTGTTTTGTTTTTTGGGGTGGGGCTGCCTACGCGGAGCTCGTTCACGCATGCGCAGTATTACCAGGGATCCCCGCAAAACCAGCCAGCCGCGCACGCACAAGAGGGTGTGGATTCCCTGCTTATGGTCCCTAGCTGTGCATGCTGCGCTCCACATGGCCATGGAGGATCAGGAATGGATGTGTTGGCAGGTGGACGGAGAAGACATCGATTTCGAGGCCCAGAAACGGGAGCTGGAGCGGCTGGAACAGGCGCGTCGCGACAGACTGGTCGCCGAGGAACTGCAACACGACCTGTCGACGGACCGGGAGATGAGCAGCGAATGTCTCACCGACCCCACCGAGATACCTCCTCCCTCGTCTCATTCCGAGGCCCTCGAGCCGCCCGGGGAGTGCCGGGAAGAGGTGGCGGAACCTGCGCTAAGATTCAAAGTATCCGACGCCACACCAGGCCCCAGCTCCACACGCTCTTTCTCGCCCCTTGACACCGCTCCCTCCTCCCTGCCACCTCTGTCCAGACAGACGGTCCTCTCTCGCACTACACTGACTGCAGGTTCACAGACTTTGACCAGCGACTAGCGGAACAGCTGCAAGAAGAGGAGAGGCTGGAGAGAGAGAGACGTGAGTCAGACGTCAAGTCTCAGACCGAGCGGGATGCAGAGCTGGCTAGAGCCCTCCAGGGAGAAGAGGAACGTGAGCGTGGAGAAGGAGAGGGGGAGGAGATGGAGGGAGATATTGTGGACCAGAGCTTAGAAGGTGATAGAAGTGGAGAGGTGAGTAACATAGACGAGCAGGTGGCGCATGCTCTTCAACAAGAAGAGGAGGGCGGAGGAAGAGCTGAGGAGGATGTGCTACTAGCCCAGAGACTGCAGGGCGAGGAGAGCGAACTGCTAAAACTGGCAGAGCGTGACGAGCAGCTTGCCCACGCCCTCCAGGGCGAACAAGAGCAGGTGCCAAAGGCGGACACCTCACAGGACGAAGAGCTGGCACGACAGATAGCTGCACAATTCGAGGCCACACCCCTCAGCTCCACGACGACGACGACCACTGAAACAAGCTCCCAGGGTCTGTTGGCTCCTCCTCCAAACTGGTGGACTCTGTGTCCAAATTGTCCCCCCGGATAGCAATCGGAGATTCCACCTCATCGAGATAGGGCGAGGCGAAAACGAGTGGCTGAGCATTACATCACCGCTGGAGGACGCGGGATTTGTACCTCAGCGATTACTGAGGGTTCAGAGCATGAAACTGTATCGAAGACTACAGTTTGAGAAACAGACGATGAGCGAGGAGGGGACGCCGCACAATGAGATGCTACTCTACCACACATCGTCTGCCTCAGTCGAGGCCATCTGTGGCGAGGGACTTGACCAGAGGCTTTCGAGAAAGGGCCGTTTTGGCAATGGAGTATACTTCAGGTAACTGCTGTAATCTTCAAGTAATCTCTAGCTGGAAATCATTCCTAAGTAAGTACCTTAGCCAGTTGTATATACCCAGTAAGCTTCTAGTAAACTAGTAATCTAGGTGAGTCACTCAGTAATCGTCTAGTAAACTAGCTGAGAATCACATAGTATAATACATCCTCATTCAGTGATGACCCGGTGAAATGTGATTCCTACTGGAAAAACTCTGGGACAAGAACGATGTTTGCCTGCTACGTCCTCTTGGGCAACACCAAGGTACACGCCATTCTACTTTGTTAAAATAATATAGCCCTTATATACTGCCATATCCCCTTTAACAGTAATATTCTTCTCCTTCCATGTATAAGGTTTAACAGTAATATTCTTCTCCTTCCATGTATAAGGTTTAACAGTAATATTCTTCTCCTTGATCGCATTAGGTTTATCCCAACAAAACGACAGACTCCAGTCTACTGCGGGAACCTCCAGGTTATGACTCTGTTCAGGTAAGCACCATTTCTTTACTTTGCATTACTGGCTCCATGAAAGCCCCCCCCCTCCTTCTCTTTACTCATTGTGAGTGTGTGTGAGCTGACTATATATGAGTGGGCTTTTGGGAGTGTAGTGCCATTGTTAACTTTCCACTGTTCCTATATCTGCAGGGGAATGTGACAGATCAGAATGAATTCATCATCTACACTCACTACAGAGCCATGCCTGCCTATGTGGTGGAGTACACCGTACCCTGAAGAGGACCCTCGTTCCCTCGTTCCAGAACCAAATCATCAGAACGACACCATTATCACTCCCTAGTCTATATATCATGTTTTAAGACAGCCAGTTGTTTGAACGACTTTTGAACATGGCCCAGAAAAACAGACAAAACCTCTCTCAAAGTGTCTAGATTTTTTTGGATGTGTGTGGAATCCTTGCAAGGGAGGGGAACTGTTAGTGGTGATTAGCTAACACTGCAGGTATAATATATATAATCTAGCCTTATTTTTCACCAACACATCAGCACTACACAGCGGTGTGGTGCCTGAGTATATATATAGCCAGTTGAACCCCACCACACGGTTCTTCTTGAACAGACAGAAATTGAGTTTGTGTATAATAAAGAGCACCAGAAGTCCTTTCCATTGAGTCCTAGACTCAAAAGCAGTGTTGTGGGTTCGAATCCCACCCTGGGCAGCTCTTCTTTTTTCCTTGAGCTAACTTGTTTGTTGTGCCTTTCTACCTCGCTACCTTGACGTTGACACATTCCACAACAGAATTCCAAGAACCTGCTATTTCACTTCTGTTTCCCTATCCAAAACCAATATTATTTGAAGATCAATGTTGTGGTGAATTAACCAGTGACATTGATGCATTCAGAGCCTCCTACATGGACGTAACTGATAGACTGAATGAGACCGTTTCTGGTGTACATTTAACCCTATGTGAGCTGAGCTAGCGAGGCGTCTTGAGTTTCCCGTGGCCGAGCAAGAAGGAGAGAATTCGATCCAACGCGTAGGAGGCGAGAAAATCTGCTACCAGCACCACCAGCAGCTTGCGACGGAACTAAAAAAGGACACAATGCATGCATGGATGTGGGGAAAGAGAGCAGATAAAGTAGGGCAAGGAAAAGAGGGGAGGCCGGTGACTTTTAGTCATGTTAATGTGGGTATCTACACAGAAACTTAAAGCAGAGGGAATTAAAGAAACACCACTTTAACTGCAAAACACTGTGGTGTAGTCAATTGGTGTGGATATAATATTATAATTATTATAGCCACACCAATTATATATAACACAGACACAGCGTGAAAAAGTGACAGTAGAGACCTCATCAGTGAAGGGAGAGATTTCCAGGAAGACTCCCAGTTCAGGCATGAAGCCAGTGGCCAGGAGGAAGAGAACCGTTGTAGTGGCCAGGAGACTGTAGAGGAGGGGCTTGTTCTCCATCAAACTGGCCATGAATGGATGACCCTTTGGCAGAGGAGGGAGAGAGAGACGTTTATATACCCTTTGGCAGAGGAGGGAGAGAGAGAGGTTAACCCAAAAGTTAGTGCATATATTTATGAATTGGACTGTGGGTACGTTATGCTTGCCAAACTTCATGCTTGTTGAAGTGGATTGTGTTGTTTCTTACTAAGACTAGATTATTGTGTGCACGTTTAGCTCACTTTATAGTTGACGGCAAAGTTGCTGATTTGCATGGCGATGGATATGAGGTAGACTGCACTGTTCAGCTCGTTCTGTTCAAACTCTTTCTCCAGATCTACAAATTCCTCATCACTGGTGGGAGACGGAAGAAAATCTCTGAATTCTGACTCTTGAACAAGTTTGTTAGTTCTACATTCCCATACATTAAAGGCACCGCCCTGTGTAATGCATGCTGGGGGTGACTCTTGCACTACAATCCCCAGTTATAGGCATAGTTTCTCGGATGGTATATATGTTCACACAAATGACTGAAGCACAAAGAGAGAGGTAAAGTGGAAACCGTCGCTAAGGACACCCCTGTAATGAGCACACGTCTCATCAAATAGAGACATCTTTTTTCCATAACAAGGGCTTTTCTAAGGACACCTCACTCTTTCCTCCGTCCCATTTTTGTCTAAATTTGACCGATTCCACTGAAATATTATGGAAAGTTTCTTCATATCCAGTTTAGAAGGGGCTCCACTGTATATTGGTATAATTATAAGCACCTTTCAGGCATCTCAGCCGTGGCCTCCTGGACCAGGTACATGAGGCAACTGAAGTGAACCATAAACTGTCCTATCACTGTCAGGATCGTATACACGTTGAATATGTTTGGCAGCGGTCGGATTTGTGACAGCGTAGTTAGAGGCTGCACGGACAAGAAGAGAAGTAAATTTAGTCTCTGTTTTCGAGATTTTGTCACCTTTGATCGCGAAATAAATAGAAAGCAACCGGCTAAGAGTATTCCCTGCATTGTAGCCTGCCTGCAGTGTGAGAGAGAGAGAGAGAGATGAGAAAGAGAAGAGAGAGGATAGAGGAAGAGGAGGACTACATGTCTTCCCTGGCAGAGGAGAGCTCACGTGTCGCTGAACTTGATTCCGTCGAGAAACAGAACGCTCTGTGAGTAGGCCAGAATGAGGGCGTTGAGGGCTAGGATCTTGAACATCTGTAGAGTGGTGACTAGAGTGCAGCGACCCTGCTTGATCACATGACAGACTGGCAGAGAGAGAGAGAGAGAGAGAGAGAGAGAGAGCTGTAGAGTGGTGACTAAAGTGCAGCGACCCTGCTTGATCACATGACAGACTGGCAGAGAGAGAGAGAGAGAGAGAGAGAGGAGGTCATGAACTACATCTTCCAGTAGAAATGGAAGGAGATTAACCACATCATGTGCACAGTATGCAAAAACTGCCAAGTCGTAACTTGCTTCGTCTACAAACACAAACATATCAGTTAAACATGCTGATACACCGATTATGTACTTTTGTCGTAAAAATGTCACAACGCCATTTTTATTGCTGGCAGTGGCAATAAAAACCCCCTGAGCAAGTGAGCAAGCAGAAACAAAAGGTGGAACTGTAATTGGTAGAAGAGCAAGGAACAAGAATGAAGAAGAAGTAAAGTCTGGAATTGAAACTAAGAAACGACAAATTTAGGCACTCTGGACCAGTATTGCAGCAAACGTACTGCAAGAGATGCTGGAATGGCGAGAGGTAAAGGGAGAGGCAATGGACGCGTCGCCGAGTCGGACCAGCTGGGGCTCCAGCGAGGCCTCGTCCATCTGTTTCATCATCTCTCTCAGCCGTTTGTCCCGCATCGCTGGCGATGACGGGGTTTGGCCCGCACCCGCTCCCGTCCTGCTCGACCTGGAGCTACAGAGACACACAGAAGAAGTGGAAAATGAAATCGAATCATTAAATCACACTGGATAGTTGAAAGCATTTAATTGAGCAAGAAAGCTAGGAATTTTTTGCTGCAAGCAAACAAATGTGTATATACTAACGGATTCTTCTTAAAAAACCTGTTGTGTTTGCTGTCTGTCGGTGTGAAGAAATTCATAGTAACAAACTAGAACGAACACACCACATTATTTTTGAGCAAATACACAATTTCAGCTGTTTTACACGTAATTTTAAAGCATTATTGTAAGGACAACACATAGGAACAGCGTAAATTGAGACAAATAGACAGGCTTGTGTTGGCCAATTATCAAGGCACAGAAATTGTAAATGTTTGGTTGCGGACCATTTTGTACAGCAGGACTAGAACTCTTATGAAAATTTTCTACCAGTTTGCTCTGAACTGCGAATTGTGTTTCTGCTCTACAGTACCTCTGAGGGTGGAGGGGTCTCCGCGCCAGTCGGGGGTCAGTGGGCGTGGCCGATTCGCTCTTCCTGCCAGCTCCGCCCTCAGTGGGTGTGGTCTTCTGGAGAGGGACGGTCGAGAGGAGCGCCACGCCCACATGGGCGTGTTTTAGAGCTCCGACGTCGTTTGTTCCGTCGCCACACATCAGAGTGTGGTAACCAAGGCGACGGTACGAGGTCACCACCGTCTCCTGGAAACGAGCAAACGTCAGATACGGAGAAGGGAAACAATAATTACGGCAGGAAAATTCGGGTGAATTTGTAGGTAGAGAGAAAAACAATCCACGAAAGTTTCTCTGCAAAAATTGACCCAAAGGGACTGCAAAATTTGACCCAAAGGGACCGAAAAATTTTGGCCCTCAATACAGTGTTGACTATATACACATACCTTTTGTTTGGGGGCGACTCTAGCAAAGACAGTGATGTAGGGAAGAAGGCGGTCAAACGTCCTTCCATTGTCCAGGTTTTGTACGTAGGCCATTGCCTATACAGGCAAAGGAGAGAGGAGAGGGGCGAAATTGAACGGAGGAAGCGTCATGTTTGAATGAAGGTCAACCTTACATCTCCAGTCAGGCAAAGGTCAAATGTTTTTCCAAGTTCTGCTGGTGAGGTTTCCATGGTAGCAGTTGTGCCTCCGCCAACACTCTGCCAGTGCCACACTCCCTCGTTAACTTCAGTGAGGACCAGGGTCTTCCTCGTGGCAATCTTCAGTTCCTTGGCAACGTGGCAGGCAGTGAGCGGGTTGTCGCCGGTCAACATGATCACCTGCACAGACACAAAGGCAGCTCTCAAGCAGATCCTCGGTAGTATAGTGGTAAGTATCTCCGCCTGTCACGCGGAAGACCCGGGTTCGATTCCCGGCCGGGGAGCTCTTTTTTCAATAGTCTCTTTTTATTACGAAATCACATACATATGAGGAATATTTTTCAAATATTTTCAAGAGATGTGAAGTTTGAGCTAAAACTTCAAAAACTATATCCAAGGTTTCTTACATATATTATGTAAGGAAAGAAAGTCTTACATTATGGGAGGACTCGAGAAGGCATGAGATGCTGGTTTTGGACTCCTCCTTCAGGGGACAAGAGATGGCCAGGAACCCGGCAAACGTCAGATCTCTCTCCACCCCCTGTCTCTGGATGTTGCTCAACTGACAGAGACAGTGCAGGCGAGAGAGACAGGAGGTAAAGAAGACATGACAGAGGAAGGGGAGAGACACATGGTTACAAATACTTCAGCTAAAAGGCGCTAACGAGTCTGCAACAAATTTTGCCGAAAGTATGTACTCCACAAAGGTTCCCAGTTTTCAGCTACAAGGTCGTCCTGCTCACCACTCCGGGAGAGCTGGGGTTGAGGTACTTGTAGCCGAGAGCCAGAACTCTGGCTCCGTGCCGTGTCAGTTTGGAATAGAGACGGTCGTAGTCACCTGGGATGCTGGAGAACTGGAGGAAGACGTGACTTCATCGAGACGAAGAAGAGATTTTATCACGATTTTTACCATTTCCTTCAGGATTTCCGGCGCACCCTTTACGGTAACGAGGTGGGTGTGGCCAGAAGATTGGGCGGGGACAAAGGCAGTGATGACAGACATTCTTTTCAGAGAGGAGGAGAAATGGAATCGGTGAATTGTCTTCAGAGTGGCTCTCCTCCCCTTCCTGGATGTTACTGCATCTCCTGCAGTTAGACACCTTCAGTTTTCACTTACAAAGACAGAAACATTGGATACCCATAAACACATGCTGCACAATTTCACATCTGCGTACTGCACGAGCCCATACTACTGACATAATTCAATACCAGACAACACATACCACATGATTCAATACCAGATACACATGATTCCATACCCACGTAACACATGTTTCATACCAGATACACATGATTCCATACCCAATACCCCATGATTCCATACCCAGGTTGACCCCGACCTTTAGATAGGTTCCAGTCCACGGCGTTGAGAGCCACTTTCTCCAGAGGGTCACCCACCAGATCCCCCTCTAGCAGAACAAGGGAATGGCACGTGGCCAGGACACACTGCGTCTCAAACGGAGACTCCCGGGCTGGAATGAGGTCGTGTTTAACCCCTTCCTCACCACCACTGCTGCTGCTGGGTGAGAGGGAAGAAAAGAGAGACAAAACGAAAGTAGAGCGGAAGAACCTATGGTTAAAGGAAACGTGGCAGACCATGTTACTAAAATGGAAACCTCAGTTACATTCTTTCACTGGGCCCCTGGTTTAGTTCTATCTTTAGTAACTTTTATACCCATTACATACTGACACATTTCCTATTAATACACACCTCTCGATTCCTGCAATTCCCTTTATGACCAAATCGTTGCTGGTGAGCGTGCCTGTCTTGTCAAAACAGCACACGTCCACTTTCCCTCCAAAAGGTATTCTGAACGGCTCTGTGCAGTAGATACCTACAGGGAAAGTGAGGTTTATGAGATAAAAATAAAAAGAGCTCCCCGGCCGGGAATCGAACCCGGGTCTTCCGCGTGACAGGCGGAGATACTTACCACTATACTACCGAGGAATTCGGATGAGAGAACTTTACACTGGAATCCCATTGAACTGACCTAGCTTGGTGAGTGCAATAAGAGAAGTGTTGACAGCTAGAGACAGCTCGATGGGAAGCTCTGGAGGGACTACTGACGTCAGGATGAGCGTACACTCCAGGAACAGCTTGTAGCGGTTCCGTTCTGGATCCTCGGTACCTGAACATGGGAACAAGACACCCGCAGTGTCAGCGCTAGAGGGAGAATCTGGCGTCACCTTTTACCCAGACGTAGGTTGCAGCTGAGACGGCAAAGACGAGGAGGAAGAGGATGAAGACAAAGGTCTCGAGATTATTGGCCGTCACTCTCTTCACTCCATAGAGAATTGGTACGAAGCAACTTGCCCTACGTGATTAGAGAGAGGATCGGAGCTTTGATATAGGTGATTAGACAATATGACGCAACAGCTGTCTTTATAATTACTTCTTCACTCCTCAAACTCGCTAACGGTACCAGGCATGGAGATGAAACTTGGTACGCATGCGTGTAACATCATTTCTGGCAAAATTAAGTCACGAATAAAGTCTGTCTATAAGGGCTTGCATAGAACCATCCTAGAAACATCCACTAAGGCAATTGTCACAGGATTACACATATACATAGTCTTTGTGGAGAATGAATATTGCTTTGATTCATTTTGCAGCACTTTTTTAGGCAGCTTTGGTTTTGGTATGACGCTGACGCTCAAGTGTTTGAAAGTAGATGATTGTTGCATGGCAAAAGTTTGTACGCTACGTGAATGCAGAAGACGTCACGTGTCAAGAGTGAAGCCAGTGGGCAGTTCTCACCTGAGAGGTGTTGAATCCGGTGCGGAGAACGAAGCCAACACATCCTCCGTCACTCGGTCTCAGCCCGGCTCTGTCTGGCGGGCTGTGCTGGACAACCTTGGTCCCCCCGCTGATGACATGGAGCCGAGAGTCTCTCCCGAGGTCAAGGTTCAGCTGTGGCGTCGAATCATCCAATGGCTCCTGCGAGATATGAGACAAATGGAAATTTCAACACACAGAATTTTACCTAACCGAACATTAATTGGTTAGAACTTTGCCTTGACAAAATTAACTACCCATGCCTGAAATATTGGAGTTTTTTTTCTTTCGCAGAACAACTTTTTGTGATCATCACTCACCCCAAAAAACTGTCAAAATGGCGTGTCTCAAAAATTGACACATTAAGTACGCAAGGGAGTGATAGTGGTAATATATGGAGAGAGACCTTCATCTGTGGAACACTCTCTCCAGTCAACATTGCCTCGTCCACTATACACGATCCTCTCAACAGCAGGATATCACACGTAACCACACCCAACCCATCCTTCGGACGACCTACACGTATACACACATATACGATGATGTAATCTGATCACATGAGAGTCATGTGACGCACACTCACCAACAGAGACGAGGTCGCCAGGAAGGAGCTCTTCGCTGCTGATCTTCTGCCATTTCCCTCCGCGATATGCCTGGACTTGTGACGGCTGGGAACCCATCTTCCTGATCTCTGACATGTTTCTCTGTTGCTATAGTTACAGAGGACAGAATGCAGTGCGAACAGAAGAAAACTTCAACCAACTGATCTGTGTGTGCCACCACGCTTGCAGACGTACCACAATTCTATGTTAATGGTGGGTCCTCTAACAATGAAATTTGGTACACTGATTAACCATTATAAGAATTCATCAAAACATAAAGTACAATTTACTCTAAAAAAGGCAAGAGGCAAACCTATTTAGAAATCTAACAGCAAGTCAAACATTATCAGATATCAAGTAAGACATGTTCAAAAATCTCAAAGCAAGAATCAGAAGTAAAACCTGTTTTGTTCTACAAGCAAGTCAAATCTAGAAAACACGTCAAGGAATCTAGAAAAGCGAGGGTCAAACCTGTTTGACGAGAATGGCTTCGAAAGTGATGAGCATGAAGAGGGTGAACAGAGAGTAGTACCAGTACTCGTCGAGGCACCAGAGGCCCACGCAGAACACCTGAAACACAAAGAACGGTGCGGTCGCCCTCTCACGAAACAGCTCCCAGAACTCAGGCAGTGTCACGTCCAGCCTGCAGGAGTAGAGACACGGTGGGCGAGAGAGAGAGAGAGGGAGAGAGAGAGAGAGAGACGTGTCCATAATAGTGGTGTACTTTTCCAGGGGTTATGTTCTTGGGGAAAAGGAAAGGTGTCCTCATTAGAGAGGGGCTCTTATTTCGGGTGTCATTAGAGAGGGCCTCCATTGGGGGATAGAGGAAAAGAGACCTGTTCTTGCCGTAAGTCGTCCTGACTGCAGCGACCTCGCTATCCTCCCCATACCCCTGCCACGTGTGGTAGTCACGGAACGTCTTATTGACAGGGAACTGGAGCGGCTGGAACACACCCTCGCTGCCCAGCGTGTACTTGGTCTTCTGAAACATGAACCAGGTGAGCGGCTCTCGCGTGACCTTGTGCTGAGGAAGACAAGGGTTAAAACAGTAACATAGGTCTCAGACGTATGTAAAATTGTCCAAACCTTTTGCTTGACCAGTGGAACGAGTTCTGAGAATCCATTATTTGGTGTTGGCACAACTTTCAAAATTTTGGCCTTGTCCAGTGAGTTTACCTTAGATAGATAGGCAATGAGAGGGATAGTTTAGTGGTTGGTCCTTCTCCGTTCTTTTTCTCACTTTTTTGCAGGTGAGGAAGGCTCGGAAGTGGACGGACCAGACGCACGAGAGGACGGAGAGTATGTTCAAAACGGCCACCGCAGCTAGGGATATCAGGAGCGCCTCCCAGTGCTCGGTAAGTCCGTACACCTGCCACCAGCCAAGACACACGGCACCGTAGACTGCGAGGAAGGGCACCAGGTACCCGTGGAGGTAGACTGGAAGCGGTCGGTAGAGCGTTATTTCGCGTACATCGTCGCTGAGGTTCACCTGCCAAGCCATTGGGAACGTCACTCCAATTGGAGAGCACTACACGCTGATTTCAATTTTACTTTCCGTGACAGATTCGAATAAATAGAACACGAGTCGGATGTCTACTTCCTAGAATTTTTCCTGGCTAAAAATCGTTCCCTAGCTGATGACGCTCTCTCCTTGAGGGTTTCCTTTGGTGACTGACACATCTTCTTGGTTGCCAGAGTGAGATCCTCCCCGGCAACAACCCCCGCGACCTCTCTCTTCCTCTCGCAGTTGCTGAGTCTGTAGACGTCTATATCATGTAGTTGTGGGAGTAGTTCCTTCACCCAGGCATAGCGTATGGGGCACAGTGTCCTCATGTACGTCTTGGCAGTGTCCACCAGCTCATAGAACACGACCCAGTCCAGTTTCTCCTCCTGACCAAATAGAGCGGAGCTGGGGTGGATGTAGCACATGGTGCTGTGCCCGTCCATCGTTCTGAAGCTACGCTGGCCAGGCGAGAGCCTCGCTACACTCCCAAATAGTCCGTAGCACAGAGCCTGTCGTATACGTTGGCTGAGTGGGGCAGTAGGAGTTTCGTGTGTGTCTGTTTCTGGTTGTCTGTCCAGGAGAGACTGGAGCTGCTGGTGGATGCTTCGAGCGGTGTTGACGGCTCTCCAGTGGACATAGTGATCCCGGCACCACCACCGCATGTCGGCGCTGGAGGTGGCCAGTTGGTAGATGGTAAAGAGGGTTGAGAAATCGCTGCTCCCTCCAGACACCTGTGCCAGGTAGTTGTGTTTCTGGAGAGCTCTCTCGGCGTCTTTCGTGGAGCTGGGCCTGATCAAGACGCTCTCCACAGACAGCATCGCGACGATGGGCAGGACAACTTCCTGACAGGCGAGTGTCCTAGAGTGGAGAACTGCCCTGGCAAGACTTGGGAGCAGTGGAAACTGCACCAGCTGACGGCCTAAATCGGTCACGTGGCCATCAGCGTTGATGGCGCGGTAGAAAAACAGCTGTCTGAGGGCCTCGAGGACCATTTTTTCGTCTGGGGGATCGAGGTACTGAAACTCGACCACGTTCAGTATTCCCATGCACTTGAGGCTGAGGACGACACTAGTCAGACTGGTCCTCTTTATCTCCGGGACGGTCTCCCGTTCGAGACCCTCGAAGAATTTCGCGCTGTAGAGTCTGAAGCCTTTCCCGGGGCTTGTGCGTCCTGCTCTCCCTGCTCGCTGGATCGCCTCTGACTTTGCGATAGGCACGACTGAGAGGGTGTCCAGTCCGGTGCTAGGATTGTAGGCGAGTTGCTTAACGTATCCGCAATCTACTACGTAAACGACTCCGTCGACAGTGAGAGAAGTGGTGGCAATGTTGGTGGCGACAATGACTCGCCGGATCCCGGGCTCTCGACCGTGGAACACGGCCTGTTGTTGCTCTGTCGACATGGCCCCGTAGAGCGGGAGAATCTTCATCCCGCAAATCTCCTGACAGCTCACGTCGTGTTCGTAATCAATCTCCTCCGCCATTTTGAAGAGTCGGTTGCACATGGTCTCGATCTCTCCCTGGCCGGTGAGAAACGCAAGGATATCTCCCTCGGGGTGGTCCAGGTGTATCTCCATCACCACCCTGGCCATCTGGCTCATGTAGACCAGTTTTTTCCCGTCGAAACCGTCGTCCGGGCAACAGTAGTGGTAAGACACGGGGAAAGTCCGACCGGGGATTTCAAAAACAGGGCAAAAGTCGAAGAAGGTCGAGAACTGCTGCGAATTGAGAGTAGCAGACATTATCACGACTTTCAGCTCGCGTTTTCTCGCTTTCGTCTCAGAGAGTGGTTTCCCGAGAAGATTCTTGACTAACCCAAAGAGAATGTCTGTTGCCAGGCTCCGTTCGTGGGCCTCGTCCAGTACAACTACCCCATATCGGGACAGCTCTGGGTCGTCCAGTAGCTCTCTTAGGAGGCAGCCGTCCGTCATGTACTTTATGGTCGTGAGGCTCGAGCTGCAGTCGTCGAAACGAACCTGATACCCCACCTCACGACCTAGCTCTACTCCCGCCTCCTCGGCCACGCGACTGGCAACAGAGATAGCGGCCACTCGTCTCGGTTGGGTGACGGCTATGGCGGAGTCTTTCGACGCGAGCCCAGCCTCTCGGATGAACTGCGGGAGTTGCGTCGTCTTCCCGCAACCTGTTTCGCCCGTCACAACCATGCATCGCGACGACTTCACGGCTTCCACTAACTCCGCTCGGTAACTGTGGATCGGCAGACGTATGGAGAGAGGACCCATGCTCCCTCGTGCATCCCCGTCTCTACTCATCATCAACAGAGATCGAAGAGAAAAGAACGAAGACAAAAAGTGCGTTTAAAATTTTAAAATTTCTTCTTCCCTCTGCGTTTTGACCGAAATATTCTAATTATGCGAAAAGGTAATGGCTGTTCGGTTGAAGAAGGCTGGTGTACGTGTTCTGCTGGAATGCAATTCCTCCACCTTTCTCCAGCATTGTTCCCCTGCCAGCAGGTTTCCCATTGTGGCCACGCCCCCTACCAGTGTCCAAAGTAGACCTGTCGTAAGCAGAGAGAGGGGGCCGGGCCATACCTCATCTGAACTTACGACAGGGAGCAGGAGCAGTTCCATCGGTGCCAGAAGTGGGAGCAAGTACATCGTCAACCCATGTCGCTACCCTCCACACCTTCTGCACACCAGACTCTCCTGTGCAGTCACGCGGTGCCAGCCCCTCTCTATCTCTCGTGATCTACAACCTACTAGGAACATACAAGACTTTCACAAGCTGTCTCTGGTCCCACAACAGCAGAGCCGTTTCCCTGATTCCAGAGTCCCTCCTCTCCTCTCGTGTGTCTCCCTCCTCTGTGAGAGAGCCACACACCTCCCCCTCCCCCTCTCTCCCCCTCCTACCTCTTCTCCACACGACCAAGTGCTGACAGTCCTATCACCTACTTGGAATGTCCCTCACATGTTGGCTGCCATGTGTACATTCTCCTCCTCCTCTCTCTTGTTGTCCTCTTCACCTGACAAGCCGCCTGGTGATGACAGACCAACTGCAGCACAGATGGCGATTGTCCTTCTCAAACTAAGAGAAGAGGTGTTTGCATATGAAAATTTTGCAGAGAGAATATTTTCCAAATTGTCCCTGCCAACAGGTTTACACACCACAACTCTAAAACTAAGAGACTCTGCCTTTTTCCTTTTCCCACTAAACAGTATTTTGCTAGCTAATTCTGCTAAAAATTAGTTAATCAGATTTCTGACACTCAGATACCATCGTTCTTTGACGGGCACCACAGTACGGACCTGTATGCAGCCGACGTGGTGTTTGAGAACTCACTGGGACCCAAATCCTGGACCGTCCAGTAAGCCAAACAGGTCAAACCGGAACACTAACTGGATTTGGCCTGGATTTCAGAGGCTGCACTGCCTACTCTGCCCTACTGACTATCTGGAGACTGGGAGTGAGGACATGTTTCACACACACTCAGCTGGACCTGCTCAAAATTTCAAAGGACGTGGAGCAGGGAAAGATAGAGGCAAGATGGCGGGCACGCGGGAGACCCAGGGCTCCGTGGAGAGCTAAAGAGAGGTGAGACGAAGAGAAAGGGAAAAAACAACCGTTAGAATTTTTTTCAGGATTATCGTCGAGGCTTTTTCCACTTTCCAAGTTGGAGCTGATGGGAACATAGCCATTCACAAAGTGGACAAGGTCAGCTCATTATTGTGTAAGCATGTCTTGTGACTGTCACATGACACTCAGGTGATGCCTGGAGGGAAGGAACCTAATAGAGTGATGTCATGGCTGGCTCGAGTGGGCGTAGCACTCATTCCATCCCCCCCTCACCCATCCATTGGGGTCACAAGAACATCACATGACATCCTGCCCCATAATGCATAGTATTACATCGTGATTTGAGCATGTCAATGAGCATGTCAATGATTTTCATCTTCAGCGATACAAAAATCACCAAAAAAGACAAATTGACAAAAATCACCAAAAGGAACGGAAAGATAATGTATTACACAATGTGAGTGAGTGGGAGAGAGAGAGAGGAATAGGAGCAAGAGATTTAGTATCTGAGGTCCAACTGATGCTGTGAGATAAACCTAAAGAGGGTGGTATGTATATATAATATATACAGTGGATATGAATTGGTCTGAAGTACATGTTACACAACACATCACCTATATAGTGCTTATTTCGGCAGGTTTTTCACTGCAACTCATTATAACCAGCCACTGACACATAAATGTGTCCAGAGCCTCCATAAGTCCATTACTGGGGGGCTATATATGTATAATACTAGGTGTTAATAATTATGTTATATGTACATCAATTTCTGCTTATTTACGGAGATATAACCTATAGCGTCCAAAGGGTCAAGACCAACATTCTATGCTTGCGGTGCTCTAAACTTGCTTCGAAATGTTCTGCCTTGATACAACAAAGCATGTTCTTTCATGCTCTGACCTGTCCAGTGTCTCCCAGTACCTCATGACAGACTGCTTGTCCAAGTGCCGTCTGTTCTGACTGATCTGTGATATATTATATAGGGCGTAATAATGCATAAGGAGAGATGCAAAACCAACCCTGACACGGTGGGGTATCAGGGAGCGGAGATAGGGTTCAAAAAGAGGGGCTCAATAAATCATTTTTGTACACAAAAGCAAATAAAAACATACTAATCGAATGCCAAAGCTAGCGGCAGGAAGCGTCCTCAAAAAGTGGGGGTGCCAAAGCACCCCCTGCCCCCCTAGTATCTCCGCCCCTGGATATGCCACAGTACATAGGGCTAATAAACTAAACAAGTGACTGTCCTTAGTACTGTAAAATGTAGCAGTTATATTCTGCCACACTTGTCTCACTTGAACGAGGTGAACGTCCCATTTCTGGATGTTAGGGTCCATTCGACTCTCCTCGAACCTCAAGTGAAACGCCTTTACTGGAAGGAGGAATGGAACCGGATATGACAGGAGGTGGTGGGCCTGGGGGGCTGGTTGTGACTGACTTTTTGAGAAGATGTTGACAGGGGAGCCGTCGCTGGTGAGTCCCGGCCAGCCCTTGAACTGCCAGGCTGGTCCAGACACAAACACCGCCACCACCTGCTTCCTTCAGTTTCATAATGGGAGAGAAAGACTTTGTTGGTTATATTATTATAATCATGACGGAAACGAGATTTAGTTGCAGGTAAAAATTTCAACTAATTGAGATCATCACTGAACATAAAAATTTACATATTGTGGTTCTCAAAATTACATAAACCTTTTCATGGGTTTTGCTCCAAAAGAAAACAGAAAGGATTCGCAGGCAATTCACACAACAGGCGAAGGTTTCTACTCACGAATTCCCCAGCCACACAGTATACGGAACCTCTCACCATTCTGGAGGTTTGAGTCTCATGGGGCTGTCAGTGACGCGGTATGGAATGGAGACTGTCTGTCCGGGCTGGGTGGGGTGTGGCTTCCTTCGCTGAATCACCATGTCCATCTGCCGTTTAACCCCCAACCTCTTCATCTCCTCCGACGGCAAAAACCTAATGAGAATGGGGTTAATGCAGACTCTAATTGGAGAGCACTCTGCTAACTTGTATTCCTCAAGTAGTGTCTTTACGTTTAACATTGTGATGAGGGAGGTCGTGGCTGATGGTACTATGATAATGGGCGTCCGGGAGCGGTGGTCTGGGGTAAACAACAAACAAACAAACATTAATGTTGTCTGGAGTAAACAACAAACAGATAAGGAGATCTGGAGCACAAAACCAAAAACATACTAAGGAGATCTGGAGGCAAACAAACAGATATGGTTGTCAAGAGTAAACAACAAACAAACAGATAATGGGACCTGGAGTAAACAAACAAACAAACAGTGAGGTTGTCAAGAGTAAACAACAAACATTAAAGCAAAAGTAGGGTGTGAAGGACATCAGTATTACCTCTTCTGGCTGGTTTGGCAACATCTTGCTGGACAGGCTCTAAAGCAATTCGAGAGGTACAAAAAATTTAGCCAAAAAAGTAGAGAAAGTCTCACGTCTCTATCTATCTATCCTCTCTCTATGGCTGGTATGCTACACACTATAATGTCATACTCTGCATCTGGGTCTTTTTTGATTGGAGCATTGGCTTGGGCTTTGAAACTGCCTCCTGTATATACGTAGTCACAAACGAAGAGAGAACGAACGCTCACTAACACCTGACAAAATCACAGTGTTATAATTATTACTAACTCACAGTCACGCTCTTGAGAGTCAGTCCGTGGTACGTGCTGGTGTGTCAATCTTGAACTCCCCAGTCTCTGAGAACAGATAGAGAGGAGAGGTAATAATCACAAGAATGTCATACTCCATAAAACAGGGATGAAATAAATGTGTCGGGCTTTACAATTTCAATAGGGCCAAGTGCAACAATAAGGTTTCTATTTATAGCAACATTTTCTAAATTTAGCCCTCACCGTATACTGCTTTAACACAGTACTAAAGGTCAACTGAGACATTCTCTATCAAACTGAGCACGTCAAAACGACGCAAAAGCTTCTCACCTTCTTGACCACGGAATTTCTCCTGCCCATATCGGCTGTACCCGTGAGTGGGCGGAGCCTGTGTCTGTGGTTGTCGTGGCTCCTCAGGGACCGGCTGTTTCCCTCCACCCCCTCCCCCCACCTCTCCCCCTCTCCCCTCGTCTCTAGCCTTCACCGACTGCAGCAAACTGAAGATGTTGGAGAAGTCCTGAAACGAGAGAGGAAAGAGAGAGAGGTTGTGAATAGTTAAAAGGGTTAGATTACTATTTATGGGAATGGAATGTCTTTGATGGCAATGCTGGACATCCCTCAAAAAGGAACAAACAATTGGTGGCCAGCAGTCGAAATGTTAAAACTTGGCAATATAGTAGCAAAATTTTGTTGCTCAGCCACCAAAAATTGTACTGAGTGCATTTTCTTCGAAATTTTTAAAGTCTCAATACCTTTCCGGTGCTCTGGAGGGCGGATGATCTTGTTCTGTGAACTCTCTCTTTCGACATTATCTCCTTCGTCGCATCGTTTATGAACATGCGATCCTACAGAAAGCATAGCAAGTCTTTCACTTAACGGAGAGAGCACATGTCACAAGTCGTGCATCAATATGAAGAACAGTGTGGCAAAAAGTTAGAAGTTGGTAGGAATCTTGCAATATTATAATGGTCGTAAAAATGGAAGCCTAATTTACATTCTTGCACTGGGCCCTATTGTGAACTGTCTAAACTATATTCAACTGGCTGCCTGTGTAGAGACACCCGACTGAGTCAGTTACTCACAGGGCCACCAGCAAGATCGTCCCCTGGCTTAATGGTGGCTCTCTTCTTCGCCAGACGTTTGGCCTTGAATGCAGCGATCTTTTCTCTTGAGATGGCGTCACTCAGAGAGTGGACCTGGTCAGTGATGGCTCCCCCTTTCCCCTTCGCTTCCAACTTCTTCGCTAGTCTTTGCTGAAGAAGAAAGAAATTCAGATTTTATCTAAAAAGTGGAAAATTGCCACAGTGGGGGAAAAAAGACGCCCGATGTGGGGCTCGAACCCACGACCCTGGGATTAAGAGTCCCATGCTCTACCGACTGAGCTAACCAGGCTTGTTGATAAAGGTCCGTGAATTTTACAATAATAGATTGCCAAACCCCAACAGTGCTTAGGTGCCAATGTGCTATTAGTAGATACATACATACCTTGTCAGCTTCACTCTGTGGTAGTGCATCAAATGTCCAAGAGGAGGAAAAGAAGAAAGAGTGAAATTTGCGCCGATAGAAGTAAAGGGCCTACCTCGATACGAGGTTTCTTGGCTGCTTCTGGCTGAGCCTCTTCATTGGTCCTCTTGGGAGCTGGGTTTAGTAGATAACAGTATACATATGTAGCAATAGAGTAGCAATAGAGTAGCCCTCTTGTGAGCTAGATAAGACAGCACTCACAGTATGCATATGTAGTAGCAATAGAGTAGCAATAGAGAGAGAGGGGGAAAGTGAGAGAGAAAGAGAAAGAGCCACTGACCTGGGGCCGGCATGCCCATCTCCAGGTGAACGCTCTTATCAATACTGGGAGATGTGTCTGCAACACACAGACAAAGAACTTTACTAAAACACTCTCCCAACTTAAAAAAAATTTCCCCTTGAATTTTGTGGTTGTATTGCAATATGCGTTGCAAAATTCTCGTTGCTACTGAATTGCATTGGCTTCCTGCCCCGATCTCCCGCTATAATTATACAGTGTCTATCATCGTACCCAGCTCTCCATTTAGATACTTCAGCAGATCCTGGAAGTCACCAGAACAAGAGAGTAAAAGAAGGTAAATAGCCCTATGTCGCTAGCACTCACTCGTCTGTCGGGAAACTTGATGACTGGAATGTTTTGCGCCTGTGGAAATGGGGAAGTCCCCCTCAACAGTAATGATGTAATGGTAAATAACTAACCCCAGCCCTGGCAACGTAGCTTGGGTGAGAGAGACTGACATTCTTCAGGAGAAACAGCAGAGACTCTAGAGTGTAGTACTCCTTCAGACCCGCCTGCCCAGACCTGCGTGGGAGGTTCCATATGCTCATCACGTGATCCCGACGAATTTACCTGTAGGAGAGGTAGTTGGTCTTGGCGTTCCCGGGCCAAGCAGTCTGGTCGAATATGATTAGGCCATCTCGTTCCACTATCTCCTTCTTCTGCAGGTTATACTGTCGCAGGAGCGTCAAACAGTCTGCCATCTGACTCCTTTTTGCGCACACCAAATGGCGATCTAATTTAGTGAAAGCCTTTTTCAATATTGTTCAATTAGCGCATGCGCAAATACAACAAAATCCCGGGGGCTTTCCCTTCAAACTGCAAGAAGCTAGCCGATCGCCATGAAGCTGGGTCCTGTAGAGAGGTTAGTGGCTACACTAGCCAGGAGTATTACGAGAGCTCAGATGGACGAGATGCTGGGTAAAGTCAGACTTCGACCCGTGGGACAGGGAGCTCGTGTCGAGCCCTGTGGACATGCTCGTGAAGCTCAGGAGAAGACATGGGAGCCACTCGAAGTTCCTGGCGGCATGTCTGAAACTACTGGAGAATGTGAGCGACGCCGAGCAACTGTCCGAAACCGTACGCACCTTTAGAGATACTCACAGGAACATTGACAACGAGCGGTCTGCCCCGGTCCTATGCAACGGTGCTAGACCAGTAGGCAAAGATCAAAGGAGGGCCTTCAACAGTTCGCTCCTTCAGATGGGTCGGAAATTACGCCAATATGATTTCGAGATCATCAAAGCCATCAGTCCATTGCAGGAATCCCAGAAAGAAAGGGGTGACACGGGACAGAAACTTTTCCACTCACTAAAAGAGTCTGGTCGTATTTCGCCCAACGACACCGAGCTTCTCCACGACATTTTCAATCTCATGGACCTAGTGGAACCTCTGAATGTCTTGCGAGAGTACGAAGGAAAGTTTCTGACCCACGACTGCCACCGTCAGCGCCTCCATTCTCCGGCGCTTCTCAACAGCCACCGTACCCGACCACGTACCCTCCTCACCGTCCACCAAACACTGGCTACTCCCCTCTCCCTACTGGCTGGTCACAGGTACCCAGAACTGAGGCAGTTCCGGAGACCGGCCAACCACACACACTCTACAGCAGCAGACCTCTTGACTACATCGACGAGACTTATCCTAGGCCTACCAACTCTCACCACTCTCCTGCCCCGACTAAACCTTCCTTCAGCAGCTTACCTGCACCCTCCACATCAGGCTGCAGTTCCTACAGCTCCAGGGGATGTCAGCACAGGAGAGGGAGTGAGGAGCACTCACAACAGCTCTCCAGTGATCCCTACCAGAGCGGATCTTCCCCTCAGTGGAACAGTCGTGTTCGTCACTTCCAGACGCAGGTATCTCAAACTCCTTCACCAGGTGGACATGGATCTATGCTCCAGCCATCGGTCACTTCTCCACATGCTACCAATACTGTTCCTTCACTCAGTCAACCTTCCGCCCATCTTCCCCAGAGCACCCCACCCGGCAATCGTCACCCTCTGCCGCCAGCCAACATTACCCCTTATCTTACTCCTCCCGCCACTTCAACCACCCACCCCGCCCCTTCAGCTCCGCCCGAACATGACACCTTCCCAGCGCCAATATCTGCTAAATCTACCGGCAACCACTTCTCGCTCCCTCCTCAACAAAATCCTCTTCCTGCCGGCTTTTTCGGTCAAATGTCCCCCTTGCAACCCTCGAAACACCAACACACTCTCAGCAACATCTGCATCCAGTCTCCCTATCGTACCTGCTGGCAACGACAAACTATTGGCTAGACACTCTAGGGAGATGGGGGAACAGCATTATTCTCCACCCAGCAGGCAACCACAACATGGCGTCACTTCTCGGCCATCTTCACAGAGAAGCGTCTCCTCTCAGGGCGACATTAGAACCAGTGTCGGTGGCTCTGGGGATAACTGCCCCTCCATTAGCAATCCAGCACCGAGTGAGCAAGAACTCAACGCACAGAATAATGGGATTGACAATCGCAGCTCTGCGATCCACACAAGATCATACGACACACCTTTTCAACCACCAAACGCTACCAGTTCCCTTGCCCAGGCCTCTTATCCGGGCGACCTATCTCATCGCGTGTGCTGTCCCCCTCCCCCCACCCCTTCCCGCTTCACTCAGTGCAGTCTGTTAGTGTCTGGGGCGTCCTTTCCTCCCCACTCAGACCTCACCGGAACACACTACGAGACCTCCAACCCTCCCAACACAGCCAACTCTCAATACGTGTCCCCAAACTCCAGCTACGACCGTTCCTCCTGTAGCTCATCTTCCTTCTCCCCCAAATCCTCGGCCGGTGGGCCAGTTCTAGTGGCAGGCCACGACCCCAGCACTCACAGTCTTGTGGACAGACACAAAATGAGTGAAGCGGCCAAGCCCTCTAGCTCCTTTGCCACCATCCCTGAAGCAAGCGCTGGAGAGGAAGAAGGAGAGGAGAGACGCAGGTTGAGTGAGAGCGAGTCTTCTTCTGAGAGTAGTTTCGGGAGGAAAACGTGCGAGAGAAAAGCAAAGCTCAGAAACATCTTCTTCCTCTAGCGAAGAGGACGACGAGACGAGCATGAGATCGAAACGGTTACGAACGGAGTCCTCTGCAGGAAGCAGCAAGATACGCTCTTTTCTGTATAAATTGATTCCCTTCTCGTGGGGCAAGAAGAATACTTCGGCCTCCGAAAATGACTCGGACGGTATATTTGTAGATGCTAAAGAAGAACTCTAACACTCATAGTCAAATTGTATGTATATACATGTCACAGCTTTTATATAGGCACCGTAAACATTTTATCCTTTATGTGTGGAGCGTAAATTTTTAGCTGATGATATAAGCGGGAACGATAGTTGACTGATAAAAAATTGGCAAGATAGTGGGCTATCTGTCTTTTTCGCTTGCAGAGTGCTGTTCCCTAATATGGATGAGGGCTGGATCTGAAGAGTCGATGTGAAAGAACTGCCTCTTTTTCCTTTCCTTCAACTCTCTGATCTGTTCAGTTGAGGAGATATGAGCATTGTGAACTAGTCTAGTCTTGCACTTAGTCTTTTGAACTAAGAATGTATCACACGCAATACATAAGTGGTGGTAGACAAAGCTCAACTTTAGTTGCTCGAAATTAAAAAAATTATGGTAAAACAGTCACAAGGGGTCAACTCACCCACGAAAAGCAGTGTCTTTCCGTCGGCCATTGATACACAAACACACCGTAATACACTACAGCTGCATGGAAGATAGTGTAAAGGGTAAAGCCGGCTTAGAAGACAGGTACAACATTGGCTTACCGGCTGAAACTACATAGCTGAATATTTTGAGGCCTCTCTGATGGTTTGGGAATACGAGCGGCTTGAGCAGGTCGGGATTATTGCCGATAGGAGGCTTAGTACCAGCTCCCATTTTGGTTTCTAATTGTAGCGCACCGAGTGACCTGCGCTCTAATTGGAGAACGCTGCGTCACATGAAAAAGTTCGGCTTATGCGTGGCTGCTTCTTCCCAGCGTCTCTGTGGGCTGCGGTAGAGGAGGAGAGACCTAACTAGCTGTCAGACGTCGGCTGTGTGTGTTGGAGGAGCCATGGGTAACGAGCACGGAAAGGCTGGTGGGGGAACGGCCACGCCGGCCGGGATTCAGTCTATGGACGAGGCCCTTCAGAAGAGATTCGCGAAGGGAATACAGTTCAACAGTGAGACAGTGGGAGGGAGAGAGTGTGGGAGGTTGAGATTGATTAGTGTATTATTAGCTAGTCAGCTGAAGTGAGCCAAATAAGGTGCTTTCTACATGGTAATACATTTCTAGAGGCTATTTATTGCGCCTGGTGCTTTGCCTGTCTGCAGTGAAGATAGTACTGAAAGGAGACCGCAACACAGGGAAAACCTGCCTCTTCAACAGAATGGGAGGGAAGCCCTTCCAGGAGGCCTATATTCCCACCATGGAAATACAGGTCGGTCCAGTATTACAACCCAGTACAATACTGGTTTGTTTGGTTTGGCAACCAGTCAGGTATATACCTTTAGCACAGGCTCTTATTGTACTAATATCTATGTATGTACGTCCCACAGGTCACCAGCATCCTATGGAGCTATAAAGGTATGTACGTAACTAACAGAAGCGAATTAGTGAACGTCGAAGTAATGCCAGTTTCTGACTTTTACTGCTCGCTTTTTAGCATGCATTTTGCGTTTAAGTCTGTGTGTCGAAAATACGAACGCTGTACATTGCTTGCTTCTCAAAATTATCCAGAATTTTCCCGTCTCTTTAGTTACCAGTGATACTGTCAAAGTTGAGGTGTGGGACGTAGTAGACAAAGGTGGGTGTGGCTCAGGTGATTAGCGGGCGTGGTTACGAGCTAATTGTGCGTATCTGAGTAGGAAAGGTGCACAAGAAGGAGGCGAAAGGAGGATTGAAGATATTCAACACCACTCCGGACGAGGAGGAAGAAGAGGAGGGAGAGGGGGAGGGAGGAAAGAAGGTGCTTGATGCCACTTTTCTCAATGTCTACAAAGGTTGCAACGGTGTCGTGTTGGTTTTTGATATGACCAAAATGTGGTCAGTTCCCTCATTTTTCTCTCTCCCTCTCTGTAATTTCAAATCCTCTCTATAATTAGGACATGGAAGTACGTTGAGCGGGAGCTTCCAAAAGTACCCTTTGACATTCCGGTCATAGTTCTGGTGAGCCTAGGGTCATGTGATAGTCACGTGATTCTTTTGTGTTGGTCATGTGACAGGGAAACTTCAAGGACCTTGGTGAGCATAGAGTTATCACGCGAGATGAGATCCGCGTTTTTCTAAGGTCCGTCAGGTGAGTGTTGTAGCTTATATGTGCATATTTTTACTGGTCTGCCTCCTTCGCCACCTCTCCTCCACACCCTTTCTCCCCCTTCCTCGTTCCCCACACTCCCCACAACCCCCCTCCTCCCCTTCTCTCCACACTCCCCACAACCCCCCTCCTCCCCTTCTCTCCACACTCCCCACAATCCACACACTCCCCACAATCCCCACACTGCCCAACAATCCACACACTCCCCACACTCCGCCTCTCACCCACCAGACCTGATGGGTCATCAGAAATCCTGTATGCCGAGAGCTCAATGAAGAATGCGTTTGGTCTCATGCACCTCCACAAGTTCCTCAGTGTCCCCTTCCTTCAGATGCAGGTATATATATATATATATATATGAAAACACAATGGTATCAATAAACTACATATATACAGGAGCAATAAACTATACTCATTGCAATATGGGAGAAATAAACTAATGCACTCTTGGATTATGGGAGCAATAAATGTGCCATTTCGTGAAGAAAAATCGTCCTCGAAAAGTTTTTTTCCCTCGCAATTTCCTTTGTCTTTATGCGTTTGCATCTTTACACGTCCACACTAGATATGTTTATGTTTGCAAATGACAGCGACGAGAACTATTTAAAACTGCCTGTTCTCTTGCTGCCTCACAATAAGAGGGAGAGAGTTGATTATCTCTGTGTGTGTGTGTGACTTCTCTACTGCAGCAAGACATGCTGCTGCAGCAGATCAAGGTCAGCAGGGAGCAGATGTTGGCCGCCCGAGATGAGCTCTCCACGGCCTCCACAACCGAGGACCAGAACTACGATATGTAAGACTAACAAACACCATTGACCAGAAAACAACTATTAGACTATGTCCCTCCAACCAGTCTATAATATTTACGTGGTATGCTCCAACAAACACCATTGGACCTACAGTGGCCCCGAAACAAAGCTAGTTACATTGCATGAGCCGGTTGTACAGTATGCCATATGATATAGCAGGAGATATAGAGGAGCAAACGAGCAGGAGACTAACAGCTAGTGGTGTCAGTGCATTAGTCACAAGACCTCTAATGTAGCTGCGCTGGTATATACATACACTCAAAGTATATACGTATACTACTGTGTATTATATTATATATACACTGCTGATGTACGTATGTAGATGCACCAATACCTACTGCTTGCCTTGTCTGAGTGGTGAGCTGTAGCGTCTTGTCCCCTGGCAAAGTGTCGCTACATTCTGTCCACTTACTGACAGGCCCATCAGCCTATACCTACAACCGCGATCTCCGCAACAGCTCAGTTTATTCCGCGTATCAGTCTCTCTCTCACTCACTGTCTCTGTCGTGACTGCAACCCAGGTTCCTGGCCAGACTGCAGCAGGCCGCAGAGCAGAGAAGGAAGAAGGCCCAACAACAGAGAGAAGAGGAATCTGATCTTTGCCTGTGAGTTTGGCGACACTTGTAGCCATGGAACCCAGCACTATGTTACGTCTTGTGAGTTTGCAACGTTTATAGTCACGGGTCACTTGAAAACCAGTACGTATGTAGCGGTGGTGGGTCAACACATGAATGGAATCTCGTATAAAGGGCACTCTGAATAAAGCCTCCGAATAAAGCCTCCGAATATTTAGCCTCTGAATAAAGCCTCCGAATATTTAGCCTCTGAGCCTCCGAATATTTAGCCTCTGAATAAAGCCTCCGAATATTTAGCCTCTGAGCCTCCGAATATTTAGCCTCTGAATAAAGCCTCCGAATATTTAGCCTCTGAATAAAGCCTCCGAATAAAGCCTCCGAATATTTAGCCTCTGAATAAAGCCTCCGAATATTTAGCCTCTGAGCCTCCGAATATTTAGCCTCTGAATAAAGCCTCCGAATATTTAGCCTCCGAATAAAAAGAAAGTTCTATGTAACAGACCATGTACAGTGTAAGTGTTTTCCTTGACAAAGACAGTAGTCAGAATTTCTAATGAAGTGTTGAAAATCTACATTTGTATAATTATGTGTGTGGATGTTGCCTCTCCCTCCAGCTGGTACCCAGAGTGGGATGGAACCTGAGCGGACTTCCATCCGCCGATCCTCTTCCTCCGCCTCTTCCTCCACCCACCAGGGGACCACACCCACTCCAGGCATCGCCACGACGACAGCAGAGCAGCAGCCGAGCACTGCGAAGAAGAAATCAAGACTCTCGAACTTTCTCTCGTCGTCCTCCAAGAACAAGAAGGAACCAGAGCCTAACAAAGGTAAAAAGGGCAGCAGCATAAATTGTAGGGAGAGGAAAATTTTGGTTGGGAGGGTAAAATTAATTATAGGCAGAGAAAATTTTGGTAGATCATTCATGTAAGCCAAGAAGAGTGTTAGTGTAGAGGCAGAGTGCTGGTGTTCTGTCTCATTCCCAGACTCGGTTCCAGTGTCTGGGGTACGTGGAACCAGTGTCAGCACCACCACTGACATCGAGGAGTTTGTACCTGATGGAGACGTGGACTCCTTCCTGGAGGAGGAGGGAGGTGGATGAGGGAGGAGAGAGTGAGGAGGATGAAGAGGATGAGAGGTAGGGAAGAGAAAGTGTGTGTGTGTGCAAGGTTAGAGGAGGGGAGGGTTAATTTCCCACCATTGACCCCTTGCAAAAGATCTCCTGACGTCCAATTCATTCATATGCCTTAAGCCTTCTTTTGTACCTGTGCTTCTCCTCAAGTTTACAAGAATGTGGGATGTTAAAAAGGACTGTATATGAAACAGAAAAGTGAGCATTTTGGTTCTCAGAGTGCGTCCTTTATTGAGAGTGTTATATTATATTATGGTGTCCTTTATTTGGAGTGTCTTTTATCAGAGTACATATAGGAATATAGTATAATTAATTATACTTTTCGATTCATTGTGTGTGTGATCATCTCCAGCGAGACTCATCCGGTGGTAGCCAGAGACGAGGATCTGTCCAGTCTAGACGAGGAGGAGGCTGCCACGCCTCCTTCCCCTCCCAAACCAATCTCCCAGGAGCCGTCTCCAGTGGTGGTCAGACAAAACGACTCGTCTTCCCAGGAGCCCTCCCCGGTCGTCAGACGAGACAAACCCATTAAACGGCTCAAGTCTGCAAAGGAGGTGGAGCTAACGGAGAGCGAGGAAGAAGAGGAGGAGGAGGAGAACACGGTGCCCCGATCGACTGTGAGGGACAAACAAAGAGATATAGAGCTGTTCTGGGGCAAGACTGGAGCGGAAGGAGCCAAGGACGAAGATGAAGCCAAACCGAAAGCGAAAGCCAAGAGTGGTGGGCTCTTATTAGAGTGGGCAGTCCCAGAGCAATCGCGACCAAACCCATCAAGAAGAAGGAGTCCCCGAAGGGTTCACCCGATGTCTCGGAGGGGAGGAAGGAGAGGAGGAGAAAGTCGTCGAAGAAGGGGTCCAGCAGTAAGAGAAAGAAGGAAGCAGCTGCTGGTGCCAGTAACGGAACGACAGGTGCTAATGATCCTTTCGGAGTCAGTGCACTGGATGCGTGGCTCAACTCGGAGGTAATAAGACAGTATTATGGGGTGGCCTTAGCGTTGTGGGGGAATGTGACTGAATAATACCAGGCAAGTGCAGTGCGATACTCCAGAAATGACTATATATGGAAATGGGCCGGTGTTTTTTTATTATCGTGTGGTCCTCTGGAGTTCATGTTAACGAGGTTCCACTGTAAGTATAATACCTTGCCCTATTGCTGTGTAACTCTTGGTATGCACTGTGTCTGTTCCCAGGACATTCTGCAGCCGACAGTGGCAAAGGGGGGAAGGGGAGGAGGGGGAGGAGAGGTGGGGGAGGAGGCGGGAGAAGAACCAGAAGACACCTCCTCCCACAAGAAGACACGGAGACACAGGGACAGAACGTCGTCCGACGGAACAAAACACAAGAAGAAACACAAGTCAAGAAACTCGGCGAAAGATGCAGACCAGACTTTTTGATATCACAGACTTCCTGCACCTAGCTTAATACCAGGGGGGGATGGGTTGCCCCCTGTAATTAGTGGTACTAATTGCGTACCCCTTACATTGAAGATATCGTTTTCAAGTTGTGGTCGATATCTTCGAACTCTGCTATGCGCATTGCATCGTTTTCTTATGCACAAACTACATGTTGTGTTTATACATAATCAATGCCAGCTGTGAAAGTAATTACGTTCTTCCATAATAAGTTTCTATAATAATAGCACACACACAGACAAAGTTAAAGAGAAGGGATCGAACATATGTCAATGGCTATAGTTCTTTGGTCTAGCAATCACTGGGTCTTTTGGAGTTCCAGCAGGTACCTGAGGGTCAAAGGTCATGTAAAGCCACGCCCACCTAATTGGTAATTCTATATTCACCCCTTGTGGGCGATGATGCCTCTCATGTGGATGATGGAGGTGTAGCGAGTCGCCCAGCTGTATCCCCACTGGTTGTCGTGGTTACCACAGACCCCGCCCACCAGGGCCTGGAGCTGCGGGGGAGGGAGGATGTCCCTCTCGTCGTTGTGGGTATTGAGAGTCACGTTGTGGTTCTTGGAGAAATCCTTCAGATCCTGCGTAGTTGGGAGAGATTGGCCGTATTTAAATGGTTAATACCAGTGCTGTACACCATACTGCAGCATAATACATACATACTAGAATTAATGACATTTTTGGGTGAGCGAATGCGAGAGTTTCTCGTGTGGCACACACAACAGCGAAATTTCTATCCGTTTCGTCTATTTCGAGTTACCCAAAACGTGTTCTTTACAGAGAGGTGTTCTTTATTTGGAGTGTCCTTTTACCATTACAGTGGCTCCACGGATTTTCGTACAATTCTACGGAATTCTCATTGTGGCTCACAGATTCAGCAGGCTAACAGAAATATCTCTCGGCAGAGGTGAGAAGAGCACTAGAGATGAATTCTATAACTTGCAGCTGCTCATCCCGGACTATGAATACAGTTATCCCACCTCCCACAGTGACACCTCTGGACAAGAGACTCGGGTCACCGAAACTCTCCTTCATTCAGTGGACACACTAGTGTATTAGTATGGGGCAGAACCAAATAGAGAGGTCTGTCCCTTATTCGGAGGTTCCACTGTATATTCCACACTCACCTGTGGTATAATGCAGCAGTGGGCCAAGTTTAGTTGATCCGTCATTGGTTTTATCTGTAGGTGTGTGTGTTTGGGGTCATCAGTAATAGACTCTGAATCCAATTCAGTTCAAGGTGAGAAGATAGGGAGGGAGGGAGGAGAGTGTAGGAGGGAGGGAGGATGGGAGGAGGAGAGAGGAGAGGAGAGGGGAAGATGAAATTGAAACTAACAGTGGCCCAGCTAAGTAGCTCCTCCAGTTGCGGTCTCATCAAATCGGCCACACCCACAGTCTCAGTCACTCCATCATGCACCAACTGCTCCACACTCTTAATTATACAACCATAATATGGACACCAAAAAACAGGTGACATCACACTCCATTGTAGCTCTTAATAAAACACCTTTTCAATAGACAATAGAGGATACTACTTAGTACTAACACAGTCAACTGTTACACTGCTAAACTAGGACAACATATGTGTAGTGCTATAAATATAGTCGCAAATGTAGTGAAAAAACAGCTGGGCTCGCTTCACTCCAAAATATATACTCCTTTCTCAACAACCAGTCGCGAGGAAGTCTAATCCTCACCTTCCAGACTTCCTTCATGGCAGCCATGTTCTCTGGGCTGTGGGGAGACGGAGGGAAAGCCACTACTACAGAGTCGACATCTTGGAGACCCAGCTCCTCCAGGGCTGAGGGGAGGAGGGAGAGGGAGAGAGAGGGAGGACAAACATACAGTTGAGCAATGATTTCCACAGGGAGAACCATGTTGCTAATTCCATCTGATGCGTGTGTCTGTTGATACTATACTGCACGCCTACGTTCTCTAACAAATGTACAAGTGCGTTTTAAGGCCCGCTCAATAGATGATCATCTGTCATACTCACTACACCACTGATTACCGGAAGTGAGATTCGTTACACATACCAACCTACTATATACCACATTACTATAGCCAAAACTGAAGCCCTGCAAATCACGGTCCTATTTCCTGTGCTGCATGTAACCAGCCAGAAACTGGAGACACCTGTGTATATATGTCACATTGACAGCATGCACACAAATAATCAGCTTGTTTCTAGTTGCTCAAACGAACCACAATGAAAAAGGCTCCTTGGCACAATTTCCAACCCTAGGTTTGTAAAATTAAGAGAGAGAGAGAGAGACTAACAGGTATAGACTGCAGTGCGGACAAGGTTGCCGTCCCAGTCAGACAAAAACACTTTCAGAGAGAAGACGAGTCCCTTCCTCTCCTCCCTCCCCACTTTGTGCACCAACGCAGAATTCCTAATTGAGAGCTCTGATCTCGACTACATAGTGAGGGTGGGAGTGAGTCTGACCTAAAGAAACAGGGAGTGAGTCTGACCTAAAGGAAACAAGGGAGTGAGTCTGACCTAAGGACACAAGGAGTGAGTCTGACCTAAAGAAACAGGGAGTGAGTCTGACCTAAAGACACAAGGGAGTGAGTCTGACCTAAAGAAACAGGAGTGAGTCTGACCTAAAGAAACAGGGAGTTAGTCTGACCTAAAGAAACAGGGAGTGAGTCTGACCTAAGGACACAAGGAGTGAGTCTGACCTAAAGAAACAGGGAGTGAGTCTGACCTAAGGACACAGGAGTGAGTCTGACCTAAGACACAAGGAGTGAGTCTGACCTAAAGAAACAGGGAGTGAGTCTGACCTAAGGACACAAGGAGTGAGTCTGACCTAAAGAAACAGGGAGTGAGTCTGACCTAAAGAAACAGGGAGTTAGTCTGACCTAAAGAAACAGGGAGTGAGTCTGACCTAAGGACACAAGGAGTGAGTCTGACCTAAAGAAACAGGGAGTGAGTCTGACCTAAAGAAACAGGGAGTGAGTCTGACCTAAAGAAACAGGGAGTGAGTCTGACCTAAAGAAACAGGGAGTGAGTCTGACCTAAGGACACAAGGAGTGAGTCTGACCTAAAGAAACAGGGAGTGAGTCTGACCTAAAGAAACAGGGAGTGAGTCTGACCTAAAGACACAGGGAGTGAGTCTGACCTAAAGAAACAGGGAGTGAGTCTGACCTAAAGAAACAGGGAGTGAGTCTGACCTAAAGAAACAGGAGTGAGTCTGACCTAAAGAAACAGGGAGTGAGTCTGACCTAAGAAACAGGGAGTGAGTCTGACCTAAGGACACAAGGAGTGAGTCTGACCTAAAGAAACAGGGAGTGAGTCTGACCTAAGGACACAAGGAGTGAGTCTGACCTAAAGAAACAGGGAGTGAGTCTGACCTAAGGACACAAGGAGTGAGTCTGACCTAAAGAAACAGGGAGTGAGTCTGACCTAAAGAAACAGGAGTTAGTCTGACCTAAAGAAACAGGGAGTGAGTCTGACCTAAAGAAACAGGGAGTGAGTCTGACCTAAGGACACAAGGAGTGAGTCTGACCTAAAGAAACAGGGAGTGAGTCTGACCTAAAGAAACAGGGAGTGAGTCTGACCTAAAGAAACAGGGAGTGAGTCTGACCTAAAGAAACAGGGAGTGAGTCTGACCTAAAGAAACAGGGAGTGAGTCTGACCTAAAGAAACAGGGAGTTAGTCTGACCTAAAGAAACAGGGAGATAGTCTGACCTAAAGAAACAGGGAGTGAGTCTGACCTAAGGACACAAGGAGTGAGTCTGACCTAAAGAAACAGGGAGTGAGTCTGACCTAAGGACACAAGGAGTGAGTCTGACCTAAAGAAACAGGGAGTGAGTCTGACCTAAGGACACAAGGAGTGAGTCTGACCTAAAGAAACAGGGAGTGAGTCTGACCTAAAGAAACAGGGAGTGAGTCTGACCTAAGGACACAAGGAGTGAGTCTGACCTAAGGACACAAGGAGTGAGTCTGACCTAAAGAAACAGGGAGTTAGTCTGACCTAAGGACACAAGGAGTGAGTCTGACCTAAAGAAACAGGGAGTGAGTCTGACCTAAAGAAACAGGGAGTGAGTCTGACCTAAGGACACAAGGAGTGAGTCTGACCTAAAGAAACAGGGAGTTAGTCTGACCTAAGGACACAAGGAGTGAGTCTGACCTAAAGAAACAGGGAGTTAGTCTGACCTAAAGAAACAGGGAGTGAGTCTGACCTAAGGACACAGGGAGTGAGTCTGACCTAAAGAAACAGGGAGTTAGTCTGACCTAAGGACACAAGGGAGTGAGTCTGACCTAAAGAAACAGGGAGTGAGTCTGACCTAAAGAAACAGGGAGTGAGTCTGACCTAAAGAAACAGGGAGTGAGTCTGACCTAAAGAAACAGGGAGTGAGTCTGACCTAAAGAAACAGGGAGTGAGTCTGACCTAAAGGAAACAAGGGAGTGAGTCTGACCTAAAGAAACAGGGAGTGAGTCTGACCTAAGGACACAAGGGAGTGAGTCTGACCTAAAGGACACAAGGAGTGAGTCTGACCTAAAGAAACAGGGAGTTAGTCTGACCTAAGGACACAAGGAGTGAGTCTGACCTAAAGAAACAGAGAGTGAGTCTGACCTAAAGAAACAGGGAGTTAGTCTGACCCTAAAGAAACAGGGAGTGAGTCTGACCTAAGGACACAAGGAGTGAGTCTGACCTAAAGAAACAGGGAGTGAGTCTGACCTAAGGACACAAGGAGTGAGTCTGACCTAAGGACACAAGGAGTGAGTCTGACCTAAAGAAACAGGGAGTGAGTCTGACCTAAGGACACAAGGAGTGAGTCTGACCTAAAGAAACAGGGAGTTAGTCTGACCTAAAGAAACAGGGAGTGAGTCTGACCTAAAGAAACAGGGAGTGAGTCTGACCTAAAGAAACAGGGAGTGAGTCTGACCTAAAGAAACAGGGAGTGAGTCTGACCTAAAGAAACAGGGAGTGAGTCTGACCTAAAGAAACAGGGAGTGAGTCTGACCTAAAGAAACAGGGAGTGAGTCTGACCTAAAGAAACAGGGAGTGAGTCTGACCTAAGAAACAGGGAGTGAGTCTGACCTAAGGAAACAGGAGTGAGTCTGACCTAAGGACACAGGGAGTGAGTCTGACCTAAAGAAACAGGGAGTGAGTCTGACCTAAAGAAACAGGGAGTGAGTCTGACCTAAGGACACAAGGAGTGAGTCTGACCTAAAGAAACAGGAGTGAGTCTGACCTAAGACACAGGAGTGAGTCTGACCTAAAGAAACAGGGAGTGAGTCTGACCTAAAGAAACAGGGAGTGAGTCTGACCTAAGGACACAAGGAGTGAGTCTGACCTAAAGAAACAGGGAGTGAGTCTGACCTAAAGAAACAGGGAGTGAGTCTGACCTAAAGAAACAGGGAGTGAGTCTGACCTAAGGACACAAGGAGTGAGTCTGACCTAAAGAAACAGGGAGTGAGTCTGACCTAAGGACACAAGGAGTGAGTCTGACCTAAAGAAACAGGGAGTGAGTCTGACCTAAAGAAACAGGGAGTTAGTCTGACCTAAAGAAACAGGGAGTGAGTCTGACCTAAAGGACACAAGGGAGTGAGTCTGACCTAAAGAAACAGGGAGTGAGTCTGACCTAAGGACACAAGGAGTGAGTCTGACCTAAGGACACAAGGAGTGAGTCTGACCTAAAGAAACAGGGAGTTAGTCAGTTACGAGCATATTTCTGGATCATTTCATGTCCAACTTCGATTCAAACAATATGTGTTCATATCACTATCTGTATCCATGCCCAAGTGTTCTCAATTACCAGTCAAAATGCATTTAATGTTAGTTGTAATGTTTGCGTTGTGTTGTGTTTTATTCTGGCTGCTGGCTTATGCCTTCAGTCCATCAGCACAGTCTATGCATGTACTTCACCTTTTTTGTTCTTCAATTCTCGTTTTCCACCGCCTGTGTTGTAAAGCATAATAATAATAATAATAAAATAATAAAATAATAAATTAGAGAGTCGGTAGACTCTCTATATAGGGATGACACGGGTGAAATCTCACGTGATCCGCGTACAAAACGACT